TTTTAGTCTTGGCAGGATCCACTTCCTCATGTTCAAAGAGCTTCTCATTGGTGTCAACTGTCATTAGGTCACGAAAATTACACTACTGCTTCCTCTACTGACCGTAGAGTCTGTTATTAAAAAGACAATCAAAATGCTTCATATTTGCTTGAAGTTGATACAACTTTACCAAGCAAATGTAAAAAAATTGATACCTGAAGTCCCGTTCCTGTCTTGATTTTGGTTAGTTAGCGATGGAGAGATGACACTGGCTGTCTGTCATGATAGCGTGCACTGAGTCGGGGTCAGTACCAGATAAGCACATTAAACTATAATCCATAAACGTAAGGTAACAACTGAGACCTAATGGTGCTGTGACAGGGAAAATATGTATGGTATGTTGTATCTGAACAGGTTAGCTTACGAGCTAAAGTTACTTAGCACAGCTGAAAGTTAAAACAAAGACGTTTATCAAACTGTTAAAGAACACAAACCATCGTCATATGAGAAATCCGACGCTATGACTCTCCACAAGTTGTCCTTCAGGTTGTTATCTTTGTAATATTTGTGTCTTTTATCAAAAATCACTCTGTTCTCCGACACGTAAACAATCAGCCGGTCGGCCATGTTGGATATACCGGTGAATCTGACATCGCAACAACACACAATCTGATTGGTCAGAAGTGGACACACAGAATGCAAAACTTTAGAAAAATCAACCGTGATCCGAAAAAAATAAATTCCACAATATCGCAGGGTGGGAAAACTTCGCTGATGTGAACGCTTGTATTGACAGGATACGTGTTCGATAAAAATATTGACGTCTGAAATAATCGCATGAAAAAAACGGTCCCAGTGTGAAAGGACCTTTAAGGTGAAGGAATTTCTACTCAAATTTTGTTATGAAAATAATGCTGTCAGTGGACACGGGTCCTAATGCAGCACCTGAATCATTATGGTGGTTTGCAAAGATTTTCAACAGAAAACTTGAATCTATTTTAAGTTGTTTGGTAACTTAATAGTTGAAACTGTTTCCAGCTTGTTGTCCTGAGACTCTTACAGGGATGATTGAAATAGAAATAGATTAACATGACTCTATAGAACAAATGCATAGAAAGCAACGAATAAAACAGCTGTAGCGTGTTTTTGACTGCATATTGTTGTGCTTTCTTTAAAAGCTGTGGCAGTTTTTTATTGGCTTTTCACGAGTCAATAGATCCAAATTGATAAAACAAATATACTTAACTGTCACTTATTGGACCTTTTGCATCAAAGGGGTGAAAACAACAAGTCAAAACTGTGTTTCAAAACTCTTTCATACTCATATAACCCCAAAAGTGTTTTTATCTATCCAGGAAATGATCATTTTTAAGAAATAACAACCGCAGATGATTATCAGAATGACACAGATTTGTAATAAAAACAGTTTAACATAAACTGCTCTGTTACCATGGAGAAACAGGGGAAGTTTGAGGCACTCGTTAAGATGTCATAAACAGAACCTGAAGAGCATATAAGATAAATAGTCTGTGAATTAGGACAGCAGTCATTTAGTTTAAGCTAATAATACAATCCTGCTTATGTCTTAATATGCTGGTAATGATCCATAAGAATAAAAGCATAAAGGGGCCCATCTGCTGCAGAGATGGGACTTTTACTTTGATTGTTTTCACTAAGTGCCTTCATATTGATCCTGTCCCCTCTACTTCTGTCAGATTTTAAGCATTTGATATCACAAAGAAAATGGACACTTTTAGCTAATTGATGAATTTGATGGTGTCTCCAGTCTCTTGAAATGTGCAGCCATTACCCTCTCTAAAAGCCTTTGACTGACAAAGAAAGTGCTGGTATGGAAACATGGATTTGTGAATACTGAAACTTTTATTACTTCAGTTTGGTTAGAGGAGTTTTTGCACTGTAATCAAAGTAAAAGAGCAGAGATGGTAAAATACCTAAAATGATCATTACAATGACAAAAAAATGAAATTAGCGGGGCAATTTAGACATTTAGTTTAATGGTTTAAAAGTGGTTAATTAAAGCAAGAGCCATCATCGCTGGATGCTAATGAGGAAATACTTATCAAGTTTTGATGCTAATGTCCCAGATAGGTGTAAGGGCCTGTGCCCACTGACAGCATTCCGCCTGAAGAGTCTTATCTTGCTTTCCTAAATGATGTCTTGACCCCGCATACATAAGTGTTGATGTTATCTCTTATTTCGTAACCAGGTTCAAGCTGCAGACAAACAGTTTTCACATTTAAACAAGAACTTTTTGTTTCTCTGTGAAATCCTAAATGTCATCAGGGCCTGAAACAAGCACTTAAAATAAATGACAGGGCTGACGACAGATCCATAAAAAACTACAAAGACTCAAAGAAACAAAGGGAGAAGTGTTGTAGAGAGAGTGTGTGTGGAGGAGTGAGCAGCCCCAGATACCTGTGGAGGTGATGTCATACTTCCCTAAGTCCTGATAAGCGGCCCACGTGTCCTCAGGTAGTGTGAGCGCCGTTAAAGTGAGGCTGAAATGTTCACCTCACACAAGAAGAATGTTTGCAACATCACACGGACATTAAATCATGTTAATCAGTCTGGAAAGTGCTTCTTAAAGTAGATTATTCACTTTTGAAATGATGAATGTGAAACCGTGCCTCAGATTTTCATTCTGCTTCTGGGTACTTTTACCCGACCACGACTTCTGTTTTTCTGAGGTCCAATTTAAGTTTCAATCATGAGACTGAAAGTGAGGACAGTTAGTGTCGTTTTTGATTTGGTATTGACCACCAACCGTTTACAAATATGACTCCATGATGAAAGTGAGGCCAAGATTCCTCCTTGTAGGGGTTTACATGGTGGGGCCAAAGCATGTCAAATATCACTGAGGTTCATACAGCCACGGGTGAAGGAGATTGTAAGGAGATGGCAGATTGTGACCTCTGTGACTGAAATTTGGTCGAGAAAGGTTTTTGAATTGTATTTTAATTTTCTAGTTTGGCCCACGTTTCATCTGTTTCTATGGAGGCAGTGGAGTTTCAGACCTGAACTGCAGACAACCACCAGGGGGAGCTCTAACAGCTTTGTCTCGCTTAGGATAGTTGTTCTATTAAAACATTTTCAAACTTTCATTATGGTTGCCATGGTTGCTGTGAGGATTGCGCTGCATTCCAGTTGTACTCGGAAGTCGGAAATTTTGAGCTCCGAGTCGGAAATTCATCTGGAACGCCCCCCAGAAATCGGATTTGCGACTCGGAAAGTCGGACGATCCTCGCCAACCTCGACTTGATGACAAAGTCATTATCCAAGTTGGCAGTGCAGTGCATTAACAGTAAAGAGTAACAGTGAAAGGTCCCGTAATGTATTATTTATTAGTGCTTCTGTTTTGTTTTAGGAAATTAAATAAGTGGTTTATGTTGTTCTGCCCAACGTCTAACTGTGAACACGGTGCTATGGTGTTTGTAAGAGTAAAATACTGTGTTATGTAGTTTACAACTGGTATCGCAAACAACAACAACAACTAACAACAACTGACAACGGCTAACGACAGCTGACAATTGTAAACAACAGCTAAAAACGGCTAACAGTAGGCGTCCATCTTGGTTTTCTGACTTGTTCACTGGAATGCCGTCAACTCGGGTGTAATGTCATTCCCAGCTCCAACATCTGACTTCAGAGGTAACAGGAACGCAGCATCAATCAGGCTAACTTTCCTGATCCTTTAACTTTCCCATTGTGCCTCAAAGAAGAACTTTATACTTGATGTCCCGTTACTTACAGGACAATATTGAAGCACTCCTGGAAGCTTTTTCAAATTTCCCTCTAATCACTGCTTCACTTTCCCTGCATCAGCTGATTCAGTCTATTTTTGACAGTTTGGCTGTGAAGGAAAGTCACTTCTACTTTCTCTTCTCAAGGATCGGGCACCAGAAAACACTCGGAAGGTTTTGTATTCGGGACAATGGCAGCCACATTGTGGTTATTCGCACTGCCACTTTGCTAAGGACTCTTTTGTAAACAAAGTCCACTCCAATCTTTACCGTTTCTATAACCCTGGGCTGTTTCTTCTATTTAAACTCTAAACCAGACTCAAGACCTCCCGCCCTGCATACAGATGCTATAGTCTTCTTGGGACACAGATGCTGGTTGAACCTTGATTGTGGCCCTGCTCTCTTTCTCTCAACCACATTCAGTCTCTCCCCCGCTGTCCTGTCAAAGATCTCGCAGACAGACTGTCCACATTTGTTCTCTGTGCGTACAGATGTGACATCATTATGCTGTATGTATGCCTTGTTATGTTACCAGAGGAGCAGACATGGCTCCTGCTGTTGTGTTTTATGCTAGAGTATTAATAATGAAACCTCCTGTACGGACCTCAATAAATAAGTCAAAGTCACGATTGGAATAAGTGTTTATATATGGACACGATTCGGACTAACGATTGGCATAAACCACCCCTCTTGATCGGAACAATCCGATTTAGCCAAATTGGATCAGAATCTTCCAATTCACATGGAGACGTATTTTTATCGGGCATTTATTCTGATTATTTGTGCCCATGTAAACGCAGCTTTTGTGAGTGGTTCCCAACCTGTGACCGGGATATCCCAAGGTGGGACACCAGAGATCTTGGGAAGTGCTTAAGACTGGACTCAGCCCACTTTACTTTGAGGTAACTGAGGGAAGTTCAAATGTTGTGATGATAGTTCAAAGTTGTAAACCATGTAAACAGAGAAAGAGCAGAGACAGAGTTAACAGAAAAGACGATGGATTCTGAAAATGTGACATTTGTCTCTATCCTGAGGTGAGACAAGTTATTTGATAACCCACTGGTGAACGCAACAGCTAACATTAGATCTCAACCTTTCCATATATTACCAGCTGATCTATTACTGGAGTGTTGTAACAAAATCACTCTCCTCTCCTGTATTATCCTGTAACCCTGTCAGATAATAATCCCAGCATTTCTGTGGGTCTTTTGGTGCTCTACTAAAAGCTCTTTTTACACTTGAATAAAAGGAGCAAAATACTGAAGTCAGAAAGTTTTTAATATCAACATCATGTTTAAGATCAAAGAGCCGAACAGGACTCAAACCAGACAGCCTTTGGAGTTCACATACAGTATGTCTGTGGTTGTGTTGTCGACAGTATGACTGGTGTAGCTCCAAGCTTGCGGCTTCCTGTTTTGCACCTGTTGCCGCTGCTTGCACAACAACTCATCCGCGTGTTAAGTAATCTGTGTTACAGAGAATAAGCCTCCGGTGTGAGTGAGTAACAACAGGTTTTGAGCTCGTGGGAGTTTAAAACAACACTCCTGAGGTTTTATAGAGCATCTGTGGAATGTGTTTGTGGTCGCTGTTGCTTTTTCTTTCTGTAAATGACTGGAGATCAGAGCGTCATCAGGCTCTGTGATGTGAAAGTGACATTTGGAAACAGATTCAGTACACAGATTCAGGCTTTAATGTTGGACGGAATTGGCACCACCGTGTGGTCAGCTCAAAGGGCTCAACGGCCTTTAATTAAAACGTTCTACTTCCTCTTTCACGCCAATAATGAAAGTAAATTAAAATGATATGACATCTCATAAATTACACATCGACGCAGCAGTGAAAACAAACACATTCAAGCCCTAAAAAGTCAGTTAAAAAATCGAGTTAGCTATACTTTTACAAAGCAAAAGTGGTAAATATGACACAGAACTAGCAGGAGCTTATGAAATAAAAAGAGAGAAGAACATTTCTGCAGAATTGTTTACCCTTTGTCACTAAGATACGAACATTTATTACAAAATCAGCCCTTGCTTTTCACATTTTAGTGTTCCATGTTGGCCTCAAAGATGTTTTAAAGGCTTTACACCTCACACAGATAAGATTTTATTGTGCATTAAAACCACCTGCGATTTAGAGCTAAATATCCAGGACCACATATCAGAACTAAAATGTTGTACAGCTTGTTTTTCTTGAGGTCAAAGATCAGTCCATCTCGAAACGATTCCCTCCTGTATGACAGCACATCCTCTGGACCTGCAGGGTTAATGCAGCTGATAAGCCCCCCAGAAGGTGCTTTCAGTGAGAAAATCCTCTGTGATGTATAAGCTGATGCTCTCTCCCATTATGAGGCTGACGATCTTCGCCACCCACACAGAATCCTCTGTCTTGGGTGAAAATGTCCCCTCCACCAGTATCTTCATGCTTAAGCCAAAAGAGGCGTTTCTCTTCAGGATCACGGATTTGGTCACGTTTTTCTTGGGGTGTCTGCTGAAGGTGACCTGAGCGTAGAGGAAGTACAGGCTGGTTTGATTGCAGTAGATGGAGTCATCTCGCAGGTCCAGGGAACAGGATTCACATCTGTGCTCAGCCTGCCAAGACTTACTGCCTGGAGCTGTGGGAGAATAGGAAAAATCATTCTTATAGTTAGTCGGCTTCAAAAGAGTATTTTCATCTCAGCTGTGAAACTTTTGGCAGTGGCATATAAAACCTCTTTGGATCAAATTCAAAAATCCACCAACTCCCTTTGAAACATTTTCTCAATTTTTGATCTCGACTTGAATAAAGACATCAGTTAAATAAAGTTGATCTTACAATTAGCGGCTAATTTCCCTCCATTTGGCAGACAAAGCCTGCCCTGCCAAACGTATGATGTCTGAGCCGTGGGCTGTAATTATAGCTTTAGTCGATGCAGCCCACATTGCAGCGCTTGCTCGGGTTTGTTGAGGTTTTAGGAGCCCACTTCACAGAGGAAAAGGCAGCGTGGTGGGAGGAACACAATGCATGAGGCTGGAAACATGACAAAGCTTTACTGTGTGACTCTCTCAATCAGTGTAGACCGGCTGTGTTAGCCAGCAGATGAGCTGTGTCGATGTTGTGTATGAGAAAGCTGCATTGAGTAATAATAATAATAATAATAATAATAATATTGATGATAATAATATTGATGATAATAATAATAATAATAATATTGATGATAATAATAATAAGAGTAATATACCCCACTTTTAAGAAAAAAGAAGGGGGTCAAAAGCAGAAACAGGATAGTAAATATAAAAGGCAATATCAAAAATGATTATAAAATAATAACAGGTAATACTGATAATAATAGTACTGATAAAATAGAGCAACAGAAATTAGCAAGAGATAAAACAATAAAAGGCCTAAAAGGTTAATTAAGAAAAGCTAAAAAGACAGTAAAGCTGAAATAAGATCGAGGTAAAAGAGAGAAGAGATGACAGATAAAAGATAAAAGACGACATCACGTAAAAGCAAGTCTATAAATAGTATGAATTCTATTACCGTAACTGTACTGTTATAAGTGCAGAAGCAAAATAACAGACGACAAAAACTAACTTCAGGTCTTACAGCCCCACCATAGCTTCATTTTGGACCAGCTGTAGATCAGCCATCCAGCAGGGACTGCAGCTCTATAACTGCTGCCATATTGCCATAATGCTCAGGGATGTAAACAAGAACAGATGGTGTTTCATAGCGCCACACGGTTTGACAACATTTCAGTCTAGAAAATGGAGATAAAGTTGTATGTAAACTGTTGTATCAACAACAACTTCACCAGAGAAACGCACCAATAAAAAATCTCCTTAACTTTTTTATCTTCTGATTTATTAGCTGAAATATTTAATAACTTAAGTGCATTTCTAGTTTATTAACTGCAAAACCTTGGACTGTCATAACCAGGCCACATGGGGATGTTGCAAATGCACATTTTCCTGGAGCCACTCAGTTTGTATTCAATTTTCAAGGAGCTTTTTGTCTAGAATATATCCTAGCAACAGGCAGAGAGAGCCACCACCCAATAAAATAAGAGTCTGGTTCAGCATACTACAAAGGAGGGCTGATGTAATGTACCGCTTTTGATGACAATCGTCTCTCTAAAAGGATGAAATATTGATTTTATACTAAAAATAAGCATGCAGTAATACTGGGAAGTTTATTGGTTCATAGTAGGAGCAGTGGTGCTTCTTTACTCGGGTTTCTACCTGCCACAAAAGAGAGGCGAGATGAAGAGACTCAGAAACCAGCTAGCAGGTTTTTACGGCAGCCTGTGGCTTCATGGTGGAGGAGATGAAAGATGAAACAGATGAAAGTGAGAAACTCTACCTGCACCCAAAAAAGAGCTTTTTTTCTCATTATTGCTAAAAAGACAGGATGTTTGTGGGCACTCCAGCCTGCAGATGAAAAGTGAGCGCAAAAAGAGGGTAACACCACCAACCAGTTCACCCATCCCCATCATCCTTCAGATAGTTAAATTATAGTGTTTCATTTAACAGGTTTTAAAGGGATATTCCGGCGTAAAATTAAGTCAGGGTCAAATACACTGTAACACCGAGTTAGACACCCCCTTGAGAGATGAATGTTGCCAACCGCTTGCTTCTCTAGTTATACCAACTTTAGTAACGACCGCACGATAGCAATACACAGTACACTCTATATGTACTGTTGATGAAGTTAGGTGCTGTTCTGAGTATTATTTGTGGCGTTTTGGTTGAGGTTTGTTTACGGCTCCTCAGACCGCTGTGTATTGCTATCGCGCGGTCGTTACTAAAGTTGGTATAACTAGAGAAGCGAGCAGTCAGCAACATTCATCTCTCGGGGGGTGTCTAACTCGGTGTTATGGTGTCTTTGACCCTAAATTAATTTTATGCCAGAATATCCCTTTAATTCCTGGTTGTTTGTTAGGTAATGTCACAGGGTCTTTAGAAAGCCAGTGATACATGTCAGCTAACTCTGTATAAGTAAATAAGTGTGTGGAAAAGGGGACCAAACACGTCTGCCAGAACAGCTAAAAACCATGAGCTTAAAGATTTCCAGGTTTAACTCTGATTGGTCCAATAAACATGATCATTTCAAAACAAACACACACAAAAAAAGCTTCAACATTTAAACTAACCACTTGTTTTAAACCTTAACACATCCAAAAAGAAACTTGCCAAGATCTCATTCAGTCTATCAGATGATTTTTTCATTTATCAGTCTAATCTGGAGTCATTTTGTTGTTATTGACTCCCCTGTGAACCTACTTCTCCTCACATTGTCCCGAGTCCCTCTGCTTTACAGTAAAACTTCCCACGTTTCTCAGAATGACTCGCAGCACATCTGCTCTCACCGCAGGCAGCACCTGTAGGTGTCAAACATGGCTGTCTGGATTTCCTGTCCATTAAAGCGTAATTACAGAAAGTGACAACGGTACAGAGTCGAGTCAGGTGCCGTGCTGAAATCAAACCTCAGAGTCGGGGAGTCCTCTGACCTAGAAAGAGACATCAGCGTAACATTCATGATGTCTTCTTCTCTCTGTGATGAAAAACGACAGCTCTTTGAAACTGGCAGCTGAACCTGACACTGACTGCTGATGTCTAAGAAAGATAAAAAATGTGTCTGCTGTCACTGGAAATGTCTTTTAACTTGACATTTCATCGTTTATGCTTGAGACGTTTCTCTGTAGAAGTATCAGCAAAACCAAACAGAGGAACGGGGAGGACTGAGGATCCAAGAACTCAAAGTACATTACCAAAGCTTCCATCAGCTGACATTTTAGACTCCCCCCCTCCCCAAACTCAAACACAGATTAAGAATACAGAGAGGAGCAAAGCGCACCGGGAATCTGGGGTTATTTGGTTTTTAATTCATCAAGAGTTTGGATCATATCTGGGCAAAATTTTCCTTCTAAAGCCCAATATACTGTGTCCAGATTCATGTGATGTTCAATACACACCGAATAAAACCTCTAAATATTCCCCCATGCTATATCAGGGAATAGATCTGACTAAAACAAGTCCAAAACTTTCAGGATAGTCACATATATGAGGCGAGACGTGGTCAGTATCATGTGATATACTGACATGTCTGACTCTCATCAATCATTTCTTCCATACCCTGATGGTATAAAAGTGGTCCCATCCTGGACTCCAGATGTGCTGCAGATACGATATTTCACTGTGCTGTATTCAGACAACCTTTAGTCTGGATTTCATCTGTATTTTAAAATATCCAGACAGAAACATCCCCGGATTCAGGGGCTTTTTGCACAATGGTGGCCACATAAGCTCCACTCACACGTGCTCTGAACTCTAGAGAGTTTTGCAAACTTCAGGAAGAGCTGCATGCATGACAGAGAAAAAAAAAACCTGAGCACATATGAGGTCAGTGAGGTCATAAATAAACTGCTGTTTTTTCACTCTCAGACAGGAAGGGGAATCCTGCAGCATTTCTGTGGCGTTTCATTTCACCAATCACGACTTTTATTTATCTCATCTGCTGCCTGATGTTTGGTCAACATGGTGTTTAGTAAGCTTTTATTTTGCGAGTCAATAATCCGGAAATGATGGCTTCAGGGTAGAGCTGGGCAGTTAATTAGATCAAATCAGATGAGCTTTACTTTTGTCAGCTGCAACGACAAAGCGATGTGCATCCAAAATTACACACAAGTAAAAAAGCTTGTCAAAAGTCTGATCTGATGGTCTGATTCCCCAGTGATTTTCAGTAGAGAGTAAATCTTGTAGGGGTATTCCTGAACTGTAGTGTTGCTGCTGAAAGATCTGAGTAGTTATTCAAATAATTTAGATTACCCAAGGTGCCCCTGTCCTCATACCGGTAATCTAATCTCAAATTAGCTGTATTTCCATACCACAATAATTTGTTTTTTCCTAGGGTAGATTCCCTCAGACCCCCTAACCTGCATTTTGTGAAGTATTTTGTCATATTTAGTCATCTCTAAGGAGAATTACTTCTGTCTTATAAGGCATTAAATATACTTAACTGGGTTTAAGCAGCAACAGCATTAACTGTGCATGTAAACATACCGACTGTGGATTTTGCAGCATCCTTTGTTTGACCTATCTTACTTGCTGAGACTCACCTATGATATCTTTGTCTATGTCATCGACACGTGCACATCTACATCAGATAAAGCTATGAAACCGACCTGACGTATTAACAACAAGAGGAGGTGTACTCACACTTGATGAGCTGGATGAACGAGGGAGAGGAACCTGAAAACAAACAAGATTTCCACATGAATATCTCCGTTTGCCTCAGAAAAAGTTCAAATATTGGCTGTAGTAGCAAATAAGATATTTAATTTACCTGATAACTTTAAGGGAGTTGTAGGTGAGTCGTCTGAAAAAGAAAAAGATGTTACTCATAAGTAGTTGACTTGTAAAGATTTAAAGATTATTCAGTGGTTAACACCGTGATCTTTGACTTTTTAGCAGTGTACCTGTTGGCATGACAAAATCAGACTCCAGTGAAGCCACGTTGGCCTGTGAAGGAAGCAAACACACCATCATTTTTTGTTTTATCAGCACTTTTATGACATATATCTTCATTTAAGAGCCACAGATGCATAATGAAAGTGTCAAGTAAAGAGACAAAATGGAAAATAAAAGTGCAGCTTTATGTATGATTGAGTAAATTTACCCTGATCAGAAAATAAAAAAGGATTTAACTGACAGAGAAATCTCATTTTGGAGAAATAAAAAGCAGGTTATTCAATAATTTGTCTGGAATATCTGAAAAAAAGGTAAAAGTAAAACGGATGTAATTTCTAAGGTTTAAAAAAAGGAACTTCCAGTTTCATTCAATTCAGTAAATGGACACGGTTGAAGGAACAGCTGTACTATATAAAGCGTGTTTCCCAGCACTGTGTGATGGACCATTAATCTGAACCTGTGGTAGATTAATCCAAAATATCGGGATACCAAGGCTTCTTTAAACTTTGCAAAGGGTCACATTTATTGATCAAAAATGTGGGGATTGTCCTTGTAGCTCTAATCCAGCTCTAGGATCAGTATGTTAGGATATTGCTGCCACCTAGAGGCACATAGCGGGAGTGTGCACTGACCTCAGCAGGCTTTGTCCTGACTGAAGTGAGAAGTGCAGCCATGACCACCAGCGCCAGTGTGAGGAGACCGCACCACACCTGCAGCAGCAAGTACTTCTGAGAGGACCGGGACTGAGCCTCCATTCTGAAACACACACAGAAATCTCACACATCACACACACTGTCTGACATTTAAGGAGGATAAACACATTTTTAACGAATTCTATCCTTTCTTTCTCGTATCTTTGCTTCATTTTTGTGGTTTTCAGCATCATCTAAATCATTCTACTACTGTACGTTGATTAATCTGTGTCTATTATTACTGTTTTCTGTAATCACAGCACATACAAAGATGTTTATTTGTTTTATTTTCTTCATTTCTCTGTATGTTAAATGTAACTTTATGAATTAACTCCACTTACAAACCCACTAACACCTCAGATGTCTGAGTTGTTGTTAAGTGAACTGACAAGACTTTTGCATTAAAAAGATTTCCCTTAAATGACAATTTGAGGCCCTTTGATGCAGAATTATTCAACCTTTCGATTTAAAAAATTGTATTTTTTAAGTAGGAGCCCTTTCACTTTATACAGACTAGATCTGTAGGCAGGGTTGTATCTAGAAGGTTAACCAGGGGTGCCTTCCCCCCACCTCCTACACAACACCAGTTTCCACCCCAAAGTCTTAAAACATGACTGTGTTGTAACAGGCAACTAGTAGCTTTCTTAGCCTTAAAATGGAGCAGATTTTAATTTGTTTGTACTTAAAACTGTAAACAAACAGGCTAAAAAACACCTAATTCAAACAACACTGTAAATAAGCCACTAAGGTGCTGATAAGAAACAAGTTTTGATTCATGTTTGAGTTAAATTTCCAATGCTCTGTTTTTGCACTTCATCTCCTCAACATACAATATCTTAAATCCATAATACCAATTTGAAATAAATCATAAATATTGCAACATCTAAACTGACAATTAACTTTTTGCTTCTATCCACATCTGCATGTGTGTTAGCATCATGCACACCAAAAGCCAAGGCTCCATCTAGTGTTCATGGTCAGAATTGCATTCCAAATATTTAAAGCAGTGCATCATATGAGGAGATAAAATGACCACAACTTAAACTCACATTTTGGCTCCGACAAATACTGCAACATATCCTGAAACTGCGCATCCTCATGAAACAGATGTACAGGAGAGGAATCAACTACCACAAACTCCTGCAGGGAATCTTACTGTCAAAAATACTTTGACCATGTCATTGTTCAATAAATGAATCATCTGTATGGTACTCTGACTTTAAAAAGGAGTAAAATGAAAAAAATAACATCACCAGGAAATTCAGATGTTGTTTTTATCACAGAATGGCAAAAACAACAGTGTCTTGATGCAGCTGTGGACTTATGACTGTATGAAAAGACAGGTCGTCTTTGACCATCGTCTCATGTGCGTCTATCATCCTTTGCACTCTCCTCAGAGAAAATTTCACACAGATGATTTTAACATTTTGGGATGCACCTGCAGCTTTTAAATACACCTTGGTCTCTAAAATCAAGAGAGGAGAAAAAGTCGAACAACAGGCAGAAACTGCTTAACTTTAGAGTCTTTTGAATTGTTTGATTTTTCCTTGCATCTCTTCAAAACTTCCAAGTCACCGTCTCCTATGACAGAGCATGAGTTTAGGAGATGACGCGATGAACTGCTAGATATAAGGCCGACGATTTACAGGCATTTTCTCTTGTCAACAATGACAGAATCAGAAGGTTAAGTAAACACCCTGGAGCCAATCTATAGATTCCCATCATGGCCATACGTCAGTCAAATACTTTCACCAACTCTTTACCGTAAGGAAGTTAAACAAAGCCTCAAGGAAGAAGAGTGAATCTCACTCTCTGTGTGTGTGAGTGTGTGGGTGGACTTTAAGCTATTTTTTCTTTCTGAAACCTATACTATTTACTCACTTGTACACATTTGATCCCTCCCCAGTAAAGTCAGTCTCCAGTTAGTCCACCACAGTCCCCTCAAAATCGGATGTGAACTTCGTCCTGACATTGAAAACCGTTACTTGAACGTTTTAACCTTCTATCACGTCAGTAAAAGAAGCTGATAACAAACAGGACAGTTTAATCGCTATTTCCTGATTCATTTGTGTTCACTATTCATTATTTCATTCGACTGTTTTTGTTCCCTGATACTTTTTTTGAACGCAGCTTCAGTTTGGCTGCAGATTGTTGCTATGGCAACAAGCAGCAGCAGCAGCGGCGTTGAGCAGAATTGTGTCTCACCAACACTGACATTAGGGCCCCTCAGACTCAGTACATCTTGTCCCTCATAGTCTGGCACCCCTGCCTACAAGCACAACAGGTTAGACCAGGGTCGAGATGTACACAAGAGATCATATAAATGCATATTTGCGAGAGGATGGAGGCAAAGACCGGGAAACTGAGGCAAACCTGTCCGGCTGCTTGTGTCGTTTTTTTCTATTCCTAACTCAGCACCCAGCGCCATGCTGCTGTCTTTGTGGGAATTTACCACAGTGGGAGTTTGTTTGGGGTCTTGCAGATGAAAGTGGCACATATCAGGACAGATCGCTTGTGGCTTGGTTGTTTACTCGCAAAGTTTACTCATAGAGAGAAAGCATGAAAACCGATCAGTGTTTTTGAACATGCTGCTGCAGCCTTTAGGGGTATGTCAAAGTGGTTTTCTTATCAAATGTCAAGCTGTTAAAATCTCACTTAGGAGTCTGACTGAGGTTTGCTGGTGATTTCCACTGACATACTTTACACTCTGTTTCAAACACATCCCTCTACTTCATGTTTAAGTGTTTAACAGTTACATCACAAGTTACAAGCTGATCACCTGACGAGCTGTATTACATGTATGATTTTAATATTGATCACGTGAGCAGGAAAATAAGATAAAAACAAGTGTTAATGGGGAAAAAAGTGTTCTGCAATCCCATAATCTCCACTAAACTGATTCTGATTTTAAAGTTTAGCTTTTAGATCACGGCGAGCTGCAGAAACTTTTGCAGGATTTCTGAATTTATCAATTTTCTTTATGGGATAAGTTTTTTTAAATTTGATGAAAGTGTGACAGTCCTTTCCCTGAAACACGTAAAAAAGTCAAAATGATGGCATGATTTAAAAAAAATCCCATCCTGATCACATCGCCCTTGTCCTCCTATTTTATCAATTTTGAAAACTTCTCTCTCTCAACACTAAATAAAACAAATAATAAAGTCTCACTGCGGTCCTGAGAGAAGTTTCAGGAATGCAAATCAATATTTTGACACAATTTCAAAGAGAGGAACTAAAAATTACTGGACTCACCTGCTGCGTGTCGCACTCTCAGTGTCCAAACTCATCTGCTGCCTCTCTGTGAAACATGCATCAGACTCAAAGGGTTTTCCCATTGTCATGGGCTCGCAGTTTAGATGAGATGGAGTTTTTCTCTGTAGAGAGAAAGAAAGAGAGAGAGAGAAAGAGAGAGAGAGAGAGAGAGAGAGAGAGAGAGAGAGAGAGAGAGAGAGAGATGTGGTTAGACAGAGAGGAGGAAGGAGGTAGTCTGCGGGTGTAGGTGGCTCAGTGCACTGATGGTGGAGTGTGCTGCCTGTGGGGCGAAACTGAGAAGAACAACATCAGAGCAGTGTGAAACTTTAATGAGATGAATGAAACCAAAATGTTGTTTCAGCACTACTGTGACAACAATATTTTAAAAACAAAATCCTTCTGGCACAATTAAAAAGTTTCACAAGAAGCTGAAGAAGCTGTGAGTACATGCTGCATTAAGGTGTGACCGAGGTAAAGCCAGTGTGTGTTGGTGCTGCCCCCTCCCTTACACAGAAATGTTTGTGGTGCAGAGTGTGATTTCCCATGTTGATAGGTCAGTAAGTTTAACACCCAGCAAACACGACAGGGACTTTTTTTTCTGCACACGATTAAATGTTTGATGAAAAATATCCTCTGCCTCTCTTTTTTGTTTCACCTTTGATATACACACATTTCTTGTAAAAAGACTGTGTTATCTTATTGGCGTTTCTGGAACTGTTTTCAACTGGTTTGAATCTTATCTCACCAACTAAAAATTCTGAACGACTTTGGATGAATGCTTATCAAGCTGTTAGCAAATAAATGGTGGAGGTCCTCAGGGTTTAATTTTAGATCCTCCACTTTTTAACCTTCACATTACCTCTCAGAAACAACACCGGGAGGCGCAGCATCAACTTTTACTGCTATGAAGATAACACATCAGGTTTTATTTATTTATTACTGATTTATTTATGTTTGCACCATAGACTGTATATACTATGGACAACTTGGTTCCGCCTTCCACCAGTATATGGATATGAAGCTAAAAAGCTCTCGGTATTTCCGCGATTTTGCTCCATTTCCTGACACCAACATAGCGCAGTAGCGTTGTACGCATACGGCAGGCTCAAACAGCGTATCCCCCGGGTGAGCTGCGCAATCTTCAAAATTTCTGTTTTTCAATTGTCCCTGGGATTTTTGTTTCAATAATAATGCATCTAGCCCTGTATCAGAGACCCTCAAAGCGCTTTACATTGCATACATCATTCATTCACTCACACCCTGGTGGTGGTAAACTACCTTTTGCTGCCAGTTTGCTCCTACGGCCTCTCCGACCACCACCGCACAACACTCACAATCATACACAAGTGGAGGACACACACTGGGAGAAAAGGTGGGTTAAGTGTCTTGCCCAAGGACACAACGGACAGACTCGGGTTAGAGGGAATCGAACCGCCAACCTTCTGGTTCTTGGACGATCATCCCACCTCCTGAGTTACTGCCGCTCCACCAAAGCACACTGAAGTGGCTGGGGCTAGGAACATTCACTGTGATCAGATGTTAGCTAATTGGCTGTCTAATGCTATACAATACAAGAGCTTTATTGATACCAAAGGGACATTTGTTTGTCTGGAGCCTCATCTCATGTACTATTTATAGAAGAGTTAAAAAAGTTTGATAGCTGTGGGTACTAAAGTTAATGTCTCCGTCCCGCAGCAAGGAGAGAGAAGCCGTCCACCACGGTTGTGTTTTTGGTCCATCAAGGTATTATGAAGTTGATGATCCATGTCTTCCTCAGAGTGCATCTCTTCACCACATCCTCCAGTGAGTCCACCTTAATTCCAGTCCAATGAAACTTTAAAACAAACATGGAACTTCAGCCGTTGCCGTGGGTGGGACATATACAAGTATTTTCATGATATGACTGAACTCCCTTAGAACATAATATGGTCGAAGGGCAACTGCCAACAGTTCAACATGTCAGGTTATCAAGACTCATAGGACTCATGACCTTGAACACAGTAATAATTGATGATAACAAGGTTTGAGTTTCCCACCCCGGGTATGATGCAACCAAAGAGCACGGTCTATTGATGCCCCTGTTAACTATATTCTTGATATGAAATCATGGGCGGTAGAAAACTCTTTACCACCAGGCAATACTCAAGTTTTAGTCATTGCACTAGAGAGGAAAGAGAAAAGACCGAACACAAAACTTCAGGGACTGTTTTAGTCCATGTCAGCAGGTGAAGCCAGTATAGAGACCGGTTCATGCGACTGTAACGCTCCTCTACAGAATATTTCCCAGCTTCTTCTGCTCCAAATCTCAGCTGTGAAAATGCTGACAAAGAACCCACAGTGGAACTAAAAGTCGCTTCACTGGTGAACATTATCTCTTAGAATTAAAGATCTTCTTATCGGTCTCTAAATCTCTTCATGGTCTTACTCCAGACCTGTGTGTAACTTATGAGTCTGTGGGATCCCTCAGCTCTTCAGGAAAAGGTCTTTTAATGATGTGTAAAAGCGTGAACAAAAACCTGAGGGTGGGATCCATAATTTAATCTTGCGTTTAACTAAACCTTTATCTTGTCTTTTGTATCTCTATTTCTTTACTTATCTATCTAGTTTAATTTTTCATCTATTTTGACAACTCATACATTGTCTCACTGATGTGTCCTCATTAAGACTTCACAATCATATTTATCTTTCTAAGTTTTTATTGAGTCTTTTCCTCATAATTTTATTTACCATCTTTATTGATGGTGGGGGGTTGAGGGGTCTTTCTCTTTATTCATTTATTTTATTGACTTTATCTTTTCTCTATGTACTCTGTAGTTATGATTGAATGAAAAGCACTTTACAAATGGAGTCTGATTGGCTGATTTGTTGTTCTTTGACTGTCAAGGATAATAATTGTGTGGGTGTAACCTCTTCTTCTTTCACTTACTAAATGGATGGTTTCAATATTACTGACTTTTCTGAAAGGGAAAAAAAACAGGAATTTCACTTGTGCAAAAAAAGGGATCATGTGCGAAATATGAGGAACATACTTCTTAGTGCTAAACACATATGCAAAGTATATTTTGCACACAGGAAACAGTTCTGTGACATTTTCTGCCATGTGTGGAAAACACGTCAGAAGCTGTCTAAAGTTAACAATGACCTCAAGCCCACATGCGTGTAAAAAGATTTTGTTTCTCACGGTTATTATTCTCCGGTTCATACCAAACATACAGTTGAGGTCAGAAGTTTACATACACTAGAGCAAAAACTATTCAAGACAGCTTTAACCCAACTTCCCACCCAATTTGAATGAAGACATATATGTGGTTATTCAATAATAGTATCCTTATTATTCTGCCAATGGGGCAGGTCAGAATTTTTTACCTAAGATAGATTTTTAATTGATTTCCCCAGATGACCTCAGATTCTTGTGGTTCATAAGTTTACATACACCCACTTGTCTGGCCTATTTAAGAGCAAATTAGTTGAAATCAGGTTGTGAAATGGAATTAATGGAATCATCCCTTTAGTCTGGTGTTCATTCATGTTGTGTTAAAACCAAGGTGTAGAAATTATGGGGTATAAAAGGAGCTTCACTTTACACACTCTGCATTTCGACTTGAGACTTGCAATGGGAAAGTCAAAAGAATACAGCAATGACATCAGGGAGCGAATTGTTGCCTTGCATAGGTCAGGCTCATCTCTTGGGACCATTTCAAGGCAGCTTGATGTACCAAGGGCATCTGTTCAGACAATTGTCCACAAATACAAGCACCTTGGAAGAACAGCCGTAATGCCACGGTCTGGAAGGAAACGGAAATTAACATCCAGAGATGAAAAGCTTTTGGTCAGAAAGGTGAAAATTAATCCCAAGATCACCAAGAAAGCCATCTGCAATGAATTGGCTGCCTCAGGAGCAAATGTCTCAGTGTCCACGGTCAAGAGAGTTCTCCATCGACATGGGCTGAGAGGGTACCGGGCCAGAAAGAAGCCATTACTCAACGAGAGACACAGAAAAGCTCGGCTAAAGTTTGCGAAAGAGCACCAGGGTAAGGATAAAGCCTTCTGGAAGAGTGTCATCTGGTCAGATGAGACGAAAATTGAACTGTTTGGGCATAATGACCAGCAATACGTTTTCCGGCGAAAGGGTGAAGCCTTCAATCCCAACAATACCATCCCAACGGTCAAGCATAGTGGAGGAAGTCTCATGTTGTGGGGTTGCTTTGCAGCATCAGGAACTGGTGAACTCCAGAAGATCAATGGAATCATGAGAAAAGAGCAATACTTGGAAATATTGCAAGGAAACCTCAAGAAGTCAGCCAAATCTCTGCAGCTTGGTCGAAATTGGATCTTTCAACAAGATAATGATCCGAAACATACTGCAAAATTAGTTTCAAAATGGTTTCAGCAGAACAAGGTGAAAGTACTGGAGTGGCCTTCACAAAGCCCTGATCTCAATCCTATCGAGAATATCTGGAGTGAACTGAAGAAACGAGTCCGTAAGAGAAGACCAACAAATCTGACTGAGTTGTACCAAATCTGCCAGGAAGAGTGGTCAAAAATTCCAAAGGATTACTGTGAGAAGCTCATTGATGGCTATCCAAAGCGACTTGCTGAAGTTATAAAACTTAATGGAAATGCTACCAAGTACTAAGCCCTGAAGACAAAGGTGTATGTAAACTTATGACCCAATAAAAAAGCAGTGTTCTGCAAAGAAATATCAATAAATCTTGAATTATGAGGAATTTTTGCCTTTTCTTTTTATTTCCCAAAAGCATTAATCCTACGGCTTCCTGGATGCTAGATTATTTATGATTCAAGTTGGTAACTTGAATTTAGCATGAGATTTAGTGTAGGAACATGCACTGTATGTAAACTTCTGACCACGACTGTAGATCACCTCTACTTAAAGACAGAATTCGAGAGCCCGAACAACCAAGAAACATAATCCCTCTGTGGTGCTTATTCTGTCTTTTTTCTCATTTACAGGCTCACAGACTGGAGCGATTAGTTCACACATGGAGCAGACAGGATGGGAGACAAAACTCACTGAATTTACCGGATACTGAGAGAGAAAGTACAAACCACCTCTAATGAGCATTCTGGGCAAATTATAGGAGACAAATCCTCAGATCCTTTATCTTTAGAAAAGGACTGCCAAAGTAAGATAAGGTTTAATTAATGGTCTAATTAAGAAAGTGTAGGTGTTTATCATTCAAAGAAACTTTTTCTTCAGTTGCTGCATTACAGAAATATTAGTATTTTAAAAAAATCCAGACTAAAATTAACTTTTTTGCGTGCTTTTTCGAGTTGTCGATGGGAAGTACGGCTCTTTTTAGTGAGCCAGATCATTCAGCTCAGCTCACCAAGAAGAGCCGGCTCTTTCGGCTCCCAAAAGGTTCTTCATTTTACCACTTATACATTTTCTAATTCAGCCAAATTTAAGGGTGTTTGGCTTATGATATGTACATATGTGTACACAAACCTCTTAAATAATTCAGTACATCCTTTGTACTGAAACATTCACAAGTAAAAATTACATTTTCTAATACCAGTAAATTGTTGTAGCCAATTGTTTTCATTGCGTTTACAGACCCTTGTATCTCTCTGAAACCACCCAATGAATGCACTGACTTGTTCGTAGAACCACTCTGCTACACAAAGCAGATAGAAATCCTGTCATTCTCTCTTGTAGTTTTTTTCTACAGTCTGTGGGGGTTAAAAGGGAGAGAAAAAAAAACGGCTCACAAACAAGAGCCGGCTTCCATCATTCACATTAAAGAGCCGGCTCTTTGAACCGGCTCGTTCACAACCGACACATCAGTATTTGCTTGCCTGAGTCTTTAGTTGGAAGTCCAAGAGCGACCTGGAGAGATCTGCAGTTCAAAGAAATAACATTTGTTTCGGTCACAGGTAAAGCAGCTCAGCACTGGACTCAGAGTAGACCTTTTTTACAGTACGCGGAAGTTACCATTCTGCTCATTTCCGGTGCTAGCGTGTGGTGGAGCCACTTAGCATCGCCCATAGACGGCCATTCATTTTTCACGATATTAACAAGATCGCGACTCGTTTTTTTGAAAGGTAAAGTAATATTTTGTGCTTTGTGCTGTTTTACCAACTCTTGTTCTTCATAATACTGTCCGGATTTTGTTCTCTACTTTTCGGGAATTATGTTTAATAGGTCTGGGAATCTTCTGATGATGGTAACCATTGCTCTTCAGTAATGACCTATTAAACATAATTCCTGAAAAGTAGAGAACAAAAGCCGGACAGTATTATGAAGAACAGATGTTAATAAAACAGCACAAAGCATAACATTTTACATTACCTTTCAAAAAAACGAGACGCGAGCTTGTTAATATCGTGAAAAATGAATGGTCGTCTATGGGCGATGCTAAGTGGCTCCACCACACGCTAGCACCGGAAGTGAGCAGAATGCTAACTCCCGCGTACTGTGAAAAAGGTCTATGACAGAGCTCTTAGGTTTCCTGTCACAATGAGTGCCATGAAGAGACGTTAGACTTCACCCAACTGAGTCTCATTGTCCAGTTATGTCTGATGTGAACAGGCCAACCTCTGTTCACATGGTCTAAGATGATATAATATGTGTGTGTTAAGCCACCCTGAGGCATGTATCTGCTGTAGCAAACCTGTCCTACAGAATTAAGAGAGCCTGGTGGTTCATCAAGTTCCTGCTTATCAAGCTGAATGTCAAACTGTTCTGAACAACCTGTGAGTTAAATGAAAACATCCAGTAAGTTACACGAGTTCAGTGGGAAAACACTTATCTGAAGTGATCAAAGTAAACACAGTTATGACACTTTTACTTTTATTTTTAAATCATGGAATAAATCAGAGTCAAGAGTTTCAGGGTTTTTCAGCTTTCTACAGCCGACTGGATTTTGTCATTTATCGCTTGCACCAAGAGCTCTTGAACAGGGATTATCTCAGTAAAACCGATTCTCCTTCAGAAATTATATGACTAAAGTAAAAAAGGCTTCATTTTGTGCATGCTGGTCTGACGTCCATCCACTGCCAGTAAAGATATTGTCAATCTTGCCGGTGATGGTCTCCTTTGTTGTTATGGGTTATAGGAAAGCATGGCTGTGGGTATCAGCCACTTTCTGATACTATCAGCTTCAAAACCTGCTGAAAATTCCCGCTAAGGGCTTCAGAGTTCTGGGTCATGATCAGGGTAAGGTTGTGGTCTTTTGTTTTCTTTTACAGGAAAGTTTACAGCAGTTCAAGACTCAACAGGTGTATTGGCGCTGAGGAGAGGCCATGACCTTTCTCACAATCTCCCAGATACAGTCTGGTATTCAGCTGGGGTCAAGGAAAGATGGTTGCTGTCTGATCTAGATAGTGTTTGACGTAAACCTGTGTTGAAAACAGATCCTTAAAATCTGCTCTGCTTTGGTCAAATGTTACCCCTGATGTGTTGTTTTGACTTTTGGATACTGAGGGTAAAAATAACATTGGAGCATTTTAAAGTGGAAACTTTAGTATATAAAAGAGAAGTGAAAGCTAATGAGTAGTTTTGGGAGCGTAAAACAGTCCGTCTTGTATGTGCTTCCTAAAATATGTTTGATGTTTCTTTAAGTTTTGCTTTCACTCTGATCAGACTTTATCCCTAAAATATTATTTTGACCTCAGGGAAACATATATTGAGATTATAGATGTACAGCAATGGATTTGGTTGGTATAAATAATAACTGGACATTAATTCAGAACAAAAAAACAGCTGCTGTAAATTACATATCAGTCATCAGGAGTCTTTATGTGACCATCAGAGATGAAGCTTTGATGGTCAGGTGAGGTTACACATCATGTCTAAACTTAAAAATGTAGGAATCTCCCTTTTTCCACTCACACAGGGACATTTCACTTTCTACTTACGGTAATGTGAATGATGATTTTTCTTTTAGACGACATAATCCACTATAGATTTAAACATAATCAAAATTAAGACCTAGAAACATGACTAATTTCTATGACCTGATCCATAAGACTGTTTTTTTCTTTTCCTTTCAGTCAAATCTTAACGTTGATCAAGTCAAGGATTACAAGGTATTTTCAATGATGGAGTCCTGTAACCATAGCAACAGAGAGCAGAGAGTTACTATATCCTTTATTTACCTATTTTTTAAACAGTAAAATAGAAGAGAAACATAAAACTGAATCTCTATCTTCCTGTCTGTTTCTTACACATTGAAATACTTCCATACAGCCAACATGAATGTTGTCACCATGGCAGCATAATTAGGGCAAAGGCTTTACTTATTGTGAAATATCTGGAGATACTGATGATAAACTTCTTAAACTTTTATCTGCCTGAACTGATGTAGAGCCGGTAATATCATACAATATCAATTAAGAGTGAGTTAGTGTCTGGGTATTTTGAGGTAGACACAAGGATGAGAAATCTTTGTGGAAACATGAAAAGTGATGAGAATTTCTTTTTAGAAAAACAGTAGTGAAAGCTGAAAGTGCAGTTTTGAGGAAAGTAGACAGTGAGAGCGTCCATTTCTATTTCTCTGTATTGTTCTGTGTCATGCTCCATGGGACATCCCCAACCAGCCAGCCCACATTCTCCTGGATTTTAAATGTCACAGACTTTATCTGGCCTGAACTCTGTCGATGACTCCAACACACACCTACACATGCAACAGAAAAGCCAGGTAGGCTGGATGTAGGCTCTCAGGTGCTGTCCCTCCTCCAAACCAACAAACAGAACAAACACTGTGCTCTTGTTTTTAGTCTATCTTACCTGTAATTGGAAAGGTGTGGACAACACTTTCCTCTGTTTCATAACTCTCAATATAAATTCCCAGGAGGTCAAACTTAGCCCTCATGCAAAGCATTGATACATCCTGAAAACAGAAGATCAACGTGGTCTGAAATAAACCTACAAAACCTCATTGTCCAGTCAAAAGTTCACTCCTGCCCCAGTGAAAGCTAATCTGAGTGTTGGTCATATGTATGCCTCATAACTTTTTCTGGTTTCATTAACTCATACATTTAAAGGTCAGTAAACTCAACATTTCGATACTATTATTTGTCATCTTAAAAAAAGCCATGGTCATCCACAAAACCACAACACAGTGCTCATCTGAGAAGCACAAAGCCTTGGTTGAGTATCTGTATGACAAAACAGGAATATGACAAACTAACATACATGTCAATAGGATCATTGTTTGTATCTTTGAACTAAAAAGGGAAGCTGCATTTGATTTTGTTATCTTACATTAGCCAGCTTTCTATCAATGGTAGGAGCCCGTCTAAGAGTATGTAAGCATTAGTGATCATAAATGCAAAGCATTTACAGTCTGATGTAAAGTCTTTGTACCCATTTAAAGAGACACTCTGGACACAGTAAGAAAAAGCAAGTCATGTGACTGTCTCAGCATGAAGACTGTAGTTTCCAGCATTATCACATAACTTTATCTAACATATTACAGAGCCAAATATTCACTGTAAAAGTTTTGGCTGTAAATTTCCAGTAGATATTTCACAGTAATGTGTGGTACCTGTATTGATTAAAAAATACTAATAATAAAAATCACAATACTATATTTTGAACATTACAGGTAAAGCCTGTAAAGTGATAATACAGTAATTTAGTGTAAAATATTGCAGTTAAATACTGTAAAATTCTGGTAATGATTCACAGCGTACATGTTTTCAACCTTCCTCCTGTGTTAGCTTTTACCACACAACCACCATGTTAAAGGTCAGTTTTGACCCGTGTCTTAAATCAGCTGTAAATTACACTAAAAACATTTCTCTATCATCCAATTTGGTTCTCATTTCTAGGTTAACTTGTTAGGCTTCATTATCCATGAAAATATTGCTTACAATAGTTTTTGTTGTGGGCCTCTGGGACTTTCCTTGTCAGTATACCCCTCATACAGACATCTATACTGAACTGATCTCACATGTCTGGACATGTCTGACGCAGTTTTTTGTGCAGGGAAAAACACGGCTAAAGAGAATTTCCTCAATCTCACATGATTGGAAGAGGATCTGACTGCAAGTGTGGTGCCTGACAGTGCACATATGATTTTAGTTTTTGCTCCTATTATTAGATATTACTCTAAATGGGTCAACAGCGACCCCAACACGACAAGTGCCATAATTTTAATAAGAGCATTTTATAATTTAGTCAATTTAATTTTTTTGTTTTTATTTTGTTGAAATAAAGGTTCCAGACGAATTCAAAAAGTCTTGATGCCAATGAACTTATTTAAGTGGTTCTTTTAGCATTTAAAATCAAAAACGGGTCGGTGAGACACTGACACAGGAGGAGGGTTAATCAAAAGTTCACTCAATTTCATAAATTTAGTTTAACCATTTTATTTTATTGTTGTTTTCTGCTAAACACAGAAAAACAATGTGATGTTAGTATCATATATCTGCCATCAGCTGACTCGCTCTCTTATCGTCAAATTGGCACCAGCCGCTGAAAACCTGATACTGATCCAGGACTAGTGACCACTGCAGATTAGCAAAACCACACAAGAGCTGTCTCAGTCTCAGTCAGTTTGTGTCTCGTCAAACATCCTCATGTTATCTTGTTTGTCCGTCTTTGCCTTCAGCGTTTAGGGTCGAAAAATGTCCCTGATGTCTCTGAGTATGCTCACTCAGGATTGCTCAGTGAGGTTAGTTTAACAAGCAGAGAAATATTCAAGGAAATGAGGCTGAGAATGTTAATAAGCAGAGTTTAAGTTCTCTTTTTTTATTTTATGCCAGCGCTCTACCATCCCTAAGCTTTCCCAGCATGCATGCTGCTATTCAGATCCGTGGGTTACCAAGTGACTGTGTTTTGTTTACTAAGTACACGTTTGAAGAAATGTCTGGCAGTTGGATGCGTCAACATCTCAGCTACTCCCTCTGCGGCGCTGACACAAAGATGATTATAATTGGAGAACTAGAACTGTTGACTGAGTCATACCTACAGTTATTGTGATTATAATTAGCTCTTTAGAGATACGGGATAATTTCTTGATTGTCAGGTTTGTTTCTGAAGTGGAGATCCAAAGACTGTGTGGTATCTCTAACTGTGACAACATATTACTGCTTCAAGTTCAATTTATCCTGATAAAAATAAACAGTTTCTTAAAATGCAACTGACACTGACAACAAAAGAACTCATAAACTGCCTATAGATATATTTCTCTCTTATGTACTGATCCTGCTTTCTCGCCTAAATGAAGCCCATTATTTTTCAGTTTGCTCCTCCAGCTTCACTTTCTTAATTCTCTCACAATCTCAGACCTGGTTCCAGCGTAAAAACTCAAAACCAGCCAGTTCTGATGCTGCCCTGGAAACAGGTGCCTCTGTTCACCAGTATTATGGGATTTCCCTGTGTGTTTTTCTGAGTGGGTGTGGGTGGATCTTCCCACACAGGTGTGTTTTTCTATTTTCAGCTTCATGCTGCTCTGGTTATCAGCAAACAATAAAAGTAAACTCAGACCTGATAGCATTTTATTTGTCATACAATAAATCACAGTTTTTGATCATGCAGCATGTGATTCCACGACATGCTGATTCTCAAGAACTTTGAGGGAAACTGAGGACTGTCTTTGTTTCATAATTACACACCAAAAACATTGAATGATCCTTTAGTCATGCAGAGAGTCAGCCGTCAAGACCACAGTCTGTAAGATACAAGGACAAAGAGCATTTAATATCAATCCGCAATGACAGACTGATGTTACAATAAATCATCTTATCCACAGCAGTCATTTGACACAATATTCAGACTCACCTGTCGATATTCAGGCACAAACCTCTGTAAGTGGAAACACGGCTCAGTTAAAAAAGAGAAGATTCAGAGGTTATAAGTGTGAGATTTCCCCTTCAAAAAAAGGAAATGAACCAACCTTTCTCCTGAGGTAGTCGGACACTAAATGACATATTATGACAGGCAGCGTTTTTCAGAAATGTAGACACCACTTCAGGGTTGACTTCTCTCTGGCGAGCTTAAGTAAAAGCGATCAACAAAAAGCAGGTTTACACATATTTGCCGAACAGTCAGGAGGACTCAGACTAAGTTTTCTTTAAAATGATATTTGTGAAAGCACTGGCAATAACTTTTTGAAACTTTAAAAGCATGAGGACAGAGACACAGCGGCAAACAAACAAGCTCAAGCGGACACGACATCTGCAAACTTGTTTCGAGGAAATGTTGAATGCCTTAATGTCATCAGACTAAGTGTAATTAGCCATAACATAATTTTTCATTGGCTGTCATGCAGATGTGTGAAAGTGTTTCTGTTACCTACTTTCTTCTTTCAAGCAAAAAAAAAAAGAAATACTGTTCAGAACAAACTGCTTGCAGATATTTCATGGTTGTTATAGGATACATCTTACACACAAGGGGGGCTTCTAAAATAGCTTACCATACAGCATGTGACGACTGAGGGAGTCCTCTGAGTCTGTCTCATGCAGTGGTGGCTCTATTTCCTGCAAAATGATGCAGTCAGGGCAGTTGGCCCATTTACCAGTCCAGAGCAGGCTCTGTCGCTCCTTCTTTCCTGATTCGAAATGACAAGACACGAGTACTGAGTGCAGAGAAAGGTTTGTATTCTGCAATTTATAAGGAAGAAGTCACTGACAGGGAAGGCTTTGCTATTTTGGGTGATTTTTTTCCTTTGCTGATCAGGAAATTTGACTCTGAAAGTCTTTTTTAGACATGCTCTGAACTCCTGCATATGTTCTGGGGGGTCTGCATGAGAAAACACAGAAATCAGGTCTGTGAGGTCTGATTCATCAGAGGTTTGATATCGCAGCACTGATGACAGGGTTCATGCAGCATGAAGGTTTGTTGCAGATCCATGTTGTATTGATATGAACACAAACTCAGTCCTGACCTGTATGTTTGGCGGTAATTCCAAGTTTATATGTGAAAATGGTTCAATACCATGGAGTTTGCTCAGCATGCTAACTGTTTATTCCCTCTGAGTTTCCAGTTTTTCAAGTGTACACCTCAACAGCATATAAACGTCCATTAATGAAGCTTAAACTAGTTTTTTTAAACATATTTAGTATCACTTTCATTTCATCATAGTAGAGAATTTTCAGGTATTTTTGTGTTAAGACTTATAATGGGCAGTAAAAAACGGTTTCACAAACTAAAAAGACCATAAAACTCACCTGTAAATACACAAAGTTTTGTTATTTTTATCTCTGAAAGTGGTGCTTCCTCTTTGCAAACTTGGTATTTACCGACTGAAATTTCCTTTTGTTTCACATTAGGTTTAATCATTGTCCAGGGAGTCGGTATAAAACAGCAGTACTTTTTGTTGGAAACAGGCTAAATCCAGTCATTATAAAGATGAAAACAAACAAACCTTTTCTGTTCCAGCACTGAAAAATTAGACGACACTTTTTTAAAGTGTACTGATTTTGTGATTTTATGAGTTTAATTATTTGCCTGCTGACATTTCAGTAAAGAGTTATTCCAGAGATGAGTGCAGAGTACGGCCTCCTGATGGTCTAACAGAGGCTTGGTGGGATTTTCCCAGCTAAATATAAAATCCTTGAAAAGTTGCTGAATCCCTGTAAATTCTTGGAATAAAGTTAACACACAAACTTTCCATTTGCAAATCTAAGGATAAATTTCTTCTATTCTCATGAACAGATACTATATTTATTGTTCTCTTCTCTGTGCATGTGTGTGATGGTGCTCTGAGCAAAGGTTGATAGTTACCTTCCAAGACAAGATCATCTCTGTCAGGGTGTATGTGATAGGTCCATGTCTGTTTAATGCAGTTATCTCCCCTAAAAAAAACAGTTTATAAGATAAAAACACACTTAGTATAAAGGTGCTGTCCTTAGTTTTATTTAAAAAAAAACATCACAAGATAGACATGATATCAAGACTTTCACTTCTGGAAGATGAATTCACACGTTTTATATTATCGAAATGTTGTTTCCCCAACCCTGATGTCTATTTGTGAGTTGGGTTTTTTCCTGAACATGCTCTGAATTAAAGTTGTAGTTTCATGGATGTTTTAAAAAAGATCACTTGTGACTTTACTAATTTGAACAACTCTCATTCTGGTGCGGTTTCTTTTAGATGGTCAAAAATCCCCTTTTGTTGCATTTTGCATTAATAGCAGTTTAGGTTTTCTCCCTTTACTGGTGATAAGATTTTATAGGGTGACAGTACCTCAGAGGAAAGGACTGGACATGAACCACAAACTGATTTTGTGTCAATCAAAGTGGACTTCTTAAATGTTCACTCGCTGTAAAGTCAAAAAATTTAGAGCTCCCCCTACTGTATGACTGTGGTATAGACCCCGCCTCCTCCATTTAAACAAATGTGACATTACAATTAAAGTGCACGTTATGCCATTTTTACTCAAACATATTTTCTCTTAATTATTGTTAGCCCTCATTCGGATTTGAGTTTTCTGACAAGTTTAATTTTAGGAGATGATTGATTGATTGGTTGATTGATTGACAGCTCTATTGACGAATGAGGCTCCTGCAGTGTTCTGTTTCATGTTATCAAAGTAGAGAGTAAACATAACGTGCACTGACACAAGAGTCACTGAACTTTCCACAGCCATGGTCTGCTTCAATTTAAAACAAGAGTTTCTTCGGCTGCAGACTGGACCGTCCTGAGGGATCTATAACATTTTAAGTCAGTGTGTTTATTTTTGTGACGATCGTGTGACATCGATCCCACTCTCCACCGGCCAGGTTGCTTCTGTTTTGGCTGCACTAGGGCGATATACTGTATCAAAGTCCATCCAGGAGGTCTTTGGACGGAAATGAAGGTGTATTGTTCAATCTAGCAGTTTTGACCAGTTGCTGTTTTCACAGTGTTTGCTCACATTAAGCTATCTAGTGATGTATATAATATATATATGTATATAATTACATGTTCATCCCAATAGACAATATTGATCACAAACATGTTTCACAAGTCTTTAAAGGTTTAGTATGTTGTTATTTACTTGTAAAAGATGAAAAATGAAGTCTTAAAGCTCCAGTGAAGAACTTTCTCTTTGGATTGATTATGGCGCCCCCTTTGGACAAAGCGGTATCTCTGATCTCTTTGCTGATCTTGCTCTGGCAAATGCAGTTTCATGATGAAGAATGTCATCCTACTTTTGTTTAATTTAAAATGGATTACTCATAATGACTATGTGCTACAGGAAAACCCCCTCTGCACAGAAAACAGTTTTAACTCAAATTAAAACTTCTATGAGGATATTTTTGACATGTGGAAAATATATTAAAATTCATACAAGAGCCTTTTTATGATACATTAAAACAAATAAGACCATTAGCCAGAGATTGACTATAATAATATTGCATTTTGATGCCTCAATCCAGCATGAAGGAGAGTAGCTAAAGAAACAGTCCTGGTTTTTACTTTTTCTATATAAAATATTCACAAGAAATTATACATTTGACTTAAAAAAAGCAGGATGAGATTTGTCATCAGAAGATACTACTATAGCATGTGAAGAACAAGATGAAAGAAGACCTGCTTTGGCCACAGGGGGCGCCAAATTGCCACAAATCTAGAGTTTCTCACTGGAGCTTTAAATAAGACACTGTAAGGTCTTTCAAAAATGTATTATAATAATATAAAGGTCATCTGATCACGGTTGTAGCCCTTGATTGGTCAACAGACCAAAACGGAAACGGCAGCTTTTGCTAGCATAACCTGTTAATGATCTATCTGACACTATCTCGCCAAATCTTGTGTAGAAATCATCGTGGATAACGTTGGTTTTTGAGGGATTGGCTCGAGACTGATTAAAAGTACACTGATGTTCTCTGTTAGATAGTAAAGCCCCTGGATGTCGCAGAATATGTGATGTTTATTGAAGTTAAGATACCAGTCAGACTAAGTGAGGGGATTGTTCAGTAAGTCGCTGTGCTTTACTGCAGGTGTAAATACTAAACTATAAATTAAAGGTGATGCCACCTTCTCAGATGAATCTTAAAAGAAGAACAAATATCTTACATACATGAGCGGGGCTCTTTCTCAGTGTGTACAGGAGAAGATCAACAAAGAGATATCAGGCCCATAATGGGACACACCAAAAGCTCCTAACATCAACTTTAAATTTGACCTCTTTGTTAGACGATACTCTTGTTTAGACTTGCATGTGTGTGTTTCCTTGTGTGTATTCGCCACCTCACATGCGCATGTGTCCCGTCAGCAGCAGTGTGTCTTTGGCCGTCTCCTCCATGCTGAACCAAACATTGTCCAGCGCTCTGAAACTCTGGATGTCGGCCTCTCTGTGACTGACTGCTGCTTTAAAATACCATTTCCCCAGATACTGAAACCGACAGAAAAACACAGAGAGGTGGAACATCAGAGCGTAGGGGGACGTTAATGTTGCTCGGAACTTATTTCCACTTATCTTCCCTCAACTTGCAACAGAGACCACTTATGGAAAGAACAGAGGGAGTGGAAAGCCTATCTATGTGGCAACACCTTAACGTTTATCTCTGCATATGCAACAACGATGCAAAACTGATGCACATCTTCCTTAAAGCACATGACACACTCAACCAAAAGACATGCTGTCTGTGGAGACTTAAATTAGCTTTACTGCACGTATCAAATATAAATTCTGTCAAGAAATTATGATTACATTGGAAAATTATCCCAATAAAGGTGCCTGAGACCAAACTAATCAAATAATTACCACAAGTTTTAATATTATTGTCAAGTAAATTAGTGCTTTTGCATGTTGGTGTGGAAAAAAAATCTAAATTTAGTCTCTCACCTGCTGACGGTCGACAGTATTAGCTGGCAACAGTTCAGGAAAAGAGCAGGGTACAATTACCTGATATAACAAACTATACAAAGAGTACAAATAGGCCAGTGCTTCACTCCACATGTCTGCAATCTGAGCGATAAAACTCGACAAAAACCTAAAAACAGTCTGAATTTGAGTACAGTTCCAACACGTCTATTTAAAAGAGCGTGGGTGTCGGTAAATTATTGACAGGATTTTTGCAATACCTGTGCTCTTCTCTTTAAAGGAAAAAGGCAAATACTGGTTTGAATGTGGTGTGATCTTTGCTGGAGCATAAAACCTCAGCTGTGGGATTACCACGTTTATTATAAAATGACTCACCCTTTTGCACATCAAGCTTTACTCATGTTACCAAATCTGCTAAAGGAGAAACTCGCTAAAGAGCGCTCGTTATAAGGTCTACTGAGTCATCATCGCGCCGTAGGAGGTGGTGGTTTCTTTCTAACCCACTTCAACATAGCAGCAGCAGCATCAGCAGGAGTTAATTATAGAAAGCCTCTCACTATTTACAAGTAAACAACAAGCTGCAACTTTGACTGCTGATTTTTTTCAGGTCAGGAAGTCCTGAAGACGTCCCACTCACTCTGCAAACACATTCTGAATCATTAACTAGCTGTCTGAACTTGGCTGTCTATTCTCAACAAGTTCTGGAAATGAAACTGTGATAGACTCACACTCTTTCTTTTAGTTTTAACATCCTTAATCCTAATCTTATTTATTCAACTTTAATTAAAAATGGTCAGTCCTGTAGCTTGTGTTTTGGTTTTTGTCGTATATCTTCAAAAGCTGTCGATTTGAATTTCAGGCTGTTGTTTTATAAATGTTAAAAAACTCCTTACAGTACCTTTAATTTGGAACGATATCAACATATATTTGAGTTATGAGGACTGGCTAGGACTCTTTAAGTAGAATTCAAATCCAGTTGTACTTTCAATTTATTGTTTTTATGTGAAGAACTGTACTTTGCTGTATTTTCAATATACCACCAGTTACTTTGTAGATAAAACTGAGAGCAAAAAGAATCCAAGCCTTCCACCAACTATGTGACCTGATAGTCAGGTGAATAACATGAAGCAGGGGAGAAGCACAAGCTTGTTCAAAAAATATTCACACTAAAGAAAGCTTTGGTAGATGTGGTAATACATCCACACAGACTACTTTTTAAAATAGTACTCTTGTTTTCAACCTGATTTCCATCAACTCAAGCTGAGCAGTCCTGTCAGTAAGGTTTACAAAACACATCTACCACTATGTACCTCCAGCAGTGGGCAACTAATTATAAATGCTGCCAAGTGGTTTAAAAGCACTCAGTTTTAACTGGTTGCAAAACAGACTGAAACTGATGCTTTTTCATGACTTTAACAAGTTAACAAGACTATCAGCACTAGACTGACGATTTCTTAATTCCCGAAACTGTTCTGGGGGTGAAGGTGTCAGACTACATGACTGACAATGAAGAGGCAACCTTTTACTCTTTCTTCAGAGGGAGTTTTTTATAATAAGTGAATCATTTCACTTTTAGGAGACAAGATACATTTTTTTTCCTTAAAAATGCAACTTATACTAGAACAAAACTGGAGATAACAGGTACTACTGTACCCACAGGGGGTGCCAAAGTTCTCATAAACCAAAAGTTTCCCACGGCAGCTTTAACAACTTCACCCTGCATAGGTGTAGTTCTAACAAAATCACACATTATAGCCTCCTATTGGTTATAATAAAACAATTACTTGGGAAAATATGCTTTTACATAATTTTGATTCATACCCCCCCTCACTCATCTGTTCAAAACACTCAGAACTCAGCGGACTACCTTTATCCTGGAGTTGATTGATAAAAGGGTGTGTTACAAATAGTGTATAATCACCTGAATATAACAACAGTTTGCTCTGTTATGATGGAAAGTTAGTAGTTTGTATTGATTTTTATTTTTCTGACTGTATTTGTGAGGCTGTTTTGTGTATTGCAGTGCTGTTACGAAACAATGAAATATGGGTTGTATGTTGTGGCAGAGAAGCTAATAATGTGCTGTTTTTTCAGTCACGTATGATTTCCTAAAAAGTGACGAGTTTTCAACAACTCATAAAATATGACATGGGCTTTGTTTATCAACACATGACACATATAACGTGATTTTCCCCACAAATGTTAGCTTGTTATTAAAGGAAAGGTCAAAAACAACACCAAATCTTCAGCTGTTATTCATTGTTTATTCATGTTAATAATGAACAAAGTGTCAGTAAGTGCCACAGTTTCTTCTAAGAATGTAAACCAAAGTTGTTTTTGGATATAGCTAAATACTGTTTCTCTATTATCTTTAAAAGGATGGACATAATGACATGAAAGAGGCTGATCCAGCTGACAAATAAAGGTTAACCTGAACATTTAGTGGGGGAATTGAAACCAGAAATGCAGACACTGGACTATCTTTACTCACAGTTACCAAGGCATCTGTGTAAAAATTTTTAATAGTTTATTTTTCTGTTTTTATTTTTGAATGAATGACTTCAAAAGTCAGGTGCTGTAGACCGCACTGAGTTCTGGCTTTAAGTGAACCAAGCCAAGAGCCATTGTAGTGGGGTGTAAGTGTATTATTAGGTTTTAAATATTATTTCTTATACAAACTTGCTTTTTCTAAACTTTCTGTCCATAGTTTCGTGTTACAGCAGTGGCAGAAAGCCGGTCTGGACATCTGTGGTCGCTCCTAGTTCGCCCTCTCTGATGGCACCTCCACCTACGACTCTCCTTTCAGCACTGACACCAGGTCTCCACTTTCCTTCAGCTCCTTCAGTATGTCCAATCCTCCGATCAGCTCCCCTTTCACATAGAGCTGGGGGTAGGTGGGCCAGTTTGAGTATGTCTTGAGCCCCTGTCGGACCTCCTCATCGGACAGAATATCAAAGGTGTCGTAGTCCACCCCAGCCTCGTTCATGATCTCCAGAGTCTGCCTGCTGAAACCACACCTGGCAGCCTCCTTGTTGCCCTTCATGAACAGCATGACCTGGCTCTTGTTGATGAGGCTCTTCAGGCGGTGCTCCAAGGTCACAGCCTTCGGACAGGTGTTCTCCAGCTCTCCAGACTCAGCCAGCTCCTTCACGATATCCAGACCTCCTACCAGATCTCCATTGGCGTACAGCTGCGGGTAGGTGGGCCAGTTCGAATAGGTCTTCAGCCCCTGTCGGACCTCCTCGTCGGACAGGATGTCAAAGCTGCTGAACTGGATGTTATGAGTTTTCAGGAGGGCTGTGATCTGTCTGCTGAAACCACAGCGGGGCTCCTGTGGTGACCCCTTCATGAACAGCATGCACGGAGCCGCGTTGATGAGCTTCTTCAGCCGCTGGTTCAGGTCGGAGGCGCCGCTGCTATCCTCGGATCCACCCGGGCCTCCTGTGACCGCTAGCCGGGCTACCTTCTTAGTCAGCTCCGGTGCGTTTGCTCCGTCCAGACGGTCCACCTTCTCTCCACCCTTAAAGAAAAGGAAAGTAGGGACGGAGGCGATTTCATATTTCTCAGAGACCTCGGGCACCGCTTCCGCCTCGAGCTTCACGAACGTGGTGTGCGCGTGCTCCTTGGCCAGCTCGGACATGACTCCGTTCATTTGTTCGCACTGAGGAGCCCACGCCGCCTGGAAATGCACCACAGTCAGACATTTTCCAGCTTTGGCCAAAAAACCCTCAAACTGTTGTTGCGTTGTTGCCTCCACGAGATTCGCCATTTTTTCTCCCCACTGACTGTACAGCACTTCCGGTGTCTTAGTGACGTCACGTCCGTGCAGGCGCCTGGTAGCTTCTAGCAAGCGCCGGAAGGGACAGTGAAGTTAGTGTCACATTCGAAGATTTCGAATGTGTACAAGTATTAAACAATTAGGGGAGAGTGGGGTAAGTTGAGCCACCCCGTTCCTCGGAAATGATAAAAGAAATTGATCATGTGACCAAATACACGGGGTAAGTTGACCATAGGAGACCACTTTTTTTGACATGCTATATTATCAAGACGGTTATGTTTACATTAATTCTGTTGGTTTGCAGGGATAAACAACATCTTGAAATATATGCAGATACACTAGTTAGAGACAAAACTATGATTGACTTAATGTAGTGATCAGAAATATAAAAAAATGGCTCATCTTACCCCACTCTCCCCTATGTGCAATGTATTAGTCTCAAATCACTGTTTTATATTTGTGACTTCTGTTTGTGAAAATACAAGAAAGGGTTATTTCACTACTTTCTAGACATGTTAAAGGGATATTCTGGCATAAAATTAATTTAGAGTCAAACACACTGTAACACAGAGTTAGACACCCCGTCCAGAGATGAATGTTGCTGACTGCTTGCTTCTCTAGTTATACCAACTTTAGTAACGACCGCAGGATAGCAATACACAGAGCCAACAACAAAGCTCAACCAAAACGCCACTCTATAGCAATGAATAAGTAGTAGTATTAGTAGTATTAGTAGTAGTAGTAGTAGTAGTAGTTTATTTGTCCCATAGGGAAGTTGAACTGCAGCAGATCACACATTTGGCATTTCATCGAGAACAGTACAGATAAAAAAATAAAACAGCATGTAGACAACTTTCATACATAATTAACAGTAAAAATAAGTGACATCATCATAATCACACTTCCTAAGTCTCAACTTTAACCTGATTAGACCAGCTGAGCAGGCTATAGGTAACTAACTATGGCTATTTGGTATTAAGGCATTTAATGGCCTGCGGCACAAAAGAAAATTTTGCTCTGTTTTTAGTAAAAGAAATTAGGCAAAGCAAAAAAGATGTTTGGTGGCTAGTACTATGGCTGGGACCCTGTATGTACTGTTGATGAAGTTAGGTGCTGTTCTGAGCATTATTTGTGGCTATAGAGTGGCGTTTTGGTTGAGGTTTGTTCATGGCTCCTCAGACCGCTGTGTAATACTATCGTGTGGTCGTTACTAAAGTTGGTATAACTAGAGAAGCAAGCAGTCGGCAACATTCATCTCTCAAGGGGGGGTGTCTAACTCTGTGTCATGGTGTGGTTGACCCTAAATTAATTTTTATGCCGGAATATCCCTTTGAATCTTGTTTCACCCCTGAAAGTTTATTCAAGAGGTATAGTGTGAGTAAGACCTGGTATAATGTGGTCAAGTAAAAAAAAAAAAAGAAAAATCTCTTATATTCTTGTTTTGCATTTTCATTTATAAAATAAAGGTTTTACCAATAAAGAGATGTTTTAAAGAGTGTACAGTGTCACTTAAATTATTTAGGGTATATCAAAAAGTAATGATATCGTGAGTCTGCATCAAGTGTTGGCACTAGTAGTCAAAAAAGTAACGAAATTGCCTTTTTTATACATTTTTTTTAACATGATAAAGGATTATTAAATCTGACACTATGCTTTCAGGACCTTATTTCCATAACCTTCACTGTAACCGCCAAATAGGAAGAGACGAATGAGATGCCAACTTCAGCGGCGTGTTAGAGCGTCTACTAGGAAGTCGTTTACATGTTATTTGATGATAAGAAACAGCTGCATATACTGGATAAGTTCAAACGGATACTGTGACTTAACAGGTAAGAACATAACATCTTACTGTTGTACAAATTAAAACAAAGTATTCGGCTGTTTCTAACCTGACGTACGGCTTTGTTTATGTAGCACAGGCTTAGCCTCCCTGCTAGTTAGCTGGTGAAAGTTAGCAGCCTGGGTTAAGCCGAGCTAAGTCCTGCTAACTAACTAACGGGGGCTGGATAAACGACTTCGTTAAGGCTGTTTGTATATTTTTAGCTTTATTTAATCGAAGTTTAAGAGTAGTAGTAGTAGAATAGCCTTATTCTACCATTTTAACGTTAACATAAGCTATCGTTAACTTTATTAGCCGGGGCTTGTTGGTAAGGTTAGCTGTGTTGAACTCACCAAGAAAGGAACTAAACAGATTAACGTGAGAAGATCAGCTTCTCCAGATTTTAATATTTCTCTCTGGTTTGGTTTGAAGACTTCTGGACTTGTTTAAAATCCGTTGTGTTGTGATAAAAGACTAAACTATGTCTCTTTAGTTTTCTAAAGCGTACTAAAAATGTCACAATCATCAGTAATAATGTGTGAAATAATTTAACTCTGAACACATCCAGAGTAAAGCTATAAAGCTGCATCCTTTTACAGTTTAAGGCTTTGAGGATGTGTGAACAGGACAGTCAAGTCATTTTAAGTTTAGAGACCCTTAAGTTTTCCTGAAATTTTCCAGAGTACATGTTTTAAGGGGTTTATTACTCTCAGAAGATGGTTCTTGTCTGTCTGGTTGTTTTTTAATGAGAGCTAAACTAAGAAAAAACTTCAATTTATGTTCGAATAAGATGTACATGCTGTAAGGTCATTGTAGCTTAAATTAAGTGTAACGCAATATTTTACCACAACAGTGCAGTATATTTACTACTGCCACTGCTGCTGTGTGAATCCTACCTCAATATATGATAGTATCCTACCTTAATGTTGATATATAGTCTGTACCTATTATTATTTTTATTATTATTATTTTTTCTCTTGCAACTATTTTTGTACTTTTAATTCGGTCTGTTTTCTTTTTTTGTATCTTTTGCACTGAAAATGGAGAAGCTCTCCAATCTAGTTGTACCTTCTGATAATAAAGGGCATTCTGATTCTGATTCTGATTCTTCTGACTCTGATCAGAGTTGAATTTACTTGGTTAGATTTTATTTTTTGCTGTGAAGGAATCATTCAGTCAGGTGGCTGTCATGCAGTAGAGTGAAAGCTTATATGTTTTGGCTTTTTTTTCTCACAACGCTGATGCTGGGAAATGTAATGAAGTACAGGACTATTTACAGAACATACTGAAGTAAAAATACAGATTTTAAAAACTTCTTTAAAAGGTTCTCAAGTACAGTGACAGTAAATGTGTTAAGTTGCATTTCTACCTCTGCTATAGGCAGAAATACTGGCGTAGTGATGATCATTTATAATCATAATACAATTCTTGTTTAGGTTTTCTTATTTAGCCTGAAATTAAGCGGTTGGACGTGAATGTTATTTGAGAACTTTGTAATTTGCTTTTGATAAATACTTTATTAATAACATTATTTCCAAGCCCTTCTTGATCCACAGAGTGAGAGGCCAGAGTACAATTTCTGAAACTGGCTTTTTGTAAACGTAATGAATTTGTGGATAAGTTAAACTGTGGACTGTTCAGCTGAAATGAGCTCTTTGTAGATGTGGAAGACTTCTTGCCGAGCACACACTTTTATTAAATACTTTTCGCACGATATGACATGAGTATTTACATAATTATAAGACCGCACTGACTGGACAGATGAGCAGGCAGGGGTCCAGAGTAAAGTTAGTTAAACATCCTGGTTTTCAAAGGTACTTGTTTAGGAAAGTGGGCAGCCTACTTGACTATTTTTACTTTTAACAGCCTACCATATCAATAATCAAGGGTCCTCCCCCACCCTCCATCAGACCTAAAAATCCGGACTTATTCAGCTGTATTTTTCATTGAGGGTCATTATAGTAGTGGAACTATATTTATAACTCTGACAGATTTTGTTTGATTAATAACTTTGCTTGTAGACTACTCTAGAAACTCAAAAAGGCCCGACACAGTTTGTCCTTAAAAGTCCATTTGAGTTTATTTATGATCTGAAGAATCTCCTTTTCAATCTTTGTTACATTCCAAGGAGTCCTTACCGAAAAGGATCGCTCACAGAACTGAATTTTACCTCTTTATAAGGCTGCAAAATGATTAAACTCTCTAATATCAATCATCCTGTCTGGAGGCCTGTACATGTGAGACTACGAGCACTGAAAGACTTTCTTCTCTGAAATAGGAAAATCATGGAGGAACAAACTACAGACATAGAGGTGACGGTCAAAACGTTAGACTCCCAAAGCAGAACCTACACAGTTGGAGCTCAGGTAAAACCATCAGCTCCTCATGATACAGACTAAGTTTTTATTTCCAGAGAGCTTTTGCAGTGAATCTGATCTGCTGTCTTCTAACTTTTTTTTGTAGTTAACAGTGAAAGAGTTTAAGGAGCACATCGCCCCTTCAGTGGGAATCCCTGTGGACAAACAGAGGCTGATCTACCAGGGCAGAGTCTTACAGGATGAGAGGACTCTGACAGACTACAGTAAGTTATTCAAGGGTCAATTAAAGTTATGAAGAAGTTGTTTTTTTAAGGGATCTGTCTTATTTATTTATTTTTTTAAATCACATCTACACATAAATAATCCTGCCTATATTGTTTTGTGGTCATAGATTTGTTTACATTTGCTCTATATCTGTTGAGTATTATGAGAATTTCTTGCTGTGAGTGTCTCTTGCTATTCTGTAGACAATGAAAAAGGGTAATAAGACATCAATTTAAAGCCAAAAAAGTGTTCTGTAGAAATGTAACTGTAGCTGGCTGTTGTTGTTCTAGATGTGGGTGGCAAGGTGATACATCTCGTGGAAAGGGCACCTCCTCCACCCTCCCAGCCTGGCTCAGGGTCAGGAGGAACTTCAGCCGACAGCGGGCCTTCCTCTTCCTCCCAGGGAACATCACAAGTGCCTCCACACGACCGCAATGCTAACAGCTACGTAATGCTTGGCACCTTCAACCTGCCTGTCAACATCATGGACCCCCAGCAAATACAGGTAGTTTATTTTTTTACTTGTGTAGATAAGCTGCCAGCGATTGAGTTGTATTGTTGTGGTGTGCTGTAGTTCTTGTAGTTCATTCTAGGCTTGTTTGAGCTCATATGTTTTTGTTTTTCCCCTGTCAGATGTCAGTCCAGCAGATGGTTTCAGGCATGGGAGACAATGCCAGGAATGCCAGAGTCACAACCAGCACTGGGGTAAGGTGGTTGCTAATCACTCTTCACCCCTCATAAGATTTTATTGTCTTTGTCTGATGGTCACTTTGTCGTTTTCAGAGTAATGGGTCCGTGAATGTGCACATCGATATGGACCAACCAGTGCAGAGCGAGCCGAGGCTGAGGCTGGTGCTGGCTGAGAACCTGCTGAGAGACATCAACGATGTCATCCACAGGATGGAGGTTCGAGCTCAACTGTTCACATCCCTCTAGTGAAGAGGACTCACACGCCTCATCAACATGATGATCATCTGCAATATTTCTTTCTTTTCAGGGTCGACCAACTGAATCTTCCTCCACCCAAACAGACACCGCCTCCGCAGCTTCTGCTCCTCCTCCTCCCTCGTCTTCTTCCACCAGTTCCACTCCTTCACCCTCTGCCCAGCCCATGGACACGTCCCCACCTCCAACAACTCCCCCACCTCCACCCACTTCTTCAGCACAATCTGAGGGACCAACACCTCAACCTGGACCCAAGTGAGACACCCCACAGTAGAATCATTTCCACTCCTTACGTTTCTATCCTTGTTTCATCTGTTGAGTCTGATCCTGATCATCTTTGCACTTTTTCCCACCTGCAGTCACCCCAGTCCAGCTGAACTGGCCGAGATGTTGTCTGAGCTGCGCAGGGTGGAGGAGAACCTGCAGCCTTTTATTCAGAGAGCTCACACCATCCTGGAGACCGCCACCACAGCAGAATACAGCAATAACACAGTAGGAGTCAAACACAGTACATCCCATAATTATCTGCTGAACTGAAGTAGTTCTCTACAGATGACAGTCACATTTTGAGCTGTTAGTTTTACAAGTTCAAAGGTAGTAATTTCTTTATTTTATTTGGATTTATTTTGTGGTAAAAGGATTATCAAAATCCATGAAACTTTTTTTGGACCAAAAATAATTGAAAAATATACTTGAACAAGACCTACACTTGTTCAAGAGGTTTCTCTGTAGCTTTAAAGATTCCAGCTGTCAGATGTAACATTTGGAAAGAAAGAAAATAAATAAATTTAGTTCAGGGTAAATATGATGCACGGTCTTTAAAATCCTGTGAGTCTCAATGTCACTCTTGTTTTCCTTTCGTCTGTCACAGGAGAGAGAGGATGATCAGCGCAATCTTGTAATGACCTGGGAGTGTCTCCGTCTCCTTGGTAACGCCCTTGTGGCTCTCAGTGACCTGCGACTGAACCTCATGAGCCCGGTGCCCCGTCACCTCCATGTGGTCCGTCCCTTTTCTCACTACGCCACACCGGTCACTCTGCCAGGAGCTGTGCACCACCACATCCCCGTACAAGTAAGAGGAGACACGATGAAGCGGTCGACTTGAAACTTTGATGTAAACACGCTGACCGTATGTGCCTCTCCATCCACAGATGAACTTGGGCGCCACGGTAACAGTTGGGGCGAACAACGCAGAGGGACAAGCCCCGCCCACCCAGTCAGCCAGCCAGTCGGAGCAGGCAGGTCAGGGACAGACCTCCCCCTCACAGACCTCCCCCTCCAATCAGCAGGCTGGACAGGGACAGGCTGGCCCCCGGGTCATCAGGATCAGCCACCAGGCAGTCCCGGTGGTCATGATGCAGATGAACACGGACGGTGTGTTGTCCCCTACCCGCCACTGATTGAATGCTCCGCTACGTCACAGCTGTTTGTGTGTCCTATTAGTGTGCAGCAGTGCTCTGCAGTTAAATTCAACAATAAGAGAATAAGTGCTGAATGATCTGAAAACGGGAACTTCAAACCTCATTCAGTACCCCGATCGTCTGAGAAATGATGACTGTTATTGCAGCTTCGTGTACAGGGAATGACTTCAGTCGTGCCCCAGGAAGTTCATTTGTTTTTTGTTTCTGTTGTGCAGGTGCAGGTCCAGGCGCAAACCCTGCAGCAGCTGGACAGCAAATACCAGGACAACCAGGTAAATACACTCAGAGGCAAACCAGACTAGAGGGGCTACTTCTGAATAGAAACAGTTTGACTTGACTAATGAAAGATCATAGTTTTCACTGAGGGGTGGGATGAGCAAGGAGACATTTCAGTGTAGAATCTGATATAGAGTACTGCCATAAAAAACCTTGTGAAGTGCTGGAAGAGACTCCTCTGTTTAAGACAACAAATGATGAGTCTGTCTTTACCTCACAATTATCAGTGCTACTATCAGCTGAGCTCAACTACTGTACATGTTGGGGATAACGGATGGTACCAGAAAATAGCTACACATCTGCATAGAAACTGCACATTGTTGAATGCAGTGGAAATCCCCATGCAGGAACACAGTTTAGACACTTTCCCTTCTGGAAATCCCCTCAGAAGACTTTGCCTTTCGTACAAGTGCAAGTTCTACTTTTACTCCCGGTTTTCAAGAAAAGCCAGAAATATGGTGGCATTTTACCAAAGCACAAGACCTGAGAATAGATAGAAAAAAGTTTCCTATTTCTGGGTGTTTTTATTGGTAAATCTCAGATTTCCTACTTATCTATCTGTCTGTCTGTCTGTCTGTCTGTCTGTCTGTCTGTCTGTCTGTCTGTCTGTGTCCTCGCAGACAGCTTCAATGCACCAATCTTGAAGTGGCCCCTAATGACCCCTAATACTGTGTGAACATGCCAATAAATGTGCTATTGAAGCCTGACCTTTTTAATACACCTGACCACAAACATGTTACATTTTTATGTAGAAGGGATTATGGGTAGAGTGGGAAACTGAGTTAAGAGAGCAGGGATGTAATGTGGAGAAATGTGGTTGGAATTGAACCTTGGCTGCCTGCTGCTGCATAACCCAAAGTCAAAAATGTGTTTTGTGTGATCTTTTCGCCACCGTTGACCTGGTCAGACAAAAAGAAACTGTTTTTTTGTTTCAGCTAATTATCAATTTAATTTATGTTATCGCGCTCATGTCCATCTGTTTCCTCCTTCAGGCGCCCTCCCTCCAGACTTCATGCGGAATCTAATGCAACAGATCAGTCAGTATGCAGCTGCTGTAGCTACAAGCGCTGCCACCGCGGGACATCCGGTCCAGCCTCAGCCCACCCCACCCGGCTACAACTCCACAGCCAACTCCTCCACTACAACCACAGGTCCCAACACACCCACCACCACTCCCACCGCTCCCCCGCCTCCTCCTCATACGGGCCCCCAGCCGCAAGCCAGGGTTGTGTTCACCCGGCCCCCCTTTGCACCAAACATGGCCCCTCCAGCCTTTGGCCCTCGGGGGACCACCATCAATGTGAGGGCTGCTATGCCGGGCCAGCAGCCAGGACAGGTGGGGATGATGTTTTGTGTCGTGATAACTGATCGTTGAAGCAACAAGACAACATTTTTTGAACCATAACAATGTTTTTCTCCACAGGCGTTCAACCCTGCTGCTCTCAACCAGATGATTAGTGGTTTGGTTGGACAGCTTCTACTGCCAGGACAAATGGGTTCGCTTTCATCCTCACTGGATTTAGATTTTGGTGCATTAATGGTGTTGATTTAAAAGAAACTCTCAATTGTTCACATTTTCTGTTTTTGTTTCCTTCAGCAGGTCAAACTGTTACATCTTCCTCCTCCACCTCCACCTCCTCCTCGTCCTCCTTTTCCTCGTCCTCCTCCTCCTCGCAAAATTCCTCCTCCTCCTCTTCCTTCTCTTTCTCCGGCTCGGGTCCAACACCTCCCCCCAATGGGAACACTACGGGTCAACCTGAGACCAACTCTGCTGAGCCCCAGGCCCAGGAGATGCCCCCAGACCTGGGCCAGCTCTTGGGTTCTCTCCTGGGTGTAGCTGGGGGGGCCGCTGTGGGACCTGGAGGAGCCCCTTCAATTACTGTGACCACATCAGGGGTCCCAGCCTTCATCCAGGGAGTGAGCGAATTCATGCAGGTCAGTGTTTCAGAGTTCAACGATGTTCACATGGTGCTTTACATTTGAAGCAAAGCCGAGAAACGTCTTAGCAGGGGTCCTAAATCCTCACCCTTCATTGTTTTTCCTTTCTAGGCATCCCAGCCCATCTTTGCTCCACCCCCACCTGCTTCAGGTACCGCTCCTGCTCCTGGTGCAGGACCCAACCCAGCTCCCAACCCAGCCGGGGCAGCCGAAGCCCTCAACCCAGAGCTGTTCACGGGCATCGTCCGCGGCGTCCTGAGCACCATGATGGGATCTCTGGGACAGGCCCAGAACGACACAGAGAGCATCGCACAGTTCATGCAGAGGCTGTCCCAGGCCACCAACATCTTCATCAGCCCTGAGGATCCCACCGGTAAACAGCAAAGATGAACATGAGGATGTTTACGCAGCAGCAGAGATGAGGAGAAGATCAAGATTACTCGTCGAAATTTAAACCCTCTTAGATCTTTTTGTTCAGTCTCGTTTTTTTCTGTTTTCATGGTTCCCAGGGTTTTTTGGAGAGCTGCTCATGCTGGTGTGTCAGACTTTCACCATGTCAGACCTGGTGATGCTGCTTCATGGACAGCACCAGCCCCTCGGCCGCATCCAGCCTCAGCTGTCTCAGTTCTTCACGCAGAACTACCTCAACGGCAGAGAGCCCACGGATGAAAACATTGCTGTAAGACGCCCTCCCTATTCAGAAATCTGTTTTTTCCATTAAAATGTCTTTTTTTTTTAGGTTTTTAACTTCTTCTGCTCTTGTTTGCTGTCCCTCTGTTTGTATTTTCCTTTCTCTCCTCCAGACTGCTGCTGTCAGTCTCGTCAACGAGCTCGAGGAGTACATCACTGAGAGCTTTGTAAGTACTTGATTTCAAAACTCCAGAGTGGCTAAAATCTGTTGGATAAAATTGATTTCCAGACTCTAACGGCCCTTCTCTCTTTTCGAATCCCACAGAGAGAGTCCTCGGTCACAGTGTTGGAAGGTGTTGACGCCACTCAGACCAACATGTCCTTCTTCAGACAACAGCTGACCCTCATCGCCACTCATATCTTGCGATGTAACGGTAAATATAAAAACGATAGGTTCACTTGGGGTATAATTTTTTTAATCTCAGTTTTTCTTGTGTCTGCAGGACCTCAGTATCACACTTTTCTTTCTCCTCCCAGATGACTCCTTTGGGCCCCAGCTGCTGCAGATGTGTAACCAGGCACTGTTTGAGTGTCTCGCCCTCAACCTGCACTGCCTGAGGGGCGATCAGAGAGCCCTGACTGCGGTCATCAACCACAGAATAGTAAATACGGCACACTCTCACACTCATTCACACACTCTTATCCTTCGCAGGAGGCATTGAAGAAATGAATTGCAGAAGGAAATGGAGTAAACACGAACACACAAGCTCGAGCAGTTGAAGGAACTTTGAAGAGGCTGTTGCGAAGTGTTATGTAACAGCGTTCAAACATAGTATTTGTTTTTAAAACCTACTTTCACACCATCACAGGATATTTAAAGTGTCATGTGTGCTTTGACTGAACTTACTCTCAGAAGAAATTAACTCTTACTATAATTAAACAAATAAGTTTAGGGAACTGAATGAATACAGCGAAAAGAGAAGTCACTAAATCTGCCTCTGAAGTGTTATTCTGATTCTTCACAGGTTATAGATGTAAAATATTTTAATTGTAAGAGGACAAAATCACCAGTTTTAAAATCTAACTATCTCCTGTTTTTCCAGCGGAGGATGTCGAGTGACATCAGCCCCAGCCTGGTCAACTGGATGACCAGTATGATGACCATGAGGCTGCAGGTCATTCTGGAGCACATCCCCGTCTCACAGGAGCAGATCCAGAACTACATTGTTTACACACAGGTAACAGATCAGCTGCTTTGGGAGAGATCTCACTAAGTTGTGGTTAAGTCATGCTCAGCTGATGTGGACACTCAGGCCCTGAGGCTTACACTGGTGATTTTCAATCCTTTTTACCTCCTGAGTAGTGTTTCTTCTGTAATCTGTGTCTGTGTGACTCTAGATATCTTATTTTTCCTTTTCAGCACAGAGTACAAACACAACAAGTTGCATTTAGAGAAACGAGTCTGTTATCTGGTGGCTGTAGCATATCCTGTTACTTTGGACAGCATGACTGAAATGGCTAATAAATATTAAATGACATTCTTTCACAGAGAGATCAGTCTTCCGGAGCTGGCACACAAGAGCCTGAACGAGCACAAAGTGCTGCGGTAAGCACGAGGCGTCTTCGATGCCCCTTTTTATGAGTGAAACATTTTCAGTACTGCTCTACTTTTTCGTTTCTCATTTTAACTCCACTCCTCCTCCAAAGATCGGGGACACCCACTCACCGCCTGCAGCCACCACAGCAGAGGAGGCCATGTCAGTGTCACACGACACGAGGGCATCGTCACGAGAGGCGCGGGTGTTGCCTGTGGACCTGGGTGCCTCAGGAGGAGCTGCACCGTTAGGTGGCGACATGGCGGCAGCGGGGGCTGAGGGAGGAAGTGAGGAGTCTGCTCGAGAGTCAGAGGCCTGGGCGGCCGCTGTTCCACCTGTAAGAGTCCACAGTTTGTCAGCTGGTTTAACATTTGGATCTGGTTAGTCCAGAGATCAGTTTGCTCTGCTTTAGTTCAGGCCTGCCTCTAATCTTTAGATGATCAAACAAACAGGAAGCAGCTTTTACAGAAACTATGTTCTCTGGTGTAAATACGTCCACTAAATAACGTTTACTCTGTGTGTGTCAGACAATATTCCAGTTTAAAATGTGCACTGCAAAAAAGGAATTTCAAGAAAGGAAAACAGCCTTGTACAAAAAAAGTATTAATCTTGTCAAGCATGTTTGGCATTAGAAAAATGATCTTATTCTAAGAGAAAATGTCTAACTTTTTCTTGATAAGTTATTGCAGCTAATTTTGAGACAGAATGAACCAGAAATAAAGTAGAAAAATGTTTTACAATAAAATCCGGCGGAGCAACAAGATCATTCATCTCATTTTAAGAGTAAGACTTATGTACAACTTCTCAATTTAAGAATGTCATGAAACAAGAACAGAACATATCACTTATCGTGCAACCCTGTTAACTCCAGACCCTCACACTCTGTCTGTTCCCTGTTTGTTCCCTGTGTTTTAGGAGTGGGTTCCCATCATCAGGTGTGACATGGTGACCCAGAGGAAGATGAGGACTCAGCCACCGCTGTCTGACGCCTATTTGCACGGCATGCCAGCTAAACGCAGAAAGGTAATCAGATGATTAGGAACCTTACTAAAAAATACATCAATGTTTCATGTCCACAAAATCTCTCAGAGTCTGTTTACACGTGTTTTCAGACAGGACTAGGCAGTGGGAGCCTCCTCTCGCTCTCTGACGCAGTGAGTCAGGCGGCCAAAACAGCCGGAGTGAAGCCGATCACCTCAGCTGAGCAGCTACAAGACGAGCTGGAGACGCAGGAGCTGAAGGAAGCTTATGCAGAACAGGTAAACTCGTGTGTATGTGTGATGAACATTTGAACAGATTAAGGACACACAGCGCATCATTGAGTGATCTGTTCCCGCTCACCGCGATAATCCTTTTTCCTCTCAGGTGAAATCAGACATCAAGAAGCGAGTGAGAGAAGACCAGGATTTTAACTCCCAGCAGTTCCCCAACTCACACAGAGCTTTCTCATCAGACTCATAATCATGACAAAGAAAACCTGCATCCCTGACATCTTCTTCTTCTTCTTCTTCTTCTTCTTCATTTGACTACCACTCAGCGCAGCTCCCTTCCTCCCCTCCCTAAACTGTCTGTTGGCCTTCTTAGAGACGCTCTTGACTTATTGCCTCATGCTAATGTGAGTACTCCCCCAGTGCCTATTTATTTTTCTGTTGACTTTTTCTCCAACCTCTGCTGAGACTATTAGGTTGCTAAAAGGCAAAAATAACACCAGAATTAAGTTTGACCCAAACAGGTCACTATACCTCTATCTGTGCGTCTGTATTTTTCCCCCTTTTCCTCCTCTTGTTGTTTTAATAATTCAGAGCCTGAATCATAATTTAGTCGACTCCTGCTTTCCTCTTAGTACTCTGAAACACAGGAGTAAACTTTCATGCGATGAACATGCTGTTTGGTACATGAATGTACAGTAAGCTTAATAAAAATCTTGATACAATTCATATTGTCGCCTTTATGAGTCGGGATGTTAAAAGAGCAGAACAGCTCAGGTGAACAGGTAGACGGTGTTGTACCATAGTTTGTCCACCAGAGGGCACTGACTGAATTCTCCACCATTCAGTACTAGAGATGTCAAATTAAAATGGCCTTGAATTATTTTAATGTTCATACAAAACAAAACAAATATAAATAGAAAGATGAATTTCAGAGCAAAGGAAAGAAATTGCTTTATTTTCTATCAGATTGTTTTAAAAAAGTAGGGGAAATAAGATTAACGGGATAACATCTCCTGATTTTTACTCAAAGTTTATTTTGTAGATTAAAAGGATCTGTGCACATGTTCAAAAAACTCAACTCTAATGCTTGTCATTAATTATATAAAACAAATATTTAGGTTTGCAGCTTCACTTTGAGTAACGATAAATTAAGATTTATTTTTCTCTGATACAGAGGAAGCTTCTTTAACTGTTTGTCAGACCATATAAAGGGATTTTTATTATTTTAAAGCTCCTGAGTTTATATCATGATGATTTTGCCTGAATCTGCAGGGAGTAGGTGTCAGCAGAGCACTATTTTCACAGTAAATGAAGCATTTCAGCGCAAAAATTCAGCAGGATGACATTTCACTATCTTAGCATGAAGAGGACAAGAAAAGCAAAGATTGTCTATCAACAGGGGGCGCCAGAATTGACATAATCTCATAGTTCCTCACAGGAGCTTTAACTTAGAGATCACCAAAAACTATTTTAACACAAAACAAGATTTAAAATGGAAAAAAAGGGGATCGCAGGGCTCTGTGATAGATTGGAGACCTGTCCAGGGTCTATCTTGCTTTTCTAGCAAAGACAGCTGGGATGGGTTCCACTCCCCTGTCTCCTTCCAAACACATGAAAAGAGGACTAAGGATTCTGTCAGAGTTGTCAGCTTAGATGTTAATTTTCTTTTTTTTTTTATCATTAGTTTTATTCAACATGAGTAGAAAAGCAGAGTTACAGGTGTAATGTTTCAGATGTTCATGTATCGTTTTTCCTTTTTCCAAAAAAAGAAACGACAACAATCCAAACACGACATACACACAGAGCTCTAAGGCTCAGAATTTGGTACAGCAAAAGGACAAAGTTTGGGTCAAACATTTAACAGTGAACATCAAGCATTCCCTCCCTCCCTCCCTCCCTCCCTCCCTATCTCCCAAGTCTCTGGACCTTCCCACCTTCACCCACTGCAAAGACAGTACATAGATAGTCTAAATTTACAGTACATGTTCAAAAAGCAAAAAGAATGTTTATCAAGTATATATCTTCCCTTGATCCTCCCCCCTCTCCCTCCAAAAAAGAAAAAAAAAGAGAAATAGCAATAATAAATGAGCAATTTAGTAAGTAAAGTAAGACAAAAGGTCAAGAAAGAAGGTAAGAGAAAGTTAAGAGACAGAGTGGCATGTGACGGTGGCAATCTCAGATCTCAAAGAGTTGTCAAGTTGTTTAAGTAATTTATAGTGGGGCCCCAGGAGGACGTGAAACCACCTGGTGACCCCCGTAAATCAAATTTAATTTTCTCTAATTTTAAATAAGCCATCACATCTTTAAGCCAGGAGTGTGATTGGGGGGCGTGTGAAGACTTCCACTCTAGCAGGATTTTCCTCCTTGCCAGCAGTGTCAGAAAAGCAATACCATTTTGAGTTGTTCTATTATAAGTTAATTCTCTGGGCAGCACCCCAAAAATAGCTGATTCTGGACTGGGTTGTAGATTAATGTTAAACATTTGAGATAAGTGTCTGAATATGTCAGTCCAGTATGTCTGTATACAGGGACAAGCCCAAAACATATGAGTTAAATCTGCATGGGATAATTGACATTTGTCACAAGTATCATCCAGGGTGGGGTATATTCTAGCCAATTTGGCTTTGCTATAATGGGAACGATGAAAGACCTTCAGTTGTATCAGGCTGAGTCGGGCACACGATGCACTGCCATTCACTAGAGTCTGTGCCCGCTTCCAAGTGTCATCTGCGATTGGTTCTCCAAATTCTTCCTCCCAGCCCAATCTGATCCCGTCTACAGTAGTAGCTCTTAAAGAAGAGATTACTTTGTAGACAAAGGACAAAAGTCCTTTTAATTGTCCAGGAGCTTCTAGAATAGGTTCCATTCCAGAACTAGGAGGCTTATTAGGGAATGAAGGGTTGTGAGTTTTAACAAAGTCACGGATTTGAAAAAATCTAAAAAGGTGAGAATTCGGAAGTTCATATTTATTGGCTAGTTCTCTAAAATTTGCAAAAATCCCGTCAATATAGAGATCTGATAGTCTAGAGAGGCCCAGTCTGTGCCACGTCAAGTAGCTTGGGTCTGTAATTGAGGGGGCAAATAGGTGATTATTATAAATAGGACTGTAGGGAGAAAGTTCACGGAGGCCGAAAAAGGTTCTAAATTGAGACCATATCTGTAAGGTACTCACAACAATTGGGTTAGCTGAGTGACGTTTAGGTAAAATAGGTAATTTGGTAGTAGTTAAGGCTAGTAAAGATGTGTTAAGACATGAGTTGGCTTCAATTTTGCACCAATCTAAATCGGGGTGTTGGGACCAGCAAATTATCTTAGAGATGTTAGCAGCCCAATAGTAAAATTTAAAATTAGGGAGCGCAAGACCACCTTCGACCCTAGATCTTTGTAGATATTCTCTCTTAATTCTTGAGGGTTTGTCCCCCCAGATAAATGAGGACAACAATGAGTCAAGTTTACAAAAAAAGGATCTAGGAATAAAGACTGGTAAGGCTTGAAATAAATACAAAAAACGAGGTAACACGTTCATCTTAATACAGTTCACTCTCCCTGCCAGTGATATATTGATAAGTCCCCACCTGTGAAGATCTACTTTTAGTTTCTCAACAAGGGGTAAGATATTATCTCTAAACAAATCATCTAGCGATCTACGGATAAGTACCCCCAGATATTTAAACCCAATCTCAGAGGTACGAAATGGTAGTGAATTGCTTGGAATTTTGCGAGCCAAGTCGTTTATTGGAAAGCATTCACTTTTATTAAAGTTTAATCTGTAACCCGAAAAAGTACCAAATCTATTCAACAGTTGAATGATCTTTGGCACTGAGAAAACTGGGTCTGATATATATATTAATAAGTCATCTGCGTACAGAGAGACTTTATATTCCAATCCCCACCTGCGAATACCCTGGTAGAAAGGAGCTGATTTAAGGGCAATAGAGAGAGGTTCGATTGCCAGGGCGAATAGTAGGGGGCTTGCTGGGCAACCTTGTCTGCAGCCTCTAGAGAGCGTAAACATCTGTGAATTCATTCCATTGGTACTGACCGACGCCTTAGGGGCCGAGTAGAGAAGTGAGATGAGAGAGATCATCCTAGGACCGAAACCAAACTTCTTGAGAACCTCCAGTAGGTAACTCCACTCCACCATGTCAAAAGCTTTCTCTGCATCCAAGGAGACCACCATCTCGGGGGTCCACGAGGATGCAGGAGAGAGAATAACATTGAGGAGACGACGAATATTAGATGAGGAATGACGGTCTCTGATAAAACCAGTCTGGTCTACAGAGATCATGTCACTAATGACTGTCTCCATACGTGAAGCTAATATTTTCGCGAGAATCTTGTAGTCAGCATTTAAAAGAGATATGGGCCGGTATGAACCACAGTTCAGTGGGTCTTTGTCCGGTTTTAGGATAAGCGAAATTGATGCTTCTGTAAGTGTTTGAGGTAGGAGGCCCTTTCCAAGAGAGTCAGTGTACATTTTCGACAGGAGTGGAGCTAGTTTATTAGAAAATATTTTATAAAATTCAACTGGATAGCCGTCTGGGCCAGGAGCCTTCCCATTTTGCATTGCTAAAATTGAGTCTTCAATCTCCTTCAAGCTTAAAGGCTGTTCTAGAGTTTCATATTTTTCGACGTGGAGAATCGGAAACTGGAGGTCCCCAAGGAAGCTCATCATATCAGAAATGTCCACAGGGAACCGAGTAGTATACAGATCAGAATAAAAGGTTTTAAAAGTGTTATTAATTTCTGTCGGAATAACTGTACATAAGCCATCTGAGTTCTTAATTTGGGGAATGTTTCTTGCAGCACTCTCTTTCTTGAGTTGATGGGATAGTAATCGGCCTGCCTTCTCACCGTGTTCATACGTGAGGCCCCTTGAGCGTATTAGCATATTCTCTGTTTTTTCTGTAGTAAGCAAATCATATTGCATCTGTAAACTTAGCCTCTCTTTGTATGTTTCAGGAGAAGGAGATACTGAGTAATCATTATCCAATTTTTTAATACCTTCAATTAACTGATCTAGTTGTTTTTTCTTTAATTTATTCTTTTTGGAGCAATATGATATAATGTCCCCCCTGATTACAGCCTTTAGGGTTTCCCAAAGTAAGGATGGTGAGACAGTATCAGAGTTATTATTTGAGATGAATTCATCAATTTTATTGGCAATAAATGTGCTAAAATTAGGGTCGTTTAATAATATGGGATTTAGTCTCCAAGGTGGACGGGCTTTGTTTAAATTTGAAAAATCAAGGTCAAGCAGTAAGGGGGCATGGTCTGAAACTACGATGGCTGAGTAGTCAACGAATTTAACTGAGGGTAAAAAAAATTTATCAATGAATAAGTAGTCAATTCTAGTGAACGTTTTATGTACTTTAGAGAAAAAAGAAAAGATTTTCTTGTCAGGAAACTTAAAACGCCAAACGTCCACACAACCTACTTGACTCATAAATGAAGATATAGCCTTAGCCATCTTGGAAATAGCTTTTTTCTTTGTACTTGATCGATCTAAGACTTGGTCCATGGTGCAATTTGTATCGCCTCCAAAAATCAAATGGTAAGAGTTCAAATCAGGCAGGAGGGAGATAATCTTGTTAATAAAAGCTTCATCATCCCAGTTTGGGGCATAAATGTTTACCAAGAGCACTGGGGTATTAAAGAGACAACCTGAAACCATAATGAAACGGCCACAAGGGTCGGAGATAATATCTTTTTTAATAAAATGAACATTTTTATGAATTAGAATGGCAGTACCCCGTGTCCTCGAATCAAAGCCTGAGTGGTAAATCTGGCCCACCCATTGTGCCTTCAATCTAGACTGATCCTTTATAGTCAAGTGGGTTTCCTGCAAAAAGGCGATCTCAGTTTTAAGGTGTTTGAGATGTGACAGGATACGTCCTCTCTTGACTGGCCCATTCATTCCCCCAACATTCCAACATGTGAACCTCAACGACTTCCCACCCCCTTGCATGTCAACATTAGTAGAATTCAGCATAGTCTTAGTCTAAGTCAGATAAAAAGGAACAAGGAGTAAAAAAAGAGGGGGGGGGGGAGGAGAAATAGGAAGAGGAGGGGAAAAAAGAAGAGAAAAGAAAGAAAAAAAAACACATACTTAATTGATAGAAATTTAAAGCTAAGGTGAGGCCCAGAGACTTCCCTCCCCCCTAGAACAAAATACACGGACAGTGACATAACCATACGTAGAACAGACAACACCAAACTAAACAAAACAAGATTTAAAAACCCTAACATTATCCCTATACCTAAGCCGATCCCGTTAAATAGGATTGGCTGCAGGACCCTAACTATTATGTCCTTCAGGCTGAACCCTCTTTCTAAGTGAGGGTCCCTGAACATAGGTTATCAAATGTACAATGTAAAGTAACAGACAAAAAATCCCAAAAGAGTGACTTATTTCAAGTCTGGCGCATACAATAAAGCACCATATAAATGCATGACGTATGCAGGATGTACGTGTGTGTGTACATCTCATCTCTATGAGCGCAACAGTCGTTCTGTACCTCGCAGTCCAGCGAGCCGCGCGCAGAGGACAGGCCGGCCCACGAGTCCGCAGCGAGGCGAGAGCGCGCACCGCACTCGTGTCTCCCTACGGGTCCGCGAGCCGACCATCATCCCAAGCGCACAGACCACTGCTCACCGAGGCACAGCTGAACCATATTATGTAAATCCCACATTTTATCTCAAGTACTAACTATGAATGGATGAACAGCAGGTCAAAGCCACCATATCAGAGGGAATATCCCTAATTCAATACCACCGAAGTGCCTCAGTTACGAGGCGATATGTAATGTGCATGATATGAAAACTTCAGTAGTGAAAGTTACAATAGCCTATTGCAATAGCATAAACGAAGGAATAGATTGACTAATAAGAAAAAGAGAAGAGGAAAAAATAAATAAAAAAGCAGTTTAACGCAGTGGAGTTTTAGAGAAACAGTAAATGAAATACAAAAATAGTAATCATAACTAACAACAATAAATACAATTTGCGTGTTCAGGATGGTGATTGGACCGTCTTCACAAGTCAGAATTACCGCTTTAAGATATACTAGAGGTTGGTGTGAATTCAGATAGAAATATTGCCTAAATATAAGTCTCTCATGCATTCTAAAAGCCAAGTTGGTCTTACCTCAGCACGTCAGTGCATGAGTCAAAGCAGGGTGAAGTAAACAGGTCCATAAGAGCGGAAGGGGGATAAGTGATAGGCTAATTTTGTCCAAGTTGAAGATCAACGGTGATACTAGTAGGGGCTTTAAGCCACAGTCACTCGGCCCCGGGTGAATCAGGTGTCTCGGGCAGCACGTTTATCCTCTGGTCATAAAAAGTCTTGGCCTCCTCGGGGGAGTGAAAAGTCACGGTTTCATCATGAAATGTTATCTGCAAGCGTGCGCCGCTTACTATACGGGTACGGATTCCCTTATCATACAGGGATTTCTTGATCGGATTGTAAGCAGCGCAACGTTTCGCCAAAGCCACCGTTGTGTGCGCGTAGAATCGCAGCTGGGTATCTCGGAACCAGCATTCATGTTTGCGGGACCATTTCGCCGCTCTCTCCTTCTCCTGCATGTAGTGGAAACAGACGACCATGGTTCTGGGTCTCACTCGGTTCTTCTGGTCCGTCTTTCCTCCTGAACGGTACACATAGTCCAGTGTTGGGGGAGTAGGGAAAACGTCTGTGCCCATAACTTCTTTTAGTAGCTCGGCCACAAACTTGGCTGGGTCGGAACCGGACTCACTTCCCTCGGGTATACCGACTATTCTCAGCATGGACTTGTTGGCATTGTTCTCCAAACTTTCCACCCGGTCCAGCAGCTCCTTGTTCTGTGTTTGGAGAAGCTCCACCTGGGTCTCGGCTAGCGCGAGTTTGGCGAAGTTGTCCCCGGCCAAGGTCTCTGTTTTAGTTAGCCGGCCATCGAAGGACTGTAGTTGTTGTCCCAGGGATTCCACCGAGGCTTTCAAAGAGTCGGCCGACTTCTTTATCAGGGTAGCCACGTCCAGTTTAAAGGTTTCACGCTGCTTGTCTAGTAGCGATTCCAGGTCGGACCTGGTAACTGGGTCGCCGTGATTGCATTGTTCTGTCCCAGGTGTGGACGCCGCGGGGGATATTTCGTCTTTGTTTCTTTGCCGATTTCCCCTCGAGCCGCTCATTTTGTGAATGGAGCAAGCTGTCCAAACGGTGAAGAGTGAGTTAAAAAGGTTGCTTAAACATAAAGCACTTTTGGGAAAAAAAGATAGCCTAGTTCAGGAGACCCGACGTGCGTGAGCTCCTCACAGCAGCATCACCGCAGATGTTAATTTTCTTGAGATTAAAACTGGATGGAAAATCTGGACATATCAGTACAAGACAGACATATTTCTGCTTGTTTCCCTGTTTCAGTAAAGGTGCAAACATCATAAAGTGGCAATGTGATAACACCTTCACTGATAACAACCTTCTGAGTGCTGGACTTTCTTCACACAAGATATGAGACTCCTCTGAAACAGCCACAGAGGAAACATGTTAAGAGCCTACGGATGGATACAGGAGGACTTGGCTTTGAAACTAGGAGCTTCTGGCAGGAGATTTCTGTATTTATGAGGGGGAAAACCAAAAGATCAAGAGTGTGATGAAATACAGAAGTACTTGGATGAAAGAGAAGAAGGAGGCAGAACACACAGGGGATCGAAAAAGAGTGCACAAACACACTACACTTCAGATGGATTCGCCTGTGGAGTGAGTCAGACCTCAGCGCTGTCAAAATCTACATGATAGTCCGATCCTTCTGCATCAAATTAGCACTGACTGCTGTAAGGGTTGAAGTAGATTAAACTCAAATTATTTCAAACGATCAGATTTTCATCATAAGTCATAGTAATAATGAATGAATGAATGACACACTCATTATGCTTTCCATCTGCTTTAATAACCCTTAACTCCTAATTTTGGCTTTAAGAGCATCATGTTATTCACCCTGCAGTGGTTTATCTGAGTCCATCTTAATATTGTCAATATTTATTAATTATCTCTGTATATATTTTAAATTTTGTGGACATCAAATTTGCTTTAGAGTTCTTTTTAAATTCAGTTTTTGAACTTCTCTGTTAGGAACACCAGCTCCTGGTTTTAGTGAATGTTTTATAAAAAGACTTTTGGACTTGGACTTTTGTTTTTATAGTTTTATCTGAGTCGCTCTGTCCTGCTTCTTTAGTTTTATTGTTTTTAATTGTCAAGAAACTTGCGAATCACTTTGAATATTCCCACTTTTGTAATACAATGATTCCTAATTGGTTTGTGGACATTTCTTAAAATCCTAAACAGTAACCCCTTTTCACCCAGAAAGACAAGACTACAGTGTGAAGTTGTTAAAATTGAATAGCACTGAATAGTAAGTGTGTGCTACATATACAGTATCTAATAAGGTCAAGTGATGTGAGGCTCCATCCCCGCCAGTACATGCTGGAACATAAAGCTCTTTTTAAAATGAATGGAGCTAAATATAGAGTTTAATTAGCCTGTATGATTTGCACACAATGACTTCATTTTTCAGGCTGGTAGAGCAGCTGAGCTGTTTGAGGTCACGGTGACCTTGGTGAACAGGTTAAACCGCCTGAGGAGCCACACGGAGGAATTTAAACAGCCTGTGCAGTTCCTGGATGGCATCCTGCTCAGGGTGAGGAATGTGGGCGAGTCATGTGGCACCGAGTAACTCCCTCCTCTGTTATCAGCTGAGGCCGGGAGCAAAGCAGAAACACAAGACTGTCCACGCCACTGCAGCAGCTCTACACGTTTATTCTGGTAATTCAAGTACACGTCTACAGCAGTGAGAGAATTCATGTACAGGAGGATTTTTTTATATGCATTATATGCATGAAAACAAAGCAATAAATATGCATGTTTATCTGCGAAAAAAAAAGAAAAGGAAAACAGTCTTCACGCTACAATACTTCGATTTTAATTCAGTGTTAATCTTCTCATGTGGTTACGACATCTGACTCCTAAATCTATTGTCACCTGAACACACCATTGTGTGTGGTCAGCCATGAATAGTGAGGCTGGGAGTGGAGAGCACAGTCATCATGGTGCTAACCTGTTCTTTATTTGCACAGGGTGTGAGTGTGGAGACCATAGACAGCTGCTGTTGACATCCACCACGGGACAGAGACGGATTATATAGAGCCAACATTTGACTTCTTGACGAGAGTTTGATGACAGGATTGATGGTCTCCTGAAGCCTCTGTACTTAACACTGAACTTTATCTTTACTGCATCTGACTGGACAAACGAGGACTAGGAAATCTGCTAAATTGCGCTAAAAGGACAGTTTTGTTACTCTGGATTATACGAGCTGTTAAGCTAAACTAAGCCAAACTGTCAATCCTCTCATCTTGCTCTCAGTCTTACAGTGTCTTTTAAAAAACACCTTTCCTGTTTACAGCAGCAAAGACTAGATAATTTGAGTCAATTGAACACAAAAACACCAGAGTCGGAGATACTCCAGCTTTAGCATAATGACGACTAAAGCTCTTCGTACAAACATGGTTGTATATTGAGGGGGAAACATCACTTTAGATGATTTATAGCTCAAACACGACTTTATCAGGTATAACCAGTTAATGTTAGTTAATATTAGCTTTAAGCAAACGTTGACAGGTGCTGAAGCTGCCATTCACTGAGTCTGTTTGCCGGCTTTTAAACTCATGACTTATTTACTTGGGTTATTGAGACACTACTATTACAATCTGTAGAATACCACAGGAACGATAACAGTGTGGCTACAGTGGTTATAATTCAGCAGGAGTTCAGTCCACGCTTAAAATATTAGGGGAAAAGACCCGGAGTTGTTTGATTTACAAGGTAAAGAGGGTTAACTTTTACCAGCAGTGCATGTGTTCGGTTTATTCAACAGTGATGGTTATAGAAAAGCTCCTGGATTGGATCGGGGATCTTTGATGTTTCTGTATCTGTGAGCGAGCCACACTCCGAGGATCTGAAAGGAGAGAAAAACATCAGCTTTCCTGCGGCTCATGACAAATTCACCTCTCTACTGTTTAGATTCTGTTGCTGAGGCTTTTAACTGACCTCTGTAAAACTGAAGAAGAGTCCGATACCCCCGACGAACCGCAGCACCTCTCCTGCGTACTGCTGGATGATGCTTGCGCATGTGTCACAAGTCAGTGGAAGGCTGTGGCTGAAGCATCTCTGCAGAGAGGAAGTGAAAAGAGAAGAGATGAAGTGACAGACGACAGAGATCACAACAGAAGAGGAAATATTTCAGCTGGTTCACTCACAGCCTCACACGTGCCGTTGGGGTTGAAGGAAGAATAACCACAACAGTTGAGGGTTTTCTCCACGTCTCTTTGAGTGTCCTCGGATTTGTTCCACCCAATCTCCAGTAGGTCGTTCTGCGAGCATTAAAACACATGAGAAGAAGCTGCAGAGGTTACTAGAAGTTAATCACACTGAGTTCAAACTCTTCTACTGTGCTGTTCAGCTGAGTTTCAGATTGAAAGTCTCAAAAACTGTTTTCAGCTTTGAGTTTTCAACCATGAGCATTGTGCTCCTCAAAATAGCAGCTTTTTAAAAAGGCAGGAATCCGTTAAAGAAGCATCTTTTTTGTGGTTTTTATACAAAAAAGCTTTTGATATCAGTCAATAGCTATTAGTTATTGATTTCATTTGGAATATAACGATATCTCTGTGTTCTCTTATGTCTGTCTAGTCAACATTTTACATTTTTTGAGTGGCCCGCTCTTTCTGACTGTAAACAAAGCCATTCTCAGCCTCCCCCAACTTGATTGGTTATGAGTCAGACGCTGCTCCCCCGTGTCTTTCAGGAGCCCAAACGAAGTTAGCGTGCTACAATAACGGACAATAGAAAGCAACCACAAAGTACAGAAAATTGTCTGAATCTTCCTTTAGCCACAACTGCCGACACAAGCAAGAAAATGAAGTAAATACCGGAGACTCTGGCGGAATAACGGGCGATTAAAAAGGAGGTAGACCGGACAAGAGCTAAAAAGCTGGGTCAACATCAGCATAAATGATGGGGGACGCTTCGAGATCTTACAGACCCTGTAACCTTTCTGCTGGACAGGTAAACCGCTTTAACAAAGTAAGACAAGTGTCTGTAACAGAAGTGTTTCTTGTCAAACAGGACCTGCTGTAGCGTGTTGTAGCGCCGCTAAACTGTTGACCTCGGGTCCTGGACTATGTCACTTTATCCTAGTTGTAGAAGTCCTGCAAACATTGTGTTTGCTGGTAGTCTGTTGGCATCTACAGCAGCACCAATGCTGTTTACTTTCACGTTGACTGGGCTCCATTTGTAATCTTCTGAAGTATTTATTTGCGTTATATCTGAATTTAATTGAAACAATACGAGCGAGCAGGAGCGTCTATTTGTGGGCGGGGCTTGATGGAGCAGAAAGGGAGGGGAGAGGAGGAGCTGAGGGGAAAACTGGTTGGGAGGAGTAGAGTTTACATTCAAGATTTCTCCCAAAAACTGGCACTTCCTCAGATCCTGCCTACCCCACCTTTAAATGTGGTCAACAGTTAAAATCCCAAAGTAAATGTCAGAGTAATGGTGCTTATCTGAGGAAAGCTTTAGCTCATAAGCACAAATATTTGTGTTCCTAAAATGTTTAGTACTTCAGCAGAGACAAAATAAACGTACCTGTTGATCTTTGTTCAGGGACAGACATGCACAGGACACAGAAAACTGCACGACAAAAACCATGAACAGGATCATCATGTACTGGACCGAGTTGAGGAAGTTTTGGCTGAATGAAAATCATCAAATAAAATACTTTGCACATTTATTTCAAAAGACAGATAAGCAGGAGTGGTTGTGTGTCAAAATTTAGGAAAGAAAATATCGCCAATTCATGTATTTTTTGCAAGTTTGTCAGTGTGCAGGAGTTTGCTTGGATTAAATATCATGAAATATCCGTACTTTGCATCAGTTCAGAGCTTTAAACAGAAGACTACAGAGAGGAAGAGCTCAACAGAGGAGTTCCAGGAGGTTCTTGATATTTACTTTTCATTGTACTCTTGGCACACAGCAGCTTTTGGAGGTGTTAGGTGATTCTCCATGTTCCTGCAAACAAACGTCACAGAGAGACTTTAAAGGATACAAAGAAGAGCAGGACCTGGTGGTGCTTCACAGCGCCACACAGACCCACAAAAGCCACCAGAAAGAGGAAGATGCCCACTCCGATGACCCCCGCCACGACCCTGATGCTGGAGACCAGGCCGAACCATTTCCCCCAGGCTGCCACTCCAACCAGCAGCAGACTCACCATCTGAAGAGGAAGTGAAAAAATGTTGGCATGAGAGGAGGAAGTACAATCAATGTTATCTTTCTGAGGAAGTGTGCACACGTCAGGGAGGCCAGAAGCTCTGATCCAGCCGCATGATGGAGTGTGTTTTTCTTTTAATCTTTTGTTTCAGTTTCTTTGTACGAGCATATTGTGCAGAAACAAAACTATGTTCACGTTAAAAACAAAACTCTTCCCCTTCTTCAGCACATGGCCTCTGATTACAAACCCTTTTACTGCGTCACCTGGAAGCCACTTCGATGTTGTCTCTCCACATAGTAGTTTGTTTAAAAGGACATTTTTCTGGCTCTGACACAGTCTCCAGGGTGAATTCACCTTTACATGCCTGCCTGTCACCAAACATTTACAGAGAGCTGAAACAATACACTCGGGTTGTTTGGCTCGACTGAAAAAACCTGAAGGGAACTGTAGTACAACTCTGCTGTTTATTTATCATGTAGAAAATTAGACTTAGTAAAAAAAAGGAAATCAGTGAGAAATTTTAGGAAGTTAAGACAGAAAGAGTCATTTGTCCGTGTGCGTAAGACACCCTGGTCAAAACAAAGTCTGGACACCCCCCTGCTTACACCATCAGTTCAAACCCTGAGGACATGACTTGTAGCCTACAATAAATTTCCCCTGGTGTGGGATTATCTAGTTAAAAGTGAATTTTTAAAGTTATCTAACTAATCAAATCTATGTGGCAGTTACTTAAATCCGTGTTGGCTGAACTGTAACACGTTAAATTTGTCTCTGTGGTTTTTAATTTCCTTGAGGGAACCTTCCTAAAAAGAAAAAATAATGTTACGTGTAATCTGATTTAATCTAATCTAATCGCAGTGACAGGACTGTGAAGGCCCTGAGGGTTATTACAACATATACTGTGTGTTTATATGAGTAATGCTGCGTTCACGGACTGTTCGGATGTTCCAATGCTCTAGAAATGTGTTGGTTTTTTTCGTGTCATAGTAAGTTTTGTAATTTTCTTGCCCGTTTGTAAAAACGATATGGACTTTGTGAAGATAATATATCAGATATTTATATTTAAAGCGTTTGAGCAGCATGTTATTTAGCAAAAATGTCTCCGAGTTGCTAGTAGCCTAAACTTCTACCTTTTATCTAACTCTTAACAAACGAGATAAAAAAGTTGACTTTACTCGATTTGCTCTCGGGGTAAATTAGATATTTGTTTGCGAGTTTATGAGAGGAACAGTTATTATCTACATTACAACCTCCGTGAAAACCTACCTATAAGGAAAATAGCCTTTTTAACAGCCTCAGTTTAGGCTTAATTGCTCACAATCAACCGGACATTAAATTTGGTCCGCCATGTTGTTGCGTTTACACGACGTCTACTTATCAAGTCACGAAATAAACATTTTCTCTGACGTTCACTTGTATTTTTGTTAACACGACAGACCATTTAGTGAAAATTCCCCACTAGGAAACTATTTAGTCCGATAATTCTCGAACCCCCTGAATGCGGAGAAGAAAACACGAGTTTCCTAAGAAAAGGAAACGAGCTGACCGAGAATATGTTTCATCATTTCTCTTTTTTAAACTTCACGTAAAATAATTTTCTGCGACTCAGAAATGACAAAAGCGTGAAAACTGTGCCCTTTGTACGACCCTTTCGTAAACACCTGTCCAATGTCCATCGCTGTAGAGCAATTAATAGCCAACTTACAACATAGAGGATATTGAGAGCGCAGAGAGCATTCTTGGTGCAAACAAATCCACCGCAAACCATCGCTGCTCACCGGCACACTTTCCTCTAAAACAGTAGTATTTAACTCCAGCTGTCTCGGTGAGGTTGAGTTAGTGTTCCGGACTGATCCGTGTGTCTCCTGGACTGCAGGTGGAGGAACAGGAGAGAACAGACGCTGCTCTCTGATTGGTCGGTTAGGCCACCTCTGATAAACAGTCAGGCCTCTGTTTCCAATGCAAATAGCTGCTGCTGCTGCATTGTATGACTGAAATAAGATCAGATCAGGTCACAGCAGGTTTAATGTGGAGTTCACGTCTTTATTCAAGGGTTTAACATGTACAATAATCGAGTTTCAGTTCAGGTTTGAATCAAAATCAGTAGACAGATAGGGGAGAGTGGGGTAAGTTGAGCCAACCTCTGTTGCTTGGAAATGGTGACAGAAATTGATCATGTGACCAAATATTTAAGAGATGGACATCAATTCATGGAGTCTGTGAAGGTTAGAAGCACGTGGGTGAAGGGGTTAGACATTTATTTAAAAAAAACCCCAAAAAAACCATTTTCACTCTTGAAAGTGGATTTACCCACTGAGCATTTTTGGTGTAAAAGAGGTCAAATAGACGTCTAAATGTAGCCTAGACGACTGGTCTAAAATAAGGCTACCACAGGTCTAAAAATGAACGTTTTCAGACGTCTACATTTAGATCAAGTCTAAATCTGGGCTATATCTGTTCTACACTGTATATAGCTCAACGGCTATCATCACTTGTAGATCAGTCATGCAACTCACATTTGCTTTTTGAAATAAATACCCACTGAGCAACAGACGGCTATTAGACGTCTAGTTATTTTTTAGACCTAATTTCGCCCGTCTAGATTCTGTATCTCTGTAGATGGAATTTAGACGTCGCACTTTAACCCATTTTTCGATAAGTATTTATTTCAAAAAGCAACTTTGAGTTGTATAACTGATCTCCAAGTACTAAACCAAAATAATTATGATAGCCGTTGAGCAATATACAGATAGACCTCTGTTAGCTTGCTAGTCTAAACTTGGTCTAAATGTAGACGTCTGAAAACTCTCATTTTAACACCTGTGGTAGCCTGATTTTAGACCAGTCATCTAGGCTACATTTAGACGTCTATTAGACCTCTTTTAGACCAAAAAATGCTCAGTGGGTAGTTATCGAAAAATGGGTGAAAGTGCAACGTCTAAATTCTGTCAAAAAATTTACAGAATCTAGACGTTTGAAATTAGGTCTAAAGAAAAACTAGATGTCCAAGAGCCATCTATTGTTCAGTGGGTAGTCTGTCGTAAGTTTGATTAGAATTGTGTTTAGACCAAAAAGATCATTTTAAATGTGTTTTATACATCAATTGTGGTATCTATGGGCTACAACATGAGGTCAAAAACCTAGAATAAAAGTCCACCATTTTAGATTAGAGGATAATAAAGTCAGAATAGTAGGTCTGGGGTAACTGAGAAAGTAAAGGAGTCTGATGAGAGGATCAGAGTTTACGTTCAGATTGTTGAAATGTTTGACTTTTACAGCTGTGAATGTTCTGAATCACTTAAAGACATTCTCATGTTAAAAAGACTTTTTACAAAACAGCTTTTTATCATTTATATACAATAATAATAAAAAGAATTATTGTACCAGTTGAATAGCGTATAATAGATAAAAATACACATGAATGTGAGGGTAAGTTGACCATAGGAGACCACTTTTTTTAGCATGCCATATTATCAAGACAGTTCTGTTTACACTCATTCTGTTGGTTTGCAGGGATGAACAACATCCTGAAATATCTGCAGATACACGAGTTAGAGACAAAACTATGATTGTCTTGATGTAGTGATCAGAAATATGAAAAATGGCTCATCTTACCCCACTCTCCCTGACTATCCTTTGAGATAAGATGTGGGTTCATGCATCAGTTGTATTCATTTAGACAAATTCATTTACATCAGGGTATAACAGTGACTTAAAACCCTTAAACTTTATGTTTTTGTCTTTTTTTTTATTAACACATGAAATAAAAGGATCTGTCATGGTTGGCTCTTTGCACAATGTATGCATTTCTTCCTGTTCACCATGACCATGTCAAAATATTTTACAGTTCTCCCGCCTTAAAAAAAAAAAACACACTCCTCAGTCTTATAACATGTCACCAAAAAGAAGAAGTGAAGCTCATGTTATTACTCACAGTTGTCTCCCCAGTCTGTGACAAGCTCAGGACCAAGCCGCACTCACCACCACCACCACCCAGAGACCACCCTTTAATGCGTCCACACCGGTGGTTTGATTTCCTCTTCTTGTCTGTTGGATAAACAAATCTATAATAAATGGAGGAACAGCTGTACTATGCTACAGTAGCTTTCAAGGCTAAAAATGGAGTTTCTTCTTTTGGTGAGTCATGCTCTTCCTTTTCATTTATTTTCAGAGTGGAGAGTCAGTTTTTACCAATTTGTTCTGAAGTGTGCACACAGCCGGCTGAACCGTACCCAGAACATGGATTTAACCTTTTTATGAGTCCATTTAAACGACAGCAGCACCTGAAAAAGACCTCCTTTGTTGTTACTTTTTTAGTCTGTTGGCTTTTTCGTCTTATTCAATCAGTCCAGTAACACCGCTGAAGCCCATATCATGATGTGGTTTGTGGTTGCTTCATGTCTGTTTTCTTTAATTTGGTCGATGTCTCATTCAGCTCATTGCTCTTCTTTTACTTCAGTTGAATTTGACTTGTAAAAACATATCTTGGCTTTCTTATTTTAATCCAAAGAATGAAGATACTTGCTCTAACACTGTGCTTCAGCAGTGGCTATTCCAGAGTCTATTGGGGATTCGGGCAAAAATTTGCAAGGGCTGCACATGGTGCACACTCAACCCTGTCAGAGCAAGCAGAGCAAGATACTCAGCGTGTTTACATGTAATTTAGAGTCCAACGAAAACTGGACTTGAAAAAACAGTCTCACAAACACAGCAGATTAACACGGTTTGGAAACAGTTTTCTCTTAAAGACTGAAACTGTCCTGAGAGTCTGCATGTTCAGCTTTGAGCCAGAAGTAGAATGACGTGGAAGCGTTACAAGGAAGCCAGGTAGCAAACAAAACCTCAACAGATGAGAGAAAGGCGTAAAAAAGACAAAACCTTTTTAATCATACAAACTGATGATACAGCCTGTCAGTTAGTTCAGTTAATAACAGGCTGAAAGGAGGCGTGTCGCCACCTACTGTAAAAGGGGGGGATTGGCCTCTGTCAGTTTGGCTTATTGAGCTATAACCTTAGCCTGACTGACCCTAGGCTGCTCTAAGTTAAGCTAAGTTTATGTATTTACGGGTCTAACCCACATGTGGAAGACTGGCAGCATACATAATATTTGGTCATTATCTACTTTCACCGTTACAGTCGACTACTGCTTCTTCTTTACGTTTCCTCTTTCCCCCCTTTCTTTCACACTCTACATGATTTCTGCACATTTCTCATTGAAGGATTTTCACACAGGTGTAAGACAGGTATGCTGCTGTCAAGTGAAGTGAGAGTGAGTGTTGTCAAACTTTGCACTTTTGGGTCACAGCTGTGGTTAATTTCAGCTGTCAGGGGGGACCCTCACTCGCCCAAACCAACTTCTCTGAAAGCTTTTATTTGTGTCTAAAGTTTTTTTTCCAGCTCATGGTCTTGCATTTTAAAAAAAATTATCAATGTTGTGTGACTTTTGTGGCTAAACTGTTCAAGCACTGCAATATCTTTGGAGTAGTATTTTCTTATATATAAAAAAATAAAGCGCTTTACTTGCCCTGGTAAGTGGCATATATAAGTATTTGGTGCATCACACTTCTTTCAAGTTTCCTTATCATTTGACTTTTTTGTCTTACTTCTGCAGGCGTGCATCATTTAAAACTATGTGCCTAATTAGTGAAATACTTTTTCCATTGCGAGTATTGTACTTGTATTGAAGTAAAAGTAAAAACTAAAACATACGGTGAATCATCGTTCCAATATTACGGTCCACATCTTTGGAACAGCGTACCTGCAGACCTGAGAGCGACACCTACTGTTCATATTTTTAAAAGTAAACTAAAGATCGACCTTTTTAGTCTGGCTTTTAGCTACATTTTGTTTTAACCTTTAATCTGCATTATGTGATTTTACACTATTTTAGTCCAAGAGTAATTCTTTTGTGTTTTATTACCTCTTTTTTTAAAATTTACTCTCTTTTATTGTTTGATTTGAGGACTTTTATTTAATTAGCTTTTAATGCTTTATCACCTTTATTATATTTTATCATGGTTTTATCGTTTTAGTCCAAGATCCAGTGTTTCCTCAGCCTTCTGTGGCATAAAGAGTCCTGGGGCTCTATTTTCGTTCGCGCCGGTGAGGCGGCGGAGGGCGGCGAGCCCCGCGCAGTTGTATTTTCGTCTGGCGGAGCCCAGCGTAAGGCCAATTTGGTATTTTCGTGGCATGAGCCGCACGGAGGCGAGCCGAGATCCGCCAAGCTGGGCGTGGTGGTGTGGCAGGGGGAGGTGTCGACAGAATCAGCTGGCGCAGTGACATTTTCGTGCTCGCCAACGGCGTGTAAAGTGCGCTGAAAGCTCGCCGATTCAAACCTGGTCAGCTTTCAGCGCAAGGCGGAACGCAGCTGGTCTAGTAGTATTTTGGTAGACCGGCGGCGTATCGACATACGTCACTGATGCCTCACCGGCAGGTTTCCACAGTGTCAGGCACATTTCAGTGCAATAAATAATCATCATCAACTATTAATCTGAGTCAGCACATACATTTAGATCTATACAGATATATTCTGATCTATATCTGATCTGATGAGCGCGTTTGGCACGCGTTTGGACACACAACCTGACCGAATCAACACAGCTGAAACCGCATAAAATTAAATTAAATATCTAGTAAATAAACACACATGATGAAGTTAACTAGATATGTAATTCGTCTCCCTCTTTTTCTTTCTTCCTCTTCCTCTTATTTCTCGCACAGCTCGACCTGGACACGTCTCCGTGTCCTCTGTCCGTCTTGCTGCTGCTGCAGCTGAACAGATGATTTGTTTCAGTGCTCAGATGCGTTATCTACTTTAAGCCGACATACAGATATTATAATATTCAGTTTTGTGAGCCAAATTTATTTTATATGCCAACATCTATGAAAGAAAGAGCCAGGCCACGGAGCGCGATGCGTCATTTACGCACAGATGGTTCCGATTTTAATGCCATTTTTGGAGTTTATGTTGTGATCTGTGCGCTCAACCCACCTTTGTTACGTGAGGTTTGAATATGAGCAACTTTATGTGAGTGTCTTTATTTGTGGAAAAGGGTGTTTGTCTTACCAGTGGGTCCAACATTACGCACACTAAATCCATCTGTGCTCATATGAGAGAGTGTGGAGGACACTTGTTGAGCAGCTGCCCTCTGTCGCCATCTTGTGGCATTACTGTCTTAAGACATCTCTTGATCTCTTTGACTACTTCATGAAAATAGTAATACGCCTCGCCTGTGGCGGATTTAAAGGCAAGGAGAGGAGCCTATGTGATTGGTGAAAACAGGTCTCGGCTGTGTTAAACCGACTTCACGCCCTTTCTCCTCCCCGTTACGACTTACGGTGCTGGGAGGAGCTGAGTTAGGGAGGGGGGATACTTACGCCGGGCTGCGCGGCTCACCAAAATACCAAAATGTGCTTGGGAACGCCTTGTCAGCGCAGCGGATCTGACTGACGCTGCGCTTGCGGCACGTCTCCGGCGAGGCACCAAAATAGAGCCCCTGGTCTTTTGTGTATGCATCTATATGTGTGAGTGTGTGAGTGCTGTATGTGTTGAACGGGGGTTGGATGGGGTTTGGTATTTGTATTTATTTTATTTCATTGTTTTTTTTAAATATATTCTGTGCAAATGGACAGCACTTTGTGTAACACTCCATGTATGAAAAGTGCTTTAAAAATAAAGTTTGATTGATTGATTGATTGATTGAAGAAACGGACTTTAGGTCTTGCAGTCATAACTCCTGAAATGATGTTTTCTAATAATACCAGTTGTAGACTTGGCGATGCATGACAGGAAGGGGCTTCTGAAAGTGATAAAATGTGCGTTTCCGTTTTGATTTTGCAGATAGCTCAAATGAGGTGGAAACGATATACGAAGAAGTGAAAACTGATGTGCTGACAGCTCCTGCCATGCCTGGTAACCAGTTTTCACCATGATAAAAACATAAATGAGATAATTGTTGTCATAAAGTGAATGTAATGAATTTTTTTTCTATTTTTGGTAGAAAAGGAAAAGAAAGCTCCTCTTTGCACTCCACTTCATCTGCTGGCAGCATGTTTGGGGATCATCTGCATCATCTTGGTGTCGTTAATCATCACCCTCCACTTCCAGTGTACGTCTGTTTGGATGACTTTAGATGTTATGTGACACAACAAGTGAGTGCAGCAGTAATGATTTAATCCCGGTTTCAGTCCACACAGCCATGACGGAGCAGCTCAGAGAAAACAGCAACCTAACAGCTCAGACCGTGCAGCTGATGTCAGAGAGAGACGACATGCAGAGACAAACACGAGAGCTGACCAGAGAGATGGACGGACTAAACTGGACTTTGGGGGTCATAATGAAATACAAGAGCTTCCCAGTGGATACCTTCTGCCCACAGAAAGGTGAGAAGATGGTGGCTATAATCTATAACCTACTTTTGAGCCAAAGAACTGTGAAGCACTTTAGTTTACTGTCCTGTGAAAAGTATCACCTGCAAGAGTTTACAAAGATTTCTATGGTGGCCTTCAAGGTCAAATGTGCAAACAATCCAACAATCACGATTGAGATTTTGTTGTCTTGTTCTACAGTGTGTAAACCTTGTCGGGACGACTGGGTGCTATTTCAGTCAAGCTGTTATCTGTTTACAAAATTGGTGCATTCATCCGACTGGAAGAGGTGGGCTGAAAGTCGTGAAGAGTGTCAAAAATTGAACGCAGACCTGGTGGTGATTGAGAGTGAAGAAGAACAGGTACATCTGGATTCATTTGGCTGAATTTGTGTTTTTGTGCCTCTTCATTAATGTTCCCACACATGAAGATTAAAAGCGTGTTGTCAGACACAACAACTATTTTCAAGCTTAAAGATTTTTCTGTCTTCAGTGTTTTTTTCTTCCATCTTTAACTTTAATTATCATTTTAGATTCAGTGTAGAAACACCTTCTTTATTTGTCTTGCTTAGAAATTCATCAATGGCCACACAGAAAAATATAACGATGACAATCATGGCTACTGGATTGGCTTAAGCAAAAATGCTGGCACAAAGACATGGAGGTGGTTTGACGGACGCAACCTGACTGCAGAGTAAGTACAAAAAAAGAAGTTTTCAGATGTCACAAACTGTATGACTCCATCACATCGTCGATCATGATGTGAAACGTCTCACATCTTACAAACCAGAGCATCATTTAGTCGACTGGTGAGCAGTTTTTTCTCCATGATGTAGAGAAATCTGGTGGAAGTGAAATTCTCCCAGTGTCATTATTCGACAGATGGTCGTTTGAGTAAAAAAGCAGATGGCAAACTGACTTCAAACATGTCCCGCTGAGTAAAAACCTTTCCAAAAGAAGCAAAGAGGGCTGAAACCAAGATTAAAATGTTGGTCCAGAATCTCCAGAGCGGCCTTGCACAAACTCAAAGAGTGTCATGGCCTGTGCTGGAATGAAATAGCATGTTTCTTTTTCATTTAAATGTCATAAAATGTAAAACAAATCTGAGTAAAAGACGACCAAGGAGGTCAAAGAAACACTCGTTCAACTTTTTGTTGACGGCTGACTTGACTGACAGGCAGGCACACCGTGGCTATTTGAGAGGAGACTCCAGGCCCACCTCTGGTAACCTGACTGCTTCTAATACCAACTAGAAAAGCACTCAGAGAGCGCAGACCTCCGCCAAGCAGCTCATGTCCCCCCTTATATTGTGATTCACACCAAAACTTTTACTGTTACGTGTCTTTTATTAACGTTTATTTGTGTTTAAACTGGTATGTTCACTGTTCATAATGTTCCTAAAACAAGAAATGCCCTGACCAGGATTCAAACCCAGGACCTTCTTGCTGTGAGGCAACAGTGCTAACCACTACACCACTGTGCCGCCCATTGGTTATCTTTCAGCATTGAAAATTCCAACGACACCCTTATTTTTGTGTGTTCTGGATCACAGTATCCAGAATTTTGTCTGGATCAGGATCAACCTTTGACACCTCATAAAACTCATTGAGATGCATTTGTGTCATTTTTTACTAAAGACTCTGGACATTTTTATAGAGTTAAATGCAAAAATTCAAAAATTTGCCCTATCTCACAATGATAAAGAATCCTTCAAAAAATTCCTGGATCCAGAAGGCGATCCGGATCACCACCAAAATGTAATGGGATCGTCCTGGGGCTGAGACGCACCTCTGGTGAAAATTTCAGGTCAATCCATCTGTAACTTTCTCTGTAAAGTTGTTCACAAACAAACAAACAATCAAACAAACAAACAAACAAACCAACGCTACCGAAAACATAACCTCCTTGGTGAAGGTAATTATATACAGCCTGCAAACTCAGTGGTATTAAGACATTAACCAAGTATCAATTTGGGGTTTAATGGGGAAATCTATGGAGTATGTCTTGACCGTGAAAACTCAAAACAAGAAGAACTTGATGTGACGTTGTTTAGCATTAAACTACATGAAATAGCTGAAATACTCTCAGACAAAGCAAACAGAGCTTCCCTGCTATCCCAACAGTATAGCATTAATCTGACAGTCCTCCTCTCAGTAAGAATACACAAAATGAAAAAGCAGACACTCATCTTAATAAACGTTTTTGTTTTTCTCCACCAGGTATTGGAGGAAAGAACAATCTAGCAGCTCGTACGAATGTGCTGTAACTTCACCACATGGAGTTCCTCCGGCGAACTGGAAGAAAGCCAGCTGCTACATGATGAACCGCCACATCTGTGAAACCAGAGCCTTAACTAAACAAGAGGAAGAACCATCAGATTTCACATAGTCATCTAACCTCACTTTGTCCATCATCTATTTAAGTGTTTGTGTCAGTCTGGATTTGAGAGTCCCTTCATCCAGTTTGGGTCTGCAGAAAGAGGACCCAGACAGATGGAGGCTTTACTCCTGTTTAAGCTACATTTGTTAAACAGTCCACCTCTGTTATGGTGAATGAATGAACCTTTTTTGTAAGTAAATGATTCATTTTAAACATCCAGTTTTTGTCGGCAGCTGAATCAGACGAGCTCAAGTCTGTGAGCTACAGATGGTTGTTAAAGTGAACTTTATGGCAGCATGGTCCTTTAAAAGCATGATAACAGATGGTGCACACACACAACAGCCAAGGCACCGCAAAGTCACTGTCCACTTTTGCTGCTTTGTTTTTGCATTGAAGCGAAGAGTTTCTTTAATGAAGCAAATGTTGCAGAAGGTTAATTTACAATAAAGTCCAGCCCTTTTTTTTGCTTTAAATGCATGATTTTTACAGAATAACAGGGGAAAGATGATTAACTAGAAAAGCACTCGGAGAGCGCAGACCTCCGCCAAACAGCTCATGTCCCCCCTTATATTGTGATTCACACCAAAACTTTTACTGTTACGTGTCTTTTATTAACTTTTATTTGTGGTATGTTCACTGTTCATAATGTTCCTAAAACAAGAAATTCCCTGACCAGGATTCAAACCCAGGACCTTCTGGTTGTGAGGCGACAATGCTAACCACTACACCACTGTGCCGCCCATAGGTTATCTTTCAGCATTGAAAATTCCAACGACACCTTTATTTTTGTGTGTTCTGGATCACAGTATCCAGAATTTTGTCCGGATCACCACCAAAATGTAATGGGAACCTCCTGGGGCTGAGACGCACCTCTGGTGAAAATTTCAGGTCAATCCGTCAGTAACTTTCTCCGTAAAGTTGCTAACAGACAAACAAACTCACAAACAAACAAACAAACCAACGCGGAGGTAAAAAGTAGTGTAGCCAGCTGTATGCACAAAGCACTTGTGGACACCTGATAGCAGAAGACCCATAAACGCGGGTGTTATATCCTTATGCATGTATTAAAAATTATGCACAAAGCTTCACAAACAAAATAGAGACCTTCTTAGTGAACTTGAGCTGAAAAACAACAACGATGTTGACAAAAGACACATATTTTTTTGCACTCTTTATAGAATAAAAGTATAAAATGACCGTGATTCTCTGTTGTTCTCAAAGTTTGACTATCTCTGCACGTCTAATTCCCCCCGTCATAAACACACAGGCTTTTCGATTGATATCTGTTACTGTCATTACAGCTGGGTGTATTTTTGTCTGCAGCAAAAGCAGACAAACTTCTGTGAAGTGCTGAATGACTAATAACCAAAGAGCCACATCAGGCTTTCAGCATTTTTTTGTTTGAGGTCTTAAAAAAAATTATGCTAATATATTGCATGAAGCATGAAAGAGGAACTTCATAGAGCTGCTGTTCAGTCACACCTCTCAGGCCAAATGAATGTTTCTGTTTAAACTGAGGAAACAGCTGCAGTAAATGACTGCTGAAGATGGAGGAAGAGATTCATCATTCCGCGGTGGTTTTTAAAAACAGGGGCCCAGCTGAGAGAGGTAAGTGACTTTGATGGTTTTTATGCAAATAAGTTCCATTGGAGATCAAATATATGTAACTTTAGGCTCTTCAACATCTGTACAAGGTTCTTCATTTGTGAGATTCCAATCGTAAAACTTATTTTGATAGAAACAATTGACTGGCAACACTTTTTTTATAAGTCACAGTTTCCTACAGCGTTTCTTTTTGTCTATAAATAAGTGGAGTCACAACTTTAACAAAGACTGTGCTTGAGCTTCAAAAACTGAAAGGTTTATTCAACTGAAATACACACTCATGTTTGAAGACAACAAAATGATCCAAATTAATCTCAGAAAAGATTGTATTTCTTGTAATCTTAGTTTGTGTGAGACTTTCTCCTTTATAAATATTTCTTCGACAGTGCACACTCACTGCTCCCCAGTTGGTGGTTTTACTTTATACCAATCCAGTATTACCTTTTACTTGCTGATAAAAGTATTTTAAAAGATACTTGTCTTCTTTTTATACTATATCGTGTTTTATATTTTATGTTATATCGATATTCTGTTATTTTTGGACGGACGGATGGATGGATGGATGGGTGGGTGGATGGATCATAAGAACTCACTTGTTTTTCCCCTCCTGTTCTTCCAGAGAGAGAAGAAAAAGGAAAAGGAGCTGCAGCTGCCTCACCAAGTAAGTCAGCACATCTGCTGAAGTATTATGGAGCCAACAGCTGCTACAATTTAGTTTGAAAGTCAGAATAAATTCATAATCATTACTGAGGGTTTTTTTATTAATTCATTTGAGTGATACATGTTGAGGGAAATGAGTGCAGTATAATGTAGGAACGTGTATAATGACCGTAGAGTTGCTCAGGGATTCGTTTGAAATGAGTGATCATTTTAAATCACAACACTGTTTTCTTAAAGAATGATAATTACTGACTTGATCTCAACTCTGATTATGATTAATTTATAATCTCACTTATTTTAGGTGCCCGCCCTCACTTCTGTGTGTTGTCCGTGTGTTTGGGGGTAGTGTGTGTCCTCCTGGTGTCGAGTGTCGGTGCCATCATACACAGTGAGTTTCACTTTACATCTCCACTAGTTTTCCTGAATTATTAGAGGAGCTTATGTTAGATTCTCTCCCTTTAGTCAGTGCAGTAATGAACGAACAGAAAGCAAACCTTCAGGACCTCAGAGCAGAAATCCAGCAGCTGATCACAGAGAGAAGCATCTGTGAGAGAGAGACCGAGCAGCTGAGCAGAGTCGCAGGGAATTACAACAGGACGCTGGAAGTTATCATGGAGTTTGACACTTTCCCAGTGAAGGAATTCTGCCCAGAAAAGAGTAGGAGCTTCTTACTTTACAGTACATTTACACCAAGTACGATATGATAGCAAAGCTGAAGGTGATGCCACTTACCTCCTATTAAAATTTTCTGTTTTGTTTCAATGCAGAGTGTCAGCCGTGTCAGAGAGGCTGGGTTCAGTTTCAGGGAAAGTGCTACCTGTTTTACGAAAAAAACTATCCATGGCTGACTTGGCAAGACAGCCGGACGTACTGCCAAGATGAAGCTGGAGATCTGGTGGTTGTGAACAATCCACAGGAGCAGGTGAGCGAACACATAAAACTGGAGGTGAGAGGAAGAGTTAAAGTTGCGTATGATGTCTGAGAACCCAAGTAATAAGAGTTTGAATCATAATCGAGCCAACAGTTAAATATTTAAGAGGTTAGCAGCATCCTTACCTCGAACTGTGCATGCTTTAACTTTAAAGGAATTCATCAGCCGGCACATCCATTACTACCACGATACCTACCATGGATACTGGCTGGGGTTACAAAAATCTGATACCAATAGGTGGCAGTGGGTGGATGGACACTATGACACTCTTGGGTAAGAACTCCTTTAAAATAAATATTAAGAAAACTGTAAATCAGTCGAAGACGAGAGGAAAACAGCTAACGTTTGTTTGACGATAGTTTATAGTGTTACAAGGTAAAAAAATAGTTTTCAGTCAATAGAGAAGTATTAAACTTGTCAACAGAATTTAAATGGGCTTAAAACCAGAATACAGAATTAAGATTTTAACTGTAAATCACAGCCCAAGAGCTTTTTATCCTTACCTGCTGCCATTTCAAAGGTACTGATATTTGCATTGTATGTTCAAAGGTACTGGACGGAAAAAGGTTCTCAGGGTCCATGCGGGCTGATGATTCCTAATAAGAGTCTTACAGCAAGCTGGTATCCTGCAAAATGCTACTTTTGGAACAAATTCATCTGTGAAAGTGAAGCTCTGATTTGGTCTCACGTGTAAAACTTTGTGTCATTTCTTCAGAGTATTCCTTGCTTTGTTTGTAGCACATTTTCACAACATATAAGTTATGAATTTGACCCCCAAAGCAGTTTGAAGATTCATTATTATGTCTGTGTTATCAGCGAGTTTTTGGTTTTGTTAAATGCTTTTATGGTTTCTCATTTATGAGCTGGTATCTCTTTAAACTGATCTATCTGTCTAAAGCATAAAATCCCTGAGTCTAAATTCAAACATGTTGTTCACTCTGTGACAGAAGTTTTTGGTCTTACATAACGACCTACACAATGAGCCTTAATGTGTTGTGCAAGAAACTGATTCCTGTTTGACATATATGTGTTGTCAAATTCTTGTTTTATCTGTGTTCGGTTAATCCAACTTCTGTTTCCTTGTACTACTAACATCTTTATTACAAATACAAGTCTCTGCACATTCACATGGGTGTAAAGTTAGCTCAGCTGCTTTTACAGAATAAATTATTAGACTGGAAATAAACATTCAGGTGCTGAATTTTTTTTTAAGCGTTGGTTAAAATGGGTATTTTGATCATGTCACATGAAACTTACATCGTATTTTAGGCCTCATTTATCACGTGCTTTCTGTTCCTGAGCCACCAGTTTCAATACCAAATTAGCAGTCTGCATTATTAGTCAAGTACAAACTGTTGGGGAACATGTGGTTTTTATAAATACAGACCTACCGCACAGTTTACAGAGGTTTTACAGAGGCAGTCGAATCTGTTGAAAAGTGTTGAGACAAAGTGTTACCTCACGGTCATTTTCTTCCCCGTCAAAAAGTTAATGACTTTACTTTATTTTTATTATTTTACGTAAGCAGATGTTATCCATTTTAATTACTGACTCCCACCCTTTGAACGTTAGATTTTAGGTTGTCTCATCTAGACAGAGTTTTTGTTTTAAGGAAAACTTTTTTTTTTGGTTTTAAACTAACTAATATTCCAGAGGTTTGTCTATTTATTTACCTGAGTGATATTTTTGTTTCTCATTCAGAAGTTGTGGTGGTGGAGTCTGGAGTACTTTTAAAAATCAAGTTTCATGTGGTTTAGTAACTTTCTATTCTGGCTGTTTTGTACTTTTGTTACTTTTTTGTTCTTGAATGTCAAACTGGATGCCCTTAGCAAAACAAATCTACCTCCAGGTAATAATAAAGTGGACTAAACCACGTGATTTAGGGATAACATGAAAAGAAAAAGACAACTGGTTGAAGGTTATAATCTGTGCTCAAAATGTGGCATTATATTTAAGACCACTTTGGTATTTACAGGTAGGAGAGGATTTCTATGAACCGTCATAAGACTAAACTTGCTGCACATGACCACTTTAAACAGGAATTAATCAAGAGGGTTTGGCACTCGTTCAAGACCAAACCAAACAAGGCTCAAATAATCACATCAAAAGCAGATCACAGATTGCTCTAAAGATTGGCCAACAGAATCAAGACTGTGGAAGAATTTCACAAGATGAAATTTGCATTTGAAATTAATGACTTCATTACAGGGGTGTAGATTTGTGTCATGGTCACTTCCATAAAAAGCTTTGTACTGATAGTTTTCACGCCTTTGAGAAATTATTCAGAATGGAGAAATCATTTAAATTCAGGAGATTTATTTTCCTAAAAAATGCATTTTTCATACAAAGTGGTCGACAGAGAGACACTGCAATCACTTATTTGCAGATGTAATTTTTGTAGCATAAGTTTTGTTTGGGTTGTAGAAAGTGCTGACTCATCAAATCAATAACTCAATGCCTCAAAATACTAAAAACGGACCCATTCAACCTAATATAACAGTGTGGATTGCTTAAAATCTAAAGCAGATCATCATTTGAATAGAGGTCCAATTATTATTTGCAGGGATGAATAATTCATCAAGACATTAAAATTGCAGTATCTTAATTTTCTGTTGAGAAAAAAAAAACTACCACTATGAGACTTGTAGAGCTGCAGAGATATCCTGTCCATCAAAAGTTTCATGATTTCAATGAGGTCATTTCTGATCATTTCCACTACAGGGGATTAACATCACAATAGTACTTTATATCAGTCTTTATACTGATGAAAGAAATCTTTATACATGAGGTTGTTTGACATGCAGAAGAGGCACATCTCTCGAGTGTAACGGTCCTTATTTCATTCATTTAAGGCTGTGTCGTCTGAGAGCATGTCCTTCCTCAGGTCCGTGTTTGGCACAAAAGCTGGTCTACTTTTGTGGTCTGGTATCAGGTGAACAAACCTCGTTAGCAGTGTCCTAATTACGCTGGTCAAACGTTACTCTTTGGACTTCTTCTTTTTCTTCTTCTTTGGAGGAAGTGCCTCCTCGTTTACTGCGTCCTCTACATCTAAAGAGGTTTTATCCTTTTTACACTTTTTCCTTTTTTTCTTTGCTGCTGTTTGCTCTGCTACGACTTCTGCTTCCTCCTGGACTGGCTCTGATTGGCTGGATTCTGTATCATGACTCTCGTCTCCCTCAGCGGTTTCAGTTTGATGTTTGGAGGACTTCTTCTTCTTCTTCTTCTTTACTTTTGTGTCAGTGTGCAGCTCTGCAGTCTCCTCTGGACTCTGTGCAGCAGGTGAAGACGCTCCCTCCTCTTCACTCTGCTCTGAAATGTTTTTCCTCTTCTTGTGTTTCTTCTTTGTTTTCTCAGAAATGTCTGCCTCACTGTTTTCTACACTGATCACATCGCTCTCAGCGGAGACTCCATTGTTTATTCCCTCAGTGTCCTTGCTGCCTTTCTTTTTCTTCTTTTTCTTTTTGGGTGCTGTTTCTGTGTCAGGAATCTCAGCGGTGTCTTCACCCTTCAGCTCATTAATGCTCTCAGCTGATCTCTTCTTCTTCACCTTTTTTCCCCGAGAGTCCTCTTCCTGCTCCTCACATCTCCGCTCAGGTGATAGGGAAGCAGGGGTTGTCGGTGTGACACAAACTGGAGAAGAAGAATCTGCTGCTTGTTTCTTCTTGCCGTACTTGGCCATGAACTCGGCCTCCTGCTGCTCCAGTCGGGCTAACTTGGCGCTCATGGTGAAGCCGTGCCTGGCTCCTCTACAGAAACAGAAGCAAACATGTGAATTAAATTTCAGTTTTCCACAGAAGTTAGAAAAGATGTCGTTGGATACCTGTACGTTTTACTCTTTTTCCTCCAACACAGTTCACAGTTGTGTTAATTTGATTGATATTTTTTTCTTTGAATAAAGCCCCATTTTATTAAAATTATATGAATTAACTTACTTATGAGCAGTGCGTCCTCCACAAGCCTTCATGAGGTCGTCATCAGAGAGTCTGTAAAGCATCAATTTGTAAAAATCAGGCAGTATTTAAAAGCTCATTAGTAAAAATAATAGGGTCATGTTGTCATGCTTACAGGATTGATATTGATGCAGACTTTTTTGTTGTTGTTCTAGACAAAACACTTGTTGATATAATAATCATGTGTTCATACTTGATGGTGCTGGAGAGGTCCAGTCTCTGGTCTTCCTCCTCGTCATCTGAGCTGCTGCTGCTGTCGTCTGAGTTGGAGGCCTTTGGCTCCGGCTGCTCCTGACCAGACAGTAGAGTGGCCGACTGAAAGAGGAGCGAAACAAACATCAGTGACAGTCAGATTAAAGTCAGACTTAAATCAACTCAATGTCTTCCTGCTGGCTAAGATCGCACATTGACATTGGATTTTGCTCTCATATTTATCAATTACTATTTACCTTGACAAAGCATCCATAAAGTTTGGCTTTGGCAAGCGTGGCTTTCCTTGGCTTCTTATTGGAGATCATCCCTCCCTCTTCATCTTCCTCCGCTGTCTTCTTCAGTTTGATGCCGCTCTGGATCACAAAGAAAACCAAACAAATTTAACCCTCTGACAAACACAACAACAGCGGATTTCCCTCACCATAGCACCAAATGGTAGGTATACAAATATGGCTTCATTCAGTTACAAAGGAGATAGGTTTCAGTAATTGATTCATCCTGCGTAAAGTAGATGATCATAAATGTTCTTCCTTGAGCTGCGTCACCCAGCAGCAGTCAATGGACTCGCCCGGAGGTCTCACTACAATTAAGCGGCTTTCGGGGTTTCTAACTTGGTGTTACGGTGTGTTTGACCCTAACTTAATTTTACGCTGGAATATCCCTTTAAGTCCAGTAAACATGATTGTACACTATGTGAGAGTAGGACTCACCTGGTCAGATTCAACCTGCAGACTAGAAGAAGCTTTATTGAAGACATGATCCCACCAGTGGAAGGTGAACTGCTCCCCTTCTTTATGGCCGACCTATCAGATAAGAGCAACATGTGAGCTTACAAATAACAGAGGAAAAAGAGGGTCCAAACCTGAGACAGAGATGGTACCAGAGACTCACCCCTCCTTTATCACATTTTACTTTGACCTTGATAGCTTCTGAGATGCCGTTTTCAGCGCGGCCTAATCCTTTACCTGAGGATAAATAGACAGAGTAAGGAATCTGCACCAGGGTCATATATATATATATATATATATATATATATATATATATATATATATATATATATATATGTTTGGTGAATAAATTCGGTCTCACCGTGTTCCCAGCCGTGACGCAGGAGCTGCTGCTCTGCAAACTTCAAGCCACGACTTTTCTCTTGAACAACTTCAGCCATTTCTGTTAAAACAGAAAAAACACAAACAGTTTATAGAGCGATATATGACCATGTTAACTCACAAGTGCCTGTTAATCAATGTCAAGGAAACAACCCGTTTGAAAAAGTTGTTTACAACCCAATCCACCCAGTTATATAACATCCTCTATGAAGACGATCAGGTTAAAGGTTTATTTACACACCTGCTGTCATGTTCACTCCTTTTAACTACATAATAACAACTGAATGTGTCATGACAAAAGATTTATTACCAGAAGTCGAAATTGACACGTCTGAATTGATGCTAACAGCAACATTAGGCTAACATATGAACCCATGATCACACCGGTATTTCACCCTTACATACAGACTTAGGTGAGTTTCTTTAACGAAGAATGCTCACACTTAGCAAATGATAACACGTACCTGTTAGTGTGTTTCTTTCATTAAATCATCATCTTAAAAAACTGCAGACTCGGACAAACACACATTTAAAAGCAGCTGCAGAAGCTACCCATGCGGTTCAGGAAGGAGGCTGACATGACACCGGAACTGCGTCACTAAGCATTCCGCCTTCTTTCTCTTCTTCTCTGGATGAATTTGCAGCAGAGCAGAGGAAGCATAGAGGAAGCGGGCAGAGAGAGGTCCTCCAGGAAGAAACAGAAACTTCATTCAAAGTAAGAACTTGTGTAAAAAATACTCATGGATCAAAGTATTTCAACGTCGTCGGATATAAAACTTCATGAGACTATTTCACCACCGACAAAACTTGTTAAAGACATTAACAAGTAAATAAAACTAACAAACAAAAATGCGAGTAAAGGATTTCTCAAAGGGATATTCCGGAGTAAAATTAATTTGGGGTCAAACACACCGTAACACCGAGTTAGATACCTTGTCGAGAGATGAATGTTGCCGACCGCTTTCTTCTCTAGTTATACCAACTTTAGTAACGACCACATGAGAGCAATAATACACAGCGGTCTGAGGAGCCACACACAAACCTCAACCAAAACGCCACTCTATAGCCACGAATAATGCTCAGAACAGCACCTAACTTCATCAACAGGACATATAGGGTCCCAGCCACAGTACTAGCCACCAAATATGTTTTTAGCTTTGCCTGATTTCTTTAATAAAGAGACTAAACACAAGTTACCCACTCTCTTCCAGCAGCCGCTTGTTTGACCTCGGACAAGTCCATCATTAACTGCAGCGGGGTGTCGCAGCTCAAGGAAGAACATTTATGATGATTTCTCTATCATTTCTTTTAAGTAATAATTACCAAATTAATCACTTTGCACTGCAGACGCGGTAGTTCTTCTGCCTTAGTGTCTCGGTTTGATTGCATTTCAGTGAGGAAATGATCATAAATGTTCTTCCTTGAGCTGCGTCCCCCCGCTGTAGTCTGGAATGGCCCGAGGACTAGCTACAAACTTGAAGAGAGTAGGTGAGTTGTGTTTAGTCTCTTTGCTAAAGAAATTAGTCAAAGTTAAAAAGATGTTTTGTGAATAGTGCTATGGCTGTGACCAAATATACTGTTGATGAAGTTAGGTGCTGTTCTGAGCATTATTTGTGGCTATAGAGTGGTGTTTTGGTTGAGGTTTGTTGATGGCTCCCAAGACCACTGTGTATTGCTATCTTGCGGTCGTTACTAAAGTTGGTAAAACTAGAGAAGCAAGCAGTTGGAAACATTCATCTCTTAAGGGGGTGTCTAACTCGGTATTACAGTGTGTTTGACCCTAAATTAATTTCAAGCCAGAATATCCCTTTAAAGAACGGAATAACTGTTTTTAAATTCTGAATGTTGATTTGCATGAAAATTACCCAATACACTTTTTTTTTTTTTTTTTTTTTTAAATAAAAAGTCAGCAGTAAATCTACATGGAAAGGAATAAAGCAAAGAGATGTTGAATGCATTTAGTACATATCTTCTAATGTATTTCCCTTAAATTCAGACTCAAATATCAGTTATCAACACAAAAAATGTGTGAATATAATGATAGTTTAGCTTCATTTTTTTATCATTTTGTTTGAAATGAAAATTAAGTGAGTTTGAATGAATGCTGAGCATATGTTCGTTGTCCTTAATAAGAGGTTATAGCCTTAATTTGCCAACAGATGGCAGTGTTTCACTCCTGAAAACAAGATAAATGTAACGGATTTCTTTTTCAAAAAATCAGCCCTTGTGTTAAAAAATAAAAGATGCAGTAGGATGTTCTTAAGTGAAAAAATAAAATTCATGCAATAATCATCATAATATGTATAAAAAAACTTTTACTGGAAGAGTTTTGCTGAATGCCAAACAAAACTGACTCCTCTCCCACGAGATTCCTGTTCAAAGATAAGATAACTTCCTCAGAAATTATCTTTCCTCAGAAATTATCTTACCAAACCAAAAACAGGTTTAGGCTCCCAGCTTTTGACAGATAAGCAGGCATTCTGCATTATTGGCCGTAATTTAAAACTATTGTGTCCTTCAATTGTTTCCATAATATTCAAATAAACTCGTTTTCAACTTGTAAGTATGTCCAGAGATTCTCCACTGAAAAATATTTCAACTAGCAGCAACAACTGAACCCTAGCAGACATAAAACTCTTTCATGTTTACAAGATAAAGGAATTATGCTTTTATATTATGAATGACCTTTTTACTTCAATGATTCCCTCTCTTTCTCTGTGTCCTCAGCTGCAGCCTCAGTCCTGCAGGAAACAGTTTTATTTGCCTCTGCTTCGGTTTCCGCTGAGTGAGGATGTTGCTCCAGCAGCCTCCATCCATGGGTTGTTTATCTGTGTCAACACTCAACAGGGGGGGTGGGGTGAGTTGGGGGACACAAACACCCGTTCTGCAGAGGCTGGTTATCATTGCTGGCTTACTGTTTTGGAGGAAACCCACCGACTGCTGGCTGCATAGACTGACAGACGGATGTCCCAGAGGAGGTCACTACACAGCCACCAAAGAGGAAAAGACTGAGAGACAGAGAGGGACTGAGGGAGTTCATTTTTATAGTTTGGACAAAATCACTCTACTTCAATTATTAGCAGGATATGTATTGAACTAAAATCAATATTTATGCCTTATTTTGACGCACATAAGCAAATAAGACCATCAGCAACAAAGTTTATTGTTTTTCAAGTGTCCACGCAGTCTTGGAAAAGAGGCCTTTTTAAAATAGAGTTTTTAAAATTACACTGATAGTACTGCAGATGATCTGCAAAAGCAAACCACACTTTATGCAACAAATAGTTTCTTGATCATTTCTTCAAAATTTCTAAAATCTAATTTCTAACCACTGCGGTCAGGTAGAAGCCAGGTGGAAGACTAGCTTTGCAAGTCCTCATAAAGTACTGCAACGTGGATGCATCACCTGCAGGGGCGTATAAACTGCAGGGGCGGTGTGGAGAGCAGATGTGGCGGAGATAAACACTAGCAGGAATTACAAATGGCAGAGAGCTTTTGAGACAAGCTGGTAGACCGCATGCAAAATTACACACACCTGCTTTGCCACCACAGTTGCTTTTTCTGCCTTGATTTCAGCACTAATGTAAGAGTCACCTCTACCAGTGTTGCCGTGCCTGTTGTTTACATCCCACTCTTCCAGTAGTTGTACAAAGCTTGAGCTGTATGTTGTGCCCTCTGTAGATACCCTCCAATAATACATACAATGCATAGTCAAGGAGTAATGTCATGATGCAGCTGGAAGGATCTGCAAACACAAGGATCCAGAGCAGGTATGTTTCCTCCTCAAGAGGAAGGGATTTACTGCCCACTGTATTAACAACCTATTTATGTGAACTTTCCACATTCACAGTATATGTTTTACTATTAGAAGACAAAAGGAAGAAGAGTTTTGTTAAGCAAAAAAACAACAACATAAAATGTCATCAATAACTAATAGCTACTGACTGATATTAAAAGCTGTTTTGTATAAACACCACAAAAAAAAGATTCTTCTTTAACGGATTCCTGCGTACCCCACCATTGACTACATGTCCTTCCCCATGCTCAAGCCCCAATTTCTGACAATTGGCATTAGAAAAGCTTAAAAATCAAAAAGGAAAAACTTTCTACAAGTGCAGGAAAAAAACTTTAAAGAGAATAGATGCACCACTTTGACAACAGAGGGCGCCAAAACCAACACAAGGTGAGAGTTTCTCACAAGAGCTTTAGAATAATTTCAATGTGCTGTTTGAAAATCACTAATGGAAAAAAGAGAAGTAACAATACCTGAGAAAATAGATGTTTAGCCATATTCAAGTCAGCACACCTGGTCAGGTTATTTCACCCTCAGTATGACCATGTTTTTTTCCATGGTTGTGTTGTTTAGAGAATAAGATGTGGTCTGATCCTCAGTGAGATCTCTCTTTATATCTATCTTTATCTGTCTATCTTTGGATCCTTGAATGAATCCTTATTTTACCACCTGTAACAGTCCTGATCTGACTTTTCCATCAGCTCTGATCCCTCTGGACCATTTATCCCCCTAAAAATTCCTCTACACAAACATCAACTCAAACATCAAGGTCTGCAGGCCCACTGAAGACAAAAACAACACTTTTACTCTCCCTCTTGACCTCCCTAAACTTCTCCTCCGTGCTCCATCCCTCTTCTTCTCCCTCCTCCTCCTCCTCTCTCGGTCCCTCTCTGTCACAGTTTTTCCACTTTCTTTGGCTTCACTTCAGGACCCTCCCCCGTCAGATGGGACTCGTCTCTTTCTCTGTCTTTGCTCTTGTCAATGTTTACACCGTTTGAATTATTTTTTTCAGAGTTGGAGAAATCCTAATAAATGCTTTTTCTTTTTCTTCTTTCTTTCGTCTGATGGAAAGTTGGTGCCTGACTCTGAGATAAACGCGACTACTCAATAATCCTGCAGCTCCTGGCTGGTAAGGTGAGTAAAACGCTTTTATTGAATCAACATGTCAAACGGACACGTTGGTGCTTCAGATGCTGAGTTGTCTCGACTGTTGCTAATTCATTGACTCGACCGATACTTGAACATTTCTGCGTAGTTTCGCTTGTTTTTGGGGAAATAGCCGCTCTTGCGCAGCTTCACTGCAGATGTTCAAAGATGCTTCTTCTACCGCGAAACGCAGCCCACCTAAACTCTTTCCTCGTGGACTTTTTTAGCGCTAAAATGCACAAAACTGAGCACCATTGGGGATTATTTTGTTCACAACAGTCTGTCAGGCTACAGGATATATAGGAACGGCTGTAGGTTGTGTTAGGTGGTGTAAGAACCATCCAAAGTGGGAGAAAATGTAACTTCAGATGGAGTAATATAATGAGAAGTCTCACAGAAGAGTGAGAGCAGGGGTTAAATGAGCTGCTTACAGTTATTTAAAGGCAGTTTGAGTATATGGTTTTCTCTTTCTGCTGCTTTTTACAAACTTCTACTGGACTGTAACTGAGGAAAATGTAAGGATATAATAGAGACATGCTGAGCTCATGTAAAGGAAAGCTTGTCAATATTAAATGTAATATATTTATTTTAGGGACAAATGCATGAGATATCGCTTTATAACGTATACAAAGGAAAACCATACATACATGCAGGTCTCCAGCTATGGCTAATGTGCGACCCCTGTTCCTGTTTGGCTCCCATAAATAAAAACAAGTTACAGAGCAGAGACAGAGCGATTAATCGGGCTGTCGGTAATAATCGGCATCAGCCCCCACAAGGTTGATATCACAAGATCTCTGAAAAACTAAATTTTCTAGTCCTGAGTGATGGAAAATCTAATTACAATAGTCGCTGTGCTTTGTATCAAATAAATAATTGAGTTTTGGTCCTGATATAAAATCCAGCCATGCTCTGACAGCATATATACCGTAACCCAATGTATCAGTCTTTTTTAACAATTCACTCACTTCAGTTGTTCGATTCTTTTTTTATTTTTTGATAATTTAGGATATAAATCCAAAAGTCTCACCATAATGTTCACTGAAGCTCAGCAGTTTTTCTTACCAAAAAACAAACAAACAAACATTGATGTCGGCGTTATTTATCGGCTTTTAGCCAACCTGCTCTCTCATTATCAGTATTAGTGTTTGCTGTTGAAAAAGCTGTAATTGGTTGACCACTATGAGAGAATACTAAATACATGATACCACAGTCATTAAAAACATGCAATAGGATCAGTGTTTGTAAGTAAATGAAGGACTTAAAGATGGAGACTAGCATTAACAGGGGCAAAAACAGGTGAGCAATGACTAAATCTAAAAGTGTGCATTAGATGTGCATAAATATGTTTGTTTGTTGTTTCGCCATGTCATAAAATACCTTGTCCAACACAACAGTTATAGACTTAAAAACTCATTATAAAAAAGATTGTTTTTATAGAACAGAAAACACCTCACTCTTAATTTCAGTTTGTTTTGACACACTTTAAAACCCCTTACAGGTGCTTTAATTTTGATATTCGTCGGTAATGGCACTATTAGATACGATTATCATCTGTAACAAAGGTGATACTTTGAAAGCACTTTTACTTGAACATGATGATTTCTAAAGTAAAAACTGTGTTTTCCAGTAATATGATTCTGAATCTGTCGTAAAATTTCCATTATCAACAAATTGCAGCCTGATCCAACAGTGAAACATTTTATTTATGAGGTTCTCTAAAAACAAGGCGAATCTATGACAAAGGCACATTTTTGATGCATGTTGTATAATGTGGTTTTGCTATTTTCATGTTAATCCTAATTTCATGGGAAACTCTAACTGTGGTTTTAAATTAATGCTGTAGAGGAGAAAGTATTCACTCTTTAATAAGCCACACTGAAGTACAAGTCCTCCAAAATTAGAGTTGTAAAGCCTGGATGAAATTTAGCTTCTATTTTTGGTAGATCTTTCCTCACAGTTTGGTGTCATGATCTGGTATTGATCATTTCTATGTGAAGGAGCCTCCAGCCTCCAGCCAACAGTCAGACAATAAAACAATGACTCCTCTCATCAACAAGTGATTAAAGCACTTGTTCCAGTGACCTCCTGGCTTTGTGTCATCGCTTTCTGCACTTGCTGGTCTTTTTTCCTGCCTGACTGAGAGTTTTTGGCATCTCTGACTCTGCTCTGAAACTTCTCCAGCGTCTATCAAGAGAGTGTGAGTCAGAAAAGCTTCTCTGGCAGGTCTCCTCTATCGATTCATTGCAGAGGAAGCCGTTGGGAGGAGGTCTGTTATTCCCTCACCACCTCCTCCTCATCCTCTTCGTCCTGCATTGTGTTTGATTTTCATTAAGTCTCTCAGGCTCAATCGGAGCTCTGGATCCTCTCCTCGGTCTGTTTTTGGGTCACAGAGGGGCTGTGACTCAGGACGATGAAACGTGGCGGCGCGGTGGCTGAAGCCAAAACAAGAGTGTGACATCTTGAGAGTGATGTGTGACTCAGCTTTCATGTCTTGTCAGTGAAGTTAATCAGGTGAAGCAGATTGAGATGAAGTGCTTTGTCTCCCCTCTGCAGATGTGAGAGCTCAAAGAGGGCTGTTGATTTTCTTACGCCTGTGTGTGTGACACTGATTATTATAAGGCTGTTTACAGGACTCTGATGTGTTAGAGTCTGATTAACTTCAGATGTGTCCACTAACTCAGTGTGTTCATATTTTGTCTGATTGTTTTTCAGTCCTTTGCTGCAAAGAAAAGCTGCAGAATTTGTCTGAAAGATACTTTCATAATTTAGGACAAACTTTTTCAATCTCTGTTTTTTCTCTGCTTCAGTTTCTGCTTGTTTGTTTCTCCTTGCTGCATCTATTCAAGATTTTCACATCTCAAACAGCATTTAGCATGCTTGATTCTGATTGGTCCACAAATGCTTGTTAAGTCTTAAATGCAAGAGGTGCAACAGGGACAACTAGATCACACATGTCACAGCAAATCAATGGAAAGGCATCCTTAAATTGTTCATGATTTTCACCTCAGCCTGTTGGCAACAGTTTTTAGCTGCGGGGAACAGTCAAAATCATGGAGGAACGTTATTCTCATTTCAACTTCACCAACAGCAAAGAAACTAGTAAGAGATAGTTAAACAGAAGAGCTGAGTGAAGGAGACATCAACCAAATTGAAGAAAACAGACTCAAAGCTACTAAAAGAAGACGACTTTTCACAGGTGTTATTATTGTCTCTAGATCTGTTAAAATGCAGATGGTGAAACACAAAAGTTTAGAGTTAAAGGGACATTTATGATCATTTCTTCATGGAAATGCAATCAGACTGAGACGCTGAGGCAGAAGAACTACCGTCTGCAGTGCAAAACCATTAATATGATGATTATTACTTAAAGGAAACGATAAAGTAATTATCATAAATGTTCTTCCTTGAGCTGTGTCACCCCGCTGTTGTTCATAATGGACAGGCCTGAGGTCTTGCTACAAACAAGCGGCTGCTAGAAGAGAGTAGGTTAGAGAGTAAGTAAGTTAGTAGGGCAAAGTTAAAAAGATGTTTGGTGGCTAGTACTATGGCTAGGACTCTATATGTACTGTTGATGAAGTTAGGTGCTGTTTTAAATAATTAAAATCAAATTTAAAATAAATAATTAGTGTCAGGGTCCTATCTCACCTTGTTAGGGCTCTATTTTGCATAATCACCTGCTCACTATACATAATCACTTACTTATTTCCCTCACTACAACAAATAAAATTAGTAATTCATTATGAAACAAAGAAATATCAAAAACCACAAAAAATTTAATTAACATTAGAACCAGACACATGTTTACGTTAACTTTATACATGTATATTGTAAACACTGGCTGATCCCTTGTGTGTAATCACATCATAAAATACACCTAAATTAATAATGAATAGACAGATTCCTATGGAGTTAATTTAAAAAAGCAGCTCTACAGTCTCACACTTGTTGTCTGTATGGTATAAATAGAAGTTGTTTGATTAAAAAGACCACTTTAAGTCCCGTTTAAGACATTCAAACATCTGTGAGAAAGGCGAGACATGATGACCAGAGTAGATCTGTGCCACCTGGTTTGGACTCCTGACCTCACATCTGCTCTGGCAACCACAAATCACCAGGAAGTCTGAACTTTCCTCTATCCTTCCTCAAGAATTCTTAAAAAAAAGTTCCTCATTTAGATTTTCATGTCTTCGTTTCATCATGGCTTTAATCTGCATGTTAAGAAGGAGCACCAAAGTGCCTCCCTGCAGCCATTTTTCTTGGTATTTCATGGAAAAAAAGCTTCTCAGATGTGTTTTTTTCTTTTCCTGGCTGTTTTGGCTATCAGTGGTAAAACACTGACCCATTTATTCTGATCTGGTGGAGCAGCAAACCCGTCCCTGCTCTGGCAGCTGGAGGACTGCCTGTCTTACCATCTGTTTGTCTGGGAGAGGACTCGGGTTCAGACAAGTTACTGGATATGTTTTGATTAGAGATGACACTGGACAGAGACACAAAGAGATGAGATAAAACGAGCAAAAGTAGAACTGAGGTAAGAGGCATTAGAGTAAATTTGATCCCCGGAGCCTGGACATTTTGAAGATTTATCATGACATCATGCGGGGGACCAGAGTGCCTGCATGTTGTCTCTTGAAGGCCACACTTGGTCTTGACATGATTAAATTCAGTGGCCGTACTGCATGTGTGTTATTTATGTGAGATCACAGACTAAAAGAAGTTACTCCATCGCACTCTCTCTTTTCACCGCTCCAAACTTTTGTGACTCATTAGGTCTTTTGATCTTACTTTGACAATACCATTTGTACAAACATTCATGGTCCCCAAAAGGATGAAGCCTTTAGATCAGCACCAGGAAATATATGTATTACCATAAACCTTTTTACAGCAAAATATCTAAACATCTTAAAGACAGCTTGGCTCTAAAGTTGATTCAAACATTTTCATGGTCCCCTGAGGATAAAGTCTGTGGGTTCTCATATAGTTTGTGCAGATTACATTTTCCTCTTTACTCTGTGAAGTATCCACATCTTTTAGACAGCGGGCCTCAAAATCTGGCCCTGACATTCGTTGTCCCCCTGGGATAGACCCTATGGATTCTTATTAGAATTAGGCTTTCCATGCAATTCATGCAGATTAAAGTTTTCCCTTTGCCAATAAAGTATCTTAACATCCTTGAGACAGTTTTGTTCAAAATTTAGTAGAGACATTCATGGTCTCCAGAGGATAAAGCCTATGAATTCTTATTATCACCAGACTTTTAATGTAGTGCTAGGGATGTAAGTTTCCCCTTTCCCAGTGAAAAATCTGAACATCTATTCAACAGTTTTGGTCAAAAGTTGCCTCAAACCGTCGTGGTCCCCTGAGGATAAAGCCTGTGGTTTCCCATTGTCACCAGGATTTTGATATAATACTTTTTTTTTTCTTTACTCAGTGAAGTTTTTTCACATCTATAAGACAGTGGGGCTGATAATCTGGTCCTATCATTCATTGTCCCCCTGGGATAGACCCTATAGATTCTTATTTGCACCAAGCTTTTCATGCAATTCATGCAGGTTAAAGTTTTCCCTTTCCCTAAAAAGTATCTTGACACGTTTAAGACAGTTTTGCCCCAGATATTACGGAGATGTTCATGGTCCCCAGAGGCTAGAGTCTATGAATTCCTCTTATCACCAGGCTTTTCATGTAGTGCTGAGGATGCAAGTTTTTACTTTCCAAGTGAAATATCCAAACGTCTGTGTGACAGCTTGGCTCAAAATTTTCTTCAAACAGTCGTGGTCCCCTGAGGATAAAGCCTGCGGGCTCTCAAGGTCACCAGGCTTTTCATATTGTCTGTGCAGATTTAAGTTTCTTTTTTACTCAGTGAGGTATCTTTATATTTATATGACAGCAGGCCTCAAAATCTGGTCCTGACATTCATGGTCCCCCTGGGATAGACCCTATGAATTCTTATTAGTGTTAGGCTTTCCATGCAATTCATGCAGATTAAAGTTTTCCCTTTCCCAATAAAGTATCTTAACATCCTTGAGACAGTTTTGTTCAAAATTTGGTGGAGACATTCATGGTCCCAAGAGGATAAAACCTCCTGATTCTTCTTATCACCAGGCTTTTCATGTAGTGCTAAGGATGCAAGTTTTACCTCCCCCAGAGAAAAATCTGAAAATCTGTGCGACAGTTTGGCTCAAAATTTGGTACAGACTCTCAGGGTTTCCAGAAGATAATCTTCAAGACTTCTGGGAATTACCAATGTTAAAAAACAGGTTCAGCTGCAGAGGATACATCTGGTGTACCATGCTTCCAAACGCTCTGGTGTTTGGTGGCGGTGGTGGTGCTTCTTTTGCTTGTTTTAGTCAGATTAAATTTGAGCCTGTTGGCCTAAATTTCATGTATTACAGCTAAACAGTACACAAAAATAAGTTTCTTTCCATTTGAGGCTATAAAATAGAGGCTGAGTCATGTTTATGCAACTTCAAACTCAGTGTAAAGTCAAACCAGTTCACTCCCTCTGCTCTCTCGCTCAGAGTCACTGACGGGTCTCCATTCAGATCCATGAGATCTGCATGAAGTTGAGCACGACACAGAAAGTTTGACTGAAACTCTTAAACGCAACATTCACTTGACAAGTCCAGAAAATTTGTTATTTCAATATATAACAAGCCAAAAGTAAGACTTAAATTGCTTTTAATGAGTAAAAAGATCTACCAATAGAAAAAGAAAAACTGTCAAATTCTTTAAAAAAAGTTTTTTTCAGGAAATTTGAAAAGTGATCTTTTCTTTTTCCTTTGGCAGCATATTTGTAGTTGTTACAAGCAATTTAGTCCTATTTTTTGACAGGTAATATGAAATAAGCCATTTTTCTGGACTTGTCAGGTGAATGTGTCATAGAGTGAGCCTGTTATTGAGCCAGCTGTGTGAGGTTTGGAGAACTTTGTTGTCATGCTACATAAATAAACTTCCCTTGCTTATTTACACACTAAGGACAAAAACACTCACTGAGTTTTTTGCCATTTGTTCCCAAGACCTCAACTCGTGACCATGGCAACCTCGGACACTACAGTGAACGAGGTCAACAGTAGTTGAGTCCCCTGGTGTTTGTGTTTCAAACACATCAGTTGATATCTAATTTCACATCAGAGTTCGATTAACAGCTAAACTAAAACTCGGTTTTCTTTCCAACCGACAATTTTCTGTATTTCGAACCTCAACCCACTGGAGGTTTGAAGTAGCAGCCGTAGTAAACAATAAAAAAAGTCAAGAAGTTTGAAGCTTTGGTTTTTCAGAGGCAGCAAAGACTGGCTGTCTGAGATCTCTTTAGTTTTGCTTGTTTGCTCTTTTTTGTGGTTTTGGTGAGTTTTTGGTGCTTTGTCATCAGTGTTTGTAGCAAATCTGCATTTTATCATGAGGGTGGTACTCGCTGGCTCTCTTTTCCTGATGTTGTATGTTTTCACTCTATAAAGTCAAAAGCCAAGAGGGAGTTGGAAAATCGAGTCTTTTGTTTGTGTAAAATTTTCCTAGATTTTGTCGAAGAACAAAAGTTGCATGATCAAGCTTTCCAGCAAATTTTAAGTCGATGCAAAACAACCTTGTCCGGTCCTGACGCTTGTATTTTTGATGTTGCTCTAGTCCTGCTGAAAAAGACAAAGAGCAGAGGGGATTCAGAAGAAGGTGGCGCGGGTTGAATATTCCTACCACAGACTTATATAAGCCTTTCAACCCCATGTGCTCTGCAGCCGCACAAGTAATTTGGAGCAGATTCTGCTGCGGCCCTCCAGCTCGGGGGTTTTGGGTCGTTCGCTCTGCTCTGGCAGAAGGAAACATGTACAGTTTCTTTGGGCTCCGGCTCAAATAACCCATCATAAAAAAGCCAGGGTCGGGGGGTTTGGGGCCGAGACAGGAGGAGGGGCCTGCAGCGGCTTGATGAGGTGACCACAGACTACTTGTAGTGTGGTGAGGGTCCTTCCTGGACTTGCTTATGTTGGTGGTTGGTGGGTGGTGTTTGGGCTGGTGGGTGGAGCTGCAATGGAGACATTGATCATTAGGATTTCAGGGCTTTTCATTGGTGTCTATGTCTCGCTGTGGTGTCTATGCAGGATGACTGGAGCAGAGTGAAACCTGAGATGTAGAATTAGAGGAAATAAAACACTGAATTCAAGGTCCAGAAGGCGTCTCACTTTTTGTTTTTTTCATTTCTGTGACGTGAACTGAGATTTGTTTGCGTTTGTATTTGGTTTCAGCGCTCTGAGTGATTATTCCTACATATGCAAAAATAACTCCTCCCTTTTTGAAAGCATTTCAATAATAAAAGAGTTCACCAAACAAAATATGATTCTGGATGAGAAAAACAAACGGCCTTAGAGTCATGCTTGGCACAAAGTGGATTCAAACTCAAAGTCTTGATGTTTTTTTTGTGCGCAGACCCAGATCCACTCCACCAGCTGTGTTAAGCTGCGACTCTCCGAGTCGTCCATCGTGCGTTTTATGAGAAGACTTATTTTCCTTTTCTCCCCATTTTTCCAGGCCACTTCTGAAAGACAAACTCCTGCTCAGGAAAGGCAGGATGACAGATTATCATTATTTCTGTGTCCCCATTAGTCAAAACAACACCAGCTCCGTGTGGAAAAAAGGGCTCTTTGTGAAAAAGTGGACACAGAAGCCAGAAAAGAGGTACACTGTTGGAAAAAAAGTGGAGCCAGTGTCGGTCTGATGGCACTGTTGAAGGACTTTTCCTTTTAGGCGCCTGAAATTATTCCCAACTCACTTCTGTTTACATGTCAGAGGAAGAGAGCGTAGTGATGCAGACCTGGATGTACATGCAAGATGTTTCCTATCTGCTTCCTATTGTTTGTCCCTGTTTCATTCCTGTGTTGCTCTGCAGAGCTGATTGAAGACAGAGGAGAGAGCGTAGGCCTGAGGGACTGTGAGGACAGGGTTTAAAGTAGCTGAAAACAGGTTTTTCTTTCTTCTTTTTTTTTGCCCACTTGAAGACAACAGAATGAAAATAAGCTAAGGGGATGAAATTATTAGCTGTAGATGGATAATAGTTAACCAGGGAGTTGCGGTGAGTTTAAAAGTAATGAAAAGCGCATGTGAAGTCCTGAAAGATCGTCAATAACTTCAGATTTTTGCAAAGTGTTAAAAACAAAATTGCTTTCCTTCTCATTAAGTGTCTGACTAATCTGCAGAAGCCTTACTTTGATAGATAAATAATATCCTCCTGTGACTCACTGAAGACATGCTGAGGATCCTGCTGCTTCTGTTTGCTTCTGGATATCCAAAAAAAGAACAAGTGTTAACAGTTTCCCCTTCACTTGCTTTCCTTGAGTTGGAACATCATATCCAAACAAGAAGACAGGCCTCAGACCCATTTCTCTTCTACGTTTGCCCTCCCACCATGCTGCCCAGGATGTCCTGTGTGGTGGGTTGTATCTGGCTCTCGTCTCCTCTTTGCCCCCCGTCTTCCTGTTGTGCTTGACAGAAACACAGGTGTCATAGCAAAAAGCCCCGAGAGACTCATAACATGTTGCACAATGCAGACGACCATGCTGAGGTTTTCAATTAGCTGGGCCAGTCACTGCGCATTCGACTTTCATCTCACTTTAGCCACGAGACGCTCCAGTAAAGTGAATTCACGGCACCACCTGTGGGGTTTGTGAAGGTTTCAGTCTAGTGACACTGCTGGGAAAAGCTCGGAGAGTAAGACTAAGTAAAGGAACATCTCCGAGGGTTCACCTTCGGGGTAGCACACGTGGCCGAAGTTTTTGAGAGAAGAAAATAAGGCTTTAACTTCCAGATGTTGCAGGATGAGGCCCATCTGGAGCGAGAGAGAGAGAGAGAGAGAGGGGGACGGAGCTTTTTTGGGGTCTACGTGTTAAAAAAAAAAAGCCTCTAAAATGATCACTTTAATAAGTTACAGGTTTCCACTTCGTACTCCAGAAAGGCAGCGCACCAGATGCAGGAGTTGGGCCTGTAAATCAGCAGGGTTTAACTTTGAGGAATTTACTGGCCCAGGATGGACTTCCTGGAAATAGAGATAGAAGAGGAGAGCCAATCGAGATAATAACTGATAAGTGCTCTGCTGAACTCTACCTGTGTAGGTGGTACTGAGCTGCTTATTTTCTACCAGGACTTTTCCCGGTCATAAAACTGAGGAGCAACTAAGACCAAATATTTTATTACTATACTTATTTTGAGTTCATGCATCATTTACTGCCACCTTAACAACATCAGGACTTATTCCAACCCTTTTCTGGAAACTGGGGTAGATGGAGACAAAGTCTGAAAACTGAATCTGTACTAAAGGAAAGTCTTCAGGTGTTTTTACTTTACTCAAGTATTCACTGAGCCTGAAGGGCTAATTGCATCCACTAGTTGCATTACTTAAACCGGCAATGCCTACAGCTGCAACTGTCTCATCAACACTTACCGTCACCAGGTTTCCAAAGTTGTCGTGGCCGAAGTTTTTGGAATTTCCCCTTGTGGGACTAATAAAGGAGTATCTTATCTTATCTTGTCCTGCAGCCCTTTTGCTTTAGTGTCTCCTCCATATCGACCTCTGCCATTGTTGTTTATATCAAAAGTCTTACCCTGTCTTCATTTTGATTGGTTGTTGATATAAAGGTTGCAAAGTGACAAAAACAGCTGAGGAGTGTTTTTGCACAAATGCTGAAAATGCTGAACCACATTGGTTTTGCATAGACAGTAGTTGTAGCTGTAAGTGGACACTTTGCTTTTAACACCAGTACTTGCACTGTACTCTCCTATGATGTTTGAAGGGATATGCCAGGGTAAGTTGACTGATGAGTCGATCACCGAGTGCAGCGGATCATTTCCTTTCAGTAATAATCATCATAATAATCATTTTGCACTACAGACGTGGTAGTTCTTCTGCCTTAGCCTCTCGGTCTAATTGCAGTTCCATGAAGAAATGATCTTAAATGTTCTTCCTTGAGCTGTGAAACTCCGCTGCGCTCAGTGATTGAAGCAGCTGTTAGAAGAGAGTGGGTGAGTTGTGTTTAGTCTCTTTACTAAAAAAATTAAACAAAGCTGAAAAGATGTTTGGTGGCTAGTATTATGACTAGGACCCTATATGTCCTGTTGATGAAGTTAGGTACTGTTCTGAGCATTATTTGTGGCTATAGAGTGGCGTTTTGGTTGAGCATGTGGCTCCTGAGACTGCTGTGTATTGCTATCCTGCGGTCATTACTAAAGTTGGTATAACTAGAGAAGCGAGTGGTCGGCAACATTCGTCTCTTGATGGGGTGACTAACTCGGTGTTACGGTGTGTTTGACCCGAACTTAATTTTACACCGGAATATCCCTTTAATTGGTTGGACAAAAACATCCAAATTAGAGGCAAATCCTTGCTGTACCTGCTAGTACATTTTTTGCACATGGTCATAAGATGAAGAGGGTGTATCTAAATATATCAGACAGGAGAGGAGAGGGACTTGACTGCAGAGATAAGTCATCTACCTGAAGTGGAATCAGATCCTGAGAGGGATAGTCGACTTTTTTCTCTTTTACTCTAGTAAATAAATTGAATCAGTTCTGCTGCTTTTTTAGTCTTTAAATCCTTTCTTAGAAGTACCTCTACTTTTGGAAAGGGTACTTAAGTTACGCTTGACCACTTGGTGTTAATTGAAAGGCACATCTGTCTCCCAGTATGCAGCCCCCACTCTGCCGGCTGTACCACCCTGCATGCAGCAACACCCGCGTCTGCGTTAAATCATCCAAGTGTCACGTTGTTTTTCTTCTGGAGAAAAAATGATAGTGGAGGATAATCCTGCAAACGAATGGTAGAAAAACTTCATCAAGAGGAGCAGAAACAGATTGCCTCTTTAGCTCTAATGTTTCCGAGCTTTCTGTTTTGTGGCAGCTGCAAACAGAGGGAAAAAAAAAAGCTGCCATACAGTCACAATCGAAGTGTTGTCTAAATTGAAACCAGATGTGGCGTGGTTTAAGTCTCTTACTGTAAATTGCCCTCTCTCTCATACATCCCGGACTTAGAGGCTCACATTAAGGCTTTTGCACGGGAATGTAATCCACAGCATGAAATATGTCCTTCTTAAATCTTGTGCCTCAGGAGAAGATTCCGCAGCTCGTCGTATTCGTCACTCATCGCAGACATTCAGAAGGATCTTTGCTGTATAGTTTGTCACCAAAGACCCTCCAAGAAGCTCGTATTTTACCCAACATGCATCAACAAAACATGAATTTCTGCAACAGTTTTTAGACGGATCAGAAAAGTCTTTGAAAATGCAGCATAAATTATATAAAACAGTCTGAGAAAAAAAAACAGGGTTTTGCAGACGCCGGAGCTCTTTCAGCTTCTGTGTTAGTGGTTGGTTTTGCCAAAGCAGATGGGGTCTGATTTCACACCTCTCCAACAGAGTTTGGACAGCAGCTCCCCTACCATGAGGGTCAAGTCCTTAAGAGTCAGCAATCTGCACGCTGCTCGGCCAAAACAAAGACTGTAATGGAAAGAGAGAAACTGGTGTGCCTGTGTGTGTCAAGGTACATCTGTGTTTATGTCGACGCTGGATGCAGAGTTTTGTGATGAGTTGGCAGGTTCAGCCGCCTGCAGTGGTTCAGCATTTTCCTCTTTACTGGCTGCAGACTGAGCGCCTGTTTCCCCTCGTAACAAGCTGCAAGTCACAGTAAGAGCACAGCAGTGTTCAAGTCGTCTGTGAGGGGCCGGCTGAAGCTTTCCAAAGCTGTGAAACAGATTCTGATTGCTTGTGCATATGTTATCACACTTGAAGGACATCCAGACGTACACAATGACACCGTAGCATTGAAGTGCATCAGTTTTTGAGTCCTGATTGAGTCCGAGGCAAGGCAAGTTTATTTGTACGGCACCATTCATACACAATGCAAACCAAAGTGCTTTACAGATGGAAGAGAATGCATGAAAAATTAAAAAAGGAGAGATTTAAAAAAAAAAGTTAAAATCAAGAAGACATAAAAGGAGTTAAAATCAGTAAGACAGAAAGATAAGTTTTTTCATCTGTTCCATGTTTGCTCTGAACGCCATGAAAACTATTGTTGCCCAGAAAAAAGAAGTAAGTCACAAGATTTCAGACCCAGGGCTCCCAGATGGTAGTTAGTTTTCTCTTTGTCTATCTTGGAGTTGTACTAGTTTTCTATTCGTCTTTCTCAGAGTTGCACGAGTCTTCTTTGCGTGTTTCTCGGAGTTGTACTAGTCTTCTTCTTCGTCTATTTCGGAGTTGTACTAGTCTTCTTCTTCGTCTATTTCGGATGTTGTCCTAGTCTTCTCTTCACCTTTTTTTGGGAGTTGTACTAGTCTTCTCTTTGTCGATCTCGGACGGTATTAGTTGTATTAGTTTTCTCTTCATCTATATCATGAGATTGAAAATTGGAGAGTCGTGTTTTTTTTGGACCCTTCTTGCTCCCACTTGACCACATTTTGTCTTAGCACCTTTTTTTTTTTTTTCTTCCTCTCTGGACGTCTCCAGCAGAGGTGTGTAAGTTCAACCTTACACTGGTTTTATCGAATGTCTCAGTCAGGGACTTGAAACCTTCTTGACGGGATTGTAACCATTTTGACGATTGGACTCAATCGCCAGCTCGTAACGCTACCAATCTCCCCAAACAAGTGGATGGACGCTGTAGTCTTAAGCAAACTTTACTCAAATGGAGGTGTACGGAGGAGTTTTTCCTGATTAAATAAACACACGTTTGGAGCTTTTCAGAGTATTTACATCAGTATCATGTGTATGTTGGAATAGCTCACGTTAAACCAGATGCTCATGTTTAGCTTTACATGGAAAGATGTCAGCTAGTTCAGCTGCAAACCCCAGTGATGTGTTTTTAATAGTTGTGAACAACAATGGAGGTCTGTGGAACATAGAAATAAGATAAACAAAGCTCTGGCTACAAAGAGAACGAGTTATTAGTTTAATTTATTCACTGCTGGTTTTGGTCTTTTATGGGATTTGTTGAAAACAAGAAAAACAAACCATACTAACAGAGTTATCCTGGGGAGATATGAGACAAAACCCCCTCAGCCAGTTGGACTAAGGTCTTCTTGGTTACGGTACAAACACTCAAGACAGAGACACTTTCAAGAACAAAATCAATTCAAGACCCGAACTTTAATAACTTCAGTTGATTTCATCCAACGTGACTCAAAGACAAAAAATGAAAGAGGCAGAATCAAACGCTGTCATGTTTGCAGAGTAAACAGCAAACTATGAGGAAGAAGAAATGAGTTTTCAGCTCAGCTCTCTTTTTGTATACACACAGTTTTCTGCATTTATGTTGTTATATTTTATTTAGAAATAATGGCTCCAAACTAAAGCATTGATCCCGTTTTGTTTGCTTTTGCACATTTTCTATAATCCTCACACATCTGAGACAAATAAGGGATCAGATCAAGACTGAGAACCATGGTCCTGCCTACATTTCATTAGTCGTTTGCTTGCTGACATAATTTAATTAAAGGCTTTTTCCTCTTTGGGAGGATTTATGAAGTTTTAAGAAAACTCGAACAGCTACAGCTCGAATTTGTTGTGAGATGTCCTCGAGGTTGTGTCTGTTTTCTCAGCTCCTCTGAAGATTTTAAAAGCTCTTGACCTCACGGCCTGTTCTGTATATGTTTCAGGATCTCAGCTAATAAATATAGTCGCACAAGTGTTGTCCTTTACATGGTTTAATCATGGGAAGATCAGCTCGGGACACAGCGACTTAAGATCCTTATGAATGTCTTTTTTTAGTGCCGCGTTTCCCACAACTTTCTGACCCTGGAGAAGGAGGACGGACATGATTTGTTTTTGGGTTGATATTAAGCGAAGAGATGGACGTCATGATAAAAGAAATGAGGCTTTCATGGTGGGAAAGAAGGAACAAGGAAGAGACTGATGCGTAAAAACTCAATGGTGGGATCAAATGTGAGTTACAGTTAAAGAACTAACAACCTAGGGCTGGGCGATGTAGGCTAAAAAATGTATCACGATAAGTTTTGCCATTCTGTGCATAACGATGAAAGTCCGGATAAAAAATATTAAAATTCCTTTCCATGTTTTTGAATCATTCTGTCTTGAAAACACCAGTTGGAGTAGTCAAATAAGATACTTAACCACAAGTTTGAGTGGTAGATTATGAAGAAGACTAGCGACATCTCACATCAGACCACATCACCCTGTCCTATGTGACTTTTAACCCACCTTTAACCGGTTTTAAACATCATTTTAAGGCTACATTTTAAGAGTTTTGTTGACTTTTAAGTTGAAATTTAACGTGTGTCGGTCTTTCTCTACTGACAAGTTGCGAAAGTAAAACCTGTCCCGCAAAGTCTTTTACACCCAACAGCAACTCTGGGAAGTACCATGCCTTCACTCACCTCTCCCTCTGGTGGTGACAGCCGCCTTCGATTGACCCAGAAAATCTCTGAGCATGTTTGTTTGTTATCCTGCTCTGTGTGGGCTATGGCTGCAAGTCCGTCGCTCGCACTCACGCCATCAACTTGCATTTATCGCGTTTATCGTGAGATGTCAAATATTTATCGTGGAGGAATCTTCTGGCGATAAATCGTGAATGATAATTTATTGCCCATCCCTACTATAACCTCATGAAAGTTACACTGAGCAGGAAGTTTGCTGTAGTATAAATTTGTTATTATATACATGTTAACTTTTTAACTGAACATACATGACTGCTAATGCTCCCGACATGTTTTATGCTGTCTGATGATAAAAGAGCCTTCAGTGGATTTAACTTTTTGGACCAGAGTCCCAGAGATTTCATAATCGCACATTTCAGAGCTGTTATCACAATCCTGTAATATTTCTCCTGAAGGTTATAACACTGTCAGGATCACATACAGGCCCATACATAGAGGACACTCTCTGCTTATCTGTGTATTTTATTGCAGCATGTTACTGTTACGGAGTGTTGGTTGATGGAAACAAGGCGGTATACGACTCCAGTGTTTTCAAACATTATTTATCATACGTGACAGATAATTCAATGTTAAGACTAGAAAAATAACAGCATTTTAAACCTGTTTCACATGATGTAATAATATGACATTTCAAATTAAAGACAATAACTTGACTCAGAGATGCAATCACAGTCCAAGGATGGAGTTATTTCCTGGCTGACGGTGCAGAAACAGTCCGATAGTAAAGCTCAGGAAGAGATGGAGAGGAAGTGAACGTCTGAATCAACAACATGTCTGCAGTGATTCACGTTGAAACCATGAAACAAAGCTCTCTTCGGCTCATCAATCAACTGTTGTGATCATCACAAATATCCTGATTAGAGCGGCGACTCATCACGGCAGAGAGCTTTTCGAATAGTCTCAACATGATTCAGCTTTTCCTCGTGCTTTGTTCCGTCAGTGTCTTTCATTAAAGGATGCGTGAAGTTTGATCCACAACTTGGCTCTTGTTTTCAGCTGAGCTGGCACTGCAGCCCCAAAGATGGTGGTATCTGTTAGCCGGTGGACCAGGTCCAGAAGTTTGAAGCTATTCTCTCTGAAAATCTTCAAACACCTCTAAAAGTTCACTTTTTGATACTTTTAACTAGATTTATCCCAACGCATTAGGGCTAGGCGATGAAACAATAACGATATTGAAAATTGATTTCTTTCGATATCGATATAAACCATGGTCAATGAGCTTTTCGATAATCGGGATTCTGCCATGCTTTGGTAGACTATACGAATAGCCAATAAAAAGGGGAGTTGCTCCGGGTCCACTTAGTGCTGAACCAATCATGTGCTGAATTAGAACCAAGTAGAAAACAACTGCGTAGTAGCAGGCTGCAGCTACACGCAACCATAGCACTTTAACATGTGAAGCCGACAGCACTGTTGAGGAGAAAAAAAGAAAACGAGCGCTACCCCCGGCAGAAATGAGGATGAAGGCTCAACAGATCAGGACATCGTCGACAACACTGGCAGGAAAACGTCGGTGGTGTGGAGGTATTTTGGTTTTTTGAGGTTGGACATGAAGCAGAGTAATGTGGACTGCAAATTATGTTGAGCACATGATCTCGCAAATTGGGGAATACTTCAAATCTTTTTCACCACCTGAAGCAGAGCCACACAGCAGAGCATGCGTAATGCAAAAGGTTACAAACCCCGAGCCGAGCAAGGAGCCCATGGCGTCTGTGCAGCTGAAACAGCTGACCATTCAGCGCAACGCCTAACGACAAAACATCGAAGAGACACAAAGACCTCACAGATGCAGTAGCTTATTGTATTGCAAAAGACATGCGACCAATAAGCACTGTTGAATTTCCTTTTTTCTTTCACATCATGATATATATCGATATGGACTGATATGGAAAAAATATATCGTGATAAACTTTTTCCCATATCGCCCAGCCCTACAACACATGTGAGTAGAATTGACTCAGTCTTATTGGCTTTGGATCCTGCTCTACTTTTCTGGTTGGGGTCCTCGCTCTGGTACGCCTGGTACCTGTCATTATTATGAGCCCAGATAGAAACCAACATTTTTACCGCAGAGGTGAAATGTGCCAGGTTCCTTTCCACATGAGGTGTGTAATGAGCTTGTCTCTGGCGCTGCTTTTGCTGTCGGTGCGGCGTTTTGGCCAATCGGAACCTAGTATTTAACACAGCTGGATAATAAATCATGTAAAGCCACGTTGTGTGAAATCAGTTGGTCTGTGTAATAATGAAGGATGGCAGAAACCGGGGCTACATTATGGCGGTTCTATATGCTGTGAACTCTGTTTTCTTAGGAGCCGCGGCCGCTTTATGTTGTGGACGGAGAGGTTTTTCACCCCTCTTCTTGCTGTGAAAGTTTACAATGCAAAGCTATGTTTTCTGGTTATGGTTTGTGGAAGGGCTGTGTGTTTTATAAGGAGCTCTATGTGTCTCCTCACCAGTATGATCAACACAGCATTACGGCACATATAATTACAGCGCTGTATGGTCATGTCGCTCTGAAACCTCAGCCAGAGTCTCCATTTTGGGTTTTCCACCATTTCACTGCCCAAACTTCACATTAAACTCTTTTTTCAGATTTCAATCCAAGGTGTTTAAGTCTGTGTTTGTGTTTACTCTGCTCCGTAGGTGTGTTTGTCACGCTGTCTTAATGTTTGAAGTTGTTTTCTTGGACCCCTCTGCTCTCCCTGACCATTGAAGCCACAGCCATCCTGCCTGTGGTTTTGGTCGGCAGTGTGTGGAGGGCCGGGCAGCAGTTTGCATGTGGGTCTGTGTGCAGAGCGCACGAGCCTCGAACACGTTGGAGTAATGCAACGGGGAGAGCAACACAAAAAAGGGCCTCCAACTGGCAACAAGCCCTGATCTGACAACACAAAAGAGAATTTGAGAGTAAACCACATCAGATCGCACACATCTGCAGAAAGGAAACATTTCAAAAAGAAAGAAAACAAGTGGGATTTATTTGTTTTTTCAACAGTGTCCCCGAAGAGTTCGGCTACAACTGTGGTTTTAATTTATCCCCCTGTGCAGATTTATTGTTTTAAAAGGAGTAATGCACAATCTCAAAGGATATAAAAGTGTTAAAGTTAATTCGCAAGAGCAGAAAACAAATGTGCGCGTCTTATATGAAGGGTTTGATGAAATCTTGATGCACTTTTTGGGGATTCGAAGAGGATTAGTGCAACAAAACAACAAAATGCTGCTGACTCGATTAAAAACGATAAACTTTATTTAAAACTCAACTTCTCTGTTTGTAATCGTTTATATTTACAACCTCTTTGTTATCGATGATAGTCCTGTATTAAGGAACCTCTTATCCTGCCCTCTTTCTACCACATGATTAAGTTTTGTCGTACCCTTTAGCATCAGTTTTGTTTTCCCATCACACTGACTATTTCAGGTTTAGATGCACGAAGACACTAGCTGCGTTTACATGTGCACAAATAATCAGAATAAATGCCCAATTGGAATGAAAATGCGTCATGTAAACATGTCGATCGGAAGATTCTGATCCAACTCAGCTCAATTGGAAAGAAATTGCATTCTGATCGAGAGGGGTGGTTTATGCCGATCGTTACTCTGAAACACGTTCATGTAAACACTTATTCCGATCGTGACTCTCTAACCTGACTCGGTCTTCACTCTTTAGCCTTTGGTTTATTTATTGAGGTCAGTACAGAAGGTTCATTATTAACACTCTGGCATAAAACACAACCGCAGGTGCGTTAACATAACAAGGCAAACATACAGCGTAATGACGTCACATCTGTACGCACAGTGCAACCTTTGACAGAATAGTAAAATAAGTAAGCAAGGGCGCCATCTAGGACAACATTTAACAAGGGGAAAATCCTGAATTGGATGGAGTAAGCCACTACTGCGTTTGTTGTTTTGTTGACAGCACAGGCGTAAATACAACTCTTCTTCTTCTTCTGCGGTTGTTTTAGTGAAATCAGACAACTCTGTGCATGTCCAAATCCTTCTAATCTGAATAAAGCTTGGTGCATGTATACGCACGTCATGATTTTTTGCGCCCATATAAACAGTGGATTCAGATTTTCTGATCCCTCAAATTTTAAATCAGATCAAGACATTTTTCCCATGTAAACATGGCAACTGGTAGAGTTAAGCGCCATGATCAGGAATCAAATCCTGACTGGAGAGGCTGGTGCAGTTTCTCCGACTACCTGCTTTTGTTAATGATGTATTTTAGATAACATTCACGATGTATAAATACGCTGTGTTTCTTTTTAGTAACATCTAGCATTCACACTCTGGAGTGAAATGCTCCCCTGCTCACCCCTACAGTCAGTGAAGCTTTTGAGGACAAGAAGCACCTGTGATGCATTGGCACCCAGTCTGTGCTGCTTCATTCTGAATTCTGATCTAATGTCTCACACCTGCAAACACACAGACACAGAGAGTGGAGCATTGTCCAGTTAAAGTAGTAACTGTGGGAACTGTTCGAGAGTCCACTTGAGGGTCCAAAGGGTGTGATTTCCTAATTTACTGATACTGCCCAAGAACGGTGAGCAGGATTTTCTCCTGGTGCCGCTCTTAGACTGGATCTGTTCAAGTGAAAACTGCCACCTCTGCTTCTGGCAGCAGGTTCGAGTCTGTTCAGTTTCAGTCTGACCTCTGCTCTGTGTTGAACTCCTGTTTATGTCCTTGTTGTCTGAAACCATGGTGACCGTATCTCTCCCACCGCTGTTATCCACAGACTCTGCTCTCTGTCACGGTGGGGACCAAAGCTGTCACATGACCTCACCACCTTCTGACCTCACTCTGAAAGACACTCCAACACAAACACACTCATACACACACTGAAGCCTATCTACCAGCTCTTTACCCCTGCAGGAAAAAGGTGTGCACTCCACTTCCTCCTGACCTGGACTCTACTTTCATGTTTCAGTCACTTTGAGTCAAATTATGAAGTTTAAGTGGAATATTTGTGCTCTCTTGTTTTTGGAGGGACCGCAGCAAAGTGAAGGGACAGACCTATAATTCTGAAAGTCTGTTATTGACTCAGTGAGTGAGTGAGTGATGAGGGAAAACTATTGGTCCTTACCCTTTTAAAATGAACAGTCTTTAACATACCATAACTCCATATTTGGACCTCTAAGGTTAAAGCAGCTCTGGAGACTTCTTCTTCTATGTTTGGATATAACAGATGCCAAACCATCTAGAGCTCCCCCTGCTGACTGGCTGCGGTAGTTCACAAAGTCCACCTCCTTAGTATAAACAGATAGAACATGGGTCAAACATCTAGACTGTATAATACATGGATGTAGTGTCTGTAACGTCATCCTTCCGTTTGTTTGTTTGTTTGTTTGCAAAGTTTTGAAGCTCGTCAGCTGTGGTCGCCATGTTGAAGTGCTGACTCAGCCTACCTTTCAATCAACCTATCGAGAGGTAATGAGGCGGGCCTTTAGCCTCTTCGCAAGGGGTGTCCTGATACAACTTTTTTACTTCCAATATGATACCGATATTGTAGCCTTCAGTATCAGCTGATATTGATCCGATATTGGCACAAATTTGTGCATGACATGTTTTTCACTCAGCTGCAACGTCTTTTTTGGACTTTAATGAAAAATACTGCCACGCGGCCGACATCACTCTTACTCCTTGCTACTTTGTTAGTACCGTAGTACACACTGTTGTTGTGATCAGGGCTCTGCATGCTCGATACTGGTGCTGCTAGCTAGAGGTGCCGGAGTGGAGTCTGGAATGGACTGCTGTATTGAAGTGCTGATATCAGAGATTTTAGATGCAGGTCGGTATAATCCGATATTTGGTTTTTGGCTGATATCAGACCGATATCCGATACCAATATATTAGCGGGACATTCCTACTCTTTGCCAATAGCTAGGGGATAAAAAAAACCCTCACTCCCAGTCCAGTGTCTGTTTCCTGCTGCTTCTGTTGCAGACGCTGTTGGGATTTTCACTGTTTTTTTGTTTGTTTGTTTTTTCAAAGATGAATCCTTTTACCTTTATTTGATTGATTCGACCGTTGATGAGAGGCGGGATATGCAGTGGTCAGCATAAATGTGTACACCCCTTTAGAGTTGTCAGAAAACCTTTAGTTTCCTTTCAAAACCAACATTTTCCATGTCAGACCATGTGACAAAATACTCCTCCAAATGGGCCAGTGAGTGTAAACAAGATTTTTTATGTAACAAACAAAAAAGTATTTATTTTTTTATTTAAAATCAGGATGCAAAAATAAGTACAGCCCAATCAAAGTTCTGGGAGCAAAGCTAAATTTTAGTTAATATATCACCCTTACTTTCATCTTATAGTAAGTGAAATGTTTGTTAAACTCAGCTTTGTCAAAACTTTGGAAATTGTACTTTTGCTCATCTAGATATTGAGTAATACATTACTTTTAATAGTGGTTGTACTGACTAATGCTGGGCACTGTATATGATAGGAAGAGCAGGGGATGATAGACTCCAAACAGAGTCAGGATTGGGACTTGAACTAGTAGGACAAGGACTGTAGCTTTTGCACACACAGTGTCTGTTCTTCAAACTGAAATAAACCAGGAGATTTTGTGGAGGCTTGTTTTGGCTTCACTTTTGTACAATAGGAGGAGATGGAGCCATTTTTGCATACAGTCCATGTTCAGCAAAACTCACTACTCTGAGATCAGGATGTAGACAGACTTCTCTGTAACCTCCCCTCCCACTCACTCTACAATCAGGCTTTTCAAACCCAATCGTTGCAGTAAACTTCATGACAAAGTGCAGAGGACAAACATCAGCCAAGATTCTGACCACATTAACAAGTGATCTTATAACTTCTTCTGCATATGAAGAAACGCTGCAGTAAATGTAGGATTTAACACTGACTCTTTTACTGACTGTTTCGATTTTCCCTGCTGGCCTCCTGCAGTAGGAGGGTGGATGTTGGCCCCTGTGCCTGCGTGGGTCAGCAGCAGTGTACTTTGGAGCTGTAATGTTCCTGTTAGACTGAAGTTTGGTCATATGTTGGACGTGTTTTAACTCAGTGACTCTTTCTGCAAACCGATCTGACAGAGGACAGAATAAAGAAGTTTAAAGGAGAGAAATGAAGAGGACCCAAATACCCCAACTCCAGTTTTGTGCATGTTTCATGTGCAGCAGATACTGGCGCTAGGTCAAAAAGGAAAAACCCGAATACACTTGTGCGCGATAAAAAACTCACTAACTGGTCTGGACCTGTATGTAAAAGCAACCAGCCGCTCAGCTGCCCGTCTGTCATCACCATTAAAGGTGGCCACAGTGGGCTGAAGCCGCTCATCTTTAGCAGCTGGCCTTCGCCCTCCCCCTCAACACCCGCTTCTTCTTCACTCAACTTGTGCTGCCGGACTTCGTGTTTGCTGCTGCTACTGTCTGCCAAAATATGCAATCAATGCAAAACATGTCAGTGGCGCCAGTTTGGCCTATGGTTAAATCCTGCACTCAGAGTACAGAGACTACAGGCCTCAAAGCAGGTGGTTGGTTGGACTCCAACACGCACCCGTTTGCTGCGTGTCATTTCCTTCTCTCTATTTCCTGCTCTGTCCGCTTCTTCATCTCAACAAAAAACATCTAAAAATTCAGATTTCATATTTAAGGAAACACTCTCCAGAGATTTCAGCCTTTGTTCATTTCAACACCACCTCTTTTCCAAATCTCACTTGGATTTCTATCCATATGGTTTTACTCGTACAGTGTCCTATGTAGTCGTAACCATGGTAACTGACATAAAAAGCCTTTGTTTGAGGCTTATGCTGCTCATGCCCCTGATGTTGCTCATGATCCTGCAGCTTACGCTCTGTGTTTCTAGTCTGACTTCTGCAGCCTGTCTATCCTGGAGGGTTACTTTGGTGTTTCTGAACTGTCAGTCGTAAGAGCTCGGCCCTTTAGCTGAGAAACCTTGACTTAAAACCAGAGTAGAAGCGAGGCTATCGACTGCTGCAGGCACACGGTATATCTGGTGAATGGACTGTTTTTTTATAGCACTTTGTTAAACACTCAAAGTACAATCATCTGTTCGCACCACATTCACACAGCCCTAGGGATTTTTGTAAGGGTTCGTGAACACTGAGGCTTTGTTTTTGTCATTTCTTGAACCTGACAGATGTCTCTCCTACCTCTGCTGTAGTACTGACAAGTACTTCACTCAGTCTCACACAAAAAAACAAACCACTCCGTTAAATGACAGCGTTCAAAAAAAAATAAATAAATAAAAGATGCATGTGTGACAGACGCCAGCAGTTCTGATTTGTGATTCTCCAGAACGTCCAGATGGTCAATCTGCTCTCGGGCAACAATATCTGATCTCAGCTTTGAATTAAATGTAAAATAATCCCATTTTAAGGTTGCTGTGCTTTAGATTTTGCATGTTCATACACACATAATGCACGATTAGTTGTAGTTTTATCATCTCCTGCAAGATTGAATAACTGATGACCGCCTCACATCCTCTCTTCTGGAACTGAGACTTGAATCGGTGCAGGATTGGAGACCAAAAGGGTGGCAGGGGGGTTCAGGACAATGCCAAAGATTTCCTGAATGAAAGCTGCTCTGAAGTTGTCAATATGACAGAGTTCACACGATGTGATTTCATTAGTTTTTCCATCGCAGTTCCCCTAATTAAGAGAGCTTTTCAAACAAGTCCAACCCAGGGGACTAGATCGGCAGGCTGCACCGGGCATCTGCGGCCGCATTTAAGAAGTTTGACAATGATCCAAATTATTTACTACCATGTTATTTCTGGAAACTTAAAAACTCTGGAGATCAGCTCTTATGATTTTAGGATACAGTCATATAAGTGGGTTTATTGGTCTGAACAACGAGACAAAAGAAACTCTACAAAGTGCTGATTTCTGCAGATGAAAAGGTCAAAAGTTCACAAGTGTCCCCTTTCTTGCATCAATCTTGCAGATAACAAATGCTACATGGCTCACTCAGCGAAATACTGACATCCAACTTCTGTGCAGCGCCTCCTCCTCCTCCTCCTCCTCCTCCTCTTCTCCCTCGCTAGATCATACTTTTGTCACGTAACTCCCCCGGGAACCGTCAACTACACTTGAGCTGCCAAGAGTTTTCCACTCAGCTTTTTTTCCAGAGTGGGGGTTCTGCTCTTTTACGGCAGAGTACCACCTTTTACCGCATATGATGTCTTGACTGTAAACAGAGCAGAACCTGTCGGTGTAGGCGGTGTGATTTTTCACCGCGTTCGCTCGATAATGTGGCAAAATTGATTATTAAACACCATGAAATATGTGTGTGTGTGTGTTTGAAGGTTTCCTGTGTGCTCTGGTGTTACATTTCAGGGTGTGGCACGCCATTGTTTCTCCCTCCTGTGGGTTGTAAAAGGGTCTCTGCCACCACCCACCCACCCAACATGAGGCACAGCAGCAACTGGGGAGTGTGTGCCAACCTGACTGCGGTCTAGCAGCCGAACCCGTCCCCCGCAACACGCAGAAAACCCAGATGCAAAGGATTATGGGGTTTTCTGTTCAGTTTACAGTAACTCCGGTTTAATGCGAGGGTGGGATAGGGGGAGAGGGGACTGTGGTCGATGTGTCACATGGACGACTCTGCTTCATTTATTCCACTTTGTGTCTGTTTTCTCCCTCCAGTAGTTTTATAGATTTGTTTTTCTAGAAGCTGAATTGTAAATTTGGGATGTAAACTTTTTGCTCTGCCCTTAATTTTTGATACTGAGGCTGATCAGTTAAACCTCCTTAATACCCTGATACACACACCGCAGCTTTATAGGCCAACTTTAAAGTGATCATGGTGCACAGCGAAGCTTTAATCATGAGCAGAGTGGCCGTGTTGTTGCCAGGAAACATGTCAGTTGATTTTTGTCCCTTTGCTCTTCTTTCTTTATCTGTCGTCGGAGGTTTGGCCAGTATTTTTACGCTCAGATTTTCAGAGTGCACTGGTTTCTCAATTATCTTTTCATGCTGAGGGCCCCTTTAAGGGAGTTCAGTAAGCCTGCAGCGAGATTCTGCATCTGGGATCTCAACTTGAAGAGATTTTAGTTCGCAGAGACTTCACTCTGGGTGGGCAGAGATCTTGTGTGAAAGTCTGATACATGAGCGATGTTTCTTCTCTGCTGTTCTCTCATTGTGTTAATGGTATTATAATAGAGTTAAACCACTCCTTATCCCTCCCTGTAGAAAGCCATGGTTGATGAAATCACTCCTTATACATCAGCTCTGTGCTGATAGGTTTTGCAACCACCTTCTGCTGCGGGGACTTATTACCTCATTAAACTATAATCACTAATTCATGGGAACACAAACACCAGAGAGTGTATTCTAAATACTGTCATTTACCCGGCAATATTTTACTTTTTTATTTGCATTGCAGCGACAGAGCTGAGCAAATTGATATCATGTTTGAAACACATTTTCATCAAGAGCACCTGCCTTCGTTTAAGCAGCTCTCCAAGTGTCTTGGTTTTATTTAAAGAAGAGTCCTCAGAGAAAACACTTTAATGTTCCTCCAAAATATTTCTAACTGGCTGCATCTTCATTTGCATCAAGTCATCACCCTATTAAAAATAATGGCCCAAGTCATTTTTTGACAAAAAAGAGTTCTTGGCCTAAATCATCTCTTGATAATGCTTCTAAATCCTTAGTTGAAAGAATCATGCCATGGTCCTTTCAGCTAGGGATTTAGGCGATTTTACCAGAGATGGTCAGCATTATCAAGAGATGATTTAGGCCAAAAACTCATTTTTGTCAAAAAATGACCAAAGCCATTATTTTAATAGGGTGAAGAAGTAAAAATGCAAAGTAACACAAAAACAAAAATAATTATGTTTAGACTTAAAGACTCTTCTGGGCTCTATGAAGTTATGTTACACTTAAAGTCAAGTCAGGTCAAATTAAAGCTCGTATAGGGAGTTTTTTATGTTTATAAAATCGACTGAAATTCATATTGATGTCTTTTCATGGTTTTCAAAAGCAAACAAGACCATTAACCTCATGATTAAAATGTTTTTTTTCTGAATTTTCTGTAACTGGTGAAAGGGGGTACGTGTTAGCCGAGCAGGAGCTTTAATTAAATCATAGGTGAACAAACGTTAATGAACGGTCTGATTACATTTTTGCAGCTAACAGGTTTTAAACTACATGAGGAAGATTTCTGGTGATTTGTTGCTCACGAAGATTATTAAACATGCAAAGAGGTCCAATATGTGGCTACGAAAACTAAAGAAAGGAGTGCAGTTTATGTTACAGGATCATTTCTTAGCATCATGAATCAAATCAAGACGTCAAAATGCAACTCTGTCCGCTGCTGCACGGCTGCCATCCTCCTCTTCCTCCTCTTCAGAGCGGCCAGAATAAACACAGCCAAAGTCCCGTTAATCAGCAGGATAAAAGCCAGTTAGCTTCCAACAGAGGTGACATGCAATCACATTATGAAGCGTTCAAGGTCGGGTCGGTAAAACAAGAATCAGGCAACAGTGAGTAATTTGTGATCATGGCGTGTTTTAGCTTTAGAGGAGATCTGCTGCTGATATTAGAGTAACTTATTACCGGGAAAGCCTGAAACAGAACATGAATTAGCAGCAGTGTGATTTACTCTCTGAATGTTTGTGAGAATGTGTTGCACCTGCTGGATTTTGAGTCATAACTCTTGAGCGGAAAGGCAGCGAACGTTGCCGTATTTCACCACATGGCCTTTCTTTGGCTTCAGCTGAAGCTTAAAATAGCACCAAGAATAAGGCCATTTTCAGTTTTTACGTTATTGATCCTGGAGTTACACGCTGGAGTCTGCAGCGCCAAGATGAGCTCAGAAACGGCTTTGAAGGAAAACAAAAAAAAAAGAGGTCTGGAGGATGGAAATATATTCTGTATGTGTGCAGAGTCTGAGTCTGTCTGACATCAGAGCACCTCGACATGAAAATGAACTCGTATTTGGCAGAAGTGTCTCTCCCATTCTCTCTCTCTTTGTCTCTCAACACTGCAGCCAATATTTATTCCTTCTAAAATATTTTTCTTTCCCTTTTTTACTTCCCTTTCCAATGGGTGACTAACATTTTCTACTTCAATTAGCACTGCAGCTGCGTAGAAATAAATAAAGAGGACAGAAATTTGAGGTTAGAAAGAACGGAAACAGGGAAGCAAACACTTTGATCAGCGCCATGTGTTTTTCCCGGTATCTCACCAGAATGAGCGGTCCTTCCTGTCAAACCTGTTATTAGTTTTAATCCAACTTATTCTCATTAAATCAAAAAGGAAGAAAATGTACATCATTTAATCACAGTGTGCCCTACACTTAAACGATTTGAGTGCTGTCCCTCTGGTCTGCTGTTTCTCAAAAACTGTGCGATGAATTCACTTGAAAGGTTGAATTTTAGGACACTCACAACGACTTAAATGATCTCCAAACTTTTCCTCTGAAGCACAATAAACAGGTTCCAAAATTTACTTTGCAAATGACATGTCTACAAGAGGGATTTTTACAGATTACGGCACAGATGATTGTTGTTTTCACAGGATAAATCACTGTAACTTAAAGCTCCTGTGGGGAGTTTTCAAACTGAAATAAGTACAGGTGCTTCTATGGATCCCAAATGCAAAATAGGCTGAAATTGATGTGACTGATTATTTCTGTAGATTTATTCTTGTTTATTTTTCTAAATGTTTTCTCTGAAGCTTTTGCTGGGGTAGAGTGACGAGCCACAAGTATTGACAAATTCCTCACAGGAGCTTTAAAGTAATATCGTGACATTTGCGTCTTTTGCTGTTTCAAATGCTCCAAAACTTCAAGAGCAGATACCTGAAACAAAACATGTGGCATTCCCAAATGTTGTGTTTGGTACCAGAAAATGAAGTTTATTGGGGTAAAACATTTACAAATGGGGTGACAATATTCTGAATCCCTTAAAAGAAGACATTACGACGCTGGGAGGAGTCGTGCGCAAAATTTCGGTACACCGTACACAAACTCAAACTCACAACTTCGATACAAAACCCCTGATATTTGAAGGGTTTTATAAACTCCCCCCGGACAAGGCCAGACAGCCCCCAAAAAGAGGACATGTCTGGGTAAAAGAGGACATATGGTCACCCTACGAACAAACAATTTTTACTGATAAAGAGCCAAAGTTAGAGGGCCTTGGTTGTACTTTTGTGATCTTATTTAGAGAGACAGCACTTATTGATTTGGGGGTCCAAAAGTAAAAAGAAAAGGGAGAAAGATTTAATGTGTCTTCACGCCTGAAGACTTGCTCAACATGCAGTTTCTGTGCAGCTCTGAAGCTTTTTGTCGAACCGTTTGTTTTCACCATCCTGGTACCTTCTTGTCTCTCGAGTGAGGCCCTGCTAGACTGGTCCACCTCTCTTGCATCCCTTCATATTTTTCACAAAAGAAATCCTCACACGAGAAAACTTCTCTCTCTGCATTTTACTCTTGTTTATTGCTCCTACCAGGTGTAAAAGAGGCAGCAAAGAAGGATACATCCTTGATTTAACAGCACGAAAAACAAAATCAATTTTAGATGTTGTCAAAGTTATGATTGTCTTTTCTCTGCATGAGTGTAACTTAACTGTCCATCTTACTTGAGCAGGAATATCGATCAGTGGAGAAAGTGTCTGTCTCTCATTTAAACTTCATCAAAATAATATTGTACTTGTCAGCGCTCATACTCATCCTGAAGGACCTTTAATTGAGACAGAATATGTTTTAAAGCAGCCAAATGTGTGTAGTATGGTTTTTATTAAAGGATTGCATATGTTTCCATTCAGGCTTTGTTTTCACTGAAGCCCCTTTAAGGACATTGTGGGGCTTTTAAACGTCTCGCAGCATTCCTCAGATGGAGCTGTGCGTGTACTGTACGCGTGGGCCTCAGCTTTAGACCTCCTCCGAATGAGTCAAGAGGAGCTCGGTGAATTTGCAAAAACGTCCTCAGGATCTAAAAATAGTTTCTCTCTGAACTCGTTTCAGCGTATGGGACTCATTTGATGCGTGTGTGTGTGTGTGTGTGTGTGTGCGTGGCATTTTGCCTATTTTTTGCTGCTTTACATGGCCACATGAAAGATTCTTTGTGTTGGATGAGATTGTCTGCTTTTTTCATTAAAAACTGGGTTTAATATGCTCAAACAAACTCTGCTGTGGAGATTTTTAACCCGCCCTGGTTTCTGACTTTTGTTTTTCACCAGTTCACATGAACTGTGGCGGTGTACCAAGTCTCTGGTTAGCAGGCTTCTCTGCACTAACAGCTTAAATTATTTAACCATTTTCTAGCAGCATGAGTTAACATGACAAATGACCTTTGCGGCTTGTCGTGCAGTTTGATTGGTCGGTTTGTACGGCTGCATCCTGAATGCATGAATATAACCACTTAAACCAATTGTACGCTGTCCGTGAAACAGATGCTCAATTTTGGAGTGTTCACGTTCATACTCGTGAAATGATCAGGTGATTGTGGTGCATACTTTCAATACCATGCACAACACAACCGCTGACCCAGAGTTAGCCGTCAAGCTAGTTTACATCTGTGGTCCCTGGGCAGGAAGGTCATCCGTCATTAGAAACGATATCACCTGCTTGAACACCCTCAAAGCATGAAATGACTTTCCCAAACGACATTCAGTGGACCTTCAGGCAAGTAAGTGTGACCCCCCTTCAGCAGACTCTTACAGCATGTTTTTGAATGATGTGACCAAAACAAATAAGATTAATCAAGTAAATAACACAGAGACAGAAAATAGGAAGTTATTGTAAAAGATACTATCGCTGTCAGACTGTTAAAAATAAAGAATTCGTGATGGTTATAAGAGTGATTGGCCCAAAACACAAACTTAAAACCATAGACTGTATGAACGCTGGATGAAGCCACCTTGAGAACAGCACCCTCTGGTGACGGGCTGCAGTATAGGTCATAAATCCTGCCTCCTCCAGCAATCCCTATGGAGTTGTGGACAAACTTTAGAAATTTATTACACAGAATATAAATGTTTCTCCCGCCTGGTTGTGATGTTGACATGTAGTGATTGTAAGACTGGTTTGTGCTCAAGTCCATTTTTTTCTGTACAGCTTCATTTTTAAAAGTTATTACGGGTTCATGTTTTCTAGGATTGACACCTGATACAGCCTATGGGCGTACGAAGATTGCATAGCTCACCGGGGGGATACGCTGTTTGAGCCGAGCGTCATCATGGCGACTCTCCTGCCAAATGCGTACAACGCTACTGCACAATGTTGGTTTCAGGAAGTGGAGAGAAAAAAAAAGCGGGAATACCGAGAGCTTTTTGGCTTCAAATCCGTATACTGGCGGAAGATGGAACCAAGTTGTCCATAGTATATACAGTCTATGTTTAAAACCCATCTGGTTTCTTAAAGTTTTACTCAGGAAGAAAAATCAACTTAAATGTAAATTGAAATCATGATTTTAAATCTATTTTGATAATTGTAGATATCAACACATTAGAGATTCGTTGTCCATTGTGATACCTTTTCGGTCATATCGCCCAGCCCTATATTCAAACCTAATTTTGGATCATCCAGCTGATTCTCATCGCGGGCCAAACATCAGTTTTAATCACCTGTGATGCAGTTTATTATTGTTTTATTAGCTGCCCCCTACTGGTAGGATGAATGTATGACATGTTAGAAGTTCTGGTTCTGGCTGACTGCATCCTCTAACAGGGTGAATGTGGAGCTCTGAGCCAGGTCCAACTTTAGGACCTCGGTGGAAATTTCACTGACGACCGCCAAAGCTGTGTCCTGATTTAACACGAACAGTGGAAGCACATAAATTGTTAATTTCTGCGATGCTTCCTTAATAATTCACATGTACGGTCTGAGTTTATGCTCCACATGGATCTGTATGAAGTATAGAGGTGATGTTGTAAGTTAGCATTGAAGGCTAAAAGTAAAATGCTGTGTGGATCAATTGCAGCTGGCAGGCAGCTGCTAACCAGCAGAAGTTGTTTGTCGCTGTTTTATTGTTATATCTCGTGTGCTCACAGATGAAGTTTTGTGAACATCCTCACATGCTGTATGTGATTCAGATTTCTTTATTTTTTTCCATACTCGTGTTGATTTATTGTTTGTTGTGTCAAAAATGATCAGCCTCAGTCATAAACAATCCAGCTCCTCCAGAGCTCCTCTAATCGCTATTCCCTCATGTTGCTACTGCTTTAAACTGAATGGAAAAAACAGTCATAATACATCATGCTCCTTGTGCTTTTCTGCTTCATAGCCAACCTTGTCCAAGTGAAAAGGTTCAGAACTGCAGTCTGGAAAAAGCTCTGAGGAAGTAATGATAGCTTCGGCCTGACTGTAATGGAGAGAAAACTGTTATGTGAAAAAGAAAAAAAAAAAACGAGGAAAGGGGAGGAATCAATCAGTCCACACGAGCACACTAGTGGTGGAGACTTCATGAAAACTTTTGTGTTTAGAGAACTTGTCTTCCTCTATTCCACTAAAAAGCAGCGTTGTCTCTTTAAGAGTCCGGTTTCCAGTTGATTGTAGAACCACCTGGAGCCCCAGACGTATACCTGACCCCTCTGTCTCCACCCCTCTGTATGTAACTCAAACATTCAACGCAAACGGCAGCCGAGCCCGACTTCAAAACAACTCCCTCTGCACTCATTAAGCGCTCTTTTCTCAGCGTTTAAGAATTCCTATGCGGTCTGAAGCTTTTCCTTAATGAAGCGCAATTAAAACTGAGAGAAGGTAATGAAAAATATTTACCCCCAGTCCAATGAAGTGGCTGGTGAAGTTGATGACTCCTCTTAATAAAAGCCATATGCCTGTTCTCATAAAGTTCTGTTTTTGTGGCGCACATTTCTTTAGGCGTTAGCGTTTGCCAGCGAGTGAATCAACTCCTGACGGTGGGTAGGAGGAGGGATGAACCACGCAGTTTATCAGAAGCAGAAGATCTGATTTATGCCTCGGGCCTCACCGTGCCAAATCTCCAGCAGTGATTACCAGCCACTCAAAGCAGATATAAATCTGATAAACGAGGCTGTGATTGATTCAAAAGGTGTTTATGGTGGGCACCCTCAACATGGCACTAAGTACTCTTTATTCTGAGCTGTTTCTTCTGCAAAGAAAGGCAGTATTTTGTAAACAGTCTTGAAGTGGCTCTAATAGGAGTTGAACTGTTGACCTTGGCAGTATGAGCGGCATGTATTATTCACTGAACCACAAGCGAATCTTTCCCCCATCATAGGAAATTTCCCCAAATTTCCCAAACACTGTAAAGCGAGTGAAAATGCAAATATGTGCATGAAAAGCAGGAGAAATATGTTTCTGCACCACAAGTGGATGACATGAAGGAGACAGCAGGGCTAGAAAGTATTTTGACAGTGAAATGATTCAGGGTCAAACCTCTAAATCATACGTAGTTCTCCACTGATCCACTTTTGAATTCACCGGACCAGGACTCGCCAGAATTATAACCCAGTACTTCAAACTTTTCATCTTCTAAACTGAACTTTTGCTACTTTTCTTACAGGACAACATCCACGTTTGAATGATTGTACAGTTCACAAAGGCAAATTTATATTAAAAACAGGATCTGTAAATGAAAATATGAAAAAAAAAAGAACCCAAAGACAGGAAGGAGACGGGGCTAGAAACAGGATGTAATCTGATGGAAGAGTTATGTGATGGAAACTGCTGCCAACATCTGGGGTCAAATTGCAGTACGTTTGGATTTGTTACCCGGCCTTGGCCAAAATCACAACCTAAATCTTAATTCCAAGATCCACTCACTTTAACTTGAGTCACCTATAATTATTATTTTAGCAGTGCTAGCAGCTTGGTTTTGGGGGGATGTAGACTGTATGAAACAGGGTGGTGTCGTCCATTGGTTTCTGAATTTGATGTGATGCCCAGATTATAGTCGCTATGTTGGAGATGCTAACTCAACCCTGACTAAAAGGTAAAAAGTAGGATTAATGCCTCCTGAGTAACAGCTACAACATGTCACTACTATTCATAGAGACATAACTTTGACAGTAAAACAACAAATTCACTCCCCACACATTGCGGATGAACCCAGACTCATTGTGTAGCTTCTACGGCTGCTCTGAAATGACTGATTTTCAACGAGTCAAGTTTAGAGGTTTCGATAAAACTCAGAAAAGAGTCAAAACTGAGCACAGTTTATTAAAAACAGTTAAATATGAGTCTTACAGAGCTAGCGCCACCAGTCTTCAGTCCTTGGTGCAGGTTAAGGTCCACTTGTGGCCTTGAGATCCTGCAGAACCGGACCTTGCTTAAAGCACTAGTCTGCACTAATAAAGATATCCAATCCATTTTATTTGTATAGCACGATTCAAGGTTTCCAAAGTGCCGCACAGCAAGATAAAAATACAATTAATAACACAACAGAAGCACAAAGGATAAGGTAAAAATAAAATGAGATAAAACTCAATAAAATTAAAACAAACACAATAAATAAAATCAACAGAATAAAAGTAAATGAAGACGAATGAATGAAGATATAAATAAATCGACTAACAAATCAGTGCCTCTAGCACCAACTAGTGAGAATTACTCTGTTAAGTCGACCTTATTCACACATCCTCATTGCAAACATGTTTCTTTACGCTCTGATTTACATACAGGAATATTGCTTTTGGTGTTAATGGGGCGTCCTTAGGTTTTGTAGTCAGCCTCTAGTGGACACTTGAGGAACTGCAGCCCTTCTGTCTCTCAATATAAGCTGCACTAACTTTTGTAATCTGTCAGTTTTTCCCTCAGCATGAATAAAATCACTTGTCTTTGACTGTTGGCCTGTGAGTGAGTTTGTACTGAAAAGAAGCTTTTTACCCTTGGCTGTAGTTCGGGGTTAAATTGCTGGCGTACTGAGATGGTAAATCAGCATGTTAGCATTGTTATTCTGGGCTCTGAGCGTTCGTCTCAAAGTCATGCTGCTTTGAGCTTTAAGGATCCCAGACTATTGGTTTAGATTTACTGTAAGTTTATCTTTCTTGACTAAACTGGCTTTAAATCTGAGGGAAACAGTTCCTTTTTGTTTGAGTCTGACACGACTTAACTCCAAACTCTTGGGAAGAACTTTTTGTTTGTGTTGTTTTTGCGCCCCCTCTGGTCAAACTTAACTTCCTTGTTAATCCTGTCCTGTAGATGCAGATTGTGTTTTCTGTTTGCTGGATCTTCTGCACCCTTTTTCCTGACACCTCTGACAAAATCAGGCATCTATATTAGTAAAAGCCGTGGGATACTCTCAAAAGACACCATCCGTGAAATGTTGTTAAACTTTCCTCGAGTTTTTCCTGTAAGAGAGACATTTGTTCTTTCGCTCTTCTCCGAGATCTGAGATGTTTTTCATGGTTCACTTGACCGGAGAAGATGATCTTGATCCATGGCTGTGATGTCACTGTCCCAACATATCAGAAATCTCCCCGCAGCCATGAGGAGACGACATGAGAAGCTGTGGCGCAGTATTTCTGTCAGAGGGGACTTGTTGAGAAAACAGCAGGGACTAGACCGGACTGATCCTAAGTCAACACAACGGTCCTGTTTACTAGAAATGCCGTCACGTTCCCACAATACTTCAGCGGAGGGCTCGCAGCGCTGGCCTGCTGATCTTGTGTTCAATTTCATGAGACATTTTAAGATGAAAAAAAAGAAAAGTGGCTCCCTTTTGCTCCCTGAGAGCCTAACAGGGTCCCTGTGCCGAGGCTCTCTCTCGGGCCGATGCACTGATGGGATCCAGATGCTGCAGGAGCGTGGACGGGGACACAGAGGAGTGTGGAGGCCTCACTGCAGCCTTGATTGATCGGGGTCAGGACAGAGTTAGGAGTCACGTTTCTTCACTCTGATCCCCTCTCTCTTTCTAGTCCTCTTCCCCTTCTCTGCTCTCGCTCTTCCCCCGTATATATCCCGTCTGCTGTCAGGGTTGTGTTTTATGTTCCCTGTTGAGACGGCGTGGAGCTCAGCGGGAAGCAGACAGCTTCAAGTCTGGCTCTCTGCCTCACCTCTGCTGAGTGTTTAATGAACTCTTTTACAATCCCGGGCTAAATCTTAACCGCAATTTATAGGCACCGAGAACCAGTTTTTCAATGAAACCAGGCTTTAAAATCTCAATTTCTGTAAACAAAAACAATAAACTCAAACCTCTGAGAGAAGCAGGAGTGGAACTTTTTCCCGTAGTTTCCATTTGTAAGGAACTTTTTCCAACGTTAATTCGGCTCACAGTGAACTACAGAGTGATGCTGCATTAAAAAGCTGCTCAGATTTAGAGAAAACTCAACAATATGTGACCTCTCTTGAAAAAATGGCATATTTGATGTATGATAATGAGCATCTGCGTGAGTCGGACGTTTCACTCTTAATTATTTCATGGTTTAAGCAAAGTTATGCCTGATTTGTTTGCATACATCTGCAGCAGAGTCCGAGTGTTTTTCATTTGAGAAATGCTGATTTGATTTGGCCTCTCTTTGTTCTTTAAAAAAAGAAAAGTAGGGTGATATATATATATATTAATATTTTTTCATTCCCTCTGTTTTCACTCCCTTAGGACCATGCCCACTCTGCAGAGCCCCGCCCCCCTGCTGCTCTTCAGCTTCCTGATTGGTCTGAGCTTCTCCCTGAACCCCAGAGACCCGAATGTGTGCAGCCTGTGGGAGAGGTGAGCCCTGTCCGACTGTTTTTATATCCATATTCCACATTTTTTCTCACACAAACCCGCTGACATACTTCAGTGTCAGGGAGTTTTCCTGATGGTTCGGCGGGATTTACGAGGGTCAACAATAACTTTTAAGAAAAACAAAATAACATCAGACATGAGAATACAGATTGGTCTTGAATTAAAGGTCGACCTTAAATGCTTGACCCTTTCAGTCTGAGGCATTTTAAATTAATGCAAAATATACTGAGTGACCTCCTTTACTCTTTGATGAAGTATTTCTAATCTTATGAAAATGGTCTCTGCAGCTTGACCGTGTCCATGAGGGGTCACTGGCTTGTTCAAAGTCTATAAATGATGTGATTTTTACACTCTGGCCTCTGCAGATAATAAAAATAATGTGTGTTTTCTTCTTTTTGTGATATAGAGACAAATTCCAGGCCACAGAGAGAATAATTTTTAAGATAACATGATGAAAAATGACTTCAAAAGAAGTTTTTGGAGCATAAATAAAGTGGTGACGTTAACCGATGAACTAGAAAACTTTTTAAGAGGGTCTTCTTTAAGACAGATGATATTTTCTCCATGTATTTGATTTTTGTGGGTGATCATTTTAGTTTCTCCTTTTTTCAGGATCCTCTTCAGATTTCAGTGAAGAGATACTTAAGTGACCGTGCTGCTGTGAGACCTCGCATATTTCAGTTCAGGCATCTGGTCTATTATTAGACCTTTTAAGGCACATCTAAGACACTGCTCTCTGCTCTCATGAAAAATACCAAATGAGGGAATATCTTCAGCAGAATGATGTTTGTCCTTCTGTGGAGCTGCAGAGACATGAAGAGTTACCACCGAGGAAGGAGCTCTAAATCTTATCCGACCTCACAGAAAACCTTAAATCTGGTTTTGACTTCAGTCAGCCAAAGATAACTCAAACTTCCACCTTAAAACTACTTTATTCATTTCAAGGGGATGATATATTGTACCTTATAGTGGCATCATGAAAAAGACTGTCCAACCCTTAAGCCTCCACACCCAGGGGCTACAAATTTCCCTATTTAGTTGTATAACTTTCTACTGTTACTTTTGTTTTTCAGCTTCACCACCTCAGTGAAAGAGTCCTACTTTCACCCCTACGATCATGTGACAGAAGAGCCCTGCTCAGACCCCCGGACCTCCTACAGATGCACGTGCCACAGGTAGCGCCGCAGTGATGACTCTTTTCCTGTCAGGCTGACCTCCTGTTCCTGCCAGAGCATCCTGTCTGACTGTGTTGTTGTTTCAGGATCACCTACAAGACGGCCTACAGGCAGGCGGTGAAGACCGACTACCGCAAGAGGTACCAGTGCTGTCCGGGCTACTATGAGAGCAGAGACAAATGTGTCCGTAAGTATTTAAATGATCCAGATGTGACGATTCAAACATCTATAATAACACTGAGACAAACATAGATAAGGAGGAAGAGTTAAACAGCGTAAAAACAAGGAGGTTTTGGAGATGTTTCAGCCTATTCTTTAAAGCACTACCCCCAGAATAAAACAGAATAACTCAGTTTTAGCATCAAATGATCATTTCAGCTTTACATTTTTCCTAACCTGGATAACTAAGATTCCTCTTTCTGAGCAACAAAAACAAACCAGACTCTCAGCATTTAAACCTGAAGCTAAAAAAAGGTCATTTTTAAAGCCTGAAGCTGCTGCTGTGGGACCAAAACAGACTTTTTTTTTTACATTTTCCCCGGCAACCATTTCTCACAGATGTTATAATTGTCTGCAGAAGATACAGGGTGATATTTGTCTGTTATAAAACTAGGGATGTCCCGATCTGATATTGATATCGATTATCAGTCCAATATCAAGGAAAAATATAATACGAATATTGGATTATATCTGCCTCTGATATCAGCACTAGGATACAAACAGTCCATTCCAGACTCCACTCTAGCACCCCTATCTAGCAGCACCTGGATTTAGTATGCAGAACCCACATAATCACAACAAAGATTATGTACTAAGACACTAACAAAGTACCAAGGAGTAAGAGTGATGTCGGCCGTGTGGCAGTATTTTTTGTTTAAGTCTGAAAAAGACGTTGCAGCTGAGTGAAAAACTTTGTGCCAATATCGGATCAGTATCTGTATCGGCCAGTAACACTTGTGGAGGATAAAACCAGCAGAGATAGGAGGCACTGCTGTGTCAGGATAAGTGCCAAAAATCAAAAGTTTCCCACAGGAGATCTTAACTCAATTTTTCTATTCGTTTGTTTAACAGGATCAGAGCAATAAACACTCCCAGACATCACAATGTCCTCCTAAGAGTACTATTAATCAAATATACTCAGTCATTTGGATCACTAATAAGCTGTCCTGTTTAGCCTAAAAGTAGTCCAGTCTCAAACTAACATCCTTAAAAGTCAGTGAAACGTCCTCAAAGTGTTTATTCTTTACTTCTCCTATGAAATCCCAGAAAGTCTTTCAGGACACGGACTCGGTGACCTCACTTTTCTCACCGTGGGTGCGGCTAAAACTCGGTCATCAGTACACACCTCTGAGCTCAGGCTCCAAACAATACACAGCACACTGAAACTAAGAGTGTGTGGAGACAGAATCAGGCCAAAGAAGGAGAAAAGTTTGTTCGATTCTTCTGTAGTGAGTATTAAGGGCTTCGTACTTATATTCTGGGCCTCTGTTTGCAGGTATAAAATAAACTTCTGTAAGGCCCGACATTGATGCTCACTATAGTGATGAAGGAGAACTGGTTAAAAACAAAGCATCAGTGACATCTCATAAACTTAAGTGACAGTAATCCAACATAACTCTGTCAGGACCGAAGAGCGGGTCAAATAACACCGGAGAGAAAACAGTCTTCACATTTCTGACGTAGATCATCATTACTCACAGAAAGTTGATAATGTCTCTGTATTTTTATTTCCATTCAGTGTGCTTAGTTAATATGAGTAGCATATGACAGTGAAATAACCATAATTATGGGTTTTATCCTCACTGGTACTTCACATGCTGAAAACTCTCAGTGTACACTGGCTGCTGCAGCTGGAAATCTAACCCCAAGTGAAGTGTGTGCTGCTGTCATCTACAAACCCTCGTACACCCACCTTCGTTATTCACATATTTTCGTTTGGTTTTGAGGATTTGAAATCATTTCAACGGCTCTGATTTCATCAGCGGAGCATCTGGTCCTGATGAGTTCAGAGGTGTGGCTCTTTGTGTGAAAACAGCTCAGGATAAAACAACAAAACTGCAGCATTTCAACAGTATTCCCTAAATACAAGCAGATAACTTCAGCACAGACTCAGCTCAGCTATTACCGCCTTTAAGTAGTCTTTGGTAGCTTGTGGTTCTGACATGGAAAGTTATTTACATAATTTGTGGGGTGGTAAAAGCGGTGAAAGGCGAGGTGTTGGAAAAAGAGACTTGATATTTTACTTTCTGTCAATATGTGGAAGCCAGCAAATGTTTTACAGACTAAAATATCTCACAAAAAGTAAAGTAAAGCAGAATAATTAGGTTTACACTTCGTATTTAAAATAAAAAAGTGAAAACATATTATTCTTCACATCTGTCACTACTTTATGAAGCCACTCATCTGTACTTACATTATTTATGGACCTAATCTTAAAGGGCATGTGGGATTTTTCATTCAGATATCTTCATGTGTCTTTTTGTAATTGTCCTGCAGTATCTCAACTGTAGTCAAAGGGGCTATGTTTCCAGAACGGCGTCCCAATGTATCGTATGTTATTATATCATATCTTATTGTATTGTATCAAACTGTGCCATATCATACGTAATCGTATTGATCTTATCGCACCATATCCTATCATGTCTTATACCGTATCGTATCACGTCATACCTTATCGCAACATATCTTATCATATTGTATCGTAGCATATAGCATATCTTATTTTATTGTATTATATTGTATCATATCGCCCCATATCATATCTAATTGTATTGCATTTTATCACATACTATTGTATTGTATTCTATCGTATCTAATCGTATGTTATTGTATCGTATTATATTGCGCCATATGGTATCTAATCATATTGATCTAATCGCACCATATCATATCTTCATCGTCATATCTTATCATAGCGTATCGTATCGCACCGTATTGTTTTGCAACGTACCGTATCTAATCGTATCGTATTGTAGCATATCTTATTGTACTGTATTGTGTTGTATCATGCCATATCGTATCTAATTGTGTTGTATCTTATCGCATCATATTCTATCCTATCATATCTTATCATATTGTATCGTATCATATTGTATCGTATCATATTGTTTCATATCGTCTGGTATTGTATCGTATGTGTAATATCAATTCATTAGTTGTTGCCAAATCACGGTCTTCTGATATTAACCGTAACATTGGAAAAACACAAAGATATAGTTTATACAATAATGTACTTTGACAAATTGTATCACCTATAGCAGAATCAGTGTTTGATATTACTGTTATTATGAGAAAAGTAAGATATCAAATTAGATCATAAATCATGTAACATAACATATCTCATATTAGTTCATATCCTGTCATAAATCATATCTTATGATATCAAATCCCATCAAACATCGTCTTGTCTCACCGTGTCTGCCGCAGTATTATCATATCATAAATATCATATTGTATCATCATATATCATGTCATATTAAATCATATTATATAATTTTAAAAGTTATTACATAATCAGTGTATCATTAGATCATTCTTGCTGTAGGCAGTGTCTGCAGAATTACACCCGTGTTTGTACTGTCTTCATCGCGTCGCTCCTACCATGTGCAGAATCTCTGTCTTATTTCATTCTAACTGTTGGAAATATATGCAGCAGACGATCATACTGAACCGCATTATACCGTGGGTTTCCCTGTGATTTCCACCACTTGTTAATAACGTGCGGTCTTGTGGGTCTGCAACTTTTACTAAACTTGCTGTTTCAAATCTAAGAGGACAAGATGGCTCCCCAGAGCCAGCAGCACACCAGTTTCAGCAGTCCTCACATCACTTCATGACTGTAGCCAAAATCAAAGCAAACAGGACTGACTCAGAGACTCTCTGCTGACTCAGAGACACTTTATTTGTTTCCAATTTACAGAGCCAGAGCTGTGTACAAACAGACTGAGCTGTCAGCAGACTTTGATACTTGATGGGGTGAAAAACGTCTCTTGGGTTTGACTCTCACACCCTGTATCTGAGAGCACAGCGACCAAGCAACAGCATGAACTTGGACGCCTAAAAATTCAAGTAGATTCAAGATTTTGGAGATACAGTTACAGAGGAGGATCTGCTCCAGGAAAAAACACAGCTCTGAACCTTAAACGATCCAGATATGAGGTTATGATACCACGGATCACGTAGTTTCTCAATACTAACACTGCAGTCCTTTAAATGAGTTTTCTGAGCTAAGATGGACATTTGAATCAGAGCTTGTTTAGCAGGTGACTCATGAAACCCTTCTGAAACCATCATCCTTGGTTTTATTTCGGTCGTCTTGATCTGGATATTTATTTACCGCCTGGCGCTGTTTGTACGTCTCTGCTGTGGATCTCCATATTTGATTGTTTAACTTGGTTTCGCCTGGTTTGTGTCTTTCTCCTGACATCAAACTCATATGGAAATAACCTTTCTCACTTCAACATGTGATTCTTTGTACTCTGTATGTTTTGCAGATCCGTAAATAAACGAAAGTGAGGTTTGTTTGATGAAGAAAACATTCGTGCATCTGCTGTTGATTCACAACTCAGATTTCACCCTACAAATATGATTTTTCGAGTAACTGTGGAGCGAAAACCTCATCTTAAATTCCTAATATTAGTCAGTCTTGTTTCAGAATAAATGACTGGATGCAGAAAGATGCTTTTGCTGACAAACTGCAGTGACTTAATCAAATCCTATGGAGCCTCTCATGGCTTTGAGAAACTTCGAATCACCAGATCTCAGAGAGGCAGCCTGTAATAAGAGTTCTGCTTTGTGCTTCAAAAACTGACATTAGGGAGGTAAATGTTTTTGTCATCAGAGCAAATGTGTGTTTTTGTAGCTCGCGGCAGTCTCATGTGAAAAAAAGACGCCTCTGTGTGTGTTTAGACGTGGGTGTGTAAGTGTGTTTGTGTATTTTCTTTTGTATTCAAACACAAAAGGCTTTGATTTTACTGACTGGCAGCACAAAAGCCAAGATGGCGCCCTCTGATCGCTGTTTTGACTTCTATAATTGAAATATCTCTGCTTTCAACGTGTCATCGGTGCCTCCTCCTAAACCCACTTTCTGTACACTGTTTTTATTTCTTAAATATATCTAATTATATATAATTACGCCAACCTCCTCAGTTTGATTACATGTTAGCTTTTTCTGAGAGCCTCCGGCGTTCACACACCTACAACCAGAGAGGAAAATAATAAGTCAAGTTATTGTTGTGCAAAGATAGAAAACAGCAAAAAGCATTCAGATATATGGGAGTGGGTCTTCAGGGTTTGTGTGTTTTAGCTGAGTAAAGAATTAAATGTTCTTATCTTTGCAACAAGATTAACTTCTTGTTTTGAAAAATTAAAACTTTTTTCAATCATAATTTAGGCTTAACATGCTGTTCATACTGTAGCTGATGCTGTCCTGCTCTACTGTAAACAAGCATAAATGAAGGTTTGCATTTCTTAGTGTGGTGCAATTTGTCAAATTAGGGTAACACTTGTTGAAGGTGCTTGTAACATGCATTCAGTAATAGTTTATTAGCCTTTAAAAGGCCTTCTAAGATGCTTCTAAACATTAAAAAGTGTTAATAAGCATTAATTAAGCATGATTAATCCAGTTATTGTTGCTCATGAGATGGTTATAAGCTCTCACTGACACTTTCGACAGTTTATTTACCTGTCATAATCATCAATTAGACTGTGTAATGGTTAATTAAGATAAATGGACGTATTAATTAATAGCTTGAAACAACCTTTTATGAACTTATTACCAGTTACAGCATATAAGCATCTAAATATAAACCTTACTAGAGTTATTAATTGGTCTTTAATCGTAAAGAATATAGTGAGTGCTTAAAGAGACGCTTTCAAACAATAATAATAAATATTTATTATGATTTTAATTACAGTTATACGAACCTATATAAACAACCTGTTAAATTTAAAAGGTTTCCTGTAATTGGTAATAAGTTCCTTATGAGTGTGTTGCAAGCTAATATAAATGTTCATTTATCTTGAATTAGCCTTTATAAAGTCTGATTTATGTTAATTAACATCCCATTGATGTTAATGACAGGTATACAAACTGTTGACAAGTGTGTAATTAAAGCCCATTAGTTACCTATAAGAAACAATAAATGTTTTTTTAACACGTATTAGCGTTTGTAAGCGTCTTATAAGGTCTTGTTATTGACTAATTAACAATCCATCAATGCCTACTACAAGGATCTTTAATGAAAAGATCATGTGTGTAAGCTGTGGAGTGTTAAACCTAAATTGAACCACACAGCTAGAGCTCCATGTAACCAGCACAAACATGAGGACATCAGCCTGCAAAGAGGACTGAAGGCTGGTGGTGCTAGCTCTGCTAATGTTAGTGAATCGATGTGACATTGTTTCTCCACAGACTCATGTTTATTAAATCAGTCAGTTTGGAAAACCGAGTTCTCAAATGTGGGCGATTAGAAAACACAGAGACATCTTTGCATTGAAAGTCTAAAGTTTAATCATCTGTTTCTGACACTGGTTCGAACCATGAGGACTCTCCATTGAGGAGAAAGTGCCTTCAAAGCATGAATGGCATCTCACACTGATGCTTTCAATTGTACGGTTGAGCCCAGCTGTCGTGTTGGCAGCTCACACGCTGTTTGTGACGGGTGGAAAACATGCAGAGGGGAGGAGTGCTGTTCAGTCCGAGGGATTTGTGGGATGAGGATGAGGTCTTTAACAACAAACTTAATGATAATTAAGAAAGGAAATCGTTTTAATTGATCGATATTTGGGTTTGACTCTTCTTCTCAGCCATTTTGCTGCATGCAGACTCTCCTATCTTCTCAATAAAGAGGCGTAAAAAGCCGGACAAGATTCAAGTTGACTGAACTAGCTCTCAAGTATCACCCCATTTATGTTTTTCCTTTATTCAGAACAAGATTGATTTGCTTTAGGTCTGCTGCTGTTGTTTTCTGACTGTGGGGATTAATGGAGTTTTATTTTGTCTCTTATCTGAAATAGAAATGAGCTCTCAGCTGTACAGGACACACCTCCTACCAGCTGTGGGCATTTGTAATGCAGCTTTCACTGTAACATAGGAAGACAGTGGACAGCAAACCAGAGAGGATTTGAGTGTTTTAGAGAGCAGGGCGGCAGAATTTAGTGAGGCCAACGGAGACTTCTGGCAACCGTAGCAGCAGACGTCACCGTCAAGGTCAAAATGTTTTCACTTTTTCCCGCTTTTAATATGAGATTTCACAACTAAACTTGCAGCTCATCCCCCCGGAGCTCATACGTCTAACTACGCTTTTACGTAAAAACAGTCACCTGAAGAAAAAGACTCCTATTCTGTAAGATTAGCCCTATATCTAGGTGTTAGAAATTTAAATGCAATCTGGTTCAATCCACTGAAAAACAAGAGACTTTTGATGCAAGATCACAATCCTGCAAGTTCTCTAATATTGCGTATCGTTTGTGTCCTCTAGCTCATGTTCTCCAAAGCTAAAAACACGCAGCTCCTCCAGACGCCTGCACATCCGTCTGCATGTCATCCGCTGCAGCCTGACTATGTGGAGTTGACACAAAGCTGGTCCTGTAATAAACTCAAGTGTGTTTTCATCAACAGCCCGCTGCACCAAGGAGTGTGTTCATGGTCGATGTGTCGCTCCGGACCGCTGCCAGTGCGAGGGAGGCTGGCGAGGCGACGACTGTTCCAGCGGTATGAATCAGTCTTTTCCCCTCACTCAGACGTTTCCTCACTCTCTCCTTCACCCCCTCTCTCGCCGCCGTCGTCTTCTCTCTCTTCTCTCTCTTCAGGTACGAACACAAATAAAAGTTACCGTGCACAACAGGAAACGAGAGCTGGTTTAGAGTCAAGCGGCTCATCATCACACACTGAAGGCCGCTCCAATAGAAGCAGCAAGGGAGCCTTAAAGCGCGGCTCGCAGTGAGTCATGGATGTCAGCGTCAGTCCAGAAACAGTTTACTGGAGCAGAGGGATGATGAGAGGAGCTGCACCTCCACCTCTCTCCTTCACTCGCTCGCTGACACTGTTTCTTTTCAATGTCAATAAAAAGAGGTTTAAATTTGGAGCAGCTTTTATTAACACAGCTGAGAAGTGATTTTGAGTGAAGCTATTAATAAAAGAAACTTCCAGAAATGTGACCGAAACGGTGCACAAGCTATAATTTACTTCACTTTATTAGAGTTAAAGTAGCAAAAGCCGGTTTAAGATTGAAGAAACCCGCTCCATCTGCTCATTATGACGTCGTTTACCAAACTGAAGTCAGCAGAAACGGTTATATAATACTTCTTAAAAGGCATCATGTCAAACCAGTGAGTCTAACCCTGTTTTTCTTGTCTCATATCTCCTAAATTTTATCATCCGAACAAAGCCAAGTGTGAAACCAGAGCTGCGTTTCGTGGCGCTGCTGTTCCCCTCACCGAGACAGAGTTTTTCCACAACCTCCGGCCCGTTTCTCCGCAGTCAGCTGGGTCAATAGTACACAGCCTTCCTCCATTTTCTCCCCCAAATTTCTCTGCAGAGGGAGGGGAATTAGCTTTCACTGGTAGCGGTTGGTTTTTTGACAGGGGGATGATGGGAAGGGGAAATGGAAAATGTTACCCCACTCTCTCTTTCTCCCTCTCTTGCATGGCTCACTTCTCCCCATCTCTCATTTCACTCCCTCCTCTAAAGCAGCACTTCATTTTTTTTCTTTGTTTTCACTCGTTCACTTTCCTCCTCTTCCTCTCGTACTCCTGGCTCCTCCATTTTGTCCTATAATGGAGTCTTTTTTGGCAGAACGAGCCCCGACGCTTCCTGAATGCCTGTGTGTTGAGTTATCTAAGGGTGAGAAATAAGAGAGGGGCCTGAGGTTTTCATACTGAGCCCTCTTTGGGTATAAATATGGAGAGTTGAAAGAAGTGTAATCCATACTCTTTGCTCTATACATGAGGTGAGAATTAAAAAAAAACTGTGGTTAAAAAAATGATGAGAGGAAGAGGAAAGCAGCGAAGTGGAAAGATCATTCAGGAGTATTCATGCTTTAAAGAGCAGATTTTAATAGACTGACTCAGTGAGCGGGAATAACAAATGAGCAGCGAGGGTCAGTAAGATGTCCATGGGATTATACCGACTTTGGAAGCGAGCTAAACCCAAACCGCCGCCTTGACGGCTCTCGGGGGAAAAGTAAAAACTTTCCCAGCATGTCAGCGAGCAGGAGATGCAAATGTAGAGCGTGCCGGGTGTCTATTACTCACATATGAATCATTAGAGGCTCTGATATGTACCAATGTAGTGTGAACATGTATAAACATATCTCCATCATGTAGAAGGGACTTACTGACATTAACATAACATTATTTGGTCAGTGTGTTCAAGAACCTGTTGAGTTAGTCTGACTGAAACTGGACCTTCTGTATCTACTGACACCAACCTGCTAAAGGGACTGGGGATGGAAATTAGCAACTTGGCTATAATCCCATGTGATTACATGTAAATGTTCTTTAAAGGTAGGGTAGTCAGGATCTGAGAAAGTGCCAGTTTTTTGGGGAGAAATCTTGGATGTAAACTCTACCCCTTCCAACAGACGCTCCTGCTCGCTCGTATCGTTTCAATTAAATTCAGATATAATGCAGATAAATACTTCAGATCATTACAAATGGGGCCCAGTCAACGTGAAAGTAAACAGCATTGATGCTACTGTAGATGCCAACAGACGACCAGCAAACACAATGTTTGCAGGACTTCTACAACTAGGATAAAGTGATAAAGTTTAGCGGCGCTACAACATGCAGCAGGTCCGTTTGACAAGAAACACTTCTGTTACAGACACTTGTCTTACTTTGTTAAAGCGGTTTACCTGTCCAGCAGAAAGGTTACAGGGTCTGTAAAGCGTCCCCCATCATTTATGTTTTGTTGACCTGACTTTTTAGCTCTTGTCCGGTCTACCTCCGATTTAAGCGCCCGTTATCCCGCCAGAGTCTCCGGTATTTACTTTGTTTTCTTGCTTGTGTTGGCAGTCGTGGCCAAAGGAGGATTCAGACAATTATCAGTACTTTCTGGTTGGTTTCTACTGTCCGATATTGTAACACGCTAACTTTGTTTGGGCTCCTGAACGACACGGGGGAGCAGCGTCTGCCTCACAACCAATCAGGTTGGGGGAGGCGGGGAATGGATTTATTTACAGTCAGAAAGAGCGGGCCGCTCAAAACATTTTAAATGTTGACTACACAGACATAAGAGAACAGAGATATTGTTATATTACCAAATGTCATCAATAACTAATAGCTATTGACTGATATTAAAAGCTCTTTTGTATAAACACCACAAAAAAGATGCTTCTTTAACAGATTCCTACCTACCCCACCTTTAATGCATATTGTCCCATTAAAAAAAAAAAAAAGGATTCCCAAAATCCTAAATCCTAAATGCACATAAACACAGGTCTGACTGAAGTTGGCCTAAATCTAACTTTTTAATAATCTAAAATACCTGGATAATACAGTTGGCGTCAGGATTGTCTTTCCCACGCTTAACCAACCAGGAAAGTTGAAAAGTAGACGTGTTGCTAGGAAACAGGGTAGTCAATCAAACCCGGACAGAAAGATAAAAGTTGGATAATACGTACAAAAAGTTGTTGGTGTTTCCTAACGTGTTGTAAAAGGTCATCCTGGAGAAAAGGGGACATGTCTCTGCCATATAAACAGTCAAAACACGGGGGCCCAGTTTAGGTCCTTGTGGGACACCTTTACCTAAAAAGAAAACTCAAAAATGCGCCCTAACCCAATTTGTTTTTTTTAATTCTGTTTGGTTGTAATGCTGTTTGTTTACATGCAGCGTTAAGGCGTCATGTCATGCACCTCAGAGCTGCTGAGTTTGATTGTGTCACTGTGATCAATAATCAAACATGGAAACACTTGAAGCTTTGACTTTTAGATTTGATCAAATTTAAGATGAATTTAGCTAAGATGAGAGTGTTTGGAGAAGGTAAACATGCTCAGCAGCAGTGGTAAACACTCAGATATAACAGATGATTTTTTTTTGGCCTGATTTCTCTTCTCTAACAAAGTCACCTGTTATGGATCGATTTCAAGATTTTGTTGCCAGATTTTTCCGGCGTAAAGGACTTTCCCTTTTTTTGTTATCATCAGTCAGCTTGTTCCTTCAAAATCACACCTCTAATCCTAAATTTCTCACCCGTTCACTCATCTCACATCTGGAGGTATCATCCCTCGTCTCCTCAGCCAACCACCTCTCGGACCCTTGAGGAAAACTCCCTCCTGTCTTGGAGAATGTCTGTGTAAACAAGAATCTACTCCAGCTGAATTTCTCATTAGTTAACCTGACACACTCCAGCAGAGCCCCTCCACCGTGCCCACACAGAGAACAAATAGAGTTATGATTCGGTTAAACAAAGGAGGCGAGGGGTCCTGCTCTGAGTTAGTGCAATAAACACAACAGATCCCTCTGCTCCGGGCCAAATTTGGCTCTACTCTCCCCTCCGTGTAATTATTGTCAAAGTAGTTCTTGTGCCTCTCAGAGCTGTGGCAGAGGCACAGGGGGTTCAGGGGTAAACTGGGAGCATGGACACACATGATGTTCAGCTCAGGCCTGGGTGCACTCTCGATTTCGTGCGTGCAGCTCATGCAGAGATTCTCAGAGGTCAGCGTGAAATCGTTGGACTCGGCTCAGGAGGAGATAGCTGACGCCTGTCCACGTCTTGCGTCAGCTCATTCTCTCCAAGATTTCTAAAGTCTGAGACAAGTTATTGATGAGAAATTTGAAGAATGCACCCTTGACCAATCAGGTTTCCCACAGCATGATCCTGAGGACTGAGATCTCTTTATCGAGAATTGAAATCCAAACCGTGTGTGAATCTTCACCGCATGTTACACCCCCCGGAGCTGAAACTTAGACTTCTGTAAACTTGACCATTCAAACCTCTCCGCCCTGTGATCTCCGTGCTAATCTCTCTGCCAGTGCTACATTATTTGTTGGTAATTCAACACTGCTGAGCTAAAGGGAGGATTTAGATGTTGAAGCATGGAGGAGAGCCTCGGTAAGATGTGTTCGAGTCGAGGCTTTATGTCATCTCCAAGTACTCTCCTTTTGTTTCCTTTCTGCTGCTCCTCTTTATCCAGTTAAACTCACGACATTAAGTCAGATTTGTTTCTGTTTATTGTTTTATCCTGATATCATGTGTTGCTGTAAGTGACACCATGTTTAAGGATAGGGAAAAACTGATGAGGTTGAACAAAACAGACTCAAAATGGTCATACATGCACAGTCTGCAAGTTACAATAATCATCTATAATTTTGTTTTTCTGCAGTTTTCCCCATTTCCAGGATGGCAGTGTAGGTTTGAGTCAGTGTTTAGAGTAGGAGGCCTGTTACTGGAAGCTGACTGGTTTGAATCATTGGAAAATGTGGGCAAGGAAAGGAGGACTGTGTACTGCTGTTAAACTGAGAGAAAAGAAAGGAACTTTTTCTGAACGGATGAGTTTAAAAAGTGTGGAGTCAGTAAATTCAGGTGCTGTTGATTTAGACATGATGTTTGGTGCAGTTAAGAGAATCCCTCTTCATCACTTTGCCCTAATCTAACATTTTTACTGTCCACATCTGGGGTTAAGACTGGAGCGTCAGGGCTACATGGCCCTTCAAATGGCACATGTTATGAGAAATCTCCCAGAATGCTTTGCTAATCATAAGGAGCATTAGAAAAAGACTGGTGTTGTGTCGTTCGCGAATGATTCGTTCAAAAGAACAAATCTTCTTAGTGAATGAACCGAACCAAATCAATTCCTCAAGTGATTTGTTCGTTTCTCAGTTCAGTTGAGCTGTTAGCAGTGCAGCATCAATAGCACGCAGCATTGCCAGGTGGGCGAATGGTGAGTCGCTGCAGGGAGGGAGGGAAGGACCGTGTCCGCAGCCACGACATTCAGTACATTTACATGACACTCGAGAACACAGAATTATTGCCTTACTCCAATTAAGACCGGACAACTGAAGTGCATGTAAACACCTTAGTCTGACTATAATCAGAGTTTGAGAACTCCAATTAGTCGGACAATGCATGTGCTCCACGCCCACCGCAACCCCGGAACAAAAACACCAGAGAAGTGTGCACCTCATCTGCAGAAAAGTAGCATGTACATCATATACGACAAAAACAACGCTGTACGAGGCTCCATCTTCTTGCTCGGCAGCAGTTGTAGCCACTTCTGACGTCTGGCACGGACCTGCTGTTGTTGTTGACGGCCGCTGAAAAGACCCATATAGCCCCCTGGTTTTGGGATGTATATGCGGACAAGGAGGGAAGTCTGATTCGGCAAAAAAACTGAATTATGATCTTGTTACGATTAAGCTGTACATGTAAATGCACTGACTCTCATCTCTCAGGCCCAGAAGCCGTGAACTGACCTGAATCCTGAACCCTTCAGTTGTGAATCAGTTCAAGAAGTCGGAGTCACAGGCTCCTCCTGCCAAGCGCTGAATGAGTCGGTGATTCGGTGAACGAATCTTTTGAACGAATCTTTTCAGTGAACTGATTCCACTGGTTCAGTACATCTAAAAGAACTGCTGTGCCCATCACTAAAATAGACTGATTCTTTTACAGTGTGCATTATCAGCCGTTTTTATCTTTATCTTTTTGTTTATTTGTTAAAAATCATCTAAAACTTGTTACTGGCTGAGAAAACCCTGTATGTTAGATTTTAGAGTCCTTTAATATTGTAGCCTATAACTGTGTTTCCTGTGACCTTTCAGCCTGCGATGACAAACACTGGGGACCCACCTGCAGTCAGCAGTGCAAGTGTGAGAACGGGGCGCTCTGCGATCCTGTAAAGGGGGCGTGCCAGTGTCTCCCAGGGTTCAATGGACGGCACTGCGAGGACTCGTGTCCGGCGGGGTCCTTCGGGAAAGGCTGTAAGCAGTTGTGCAAGTGTGGGACCGGAGGATCCTGCGATAAAGCGACCGGAGAGTGCATCTGCTGGGACGGATTCACCGGGACTTTGTGAGTGCGCAATAACAACAAATAAAAGGGGATTTATTCTGTTGTTTTAGTGTGAAAACACAAGATCAAAATCAAGAGTTACCACTGTTTTGTCCACAGAGGGGCGCCAAAATCAACACACACTGAAAGATCCTTATAGGAGCTTTAATGGCCAACGAAATAATGCTATATACTGAATTTAATAGCTGTCAAAATGTTTATATCCGTACCTATTTTGTACATTTTAACAAGACGTACAAAATATTAAGTTCATATAAAAACATAGAAATTCTCCAAGATTACAACTTATGGCATGAATTATATAAGTATACAGGAGTCACAGGGACTCAGTGGGTCCTGGATTAACCTCTTATATTAAAGTTTCGACCGTTCTCACAAGCAGCAACACAAAGAGACCCAGTTTGTACTAAAACTCTTTAAACTGCTGAGATGTTTCTCTATAAAACAAACTTTTCTTACAACAGTCTGTCTGGTACTTGTTAATTTTTTGGTCCAAACTAAGATAGTGAGTTTTTTTTTATTTAACGTGGAGATGATATTTAAATAAACACTCAGCTGATTACACACTGACTGCAGGAGACACTTGACTTTATTACTTTAATTTTCTCTGCCAGACAGATCTGTGAAGATTTAACAAGTTATTTTTTACACAACTGAACTTTACGTTGGAAAGAAAAAAAGACCCTGCTGTACTACACTTTAATCCTTGAGTCATCTGTCACGCCCTGTTTTTCAGAAGCCCCTGAGGATGAGTAAACTATAAAAACTCTTCCCATCAGGATATTAATGGAAACTCTCTCACTGCCAATGTTAAAACACAACACGCCTCTGAGAGCTAAATAAAAAGGTAGCTGGGATGTTCTGATTATGGGATTAAGCTCCTCTATGAATGGTTTGTATTTGAAGTCTATTCGTGTTATTTCACCTCAAGGGTGTGATAGAAAATATAATATCCAAACATGGAGCGATACAACAGGCAGTTTAAGCCAAATGACCTGAATGGTTAGAGACACAGTCCAGCTCTGCTCATCAGTCCCACAAAGCTGCTGTGAAACCAAGTGTCATGATAATAAAGGAGGTGCTTTTACGGTTTCTTCTACTTTTCACAAGTTATTTAACAGAATATTAAATATTAAAAGGCAGCGTCTGTAAGATGATAAAGTTTGTCTTAAACAGGAAAACTGGTGAAACTGGAAAAAGCTTCTATGACGAGTTTTAAACTAGTTATGAAACAGAATAAAATCGATATGAATGTCTCTTCAAACCAAACACGACAGCGCCATAAAGACTCACTAATTCTGCTGCTGTAAGGAAAGTGTTAGACCAGGTGACAGTTTACTGCCAGAGCTGATTTTTAGCCTAATAATAGTTTTCTTTTTTCCTTTATCTCACACATTTAATCTTTTTCACGTACCTTGACATGTTTCGGCGAAAACTTCCGCGTCAAATGACATCAACAAGTCATATCAGCTGATGTTACGGAGAGGTGAACAGACGGCAGGAGGCGTGACCGTCCTGTCAAAAAAAAAATTGACAGGAGGGTCGCGCCCCCGTAACACCAGCTGATATGATGTGTCACACCTACCACCAAGTGACACTTCTGAGGAGGGCGTAAGTCTCCACTGAAACATGTCAGCGTACAGTACGTGAAAAAGATTACATGTCTGAGATAACGGAAAAAAAGGAAACTATTTCTAAGAAACTGGAGAGATAATAAACATCATTTGACTGTTTTTTTAGCCTGTTTATTTCTCACTTTAAGGACAACAAATGTAAAAAAAAAAGAGGAGAAAACTTTTTGAGGAAATACGACTTTAAAAGGATGAGACCAGCAGAGAGGTGCGTCATCAAAATCAACACAGATCCTCACAGGAGCTTTATATAAAAGTAGAAATTTAACAAAGTGGGTTTTATTCTGTTAAAATTTTTAAAAGTTAAAGCTCCTGTGATGCCTCCTCATGACCCACAAAATCAATAGAAAGCTCTGGATGAGTGGATTTATGGATCAAACAGCCTTTTCCACTTTGTCCACTGCAAATAATCACAGGAATTTCACTGTTAAAAGACAGAACAATGAGGTTTTTTGTTATAAACATGAGACGCATGTGTAAAAGGAGGGTAGGTGTCAGCCGAGAAGCTAAAAAAAACAGCTTCTCATAGTTACAGTTTCTTCCTGAAATATTTAGACATGTACGATCGACAAAGTCAGCAGGATGTTTTTTTTTTGACAGATTTGTCCACAGGGGGCGCCAAACTTGACTCAACCTGAAAGTTCCTTAGAGGAGCTTTAAGATATGACGTTAATTTAAGGTTAGGGTTAAAAAAAAATAAAAGTACTGTACGGCCTAGAGCTGGGACTATCCTGTCAGCAGTAATACAACAAAAACAGATGCCATCCACCGTAAAACACAACCAAAGGAGAAGAAGAAGAAGAAGTAACATGAATCTGAAGGGAAGAACTAATGTCTCCATAACAGAGCTTTTGTATTTGTATTTAGTTACTGTAGTCTGTGAGCCGACTTTACAAAAAAAATATTTTTTTTTCTCTTTTACTGCTGGATGAAACGTTGACTTCAGTCCTCAGGAATGTCCCAGGACACTCAGAGTATTTTTTCCTAAAGTGGTCCATTAAGCTGTTTATTAATCATCGACTCCATCCTTTCCTCCAGCTGTGAGAAAGCCTGTCCCAGGAGATGTCAGGCACGCTGCCCCTGCCAGAACGGGGGTATCTGTAAGGGCAAAGGAGTCTGCGACTGCCCCCCTGGATGGACGGTAAGACTTCAGGTCATGGTTTAACCGACACTAACCTTTACGTAGTCCAGAGAAGCTGCCAGATTCTGACTTAGGTCATTTATAAAACTCCAGCTGGCTCACAACTTTGAACAAACACTGTCTTTTTCTTGGAATAGGCTGACGTATCTCTAAAGGGATTTTGACTGTAATCTTTGGACCATTTAAGTTTCTGAGCTTAATGTGATAAATTGATCTGTAGGTTTCTAAGTTTGGGAAGATATGCACACGGGAGGAGACAACAAACAAACTCAGAGTCCGCCTCTGTTTCTCTGCAGGGCGCGGTTTGCACGGAGCGCTGCCCAGAGGGGAGGTTTGGATCCAACTGTGCAGAGGAGTGTATCTGCCACAACAGGGGCAAATGTGACCCTGAAACTGGACAGTGCAAGTGTGCCAAAGGCTTCACTGGAAACAGGTGTGTGTGCGCGAGTGTTTTATGGGGAAATACAAGAACCAAAACAAAAAGAAAGTGCTGTCTTTGTCTGTGATTGGTGCCCATATTTCAGAACCATCGCAGCTTTTTATGTCAAATTAATTGAAGTGTGAAATGAAGACCGGCTAACCACAGGACAAAATATGAGATTAGATTTGGTTTGTGGTTGAGGAGAGAATCCACAACAGACTGCAGACATCACCCCACATTTGTCTATATGATCCTCCGCTCGACTCTTTCAGATGTAATGAGGAGTGTGCCGCGGGATCTTACGGTCAGGACTGCAAAGGTGTGTGCGACTGTGCAAACGGCGCTCGCTGCTACAACATCGACGGGGGCTGCCTGTGCGAACCGGGGTTTCATGGTCCACACTGCAGGGACAGGATGTGTGTACCAGGGAAATACGGCATGCACTGCGAACGCACGTGTCTCTGCCAGGACAAACACACACTCAGGTGAGAAACGAAGACGGAATTATTCAGTTTTCGACCAGAAAAAAAAAGACAGTTTTTGGATTATCGAAGAAGTAACGCCGCTCTGTCTGTTTTTATTCACAGCTGCCACCCAATGAAAGGAGAGTGCACCTGCCAGCCGGGGTGGGCGGGGCTCTTTTGTAACGAGACCTGCGCCCACGGTTTCTATGGTCACGGCTGCCTGGAGCCGTGTTTGTGTGTGAACGGAGGGGTGTGTGATAGTGCAACCGGTCAATGCAAGTGTGCGGCAGGGTTCACGGTGAGTGGATGTTTTAAATGATTAATGTATGAATCAGTGGATGATTAATGCGTCTCTGAAGTAGCTCTATTGTATCAGCCCTGAAGTGTAATCATTATTTTATTCATGCAGGGGGTTCACTGTGAGAATTCATGTAAAAGTGGCACTTATGGAAAGAACTGCTCCCTGGAGTGCTCCTGCAAAAACTTTATCGACTGCTCGCCTGTTGACGGGACTTGCTTCTGCAAAGAGGGTAAAAAAAATTCAAACACTGCTCTCTACATCAGAAACACTTGACTGCCTGATGAGTTCATAAAAACCTGTCGAGAGTCTGGTGATTGTTTGAAAAATGGTGGCGTAACTTTCTTTATAATCAAACGTGTCCGACTGTCTTTGCTGGGTCTGCAGGCTGGAGGGGATCAGATTGCTCCTTCCGTTGCTCCGAGGGAACCTGGGGTCCAGGATGCAACGCCACCTGCCAGTGCGCCAACGGGGCGAAGTGTAATCCTGCAGATGGATCCTGCACCTGCATGGCTGGCTGGCAGGGGGAACGTTGTGACCAACCGTGCCCGGTAAATGCCCTAATGTGAAGCATTTACAGTTACAGACACATTTTTACATTTAGTGACAAGTTGCAGTTGGAAGACAGAGAAAGAAAAGCATTTGCATTGATGGTTAAATGGAGCATCCTTAATATCATGCATCGCTGCAGCTTTTTGTCCTTGAGAGCCACCGTCACTCCTCCGACAAAAGGGGAGTGTTTTAATCTAGATCGGCGTTAATGGGTTTATAATTCCATTTATACTCATCGTGCCTTTAAAGGTGGTGTAGTCAGGATCTGAGGAAGTTCCAGTTTTTAGGAGAAATCTTGAATGTAAACTCTACCCCTCCCAACCAGTTTTCCCCTCAGCTCCTCCTCTCTGCTCCATCAAGCCCCGCCCACAAACAGACGCTCCTGCTCGCTCGTATCGTTCCAATTAAATTCAGATATAATGCAGATAAATACTTGTGTTTGGGCTCCTGAAAGATGCGGGGGAGCAGCATCCGCCTCACAACCAATCAGGATGGGGGAGGCAGGGAATGGCTTTGTTTACAGTCAGAAAGAGCGGAGCGCTCTGAAAATTTAAAATGTTGACTACAAAGACAAACAAAAAACAGCGATATCGTTATATTACCAGACGTTATCAATAACTAATAACTATTGACTGATTTTAAAAGCTGTTTTGTATAAAAACCACAAAGAAAGATGCTTCTTTAAGGGATTCCTGTGTACCCCACCTTTAAGGTGTTTAAAGTTTAACCTTTGGTGTTTGCAAAGTACATTATTATCACATAATGATTGAAATTGATTGAAGATTGAGATTGGAATTTATGGTGTTTTCATGAAAACAGCTTCATAACAACGTATAATAAAGTTAGAATGACAAATATTAGGATTTTAAAAAGTAGATTTGCATTTACCAATATCAATCCTCGATGATAAAATAAGACATGCTTACTTACGGATATAAAGTACAATTAGAGTAGACTACACATAAATGAATGGTGACATGAACAGATCATACTCTTGTTTCTCCAATCCTTCTCCAAGAGACTCGACTTGTAGCATTTAACCAAAACATAAACCTTTTTTTAAAATAAAGATAAACTGTATATGATTTTTTTTCTTTGTCGGCTAAAATGATACGACTGAAACAGAAATCACAGGAGCTCTGATTCCTCCGAACATGTCGGCTGTGATTGGACAGTCTGCAGAAATGTTGTCCAGCTTTTCATCCCTTACTTCACCCTCTGTGCTCTTTAATCTGTGTTTTTGGATTCACCCTCCTTCTGTTGTTGCCGTGCCAGCCCACCAGGCTGTCCATACAAACACACATTGCCAGTGTAGTATTTTGTCTGACTCTGACTGATCTGGCCGAGCGCTGAGGAGATTCCCCTGACGATTCTGTGCCCGTTGGCGTTTGTTCACATGTGCAGATGGGCACGTTTGGGCCAGGCTGCCTGAAGAGGTGTGATTGTGTTCATGCTGACGGCTGCCAAGCCACCACGGGGGAGTGCCACTGTCTGCCAGGCTGGACCGGTAAGTGATGACGTCCTCCGAGTGTCTCTGCCAACTTGGCTTTAGTACCTCAGATAAGTCCAGTCCAGCAGAACTAAGTGAGCTACAGGTTTTGGCTGCTCTGTCTGTTTTATTCAGGTTTTACTGCTGTCAGATGTAGGACACTTTCTTCTCACAGCCCACAGTTTCAAATCACCGACTATTTATTATCTAAATGATTCAGATTCGACTGGACCTCCTTTTCATGTCTTCCCTCCAGGTTCTCGCTGTAACCAGCCGTGCTCTGACGGCCTGTGGGGGCGCCATTGTAACCAGACCTGTTTTAAGCACTGTCCCAACAGTGACACCTGTGTGAGGGAGACTGGAGCGTGTGTGTGCCGCCCGGGCTACTGGGGGGTCACCTGCCAAAACAGTGAGTGTTTTTGTCGCCTGATTTAGACCAGATCAGACTTGTCGTGTTTTAGACTTACGGTGTTACATCCCCACGCCTTTTATCTGCCTTCTGTTTCCCAGAATGCAGAGCAGGTATGTATGGAGAGCAGTGCAGCATGTCGTGTCCGTCCTGCGGTCAGTCGTACCGCTGCCACCATGTGACGGGAGAGTGTGACTGTCTACCTGGACACACAGGAGCCAACTGTGACCAAGGTCTGAATTAACTTAATAATCAAACATGTCAGTAAATCTGTTCAAAAGAAAATTACGGCAGATTTTACAAATTAATATCAGGATACCCTTTTCATTTTTTATACTATATCATATTATTTATTTTTTACAGTGTGTCCTTCCGGCTACTTTGGCAAACAATGTTCAGAAGTGTGTGTTAACTGTGCCAACAACTCCACGTGTGATCATCGCGACGGTCACTGCGAATGTTTGCCGGGCTGGACGGCGACCGACTGCTCCATACGTGAGTTTTATAGAAACTACATGAGTGTTTTAACATGAAGAAGTATTTGTAAATTCACAATAATGAGCAATGAGCTGAAAACTACGAGGAATCATTTACGTTTTCCATCTTTACCAATCAGTCGACTTTAAAGCTCCTGTGAGAAGATTTTAAACAGTCGAGAAAGAGACTGAAACTGGTTTGTTGTTTTCATTACGCTGATTGTTTTTATTGCTATTATTATTATGATGATGATCAATATTATTATCAGTGGTAGCAATATTGGGGAAGTAGGATAGATATGATATAAATATATATAATAAACTATAATATAATAAACCTCAATCAATCAATCAATCAATCAATCAATACTGACGCCACTTAAAGGGCTTCAAAACCAAATGAGACCATGAGTAAAAACAATGAATGGATCTCTATTGTAAACCCTGATGCTTAAAACTGCTGTTAGGTGGTCGGTGTCTTTTTGCGATGAGGAACACATTTACTGTTAAAAACTGCAGGATGAAGATTTTGTCCAAAATCATAACTTTTACATGTACAGGATAACGGATAAGAGCTATCATTTAGTCCACAGGGGGCGCCAAAATCAACGCAAATAGAAAGTTCCTCACATGGGCTTTAATCGCTACTGGTCAGAACTTAAAAGATGATTATTCACGTGTTTATTCTCTTGAAAGAGCTAATAGCATCTGTTGTAACGCAGTCCAAATAGCTGATTTTAACACAAACTGCCAATCGTAGTTGAGAGTTTTAGGATCTGAGTAAAGAGAGGGTTCAGGCCGCAACTGTGAATATGTCCCTCTGTTAAAGCTCCTGTGAGGAACTCCCAGTTTGTGTGAGTTTTGGCGCCCCCTGTGGACAAAGTGGTCTTTGCTTACATACTCCTCTACACGCTTAAATAGTGTCTTCTGACAGAGAAAAAAAGTCATCCTGCTGATTTTTGACAGTCTTCTCGGAGCTCCACTGACACCTACCCCCTCTCGCTGGTTTCAGGCGTTTAAAATAACCACAGAAAAATTGTCCGTTTTGTATCTTATGTATATCTTAAAAAGGCATCGAAATGAATTTCAGGCTGTTTTATAAATGTAAAGAATAAAAACCTTACAGTTCGTGCGAGGTCAAATCAAAGTTAATCTTTACAAAAAATAGAGGAAAACTTGTCGGAGAAGAAGAAGAAGTTGAAATCATAATCTGTACTCTGTGTTTTCCAGCCTGTAGTCCAGGACGCTTTGGTCCATTCTGTACTCAGACCTGCTCCTGTCCCCCCAACCTCATCTGTGACCGATTCACTGGAGACTGTGTGTGTGAGAGTGGAGAGGACGACTGTAAAGAGGGTACAGATAATAAGCTTTTAGGTTCTAAACTTGGTTATTTTCTTAAGTTGTGCAGGAACTTTATAAAATCGAGTTAGTCTGTTAACAAAATCTGCGTTTTTTAAAGTCGGTGTCCTTTTTGGCACGTTTCTAAAAGCTTGATTTCATTTTCCACGTTCTTGTTTTCACAGACTCCTCTCTGCAGTCGGGCAGCGTTATGGTTCCTCTTCCTCCTGGTGAGAGGGAGTCGTGGGGAGCCATCGGCGGCATTGTTGTTCTCGTCATCCTGGTGGTGTTGCTGCTGGCGCTGCTGCTGCTGTACCGCCGCAGGCAGAAAGACAAACAGAACAACACGCCGACTGTGTCCTTCTCCACCACCCGCACGGTCAACTCTGAATACGCCGTACCAGGTACAGAGCCGAGGAGATCTCTGTCAGGGCACGAAGGAGAAGACAGTGAATAATAATCAAAGTACTTTCGTCAAACGTTGGTCACACCACATCTGATTTTCACAGCATTTTCAGATTGGATCATGATTGAATCTGAAGTTTTTCGGTGAAACATGCTCTCGGTTTTACCTCACTCTTGTTTTTTTTTTATGAGTGTTCCACTGAGATGCATTTTATTGACCTTGAGGTAATTTTACAGCTGCAGATGTGAGTCCATGTGTTTGTTTTGGCCTGCAGATGTTCCTCACAGTTACCACCACTACTACTCCAACCCCAGCTACCACACGCTGAGCCAGGGCCGACCTCCGCTGCCCCACCTGCCCAACAACCACGACCGGATCATCAAGGTGAGCGCACGTCTGCTGCCTCTGTGATACTTACACCGTTTCTACACCTCAGAGTGAATCTAGCTGATAAGTATGTAAGCGACAGCTGGTCGTGTTTTTGAGGAAATTATTAATGTCGGTCTGAACTCGTTACGGCTCTTTTATAGCTGCTTTTAATCACCGTGACTCTATTTGAGATTTTAAGGCCCATGATGAATGTTTTTTAATTTATATCGCTCTTTTTTTTTTACGCAGAACACAAACAACCAGCTGTTCTGCAGCGTGAAAAACATGGAGAGAGAGAGGCGGGGGCTGTTCGGGGTGGAGAGTAACGCCACTTTACCTGCAGACTGGAAACATCACGAACCCCGCAAAGACTCAGGTGGGTCAGGGTGACTCTCTTCAGTGTTTGATCAACATTTAAGATCTGTTACCTCGGGTTTCATCTGTTTATTTGTGAGTCAAATTAACATATACAGACTTCTGTGAAAGTATCTATCTTTCGTGAAAGATGCTTAAATTTATTTCTCATTTCTCAGACCTGTTTGGATCTGTCACTCAGGGAGATGTTGCCTTGGGGTGTAGCTATAAAACAATCACATAAAAATTCTTTGGAAAAAAATGTATAAAAGTGTTAAAAACCGCGGCGTGCAGTGGTGTAAATGATGAGGAACGTGGAGCAGAAATGTGGCGTTTCAGCTCAGGAGAAAACTTAAAAACCCTCTTTTACACGGCCTAAACTTTATCAACCGTCACGTTTCCTTTGGACAGAAGTCAAGCCTTAAAAGTCGACATCACACTTTTTTGATATGAGTCTGTAAAAATAATAAGAGGCTCATAAAAAGGGATCGATTCCCTGCCAGCCTGAGCTCACCTGGTTCTGATTTTACTGCTTTCAGGGCAGCTTTACCTGCTTTTGATTATTCAACCATAATTTGTCTTTTACTGTTCGCAGGAGCTTTTGGAATCGACCGCAGCTACAGCTACAGCGCCAGCCTCGGAAAATATTACAACAAAGGTAATTTATTGTCCTATTTTCACCTTTTTTTTTTTACCCCCGCCTCTTCAATGAGCTTCCACAGAGAGGAGTGAGTGATCTCCTGAAGCTAAAGCTAAAAAAAGTCCATCTTTACAGCGAAAACAAACATGTTTACAGTCCAGACTGAAGAGTTATCTTTGAAGACATTTAGGTAAAAATTTTGTGTAATAAGAGGCATGACTGACTCGACTGGCAGACGGACACTCTACAGCTGTTAGCGGGGAGGGTGAAGGTCTGCCTCATCTCTCCCTCTTTACCTCTGGTTGAGTTGAACAAAACCAGGGACCGGATGGAGTGATGGAGTCCTACGTTGAAAATATTGGAATTGCTGATATTGCAAACAGTTACAATTGCCCACCTGTCAGTCAAGGTAGCCGTGCCTTTGATTTGCCGATCTTGTAAATTTACGAACTCGGAAACAAAAATGTTACGTAAAAAATTCCCTCCCTGTACCATTGGTGCCTTCGGAGCCCTAAGCCAATCAGAGCAAACGTACCAGGCTGTAGAAGTTCCTTTTTTTGCTTTTTTTGGCTCAGCCTGTTGGTGGTTTGAGCCCCGAGTGGACACAAAGTGAACTGCAGTTTTCATCACTTCCACTTAATTCCTCTGGAGTCTGCTGCTTGAACCAAACTTGAGTTAAAGGGATATTCCGGCATAAAATTAATTTAGGGTCAAACACACCGTAACACCGAGTTAGACACCCCCTTAAGAGATGAATGTTGCCGACGGCTTGCTTCTTTTTAACTTTGCCTGATTTCTTTAGCAAAGAGACGAAACACAACTCACCTACTCTCCTCCAGCAGCCGCTTGTTTGTAGCGAGACAATTATTCCATTATGGACTACAATAATAATAATAAATAATTATCATAAATGTTCTTCCTTGAGCTGCGTCACCCCGCAGCAGTCGATGGACTCGCCTGAGGTGAGAAGTTAGGTGCTGTTCTGAGCATTATTTGTGGCTATAGAGTGGCGTTTTGGTTGAGGTTTGTGTATTGCTATCCTGCTGTCGTTACTTAAGTTGGTAAAACTAGAGAAGTAAGCGGTCGGAAACATTCATCTCTCGAGGGGGTGTCTAACTCTGTGTTAAAGTGTGTTTGACGCTAAATTAATTTTATGCCAGAATATCCCTTTAAATCTGCATTTCTAATGTTGGGGCTGCCATTGATGGACTTCATAAATCATTGAGATCATGTCCCTGTCTGATACGGTCTGTGGGTATAAAGGATCTAATGGCGCCGATTTAACAGACTCAGTTTTGACAGATGACGAGTTATCTCTTTTTAAACTATAAAGGACCAGTGGAAGTCGACACTTGTCCTTAGAGTGATGTAAAAAAAACTTTTGGGCGTCATAAAAATGATGTCGATTTTTCACATTTCATGATATTTGACCCTCCATTACTTTTCCTTTCAACCATCTCAATCCATAAAATGAAACATCTGAAACGTTTCTCTGTCCGTCCCGGGAATCATGACTCATGAGAAACGTTAAAAAACTTGGAAGATGTCCAGGAAACTGTTGAGAAGTTGTAACCACAACAAGATTTACACCTTAACTTCTAATCCTTCTGTTCTGCTGCGCTGCGTCTCCCAACATCCACCTTTTTTAACTTCTCTTTCTCCACCCACAGAGCTGAAGGACACGGTGGCGGTGAGCAGCAGCTCTCTGAACAGCGAGAACCCATACGCCACTATCAAAGACCTTCCCGGCCTGCCTTTCTGCCCCCCTGAGAGCAGCTACATGGAGATGAAGTCAGCCGTGCCCCGAGAGCGAGCGTACACAGAGATCAGCCCGCCGCCGTTTAACACGGCTACTCTACGCAGAGGTAAGAGAGAGAGATATGCGTAGAAAATGATGTTATAAACTGTAACTAAAGTGTTACAGCCTCTGTAAAGGTGCATTTGAGGTTTCTAACTCCCCTCCACTCAAAAACACGTCATAGTATTTTAGTCCATTAACCCTCTTGGTCATCTTCCCCCCTCAGAGCGCCAGAGTTCCCTCGGCCATGCTCCACACGAAGACCCCCAGAGCCACTATGACCTCCCTGTGAACAGCCACATCCCGGGACACTACGACCTCCCGCCGCTGCGCAGACCCCCCTCCCCCTCCCTCAGGAGGAGTCCTCAGTGACAGAGTCAGTCTCCATCCTCCTCTTTCTCCCCCTCCTCCTTATTTTTGGAGGTGATTCCAGGTCAGGACTTGCTAAGAGAGAGAGAGAAAACTGTACCCTCTGTCAATCAGTAAGGAGCTGTTGTTTACTGTGGAGGCCCCCCCCCTCTTTTTTGCTCAACACTGCCCCCCTGTGGGTTGAAGTGGTACTTACTGCACCAGGACAGTCTAGTCATCCAGAGAGAGGCGCCAGCAGGCTGCAGAAAGGAAGGCTGCGCTGTGGAGATACTAGTGGGGCTTTAGCCATGTTCAACTCCCACAGGGAAAACAAGTGAGAGGACTTAGAGGCTGAGAGCAGCAGCGTTTTGATTTGTATGGTCGAACTCGTTAAAACAGGCTGAAAATTACATTATTCACACATTTAGCTTGCAGCTGATTCGCATGTCTAATAGGTCACTTTACAGGATTCAGTCGTCAGGTGTTTTTTTTTCTTAAAAATGATCATTCTGGACCACTTAGAAGTTTTGATTCTGCAGCTCCAACAGTCACATTCGCAGCTATGTTCAAAGTGAAGTCGTCACACCTCCACTTCTTTCAGATTCTCTCTTTGGAAACTGAAAATGATAAATCATGGTATTTTGAAGTTGTTTGGGTGCAAAGTAAAGTTTTGTTCCCTGCCTGAAGGAAAACGTGAACCGCTTTTGTTTTACCAACTTTCTTCATTTTTCTTCTCCATAAGTGATAAAGAAATGAGGCTCATATGCTGCTGTCTGCTGTTGTAAATAGTGACATTAGCTTCACCATCATTTAGAAAACCAGATGATCATATTTTTACAGGGTTAAGGTCGTGGTCGTTGTTTTTTCGCTCGTGTATAGATATTATAAGCTCAGTTATCATGAAAACAAACCGTTATTAAAGAGGCGTTAAAAGACAAATCAAAGCAGCGTTATGAATGTCAGCACAGATACTTTTTCTTTTTTGGAGGGTTTTTGAGGCCAGCTCATCAGAAACAGGAAATGGTTATCCAAACTCGACCCAAAAGGGGGTTAGTTCTTCAGCAGTGAAGAAGCACGTCAGAGAAGAGGTCCTCCTCCAAGTCTAGTCCCCTTTTAGATCAGACTCTGGATTCTGTACAAGCTCAGTATTAGAGATATTTTTCCAACCCTGGACTCTGAACTCACAAAGTTATAGACTCTAAAGTGTGCTCTGATCTCACAAAGTTATAGACTCTGAAGTCTGTGGGCTTTCTGATGGAGACTTTATGAAGCCTTTCCACACATGAACTGTCTAAACCTGAGGACTTACCCAATCAAATCCTCTTGGAGCCACTTCTCACTGTGTAAAATATGTGCACTTGCCCTTTAAATCTTGGTGATTACTTTATTAAATCTATCTTTAATTTTTCAGCTGCCAAACCAAAGTCACCAAAATCAGTTGATATCAAAGTTAAATGTAATTTCTGCCAATAATCCACTTTAACAGGAACACTTCATCCTTTTAAAGCTCTTGTTTTTTAAATGGATGTTCGGCGTTTAAATTTTTTATTAACTTGTAAAAGTTTTGTCTTAATTTTTCCAGCTTGTTGTCAACCAAAGTCAACAGAAATGTTTTTTTACTTTATTTTATAAACTCCAGACCAAATGAGGTTCAATCTCCTGTAAATAGAAACTTTGTGTACCAGAAGAATGTACATCATGTCAGATAGAGTTTTAGGTTCTCTGTTTTGTTTTTACATAAGGCCACATATTTTTGAATGTAACCATGGCAACGTGTGTATATAATGTAAATAAAAATGGCTGCACTTTTCATCAGTGGTCTCTCTTTGTTAGTGAAATAACTACAGCAGTCAGTTAGTTAGTGGAAAAACAAAGATTTTTAATCAATAGTGATATATAAAAAAAAATCAAAATACATAAAATTACAATTTAAGCATTTCAGGCTTATAATAAGAAATCCCATAATTCGTCATTTTAAATCCTGAGGTCCTCCAGCCAGCCTGAGTTCTTCAACAGTTTTTTTAAATCACTGCATAAAAGCATCATTTTAAGGCACAAAAATCTAACATGGTTAAAAAAAAAAACATCACTTAGGTTCAACGAAAAGTAGAAAAACAATAACAGATTTAGATGCTGTGATTTGTTTTACACTGGAGTATAAAAATTCTTAAAGTCCTACACCGATTGTTTTTTTTTTTTCTGTTTTGTTCTCAGTGTTTTTAAATAAACTCTTTTTTTCCAACAGCCATAAACTCTATTTCAAGACAAGCACCTTAACATAAAAGTATTTCTCTGATTTGTAAACTGCAGAACAAAACCCTCAGACGATCATTTTCTCTGCATGCAAAATGCATCCAGAAACTGGACCTGTTGGTCTACCTCCAAGGTTCAAATCTACCTGCAGACACGCAGACATCTAATCTTATCAAAACGAAACCACATTTGATCTGTTTTGCTTTTGTTGCGCTCAAAGATGACATGATATGCTTTCACTAGCTGTGCATGCCAAGTGTTAAGAGTCTGGCCATTAAATGTGAGCAACCCTTAAAAACCTGTTCTTCTCTGTGGGGGGTACAGGAGCTGGGCTGATGTCTGGGCCTCAGAGGTTCTTTTAAGGATATTCTTACCCTCTGATCAAACACAGCTGTTTCCCCAGGAAAATTATCTGTTTTCAGGAATATAAAAAACAAGATGCTGGCATATTTTAAAACAATAAGCTTAGGTATTAGACGGCTTCAAAGCAAATCAGAGCAGACAGAACTTTTTATTTGTAATTGATTACTGATCCCTCATGAGAACATTAAATTTGAATGTTTGTTCACTGTGGTCTAAGTCCTCCAAACATGTAAACTATAGTGAAAATCGAGCCAATACTTTTGACAAAGCAGTTTTTCTGTAGTTTATACTCTTCCTACTGCTCTGTACCTGTCTGAGCTTTTGGGATTAATGTCCATTGGCATCATCATGTCCACCGCTGCCCCTGCTCCGGAGGTTGTATTCGTTCTCTGCACCACTGGTGCTGGGGACTTCCTGCAGGGGGCGACAGATAACAGGATGAGATACCTAAAGAGGAGCCCCTCTGAGAGATGCTGCAGCCACAGCACAGTTTGATGTTCCTGAAGTGTGAGCTAAAGGTGTGTTTTCAGTTTACCATACTGTCATCACCGCTGTTGTCACGGGAAACGGTTCGGCGAGTCACTGACCTCCTGGCCATTTCCTGGTGGTAAATAAGAGAAAACAATTCAGTCATTGCATTTAAAAGGAGCAGAAATACACGACCAGCTCAAACAAACACAGGAGGAGTCACACCTCTCCACTGGCATTGATCAGGGTGACCAGCAGGTGATCCCCGGTGCCCCAAGAGTCCTGGTTCCTCCAAACCAGGTCAGTAGGGGGGTTGTTGGTTCCACCACCAGAGGCGGCCCAGATCTACCAAAGTCAAAAGTCAACATTAAAGAGAAATCATGAATTTTCGTAATAAATCCTTATCTCTAGTGATAAAAAAACAACAGATTAAAGTTTTAAAAGGTGCCCCAAAGAGTGTCCTTCTAACTTTCTTCCTCAGGTCAGACATTTATCTATAATGTTAACACGTTTGTGCCAAAGAGCGCTTTTTATTGCTTAACCACTGGTAAAAAAAAAAAACCTTAACCATTCCCATCCCTTCAAATAACAGTTTGACCGATAACTGCAGGTCAACCGTCTCTTCTTGATCTTGGAGAGACTTACCGTCACACTTCCTCCGGCCCTCAGAGAGAACTTTGGGGGAAACTTATAGACCATTGGGGTCCTACCTCCTGCTTGTCTCTTCACCTGCCAGTTATGCAGAGACTGATCCTGCAGAAGAGAAGATAGGGTAGTGGTTAATAATGATGTTACATGTTTAGATTTGATAACTCCCTGCCATCACTCTCTGTCTCTATTCAGGCCTTAAACAGCATGAAAGTGCGACAGTCAGACTCTCCTATGCAGCCATAAATAAAGGCAACGTGTCTAAATGAAATCAGGTTTCTGTTGAACCTATAAAAGTCAAGTAATTCATTAAAAAATTACAAAGTCAGCGGTTTTAATGTTTTTCTGGGATTAATAAAGTTATTCTTATTCTCATCTCACCCTCTCAAAACGATTTACAGTACCAGCTGACAGAGACAGGTCACTCACCTTATCACCCATGTTGCTTAGACGGATGAACTTGCCCATCAGGTCAACTTCAGCCACAGTGACAAAACGACGGGCTGTGGCCCTGTGAGATGTGCGAGTGAAGTCCCCATAGTCCCCTGCCATGCTGGAGGTCTCACTGAAGGCGTCGCTGAGGCTGCGTTTTATGGGGCTGCCACAAGACTTGCAGCGGTTGGGAGGGCTGACGCCAGAGGAAAACAGGTGGCGAGTGCAGCCCCGGCCAGAACCTGGGGTCCTCATCCCCTGGGACCTGCGTTCAGGGCTGGGTGAGAGACTAGAGAGAGAGAGAGAGATTCAGACAGTTGAAGACAGGCAGAAAATGAAGGGTTTCAAACCAGCAACTGTTACAGCTTAAACTGTCTGGCTGATGAAACCTCAGAAGTAAAAATGTGCCAGAACTGCTCTACGGGATTTTGGTGCCTTTGCTATCAGGGTTTCATCCCGTTCAGCTGTGAAAACTGATACTCTGTGATTTAGTCTGGATCAGAGTCTGTGTCCGCCTCTCTCTCAGAGGCGTTCAGAAGGCTTAAGTTCAGACCTGGATTCAGAAAAAGTAGCCCTCTTCATTGGTCACCTTCCACTATTTTCCAAACGATCACTGCTTGCTGAGGTTTGATCTTGTCTCATCATCTTAATATAAAGCTAAAAGTAGCCTCACTGGAGATCTGTGTCTGGTTTTGTTTGAATCTCACCTCTCCTCCCCTTTATCAAGTAACTTCTTGTAGGTACTGAGCTCATTATCCAGGGCCAATTTGATGTCCTGCAGACCACGGAACTGCTCCTCCAGCTGCTTCTTCTGAGATTCCAACTCATCTATCTTTCGGTCCTTTTTGTCCAACTGACGCTGCATCCTCTCCAGTTTATCCTCCAAGTCCCTCACCTGCACATAACAGAAAATAATATGTGCAATTTTCTGGAAACATGTCTGACTACATGAACTTTGAATGTGGAGTCCCACAAGGCTTGGTTTTAGGGCCTAAACTCAGGAGCTACGCCGCCCTGGAGTTGTCTTACTAACTCTGCGACTTCTACCCCAGTGATTGGACGATCCACCTCCAGGTCCCCCAACTCTGTTTCCCCTTGGGAATGCATGACGGTAGGATTGAGGAGCTCCTCAAAGTATTCCATCTACCACCGGAGAATTGCCTCAGGTGATGTCAGCAGCTCCCCGCCCCAATCTAGAACGGTGTGGGCAAGTTGCCAGCTGCCGCCCCTGAGACGCCGGACAGTTTGCCCGAACCTTTTTGGAGTTGAACAAAAGTCTTCCTCCATGGCCTCACCAAACTTCTCCCACACCCACGTTTTTGCCTCTGCAACTGCCCCGGCCGCGAACTGCTTAGCCAACTAGTACCGTTCAGATGTTTCCAGAGACCCATAGGCTAACCATGACCTATGGGTCTCCTTCTTTAGCCTGACGGCTCCCCTCACCTCCGGCGTCCGTCATCGGGTTCGGGGATGGCCGCCACGACCAGCACCAGCAACCTTGCAGCCGCAGCTTGCAACAGCCTCTTCGACAATGGCAGAGCGGAACAAAGCCCATTTGGACTCAATGTCCTCCACCGCCCTCGGGACGCAGTTGAAGCTCTGTTGGAGGTGGTAATTGAAAGCCAGTAGTTGGGAATGCCTTGTGGGTTCTTCCACAAGGCATTCCCAACAGACCCTCACTATACGTTTGGGCCTGCCAGGTCTGCGTGGCGGTTTCCCCCGCCACCTGACCCAACTAGCCACCAGGTAGTGATCAGTTGACAGCTCTGCACTTCTCTTTACCCGGGTGTCCAAAACATGGGGCGGCAGATCAGATGATATGACTATGAAGTCGATCATTGATCTACAGCCTAGGCCGTCATGGTGCTAGGAGCACTGATGAACAACCTTATGTTCGAACATGGTGTCAGCTATGGACAAACTGTGACTTGCATGGAAGTCAAACATACCCCACACACTGGGTAAGTTGACCATAGGAGACCACTTTTTTTCAGCATGCTATATTATCAAGACAGTTATGTTTACACTCATTCTGTTTGTCTGCAGGGATGCACAACATCTTGAAATATATGCAGATACACTATGATTGCCTTGATGTAGTGATCCAAAATAGTAAAAATGGCTCATCTTACCCCAGTCTTCCCTACAAATTATTCATACTGTAAACTTAAGAGAGCTCACCAGCAGACTGTTTGTCAGATCATGGCTATTAAAATTTAACGATCTCATTAAATTACAGACACTCATAATAATATTCAAGATACAAAATGTTACCAGAAAACCTGCAAAAGATTTCTATTTTCAGTTCAGAGGATGAAGAGCAGAGACAGGTGAGTTATTTTCATGACTTTGTTTCTGGTGAAGTGGTGGGCTGTTTCTCTTGCAGCATCCACACTCACTTTGGAGTTGAGGGTCTTCTCCTTCTCCTCCTTGTAGCGGCGGAGGTTTTCCTTGTGTTCGGCTCTCAGCTTATCGACAGCCTCGGCCAGCTTGCATTCATACTCTTCCTGTTTTATTTTGGTGATCTCATCTTTGAGTGACTCGATCCTACGCTGGCTCTCTCGTTGTTCCTGCAGACAGACATGAGACTGATAATTATCACAAACTTTCCATGAGCTGTTTGTGTAACTTAAACTGGTGCTCAGAAAAAAAAAAAAACTTATATGACCCTTTAGATTATTTATACTATGAGCGATTTCACCTGTAGAAAGCTGCTTTGATTAATGAACTAAACTGCATTGATCAGCCTGTTGCTGAGCTGTAATTACTTGTTTAGCAGTACAGAGCTCCTGCAGACACATCCAACTCTCTGTTGACATTAAAGAAACCCCTAATCATGACATTAAAACTCAGACGACAATCATTTGTTTCTGGTTTTAGACACTGTCAAAACCTGAAGTAAACCGCACAATGCATCAGTGTTTCTACTCGTACTTGTTTGTGTGATTGCTTTCAAATACATCTGAAATGAAGGAAACACAAAGGTGCATGTGTGGAGCTGATCTGCATCAGGAGTGCAAAAACAAACAAGCAGGTTGTTGGAAGCAAATCAATATCCTGTGGAAAAAGATGAAAAGTAGGACGGATGACTAAAATAGAGGGGTTGAGGTGAAGAGTGAGAACCTCAGCGTGGATGTTCTTCTGGAACTCCAGCTCTTCCTTCACAGTCTGCAGGCGGTTCTCGGCGTCCACTCTCCTCAGCATCTCGTCCTGCAGCTGCCTCTTGGCATCAGCTAAGCTTCCTTCCAGCTGGGAGGGGTGAGAGAGGATAAAAATGAAGATGAGGAAGGAAGTGTTTTTAATGGAGGCGTCGAAGAAAAAAAATCAAACACAGCTCCAGGTGTGATCTATGCACCACGGTTTGACCTGCAGTTCCCCCAGGAGGCCAGTAGGTGGAGTAAGGCCTCAAGGAAACCAGAGTCAGTCCTGTGGTGAAATTCATTGATAAAACAAACAGCAGACAATACAACCTTGTGTGTCTCCACACCTTGTCCTCATTCATGATCAACTGTCTGCAGGGTTTACGTACAACCAGGACCTCAAATCTTCAAATCTTTCTGATGATATAAAAATCAATTTCAGTCTTTAGAGAAAATCAAACTTTTACAATAATGCATCAACAGAAGATAACCTTTACAGGCCAAACTGATAATAGTGACTGTCTGCTGTTCTTTTTTCTGCCCTCAGCAGAGAGATGCAGCCTCCCTACCACTTCAGTTCAGTGAGAATCCTTTTCACCTTGGCCAGCTGGACCTTCAGGTCCTTGACCTCAGCCTCCAGGGCCCTCTTCTCCCTTTGGGTGCGGGTGAGGTCGGCTTCTTTTGAGCTGAGCAGGGTCCGAGCAGCCGCCAAGTCAGACTCATTTTTTCTGTCACTGTCAAAACACAACAAAAACAGCAGTCTTTGTTTGGTACTAGACAACACGTGTGGACATAGTTACAGCTAACAGAGAAAAAAACATTTTTATGAATGAATGTAAGAAACTGTAAGAGTGAATTAAGGTAAATCCCTTGTTATTGGAATAAATCAGCTTTTATAGCTGATCAATGTCACAAAGTTTTTACATAGCCCCTCCCTTTTAAGCTCCACCTCACCTGGCTTCAAGCTCATTGTACTCCTTCCTCAAATTGCTCAGCTCCACCTCCAGGCGTGCTCGCTCCCTGTCTACCTTGTTCAGTGTCCTCTGGGTGTCCTCTAGCTTCTCCTTGATTTTCTCCAATTTTCGGTTATTCGTTGACTCTAATTCCTTGATCTCTTCATGCAGTGAGGTATTCTTGACCTCTAGGGAGCCCACCTTGTCGATGTACTCAGCCAGCCGGTCATTGAGTTTGGACAGGTCCTTCTTCTCCTGCAGCCTTCTCGCATGTTCCGGGGAGACCGGGCTGCCACGGCTGCTCTGATTCCTATTTGGGGTCTCCATGGTTATGACAGCTCAGCGAGGAGTGTAAGGGGATGAGTTACTGTCTGTAAAGGAGAGGAAAACTATTCAAGAAACTTATCTGAGCTGCCTTCCTTTAGTAACGCAGTGCGCCAAACCATGTCTGAATCTCAAAAGTGCACGGGGTTCCACAGGGCTCCGTTTCAGGACCCCCATTGTTCAGTCTCTTTATGCCAAATCACACACAGCATTAAAGCAGTTATGCAGATGATTTCCACAAATACACATTTCACCAACACCAGGAGATCACGGACCTGTCGTATCTCTGTCACTGTCATGAGTTAATCAGTGATCATGTGCCACAAATTGTGACTAAAGTGCAAAAGTCATGACCTGGATTATTCTCACAGATGGTGTTAGTCTGGCCACCTTTACACTGCTTTCTCTACCCTTTCAATCAATTTATCAATCTTTATTTATATCGCACCAATTTCACAACAAATCTGATCCCAGTTTTATTTTCTATTATTTTTCCAAAACAACAAAATTTTGACATTTTTATTTTTTCCAGGCAGGACCAGTTGGTCGATCAGAGTCCATCCGTATGTGAAGACTAAGTAGTCGAAGATTTAGAGTTCGACAAGTCCAACAGACTCACAGAATAAAATATATTTCCATTACAACCAGAATTAAAGAGAATTTAAATACTTTTCCTTTTTGATTTATTCGTTTCAGTCTGGTTTTCTTTCTTTTTTTTTAACAAATATTTAATGTTTGCTAAATGTCATATTTCTTCTACTGCTTCTTATTTTGTTTGTAACTTCACTAAGCTCTCTAGATTGCTGTATGGATAGTACCCCATGAATAAACTTGACCTACCTTGCCCTCTTGAAGACGAAAAAGCTGCTGCGAGCGTGTGCGCCGTGTCCCAGAGGAGCGTACAGAAGACGATCTGTTGAATAATGCAGCCTCGCTCTCTGCTGATGCTTTTGACTTGTGCCCAGAACTGCCCTCCTTGTACCAGGTGCAAACGGGAGAAAGGAGGTTGTAAAAGGAGAGGGTGGGGGAGTCGAGGAGGAGCCTCTGACACAAGCTGCTTCCAAGCATGCACAAGTATGAGTATTTTATCTGAGATTAAAAGTTGAGATCCTCTAATTTTTCTCTTAATGTGTTTTATTTTGATTTTTCTTCAAATCCTTGGCACATGCTTCTCTCCTGTATCTAAAGTCACCACCATTTTGCAGTTAATGGCTGAAATCAATCTGTTGTGCTTTAACAACTATTTTCATTTTAACATCAATATTATAAATGACTGAATGCATCAAAAAGAGAAATATAAAAGCCACTTGTTAGATATGATGTGGGCTTCCTCAAAAAAGACTCTGACCTGACAAGACATGGTCACCGCTGGATCTCTGAGGGTGCGCTGTGATATCTGGCACCAAGACAATACCAGCAAATCAACTAAGACCTGAAAGTTGTGAGGCGGGGTTGCCACAGATTTGACTTCCTGTTGATGAAGTTAGGTGCTGTTCTGAGCATTATTTGTGGTTATAGAGTGGCGTTTTGGTTGAGGTTTGTTTATGGCTCCTCAGACCGCTGTGTATTGCTATCGTGCGGTCGTTACTAAAGTTGGTATAACCAGGGTCGGCAACATTCATCTCTGGAGGGGGTGTCTAACTGCAGACGATGAGGAGGCACCAACAGCTACAACTACAGACTTTTAAAAACAGGAAGGGCAGTGAAATGTCCTGAGGGTTGAGTTGGCCTCTTAGCTTTAAGTGAAGTCCATCAAATCTCCTCACTTGACAGGATAGAAGGAGTCCAAAACAGGGGCAACGGAGGAGCTGACACAAGGTGGACAATTGTGCCTCATGTTGGACCCAATGGATCCTGCAGTGGGTTCTCATGTGGGTACTGGAGCTTTGGATTTCTACCTGAGGACTACATCTGGAAAAATCGCCTTTTCTTATCCAGTATCAGGAAAGTTAACATGAGAGAAAGGTGATGCACCTCAGGGCTGGTGGTTCTTTCTTCTGTGTCCATCTACAGACTGTGTGTTATTCATGAAGACTGTTACAGAGGACCGGCTCCTCAGGTTTAGAGCTTGCACTTTATCCAAGAGTCAAAACTAAAGGCTGAACTCGAGAATAAATCTCTGCAGTGGGTGTGATCACATTAAGAACAGGTCAATGTGCAATCCTTGATAAGTTATCAGGTTTTGTAATTTCTCTCTCTCTCTCTATAAAGTTTTGATTGGATATCTCTGCCCTAAAGTAATCATCTACTGATAAGGTTTGCAAAAGGTTTCACACTTTCACTTTCTCTTTATTACTTTTACTGATAAGTGTTACTCACATGCGTACATTGACAAAAAAGGCAAATAGCTTATAGGATCACATGCTCGTCAAATGAAGTGAATTGAGACAAAGACATTTCGAGGAAACATTCTTATCTTTTTAGATCTTTTTTTGGCTGCATGAAATGTTAACTTATTAACTGTTTACGACTTAAATGGGTCTTTGTGCCTTTCTCTACACATCTAAATGAAAAGCCACACGTTGTTCTAAATTTATTCAAAAACAATACTGAAACAAAAACAAGTATATAATACAGGACCATAATAATACAAATAATATTGATAACTTTGTTTTTATAGGACTTTTAAAAATAGAAGTTTACAAAGTGCTTTGACAAATATCTATAAAGCACATGGAAAACGACAAATAAAGACAAAAAGCTCAGTTAAAACAGAATTGAAGACCATTTTCATAAGGATTCCAGATAATACAAGAACCATGCAACATAAAATGAGACCATGGATCAGGATCATACGCTGAAAAAAGACTTTGAACAAACTCAAGGTGATATGAAGAACAAGTTGGATTTATCATCCCCTTTAAAACAATAAAACTCTTCATGTTCCAACATGAACAATAAAAATCTGACTGCAATAAAAAGATATGATGGAGTTAAAGAGTAAGAGGATTCCTCTTAATTTTACTTTAAATTTGATCCATGAATCCACATTTATTCAAGTCTATGTTAAAACATTGCTAACAGCAAAGAGGTTCACTTTTGAGTTGTTGGACTCAGTCCTCATATTCAGACTACCAGAAAGACGTCCCTCCTTAAAAGACATGTAAAATAATACTACTAATAATACTAATGTGAATATATAATAATAATAATAATAATAATAATAATAATAATTTATATTTATATTTAAATAATACAAATAACACTTCTACAAATAAAAAAATACAAAATGATAATGATTCTAATAATAGAAATTCCAATAATAATAATAATAATAATACAATTCAAATTAATAATAATGATATTAACAGCAGTATTATGATTAATATTTAAAAAAATAATAATTAATAATAATAATAATTTCTCCTATTTCTTATAATAATAAATGTTAAAGTAAAAAGTAAAAAAAAAGTAAAATAAATAAGTAATAACACCAAAAAAATGTTGACTGTTAGTTGGATTTCTATTATTATTATCATTGTTAATAATAGTTATTATTCTTATTAATATTAGAATTATTAATTTTATTATTTTGATTACAAATAACACTACTACTAATAAAAAATATAAAATAATAATGATAATTATAATAATAATTCTAATAATAGTTATTACTATCATAATTAAATTGAAACTAATAATAATCATAATAATAGTTTTAAGATTTATAATAGAAAATAATGAAACAATTCCTTCTACTTCTACTAATGATAGAAGTTATTGTAAATTTTTTAAATAAATAAATAACAACACCAAAAGAATGATGACAGTAGCTGTGAACTGATTCCCATAAAGATTAGCAGATTGTTTAAAATAGATCTTAAAGTCATGTTTATCTAATCCAGAAGCATATTTCAGATGATTTTTAATGAGTCATTGAAAATTTGTATTTTTACTTTATTTCGTTAAACTGAACTGTATTAATAACTGATTTTTTTAATGCAACACTAACCAGGGCCTGCTTTAGATTAAGTATGTGGTCGAACTGTCGAACTGAGAACTTTGTGTCGTTTTTTTTTTTTTTTTTTTCCACTTCCAAAAAGATATCAATGATGCTAATTTGATTGTAGATATTTTAAAATGCCTCAACTAGTCAATCTATATTTTTATGCTTTTATTTTAGTTTCTTTTTTTTATGCTGTGTTCATAAAAGTTTGAATACCAGACAACCAAAACAAATACCTGCTCCTCTTATAGTTAGCACACCTGAGGGACAAACCATGCCATAGTTTGATATTAGGGTTTTACTGAGAATATGAAAGTGAACATAACTAAATCTTCTTTGGTTTATCTGCTCGTCCTTATTTTTCACACCATTCTTGTGTTTGCACATTTTTCTCCTGAATCAAAAACTCGTCCAAAAAGCAGTTTTTTCATCTCTGAATTATCACCAATTAATCTGAGGTGAGCTGCCAGCTGGATAAAACTTCCTCTGACTGCCAAGCTGTTGCAAAAGCTTGAACAACACCCAAGCCTCCATCTGAGGAGAAACATGTACATGCCAAATGATTGTATACATAACACTATATCCTATCCTAATGTGAATTAAGACTTACGCAATGTGTTTAATGCAAATGTTCACTTTATAATATCAGTAAATCTGTGATGCCTTATGCAGACATTGTATCAGGTCCATTTAAAACAATCATGTCCTACCATTCAAGCATTAAGGCATAAAGCAGAACTAAAATCAAATACCTTCAAAAGCACCTCAAGCACTCTCATCCTGCACACTTCTAGCGCCCCCTGTCGTCCATGTTGACTACAAACACACAAGGGCATTTATAAGGACAAGACAGCTGCGTAGTGCACGTGCAATGCAATGGCGCCACCTGGCGGCCTCAATTGTTGGGAGTTTCTTAGTGGTCTTTAAAATAAACAAATCTTCGATACCTCAAGGCTCTGAGAAATTCAACAAGTTTTCATAACTCATGGTTTAATTCATTGTTGTTGTTTTTTCATGGGGGCATCAGCAACAATTAACAATTCAGATCCCAGATATCACAATTCATTCATTTGGCTCCAGGTGCAGGAACAGGTGTGTTCATTTTGCATGCATGAGAGCCTTCAGAGAGCCCTGTGACTTCATGGACACCCCCTTTTTTTTCTTATTTTTGGGACACTAACCTGAGCTGCAGGTTCACATGGATTGATTATTCAATTAAAACGTACAACCATTCCTCAAGGCAACTACATCAGCGTCAGAGCCACCATCAAGCTGTACAGATGGACAAACTCAACCAAAAACACAAATAAGAGAATATAATTCAGAGTTCACATTTATCATTATGTAAAAGCTGAACATGAATTATACCAACCTCTCTTAATGAGCCGTACGAGGTGTGTAAAATAACGTTCATAAGTCATTTGAACGCATTATGAGCTCTAAGAAAAAAAATAAAGTTCTAGAGAGTCACCCCACCCGCTGTGAATGTGCCCACTGTGGCACGGAAATTGAACCTTCAGGCCAGGATTAGTTTGTCATGTGCAACTCAGAAATGATCGGATAATCCAACTCACAGAGATACACAGATTCTTTTTCAAATGTCCTGTTTGCACCACCGATCAAAAGAAACTCTCAGAGGAACTCTATGAGGGCACATTTGTCCCAACAGATCAACCTCTGAGTGCAAAGTTGATGTCTCTTTTAGAGTAGATTTTAAAGTTGTTTTCTTGTTTTTTTTAAGCTCTTAATGGCTTTGGCACATCTTATTTATCTGATCTGCTTTTACCTCATGAGCCAGGTAGAGCCCTCAGGTCTTCAGGCAGTTCTCTGTTAATACCTAAAGTTAAAACCAAGACATACAGTGAGGCATCTTTTTAATACTACGGCCCCCGTCTACGGAACAGCTTACCTGAAGACCTGAGGACTGCACCTAATCTTAATGATTTTAAATGCAAACTTAAAACATACCCCTTTAGTCTGGATTTTAACTAGATTTTATATCATTAACTTTAAGTGTTTTAGCATTTATTCCTTCTAGTTTTAATGACAGGATCATCTTTCATTGAGCTATTTTGGTGCTCTTATTTTAGTATCCTTAACTGTTGTTCTTATTTCATTTTTTCTAAAATTTAATTCTGTGTTACTTTGTTTTTAGGTTTTAAACTTCCAGTGTTTCCTTATCTTGAATTTTAAAATGGTGTTTCCTCAGTGCGCACATTCTTGTTTATGTGAAATCGAGCCCTTTTGACGTTCATGCATTTCAATACAAGTTTCTATTGTGCTTAGATTGCGGGGTCGGGTTGGGGTTTCTTTTATTCCTCTGCTATGTAAATCACTTTGTACTACATCGTTTTTGTATGAAAAGTGCTACACAAATAAAGACTGATTGATTGATTGATGTGGCTGAAGGTTATTCTATCTGTTAAGTTGTGTTTGATTTACAATGGTTGAATTTATTCAAGCGCAAGATTACAGCTACAACACAAGATAAACTAAAGACACAGACATGAATACTGAGAGTCTGTTGAGTCACTCAGAGAGGACAACATATTTTATTAATCCCCAAGGCACAAATGAATGTCTTTTTATTGAACGTATAACACACACATAGGCTGGAAATACATATACGGGCACATACAGGTTCCTATGGATACGCACAAACAGTACAGGGTTCTGCACCCAGGAAGTGAGCTGGCACCTCTCCTGCCACCAGCCTGATTTCCAAAACTATCTTGCCGGGACTTGAACCAACAACCCTTCGGTTCCCGAGCCAAGTCCCTGCAGATTGATCTAGTGTTATATCACTCCTATGAACCCAATCTGTTTAAGAAAGAATTAAACAATTACTTCACAAAAGAAATCATCAGTTCGTTTCTAAACTGATTTCCAGGGGTACGTGTGACAAGCAAACGATGAAAAAGTATGAAAACAAATGAAACAGCAGGTCTTTGCGTGATTGCTGGTGTCCGTATTTCTGTTTCAGTAGACAGTAGATCGATAACTTGCAGACAAGTCCAGCTTACTGCAGACTGTTGCTCACTGATACTGAAGGCTGCTCCTGAACGCAGCCCTCCTCGGTTAGGTTAGAAAGTCTACTGTCCACTGAATGGGAAATTACTTAAAGTCTTTAAACACGCAAAGTCACAGTCAAACATCAGAGTAAATGTTTTTATAGTCATCATATAAAGCCAGAATAAAGCGTTCAAATACTTCAAATACAAGCAGAGGCGGAAAAGTATCAAGATCCTTTAAAGCAAAAGCAGAAATACCACCATAATAATAAAAAAAATAAGCTCTTAAGGTAAAGATACTAGACCCCGAACTCTTACACTGAGTATCAGAAGCCAGTATGTTAAACTATTGTCCAACTTGTACAAATAAAACTCTTTTTTTTTCTGACAAAGTTGTCGAAACTTGAGATATTTATCCAACTCTTCAAACAAATTTCATAGAGATGCTAAAATTGAGCATCTTACAAATGTTATAAGATAAAAGGCACTTTTTTTTTTTTACCTGAAATGTATGAGCGGCAGTGAAAGTGAGCCTGAAAAATACTGAAGAGAGCTGTGACTGTTCGACTGGTTTTAATCCGGTTGAATAAACTTAGACCTCCTATAAATATATATCATGTGTTTAAGGCACCAAAACTGCCAGTACAGAGACTACATTCAGTACTGATTCCTGATATTCCTCGAGGTGGAAACAAAATCCACGTTTTCCTGTCATCATAACAAAACGTCTTTGGAATCTCTTTCAAAAATAAAAAACAAAACCAACATATGTAAATGTTCTCAAACTCAGATCCCGCAGCTCAAGACCGAGCCGATACTCGAGTCCTTGAGGGGCGAGTGCGAGCCGAGCCTCGAGTCACGTTTGTGTGCGACTCAAAAGTGACTCGAGTTCAAATCTCAAACTTGTGCACACGTCTTTGGCTTACAGTACTTTGGCTTACTTTGGAGAAATTTCCAACTCGTTTTATAAAAAATAAACCCGTATCTAATTTCTTTGCATCTAAAGATAGCAAAATACAATCTCCAAAATAAGGACGACACATTTCAGCTGTAAACATCATGACATCTCTGATACAGATTTAATCTGATTGGTGATAAACCTGATGAACAGACCCCACAGAGTTCATTGTCACCTGTACGGCTGAAAACACCTGACAGGGTTCACTAGCTGTGCGCGTTGAGTGTTGACAGCCTGGCCATTAAAATGTGAGACCCTGGTTCAGATCGAAGCACAAGCGCTGCTCAATGGGGCTCTGTGTGTATATGTGTGTGTAAGTGTGTAAGAGAGAGTGCAAGAAGAGCAAGATACGGCGACAAGCGGTAGCGCAGCAGGCATGCAATAACATAACTTGATTATACAAAAAAAAAACCTCAAAAGCTCAACATGAAAAATCCTGTGCCCTTTTCCAAAACCTCAAAGCAAATTTAACCTGCAGTTTAATCAGAGTAATAAAAAAGAAGACATGATCATATAAAAAAATAAAGAGGAAACATCCAAACTCTAGAAAAAAAAAACTGTTCTTCTCTGTGGGCAACCGGGGGTGGAGGGTTCAGATGAGGTGTTGTCTGGTTCTAACATGATGGTGCGATTCTGCAGTTTTAAACCATCCTGAGACAAGAGGAGACAAAACCAGGCGTCAAAATAAGAAAACCAACTAAAGTCAGTGTGCTGATAAAAAGATGAAGTCCCAAAAAAACTGTATTATCAGTCGTCCAAATGACCTGTACACTAATGTGCACAATCATTAAAAACACAACCTCAAACAGAGTTCTAGAAGGTTTCACTCCACCAGAGGAACATCAGAAGGTTTCAGAGCAAATGAGGAACTTCCCAGTGGGTCTCGTACATTTGATGTCACAGTATTAGTGTCCTACTGTAATCCTCAGCTGCTCTGATTGTCTCTCAGCGTCTCTAATATTGAGTTTAACTTGGCAAAGCTGCTCTGTATCTCCTTAAAGGTGTGAGTCCTCTGAAACCTTAAAGGGATATTCCGGCGTAAAATTAAGTTATGGTCAAACATACCATAACACAGAGTTAGACACCCCCTCGAGAGATGAATGTTGCCGACTGCTTGCTTCTCTAGTTATACAAACTTTAGTAACGACCACAGATAGCAATACAGAGAGACACACGCTCAACCAAAACGCCACTCTATAGCCACAAATAATGCTCAGAACAGCACCTAACTTCATCAACAGGACATATAGGGTCACAGACATAGTACTAGACACCAAACATCATTTTAACTTTGACTGATTTCTTTAGCAAAGAGACTAAACACAACTCACCTACTCTCTTCCAGCAGCCGCTTGTTTGTAGCAAGACCTCAGGCCAGTCCATTAAGGACTACAGCGGGGGGGGGACGCAGCTCAAGGAAGAACATTTATGATAATTTCTTCATGGAAATGCAATCAAGACTGAGACACTAATGCAGAGGATCTACTGTGTCTGCAGTGCAAAATAATTAATATGATGATTATTACTTCAAGGAAGTGATAAAGAAATGATCATAAATGTTCTTCCTTGAGCTGTGGCGACCCCGGAGCAGTCAATGATAGACTCACCCGGAGGTCTCCGTACAAACAAGCGGCTGCTGGAAGAGAGTAGGTGAGTTGTGTTTAGTCTCTTTGCTAAAGAAATCAGTCAAAGTTAAAAAGATGTTTGGTGGCTAGTACTATGGCTGGGAGCCTATATGTCCTGTTGATGAAGTTAGGTGCTGTTCTGAGCATTATTTGTGGCTATAGAGTGGCGTTTTGGTTGAGGTTTGTCTCTGTGTATTGCTATCCTGCGGTCGTTACTAAAGTTGGTATAACCAGAGAAGAAAGTGGTCGGCAACATTCGTCTCTTGACGGGGTGTCTAACTCGGTGTTACGGTGTGTTTGACCCTAACGTAATTTTACGCCAGAATATCCCTTTAATGCCACATATCACTGATGACTGTGTTACTATAGCAGCTTAAATAATCTGTTATTAACAATCAATACTTATTTTATTTGAGTCTGATAAAGACCCCAATAAGTTTTTGATTCTCTAAGAAAGAATCTGGATTTCAAATAAAGATTTTTTTTAATTTCTACTTTTTTAAATTTTTATATTTGATTTTTTTCCTTTTTTCCAGATTTTAATCATCCCTGTCTCACAAACTTCAAAAGATAAAATCCTGTAAATTCTTAATTAAATATGACACCCTGGTGTTTATTTAATGAGTAAAACAATAACTGTTGCGTACCTGTCTGGCCTCGTTGGTTCACCGTTTCCTTTAAATTAGGATTAATGTCCCCCAAGGCCATCATGTCCCCCATCGCGGCCCGATGGCTGCCCACAGGAGTCGCAGATCACGGTACGGCTCCGCAGGTTGTACTCGTTCTCACCACTTGTGCTGTGAGCTCCCTGCAGGGGGGACACAACAGGATGAGTTACTTAAAGAGGCGCTCCTCTGAGAGATGCTGCAGCCACAGCGGAGCGAAGCTAATTTGACGTTTTTAAGCTTACCATGTCATCGTCGTCGTCCTCGTGGAAAAGGGTGCGAGTCACTTTCCTCATGGCCATTTCCTGGAGGTAAATAAGAGAAGACGATTTAATAATTCATGTTGAAGAAAAAGAAGATGTCAAACGAACGCGGGACGAGTCACACCTCTCCGCCAGCATTGATCAGGGTGGTCTGCAGGTGATCGCCGGTGCCCCAGGAGTCCTGGCTCTTCCAAACCAGGTCAGTGGGGGGGTTGTTGGTTCCACCGCCAGAGGCTGCCCAGATCTACCAAAGCCAGAAGTCAGCGTTAAGAAGAGATCATGAACCTGTTTACACATTTTAGGCAGGTTCAGTTCAGAACTCTGTTTGTTCAATGCAGCAAAATTAAGACACCAGCAGGACTTTCTATGATGTCAGCACCATCTTTGTGCACTGGTTAACCTTTACACAAAATACAAAAACACAAAAACACACAGACAGTCCATATCCGTGTATGAATGATGAGGTGAGGCAAACTCATGCATTCAGTACATTCAAGCACCAGAGCAATTCAAGGTGATTTACACAAAACACTAAAAGAAAATTAAGGTCAAAAAAAAAAAAAAAGAAATAAATTAAAAATCTTTAAAAGGCGACATTTTAAAGTCAGTAAAATAATCTGTTAATATCAGAGTGAAAACATTCCGTTGACTTATAAGATATAAATACAGGGAAACAGTTTGATATCAGCAGATCAACCGTCTCTTCTTGATCCTGGAGAAACTCACCGTCACACTTCCTCCGGCCTTCAGAGAGAACTTGTGTGGAAACTTGTAGACGATCGGGGTACTACTTCCTACTTGTCTCTTCACCTGCCAGTTGTTCAGAGACTGATCCTGCAGAAGAGAAAACAAGACAGTGGTTTAATATGACGTTACATGTTTAGATTGGATTACTCTCTGCCATCACTCTCTGTCTCTAGTCAGACCTTTAACTACGACAGTCAGACTCTCCTATGCAGCCATAAATAAAGGCAACATGTCACAGCAACACAAGCATCTCTGCACCGGCTTCCTGTTCAGCGCAGGATTGTTCTGCGTGTGTTTAAAGCTCTGCGCAGTCTCAACCTGTCCTGTGTAACAGAGCTGCTATCCCTGTACAGTAGAGCTCAGGCTCTCAGATCCTCGCATCAAGGTCTGCTGAACCATCCTACAAAAACTTTTGGGTTCCTGACCTTTGCTGTGACTTTGCTTCTGAAATAGTCTCAGAGAAACTCAACGTGCAGCAGCTACTCGAAGAGCTGTCTCAGGACATCGTGGTTCCACCTGCTCTATTTCTGTGGTTAGAAAGTTTGTATGTGTATTCATTTAATTCAATGGTACTTTATCTTTTTCTTCAAGCATATATACAGATCTGATTAAGCACCATATTCTGACATAATGACAAATTCAATTCTTCAAGTATTACAACAGCGTGTCTCTGTAGTCGAAGGGTCCAGGTGCTACAACAGTCTGCAATGGTCACCCACTGGAAACGTATAATACACCGTGAAATAAAATAAAAAATACACTAAAGGAAACTCTAATCTGTTGAGCAGCTGAAACCCTTAATCAGGCTCTGAACTCCAGACACCCGTCTCCTAGGTTACCAAATGTCTACAGCGTTGTTGAAAGAAGCGAGTATGACACACAAAGGTCAACAAGTCCTCCGCCAATTATCTTGAAACATGTTGGCAGCATCAAATCTAAAATGAAAATACATTTCATATAAAACGATTAAGTTTTTCGGTCTCTACATTTGATTTTCTTTGCACTAGTTTTGATTTAAAGCAGAGTTAGACTGAACTGAAAACAACCAGAGTCTGATTTTAACATTTTACAGTTAGACAAGTTTTTAAATCGTACATATATTTAAAAAAACAGGTGCTTGTTGCATCAAAAAAGGTCAGCAATAGAAAAAACAAAGTGTGAGATTTTCATGTTTTTCATTGAAGTCTTTGTTAAAACACATCACACCCACTTAAAACGCTTTACAGAACCAGCTGATGGAGACCGGTCACTCACCTCGTCGGCCTTGTTGCTGAGACGGATGAACTTGCCCTCCAGGTCGACTTCATCCACAGTGATGCGTCCACAGGCTGAGGCTTGCTGGCTGATGCGAGTCTTGGTCACGGTGCCCCCCGCCATGCTGGAGGTCTCGCTGTCGTTGTCGTTGAGGCGGCGTTTCTTGGTGCTGCCGGTGCCGGAGGAGTTGCGGCTGCTGGAGGCGGCGGCGGTGGCAGAGTGGAGCAGGCGGCTGGTGTGGGTGTGGCCGGAGCCGGAGGTCCGTGTCACTGTGACCCTGGTGGGTGGAGGGCTGGGTGAGAGACGCAGCCTAGGAGGAAGGAGAGAGATTTAGACGATAGAAATGGAGCGTGGTGGTCAGAGAACATGCAGATATTCTCAGATCACTAATGGGGGAAAGTTTTCTGAACCGCCCTGGAACTCTGCTTCTTTGACCCACTTTATCGAAATGTTCCAGTACTTTTCCACAGTCCACTTTAGCCTGAAGAACCCGCTCACCTCTCCTCCTCTCCCTCCAGCAGCTTCCTGTAAGCATTGATCTCCATGTCTAGGGCCAGTTTGATGTCCAGCAGCTCCTGGTATTCCTCCAGCTGCTGCTGCATCCGAGCTCGCATCTCAGCCATCTCCCGATCCTTACTCTCCAGCCGACTGCGCATCAGGTCCCGCTCCCTTGACAGGGAATCTTCCAGCTCCCTCACCTTGGCCTCGCTGGCTGACAGCTACAACACACACACACAGGCACAGACACACACAGGCACAGACACACACACACACAGACACACACAGGCACAGACACACACACACACAGACACACACAGGCACAGACACACACACACAGAGGTTCGTTAATCAAGCCTGGCAAGTATGTCGTCTGTAAAGTGGTTATTAAAGTGCAAATACTTATTAAACTACAATGTGTAAGGAAACCCTGAATTAAACGATCAATCAGTGCTGCTGAAGATAAACGGTACTCTGCAGAGTATGATCAATCCAGCAGACAGATTATCAACCACAATCAGAGTGATCAACACCGCGCCGGTGTGTGCACCTGTTTCTGCAGCATGCTGAGCTGGCCCGACATGCCCTCCAGTCGAACCCGGGTCTGCTGCAGCTCTTCGTGGGCGGCTCCCATCATGTGGCTGTTCCTGTCAGCTGACTGACGGGCGTTCTCCAACTGATGCAGAGAGAGAAATGGTGTTTACTGTGGTTTAGAGCCCCGAACCAGAGCATTAAAACTGCACATATGATGAAGAATTTTGCTCATTTTCACAACAAAAAATGTCAATTTATGCTCATCCTGTAAAAATAAAGCTATCTAAAGATGGAATTTGTGCACGACTGTAGAGCAAAAATTGTGTTTCTTACTAAAATCCATCATCTGCATGAAAAAACAGACACAAGCATGAACTGGGGGTCCTGTGATTCTGGCACTGATGAGTCCGCGCTCACCTTAGAGTTGTAGGTCTTCTCGATCTCCTCCTTGTAGAGGCGGACCTGCTGCTCATGCTGGGCTCTCAGATCGACCAGGGCCTCGGCCAGCTTGCTGTCATAGTCGATCTGTCTACCTCTGTCCACCTCATCGGTGCGGGACTTGTGTCGAATCGACATCTCTCGCTGCTCCTACAGACACACACACACACACACACAAACAGAGTCAAGGCTGATTATCAGTCCCACGAGAGGTTGCTCTCAGTTTTTTGATTTCCCCCTTTAACTGGTGCAACATTAATTTATGTCGATAAGAAGCTTTCTCGACTTCTGAAATCCTTTATAAGTTTATTAAACCATAAACAGAGTAATTTGTATTGATGCTCGGTTCAATTACTTTCAGGCACTATGAGCGATTTCACCTGTAGAAAGCTGCTTTGATTAATGATCTAAACTGCATTGATCAGCCTGTTGCTGAGCTGTAATTACTTGTTTAGCAGTACAGAGCTCCAGCAGACACATCCAACTCTCTGATGACATTAAAGAAACCCCTAATCATGACATTAAAACTCAGACGACAATCATTTGTTTCTGGTTTTAGGCACTGTGTCAAAACCTGAAGTGAACTGCACAATACATCAGTGTTTCTACTCGTACTTGTTTGTGTGATTGCTTTCAAATACATCTGAAATGAAGGAAACAGAAAGGTGCATGTGTGGAGCTGATCTGCATCAGGAGTGCAAAAACAAACAAGCAGGTTGTTGGAGGCAAATCAATATCCTGTGGAAAAGACGAAAAGTAGGACGGATGACTAAAATAGAGGGGTTGAGGTGAAGAGTGAGAACCTCAGCGTGGATGTTCTTCTGGAACTCCAGCTCTTCCTTCACAGTCTGCAGGCGGTTCTCGGCGTCCACTCTCCTCAGCATCTCGTCCTGCAGCTGCCTCTTGGCATCAGCTAAGCTTCCTTCCAGCTGGGAGGGGTGAGAGAGGATAAAAGAGAAGATGAGGAAGGAAGTGTTTTTAATGGAGGCGTCAAAGAAAAAAAAAAGAAAATCAAACGCAGCTCCAGGCAGGGGCGATAAAACTCTACTGGGGCACACCGGGAAAACTCCTGGTACTCCTGATGGCCTGTCTGCCCCTGATACTGGGGCACAGCTCATTATAATTCTTTAACCTGCAGTTCCCCAAGGAGGCCAGTAGGTGGAGTAAGGCCTCAAGGAAATCAGAGTCAGTCCTGTGGTGAAATTCATTGATAAAACAAACAGCAGACAATACAACCTTGTGTGTCTCCACACCTTGTCCTCATTCATGATCAACTGTCTGCAGGGTTTACGTACAACCAGGACCTCAAATCTTTGAATCTTTCTGATGATATAAAAATCAATTTAAGTCTTTAGAGAAAATCAAACTTTACAATAACGCATCAAAGAGAAGATAACCTTTACAGGCCAAACTGATAATAGTGACTGTCTGCTGTTCTTTTTTCTGCCCTCAGCAGAGAGATGCAGCCTCCCTACCACTTCAGTTCAGTGAGAATCCTTTTTACCTTGGCCAGCTGGGCCCTCAGGTCCTTGACCTCAGCCTCCAGGGCCCTCTTCTCCCCTAAGGTGGTGGTGAGGGTGGCATCCTTCGAGTTGAGCAGGGCCTCCAGGTCTCTCAGTCGGGCCAGAGCAGCCGCCAAGTCAGACTCCTTTTTACTGTTCCTGTAAGAGAAGAAAAGAGGAGACGTGGACTCAGTTCACCTTCTGTCTTATTGTGTTTCACGATCAGATAGTGCTGGTGGGTTACAGCCGTACACTCTTTTGACAAGTGCTGATTGCAAATTGTTGAACAGCTGGACAAAATCAAACAATCAACTCTGTACCTCGTGTTTGCATTTCTTTGGTTTAACTCTTTAAATTTATGCTGATTTGGAAATTTTCTACTCAAATAAAGTGGTTTTAATCACACAGGTAAAAGGTGCTGAAAGGACACACTAACTCTATTTTATGTAGAGTTATAGTATCTTGTTAGCCGCCTTGAGTCAGGATTTACTTCAAGCTCACGCCGGCTCTTAAATCAGGGTCTAACAGTGCCCTCCTTCTTTCTCTGAGACTTGAAGAGCAGAGGAGAGCTGCTGCAGTGACAGAAGAAGTGGTGGACGACACACACACACACACACACACACACACACACCTCCATTATAGAGCCAGAGTGCAGCAGTTGTTCACCGCTGATGTGAACTGAACATCGGCGTACTGTTATTAGCCTTCAGTGCTGAATAAGAGCCCATTAAACTCTGTCTCGAGGGAACCTGTGTTGAATTAAGAGAATTCACGTTTGTTGCGCATGTGCTGGTGCGAGTGCGCCCCGCCTCCCCGCTAACATCGCAACAGGAACCAATTTACTGTTCTGTTTTGGAAAGAAACACTTGGATACTGCCCTGGAAAAACTTTTCATTCCCAGCAGAAGATGAAGAGAGCGGAGAAAAGAGAGAGAGAGAGCGAGAGAGAGAGGCTGTTAGCAGTATAGGTGGTTCATGAACAGCAGAAGAGGAAATGGGCTCCCTGTTATTCTATTAAGCCCTGTGGACCAGTCTTCATTGTCTGTAATAATTGCCATCTGCCAGGGGAGATAGTTTCCAGCCTGCATGAACAGACCTCAGTGTCGGCTGGTCAGACTACAAGCTCCGTGTTCGGGTGTCCAGTGTAGAAGCAAGAGGCAGGATGAGCTACAGATACACTTTAACTCCTGGTTAACAGGACTGTCGAACTGTGGCAGTGGCACACTTCTTACCCCACAGTGGAATACTGATCGAAAGCAAACTTTGACTCATTCACAAACCCCTTAAAAAGTTCAGATTTAGTTTATTGTTACACTCTAAAGCAATCAACATTCGGTAAACACAGACGAGGCTTTGAAGAGCTTGGAGATACATTTGTGCTTCCTGAAAAGAGTCTGAACAAAGAGAGAAAGAGGAAGCAGAACTACTTCAGAAGAGAAACCAACGAGTCATGGCAGGAAAAGAGTCCACAATGAAAACCAGAGGAAAAAAAACATGCTCTTGATGTCTTACAGATGTACGATCCAACACGGGTAATTATACAAGAGTAGAAAGAAGAGTACAGTTTCATTTCCAGAAGAGATGCTGTTTGAAATACGACAAGCATGACGGCCGTCTGTGCAAAAATCAGAGACAGCAACAACGAGAAGTTTACCTGTGCAGCTGCTGCGACTGTGACTGTACATATGAACATATATATTACCTCTAAGTTATCTTCAATGCTTTACACTGCTTTGGTTTAGGTAGGCAGCAACTAGGTGTTTACGGCCCAAAGAAGCACAACTAAAACTTTTCTCCTCAACTTTAAACTTGATTTTAACAAGCAGATGTTGAGACCAGATGTTCATACATTCCTGTTTGTGCAGCACCAAATCAAACTCAAAAGCTTTATTAGCGGCTGAAACGCAGACTTCTACTAAAACTCAAACTCAGTCGTAAACGCCTCGCCCAAGGGCACATTTTTCCCTCATGTACGTACAGTATGACTGATGGAAGACTTAAAGCACGACCTCAGATGCCTTTTCAGTCCAGAAACTTGCAGTAACTTTTACACAGACATGTTTTTTCTGCCGATCACAATCTAAGGAAGAATTTTTACCTTTTTTTTCTTTCTCCCTTTTTTGCTTTAACTCATAAAGAGACACAAGAATGCAACCTTTTACAAACCAGGTGTACTCAGGTACTCAGGATTATGGCTTTGTAAAATACTTGAGGTGTCAAAAATCACACACACTGTGTCAACGCCTACAAGCATTCCTTGAATTCTTCAACCTCCACTTACAGTCACCTCATACAGACATGTAAGCTGTCTAAAACGCCAACAAAACGGGCCCGTCAGTTACAGCCGGGGTGACATGAGGTTCGGTTTCTGCTATAAAATGATTTATTTACCCTTTTTGTTGTTGTGACTTAAACAAGAGCCGAGGTCTAACCACCTCTGGCTGGGACATGTTTCCTCAGGCTGGTGTGATGAAGACTCATTTTCTGCTGCTGCTGCTGTTGTGAAACACTTTCAATCCACCACAAGGCTGTTAATTAGCATGTTACAGTCTCCAATAATCAACCCAAATTACCAAAGCAGGTCTATTTAATGAGACCGAGTGTGTTTCCTTTACATTGAAATAGGCTGTGAAGTGTAAATGCATGCATTGAGGTGTGCGCACACACACATATGTCTCATGTATTGTTTACAACCTGACTGAAAACTCTGCAGCTCTTTGTCAGACTGTGATACTTTCTCACCAGACTGTAACATTTTAACAGTCTGGTTCTGCAGGCAGACGAGCGCTCGTGCGCGTGGCTGCTGTGCTGTTCATTAGCGCTAATGGGCCCAGTGGATCAGCTCTGACGGAGAATTAATGGACAGAAGTGGCTTTTGCTGTTTGACTATGTGATTTCTCTTTGTACACAAACACGATGGCGAGACGGAGAGGTCTTCGGGATGGCACACTGTGTACCGATTTGAAGAATGCTTCATACAGAAACCTCTTGTACTGTCGAGGCCTCAGCAGAAGTGGCCACGGTGAGATGTACCGTCAGGATTAAACACGCCGGAGAAAAACAAAACCCTGAGAGAACAATGAAGATGAGCATACGGCTCTCTGTCCTGAGAGGCTGAACGAACACACAGTGGTGCTTCAGTGCCAAAGTATAACTCTAATGCACCATTAGTCTATTCATGATCACTGATAACACAGGAAACAGATGTGTTTACAGTCTTAATTTAGGATACAAGTGTGCCATCCTTTGGAACTGGATAAAACAAAGTTAAACCGACTCTCTAGGATTTATTTTCATTTTGCAAACTTAATTAAAAATGAAGTTTTAGGTTATTTATAACAACTAAAACATGGTTATCCAATCATAAGTTGTTAAAACACATGCTCCAAAATCACAAACCACAAAATTTAAGATAGACAGATTTAAGATGATAAATACAACAAGGGGCGAATCCTGAAAAAGACTGAACGATACCATGATAATGACAGATAAACAGACAGATAAATCACTATAATTCTTATATACATATCCTTAAAACCCTTTATCATGACAAATATGTGTCTGTGTTCTAACAGCATCGAGGTCAGAAATTTGTCGTCAGTATCAAAGATTTCTGCAGCCAATAGTATCCATTGAGAACGTATTCACCCCAATAATGAGCTTAAAAATGTCTGCTGTAGTTTGACGTTTTATAAACAGGCAGCAAAATAGCTGTTTACAATTCACATGAAGCACTTGTGATGCGAGAAGGAGCAAAACAAACACTCCTTTAACACCAACGGTTTAATTGTGCATCTAAAAAAAGACCTGGTCCTGAGTGGCACTAAAAGTAAGAATGAAGGTTTCAGCAGCCTCTACCTCAGTCCTCTCACAGAGCTTTTAAACTGAACTCACAGCTGCGACTATACGTCTGAGTGTTTATGTCTGAAACAGGTGAACTCCAGTACAGGTACCAGTGTCTCCAATGGTGTTTGAGGGCTTCGTCTTCTTGTGTAATTCTCTGCCTCACATGTATATATACTATGAATGACTGACAGGTCTGCGCTGTTTTTATTTAACCACGTTATCTCTGCCGCCTCTGGCATCTCCAGGATGCTATTCCTGGATGTCTGCTTCAAAACAGAGCGCGGCGTCTAAAGACAACGAAAGGGCATTAAAAACCTGTCAGTGTGTGTGTGTTTGTGTTCCTCTTAAGCAGACGTGTATCTGTGGGTGTATTTGTGCATGTTTGAGTCTGTTCTTCACCGTACATGTGTGGGAGTGTTGGCTGCAAACTGTGTGTGTGTGTGTGTGTGTTACCATTTATGTTAGTCCATTTTTGTGCTTGTGTGTATGTGTGTAAATAGGACATCAGCTCTGACAAAGTGTTATAAAATGTTTATGGCCGTATAAGTCCCTGCACACGTGTGTCCTCATATAGTATTTACATAATCCAGAGCAGGGTGTGTGTGAGAGCCCTTAACAACCTGTTTATATAATCCAGTATGAAATATGTAATTGGAGAGACCCGGCATAAATATCCTCAGACTTGATGTTTACATTCTGTCCCATCAAAGCCGGGACGCCTCCAGGCTGCTCTCAGAACACATGTGGGGCCACTGTGCAGTTATTTCTTAAGGATCGCACCAATAATATTTACTAAACAATACACAGTCAGCATAAGGCTGACAAATGTGGTGCTGAGGATGGCCGAGAGCCAACAGATGAGCAAACAACTGCAGATCACATTTGGGAAATTAGGTAAATAAAAACAAAAAAGTGCCAGTCTGCAGATCAAGTGAAAGAGTCGACTCTGAGCTTGCAAACTGAGAGAAACCTTTGTGCCATCAGGGCTGTGCGGCACGCTTTACTTTCAGTGAAAGACAGAATTAAAAAAAAAAGAAAAAAGGAAAAAAAAAGGAGTAATTTCAGGAAGCTCTATTTTGCGCAGACCACTTGTCTTATTGGTCATGGCTTCGTTCCTCCCACGCGCCAATGTCTGCGCCCTTGAACAAAAAAATATTATTGAAAAACAATAAAGGTTTACACATCACTTCGGCTTCTTCGGCTGCAATTTCAGAGCTTTTTTGAGGCATTTTGTTGCGAAAGAGTAAATGACACATTTTGAGGTACAGAGACAAAATGGGAGCTATTGGACGGAGACAGTGTGAGATGGGGGAGAGGAGGAGAGGAGAGGAGAGGCTGGAGGGGGGAGTGTGGATTTGAAATGCGAAAAAAAAAAAAAAGAAAGACAAAAAGAGAAAGGGGGGATAATAGAGACGAGAAATCTGAGGAGGAGGAGGAGGAATGTGTTGGCTCGGCTCCCAGCCTCAAGGATGACTCACAGCTATCTTTGTCCACCCCAGTAACGAGAAACGAACCCCGCCTCGTGGAGTGAAAGAGAGAAAAAAGCAACCCCCCCAAACCCTCCCTTCCCCTCCTGTTTTGCTATGCCGTTACCATGGAAACCAAGGCCTTGTCGTCAGGCCTGCTAGTAAGCCATTTCTACCACGCTGTGGACGCAGCGGAATAAAAAAAGGTGCACAAGTTTCAGGGTGGATTTCCAAAATATCTCAAAATTGAGAGGGTGTTGCTTTGAGTTCCCGCTAACGTATAATTCCTGCAAAATACGGAAACTAAAAATGACCGCAGCAGCAGCGGCTCAGTTTAAGAAGAAAGCACTGAGCACTAAAACAAAAACAAAATAGAAAACAAGTTTTTACATCATTTTAAAATACCTGCACTGATTTTTTCTCGAGGGGGCATCTTAAATATTCCTGTCTGATTTTTTTTAACTTTACAGCATCAGCGTTATTTTTAATATTACACTCTGGGTTTCATAAGTGAAATCTACGTGCAGAGTCTGTTTCTGTAGCTGCTTTAAAACCTTCCAAATTTAAAACACTTGAGATCGCACAGTTTCATCGTCTGACCTCTGCACCGATAAAAACAGCCTCCCCCGTTTTTCCTACTTTTGCAGGAAAGATCGGCGCTCTTTCACTCAGGGTCAACATTAAACTCCCGCCCTCCCTGCACTCATCAGATCATTCTTGATAGAGAGAGAGGACCTAATCTTGGCTGCACTGGATCCTGTTCAACAACGGTTAGCTCACCAATCATTGTCTTGACCCACATAGATAGTGTAGATATATTTAGTCAAGTATCTGATGTAATTGTCGCTGTGATATCTGCTCCTAGGACAAGATGATTGAGGATGATGCATTTGTTTGGATCTATTTCCTGCAACAAGGTCCCACAATCAAAAGATAATATCCTGATTGCATCACCAGGGGGTTGATTTTGAGCTGGATCATCACATCTGACCTCGAATTTGTTAAAAAAATGGTAGATTAAAAAATGTGGTAGAAAACTAAAACAGGGATATCTAAAACCAATCTGAAAAGTTAGATCGTATTCTCCAGAGAAGTTGGTAAATGCATATCCATATGTTGCAGCTGTGCTGAAAATCCCAGTCACCATTAGGGATCCAGATACCCTCCACTTTCGCTCTGGGAGCTGCCCACTCCAGCTGCAGCCATGTGCTGTTTACCATCAGGCAGCTCCCCTGCAGCAGGAAGGGGTTTCAGCACTTTGCACACGGGCACATCTGCTGAAGCTGCGGGGGAACAGGAGGGGGGGGGTCCATCTCTTTCACTTCACTTTGAGGCTTTCCCCGATAACGTGTTTGAACCAGCCGTTCTCTGTGAGGGGTGCTATAGTTACACACAATACGCCGCCTCGATCATTTCCTGTAGTACTATTCAGAGAATTCCTTTCACATGCACGACAAGAGACCATTGATCCATATGGTATGTTACTACATAAACACACATACACACAAATGCACACACACACACATACCCCGTCTGGCGAGCATGTGTGGGCACGTGTGGGTGGGGTTTTCCTGATGACTCACTGCTCAAACACAGCAGAGGAAAAAAAAAAAAAGAAAACGGGGGGTTCTCCCGAACTCCCTACAGATTGTCTCAAATGTTCCTCTCTCCAATTACAGCCGACTTTTCCTCTGTGCATTTTTCTTTTACTGCTCACAAAGCGGCTTTATGTGAGGAGGGAAAAGGTGACTAAGAGAAAGGTGGGTGAACAATAAACAAACGCTGGGACCCAGAAATAGATCTGGCACCAGGAAACCGTGCCCGAGTCCGGCACAATGCTGCGTTTACTTCATCCTTTATCTTTACTGTGAAACACTATATTTCACGCATGATGCTGTGATCATCATTTTCATTTCATCTGATTTTATATCCTACAAGCTGTTCATCCTAATACAGGGGAGTATTTAAAGAAATAAAAACTGAAATATTAAGTGTTTGAAGGCTTCATAATGCCTCCACTGAAAATATTTAAAATCTCAGTTTTACTGCCACAACGGTGGTTGTTTAATTAAAGGGTTGCACATAAAAAACTGTCAAATTAAGAAAAAAAGGAAAAACTGTTCATAAAACGGGTGAAAAATTCTGCTTAATTTAATTAAAATAACGACTTGACTAAATCTGACTTTTGAGAGTTAAGTCAGAATCATGTGACTTCGCATAAAGGTCTAAAAATATTTTTGGTTTTGTTTTGGGAAATTAATTTTGCGGCTTGTGCACAAAAATAAAGAGCGTATGGTCACGTGTGGAGTCGTGATGACAGGACTTTATCTCGAATCAAAGCCGCTGACTCGCTTGGATTGACTTGGCACAGCGTAACCTAACCTACAGATAAGATGCGTTGAATTTCTGCAGACACATGCTGTTAAACTGAAACGAGATGAGAACCGACAAGTGCAGTGAGCAACAGTTGAGCTCTGATTAACAGAAATGTGAGCCGCGCAGACTGCAAAACAACAAAACAAAAGCCATTCAGGCCTGCTCATTCACGCCAGCCCCGCTCCTCTCTTCTATCACTGTTGTGCAACTCTCAAAAGGAAATATGCAGTAAAATAAATACAACAGGCTGGCACATGACTGTTTCCTGCGTCTCCTCAGGGATGGGGAGCACAACTACTGGGATTGTGTGTTTATGTGTGTATGTGTGTAATAAATCACCAGAAAAGGGACGACACTGTAGCCTTTCGCCAGAGGACACTCATAAGCGTCCACATGTGGCAGATGGGAACAGAGTCCCAGTGTGTTGAGTTTTAAAGCAGAGCAAATGTCGACCGTGTCTCATCAGGCTTTTGAGGACAGAGGGAGGGGGGAAGGGACGGAAGAAGAGCCGCTCTCGTCTCGTGTCAAACTCATGGTTTTGTTTAAGCTGTCCACAAAACCAACTCTGTGTGCTGGAAAAATGATTTGCACTCTCTTTGTTTCATTAATGGCTGCAGAAATTTGCATCTGTTCGCCAGTTCCTCAAATAGAGTGTCACTCACCACGCAGGGAAAGAGAAAGGTGTCCCCCCCCGCCCGCTCCACTGATACCGCCTGTTTGAAAAAGAGAGTGCGTGTGTCCACAGACACCACAAGGCAAATGAAACAGGCCTTGTTCCTCCCTGTGTGATTAGCTGATGATTCATCCAGCAGTGACTCACACGCTGGTTGCCTGGCTGTCTTTGTGTTAGTTTATGGGCTTTTTTTCACTGATGCTGGATCAGATTATCAGCCATGATAAAGAGCAGAGCGAGGAATCTGAGTCAGCCGCCTCAACCTCTTGATTTCTGTTTTTTACAGCACTGTAAAAAGACATAACTGCAGGATCAAACACGGGGAGCGCTTGTGATAAAACAGAGTAAGAATACACTGTAAACTAGGTTCACTATGATTTTACTGTCCGTGTAAAGTCTCCATCAGACCCGACAGGCGTGTATGCACCTAAGACAGACAGTTAAACATAAACCATCTCAGGTTATCTTTGTGCAGCTCTGTGGAGCCTGCAGGCACCGACAGGTTCAGCTGCACCTCGACACCTTCGCTTTAAGTGCCAACTTGCCGCAAGAAACACAGATTTCCTCTGTCAGGCATCAACCCTCTGCATGAACGTGGTGCTGCTCATTAATTGCACTCCTTTAATTGGCAATTCCTATCAGTCTGATTGGAACAGCGTCTCAAATTGCAACCTAGAGTTTTAGCATTATTTGTGTTAACAAGAAATCACCCGGGTGTATCGCCACCCGCTCTCCTGCTCCGTGTTGTAACGACAGATTGTGTCCCTGCCTCCCCTTTTAGCGAGGGAGCTTCCAGCTGCATTCGGTTACGATGCAAACTTCACGGGTGGAAAAAAAACTGACTGCTGCTATTGTTAGTGTAAAGCTAAACAAAAGAGGGGAGTTTATGAGACTGTGAGGACTTTTGGTTAGCGTTCTGCAGCTTTTTGCCAACGTATGTGGAGGAAAAAAAAAAGAAAAAAAAGGGATTTGAAGCTTGGAGCACAACCAAGATGTGGTTGTGGGACGAGCCTGACGATAGAGCGCTCTCACGCACAACCTAAACGCACTGGCATCAAATTTAGACTGAGGAAATAAAATACTGTTCACTTGTGTGGATGTGAAGGTGGAGGGGAAATGTATTCTTTACGCACGACTGTACGGACAGCGTCAGATGAGCTGTAAAACTCTGAAATTAAGGCTGCGTCGACTTTCCTGTGATTGTCCTAACTTTGGCAAGACGGAGGCTGCTCTCTGTGGCAAACCCCACCCATCTGGCAACAAGTTGGAAAACTAAAACATGCAGACTGGTTTCCAAGCACATGCTGAACCGGAGAGGGTATTAGTGACACAGCCTCCTTCCTCAAATAATCTAAGGTGATAATCTTTGAATTCAGCTCATTAGCATTGCTTATTAGTCCAAGACAAGTCATCAGCGTTGTAATTAACAGAGCTGCATCAAGATGTCGTTCTTTACTTGAAGTCCAAATCACATTTCCTCAGTCTGAATAAACAAGAGCAGCAGTTAATGCAGAACATCTGAGACATGTCTGTTTGATGAACAGTCCAAAGAGTTTCCATTCAGACTCAGCGCACTTGTTTAGATTATAGAGCAGAGCTGTTTCAGTCAGAGTAAACTAACTTTTGCAGATCTGGAAACTGAACATTTGTTATATAACTGACCAGATGGTACCGGGGTGGTTAAGGTTACACTGCACCCACCTTCCCCACTTCCCAATGGAAAGGTCCTTGGGCATAAAGAGCGAGAGAGAGCAAGAGGAAGAAAGAGAGAGACTTTGTGGAGTCCCACCATCTTAGAGTGATTTACCCGGGCCATGTGCGAGTGAGTCATAGAGGGCTTGGCAGGCTCTGAGGGCGCTATGGAAACTCATTCTGCGAACGCCACTCCAGCATAAACACACATACCCACACACACACACACATACCCATGGCTTGCCAAAACCTCCACTCAGTACCAAGTTCTGGTCCGCTTAAGTCCAAGCCCGACTCTCTCATTACTTGTACACCAATAAAGCCAGGAGAGACGCCTCCATACAGCAGCAGTCCAGCACTTTTACAGCCCTGACACATCTGTTTTCCATCGCTAAAGGACTCGGTTTGTGGGCAAAGAGAACAAATCGTCACCAGAGCGGTCGGATACACTCTCACTGGGTCTTAAAGCACCTACTAGAATTATCTAAAAGATTATCTGATTGAAGAAAGTTATGTAATGTAAATGTGCTTCTGCGGTTAAGTGAAGTGTTCACCCTCAAGCTATACTATCTCAAAGTGACAAATTAGCTGTGCTATGAGGGAGAAAGTTAAATTAGAGGGATGGTTGACAGACCTGCAAATATTTGATTGACATTTTTGGATCAAATGATTTACGTCATGCAAAAAAGAAGACAAATTGACTTCCACGTGTTCAGCAATGAGCAGTTTTTATGCAGACGTGTAGTTGTTTCTATTATTGTCACCCTGCCAATTTCCCTTATGCTAGTTTGGCTCGGCCTATGGTGGCGCTGACAGTTAAAAGGTATGAAAGCACCATCTACTGGGTAAAATACAGTAATGCGATAGAATACTTCTGTCTGAATCTTACCCCCAATTTCCACCGCATCTGGAACAACTCCCGCAACGGGATGGCGACAATTTCCGCCATCTGCCAATTCCTACTGTATGCACTTGTGAGGTGAATTTTATGGCGGATTTCAGACAGCAGGAATCGCAAGAACCCGCAGATTCACATGCTATTGCGTGATAACTAGTTGTCTCCATAAAGACAGTCACATTACCATAAAAGCAGCAGATTGTGTCCTTCCAGAGGAGAAAATCCACTTCTAAACTTCTAGAATCATAAGCTCCTCATGCATGGTGTCAACTTGGTGAAATGCTGTCTGAAAACCTTGTTCGTCCCCGACCGTCTGCACGGCATGAAATACGATCCGCCTGAAACACGTAGTTTTTTATTTTGAAAGGAAGCCGGATGTTTTATTTTGTGTCTGTGCCCGACTTTATTTCCAGCATGGGCTAATCTGTGCTGAATTTATGCAGCATGCTTCGGTATCCGGAAAAAATAGAACTCTGGCGATCGGCTGTAGAGTCCACTATTAAGCGGAACGGAAAGAAGCCGATGGAAACTGACACATTAACTTTAGTGGAAACAATCAGCTGCGATCGGCGCATGTAGCCTTTTTGCAGCCGTTCTGGACGCGGTGGAAATTTGGGGTTATGATGGTGTATCGGTTGCACCAGAATTATGGTATTACAGTGCATCTTAAAAAACACATTCTATGGTTAGCTTCTTTCGCTCCATTCTGTTTCATATTTCAGTCTAAAATTTCTGCAGCTATCAAGAGAGCCTGAATCTGGAGCTCAGTGATATATGTGTTTTGTGTATAATTCTAACCAGAATCGACTTTCTTCAGGGGCATATTGATATCTTATTGGCATGACTCCAACTATCCTCCCACGTCTCCTACTCAATAGTCGCTGATAGTTCCTCCTATCACGTACAGTTAATCCTCTGTGTCCTAGAAGGAGACGGGCCTCACACTTCATCAGAGGAGTGAGCTCAGAGACACTTTCCCTGGTTGTTCGAACAGCATTATCTCAGTAAAATGACGCTTTGTTTGTCAGACATGCAAAAAAAATCCTTTTTTGGGAGATAGTATTTCTTTCTTTAACTCGATTATCATTTGCAAAATAGGTCTCCCTAATTTGGTCATGTTTTTGTTAGTCTAATGCTGGAGCTCAGAGTTCAACATGCCTTGCAAAATCAGGATTGTTTGTTTTTGGAGTAAACGTGGGAGTTAATTTGAACCTCCATTTCAGACTGAAGATTAACTGCCATGCTTTCAGAGTGCTACACCCCTGTAATTTCTTTTACTTGTTCAGTCTAAGTGATAAAAAGCAGAGGTATAAAAAAAGTTTTGGAATTTGTCCAGAACAATGCCGTAGCTGGAGACATTAAAACAGGCTAAAAGTGCATCTACTTGTGAAAATATCAGCACATTAAAAAAAATTACAAGTGGTATCTTTAAAGAGCAATACTCTGTTAAATTACAACTATGATCTTTTACAGTACTACAAATTAAAGATCCAGTCATTTGACCGTTTGTGGAAAACACACAAGCGCATTACTGTGTAACTCCTCAGCTGATCACCTTTACTGGAGGAAATGTAGAGCCACTGTGTTTGCAAAAGAGAAACAGGCCTGAAGATTATCCGTGTTTCTTCTACAGATTATTCACCGTATTTCTTTAAAATGTAAAGTGTGGGAAAAGAAAAAAAAACTCTTGCGCTTCAACAAGTTATTCAACAGCAGAGAAAGAAGGATCCAATTTGCATCACTGCTGGATGACACCCAAAATCAGGGCCACTTCTCTGAGCTCTTATCTGGCCCGGCATGACTGAATGTGACAGACAATTGTCTGCTGTCACATAATACAAGCTGAGCTCATGCTAGGGGAACACAGGGTTTCCCCCCGAGGCAGCCAGGAGAATAGAGGAGAAGCGATCAAACAGCATGTGAAAAGATGTGCGGCAGCTCTGTGAAATGTGCAGCTACTGGAGGTGGATGGTGGTTTGCAGCCTGTTTGTGGCCTCGGGGAGTAGGACTCGTGATGCTGAACTCCTATTTTATCCACAAACTAGTCTGTGTTCTGGAGGAACATTAGCGGAGTGTGTTTAATTTTGCCAAATTTTACTATTCATTGATTTTTGTACATGCAGGATGTGACAGCGGGGCTGATGCTCTATAGAAACTTATTGAACGATAACAAAGATTGAAGCTATTTTTAATCAAATTCTTCCTGTTGTGATGAGTTTAACTGCCTGCTGTATCAGAGGATGATTCCTGCAGCGGGTATGGTGGTCCTGGGATAAATCCTGCTTAGTGTTCAGTTCTAGAGGCTGCGGGTAATGTACTAATATAGTCAATAATCAATGAGGTGGTCCGAGTGCCACAGGAAAACCTGTCAAAGTGGATTTTCTCAACGTTTGAACAATGTTGGAGCAGGAGCATAAAAACCTGCTCAGATTAATTTTTCATCCCCGTAATTATGCTGACCTTATAACGGCACGCTACAGTCATTCATTTTTGAATAAGTCTGCATAATCAGCCTCTGAGATGTTGGAATGAAGATGTGAACAATACAGTATGTTTGATTTATTCTGTGTACGTTGAGTTTTTCCTGGGTAATGCAAAGACAAAAAAATATGTTGCTCAATTAAATGAAATGCGAATAAATCATAGTAAATCTATTTCTCCTTGACTGGATAAGAAAAAAATTGCATTTTCAGTTGATATATTTTTAAACGCTTACATGAATAGTTTTGTCTAACTGTTTCCCAACATTTGAGCTGTTTTCTTTTTTTCTTTGTTAAGTACAACAAACTGATTTCTTCATCTGAGATGCTTGGGGACACAGAGCTTTCCATGCAGTCAGAGGTACTTTCCCAACGGCTAAAGAGAAAAAAAGAAGCAGTATAATACTGCACTGTTGTCTGTCGACTGCTGAGGAAAGTTTTCCTTAAAAAAACAGCCAAGCAATCAGGAGGCTCGCCTGCATGATCAGAAGAGGACTGCAGGCTTGCTCTTGTCCATTTTAGGAAAAGACTTTAAAGACGAGCAATTAATCTCAACAAACTCGACACGAGCACTTTGACTGAGTCCTCCTGTAGTCCCAGTAACCACACAGCTGTGATGTGTTACCTAAACTTTCAATACGTAATGTGTTACGCAGCTGAAGTTTCCCTGCAGTCAAATTTTAGAAAGTTACTCACCGAATCGGAAGTTATGACTAATAATAGACCACATCATATGAAGTCAACCTCTTCATCACTCTCCCACTTTCACTTCTGTTTTCACTCATGGGGGGACAGACCGGCTCGATATTGATACGTTTGTTTACTACACTGTTGGCGTTGCTTGGCATGTGGGGAGTGTTTTCTTTGTCATCTGAATGTCAGGGGCACTGAGATGACGAAATAAACGCACATCACAAGCACGTCACATACAGTAAGAGAATACAGCTTTGACTGGGGAAGTTTTGGAGGTGTCTAATTTAAAACCTGATAGACACTCACAAAAAAACCCCTCTGTAAAAACAGATGGGCCCTGTTCCATGCAAAGAGAAAGGAAATGTGAATTTGTCTTTTATGATAAGAGCACTTCCTGCTGTGCTCTCGGATAGTTGAGTGGATGCCAGAAGCTGGTTATGACGTTGCACACGAATGTACAGAGCAGCACCCGGACATGTTCTGCCTCATTCTGTGGACAGCAGCAGTTATTTAATCCCCCTCAGGATGAAGTCTGAGAGCTTTGTCTACCTGCTGCCACACCCTGAACTACACATAGCCGACAGGTGGGGCAAAGTCAGCCGAGGCAAATCCCTTCTTTTATACACACAGAGGAGAATTTATTCAAAACGAGGCTCGGCTGTTTACTTTACAACCCCGTACAGTTGAGTCCCCTCCTTATTAGACAAACTTTAACCAACAGGAGAGATCAAAGTCTGGGGATTTATCGCTCCGACGGTGTTCGCTTTTAGTATTTGATGCTGCCAGTAAACTACAGACACACTATTGTTATTATTATTGCCAGAGGCTTTCAATAATGTAAACTGATGAACCTCTATTAAGTTTTGGATGAATATTATGTAGGAAAGTAATAAAAAAAGTGCTTTTAAAATTCTTTTAAAGCTCCTGTGAGGAGTTTTTTGACATTTATGGAAAAGACTGAAATTCACTTTTATGATCTAGAAAAGCAAACAAGACCATCAACAATAGGACGGATCATATTTTAGAGTAAATTTTAAAGTGCTAGCTAAACAGCTAAGAAACAGTCTGTTTTGACACATAAAGATGGTTATAATAAATAACACATTTGACAGTCATAAATGTCAGGAGGATAAGAGGACTACTTCAGCCTGGTGAGGGTGAAATAAACACAGACTGATCTGTCCACAGGGGGCGCTAACACACAAACTGAAAGTTCCTTACAGGAGCTTTAAAGCCTGACTTGGTTTGATGACCTCTTTTCAGATACATAAAAAAGGCAAGAGCAGTTGAATATCTACAAAGACAGCTGGTATCTGTGCATCATTTTTGTCATTTTAATAATCAAAATTGTTGTAGATTCATTTTCTGTCTTTTGATAAACTAGACAAACATAGTGTGAAAAATTCTGCTCACACAGGAGTTTCTGTCTCTTGCAAAACAAAAAACTATGACAAACTCGAAAACTGCATGTGTGGCATCCAGTTTCTTGGCACAAAAACCACTCCGCTCATCTGCCTGGGTGGAGCGTTGATAAAGGATTCAGAAAACAAGTCCTGCCAGTGACACTGATGAGCTCGTTCTCCCGCTCAGGCTCAGGTTTCACAGCCAGCGGCACAGCTGGAGGTTGGACTGGGCACGAGACACCAGACAGACGCACTATTTCAGTATTAAAGGAAGGATGAGTGAACGAGGCGCTGCCAGACCCACAAACAGGGCCCTGCTTTAGCTCAAGGGCTCATATCTCCTGTTCTGACCTTTGCTTTTTTGTGTTTCTCGCTTCAAGCTTTAGGTTTAGACTTGATTTTACAGCACCTCGGTCCACCCACACCTGCTTTTGTCTACAGTTTTGAATTATTTACAAGTCAAATAGTGCTGCAGGGAGGATGGTTGGCATTCTGGCCCGGCAGCTTGAGGTTAGGGGGGGAGAGCATGTGTTCGTTGTAAGAGTTATGCATAGAAAGCTGTGTGTGAGTGTGAAGAGACGCAGTGTCATGCCTTTGGGCTAAACAGGTGTGTCCAGGCAACTGAACTACAGAGACGGTTCCACCTGCTGCAGTGTGTGTGTTCTATCAAACATGAGGAGAAAAACCGAGGACAGCAACACAACAAAAAAAAGACTCCACATATTGTGAGATGGAGCCGTCCTCTGTTTGTTGCCCCTTCGTCTGCTCCTGTCACCACCTGAAGCTCGGCGAGGTGGTCTGTCAGTGTGTATTAATAAACCTGACTTCCTGTTACAGTGAGCACTCGGTCAGCCTCATTCCAGAGGCAGAGGGAAAAAAAACTCTGAGTCACCACCCTGTCACACGGTCGAGCCAAGACTCCCAGAGCGCTATGGCAACCAAACAGCAAACAGGCTGCACAAAGTATGGCAGATAAAGCCGGCGCGGGCTGGATTGAGGAATTCTTTCCCACCACACGTGCGTCAAAAAGATCTGCTTCCCCCTTTTGAAAACAGTGTCTCTGCCAAAGCTGTTGCTAATTTCCTTGGCTGCAGAATTACCAGAAGCGCTGTGACGTGGGGGGTGTTGTGTGGATGAATAAAAAAACTTGTACAATGAAAATCTCTCAACACTTTGTTATTCGGCCTTTTTACCGGAGCGCACATACATGTCAACATCCTTTTGTAAAGGTAAATTTACAAACCACAGACAGATCGAGTCGCCTGGACATTATGATGAAACTGTGCAGAGGGGAGAAAGTTACAGGGAAGGCACATAACCTGAAAAGTTTGTACACTTTGATTCGTCTGTCAGCACACACCTCTGAGCCACGCCCGCTGAGTACACTAACAGACATGCTTCACACTCCACGGTTCATACAGACTGACGGTAAGGAACACAATGGCGCTAATTGGAGCAAAAGCATTCCCTCTATGTGTGTGTTTAAACTTCACAGACTGCTGTTTCACCGCTGAAATATGTTGGAATTTAGCTTGTTTTTTTAAATGTTCCTCTCTGTATATTCTGTTGCTCTTCCTTCGCCTTTTAAAGGAACTAACACGGCCACTGTAGAGGCACATTTGGTCTTTCATGTTCGGTATTTAAGGTGGATATTTATCAGTTTTATTTCTCCATTAATTCACAGCTGCTCTTTGCCAAAGCTCTGACAAATTCCTCACGTGCTGCTCCTCAGTAAAACATGAGTCTACACCACAGACTTTCACCTGGGGTTATAACCCTCCACAAACTCACTCAGCAGGCTGACAACACACCTCATCCAGAGCTGCCACTCATTCATCATAAAAGACATTGAAATATGTCAGCCAATGCACGTCATAATCTGCTATTAAATTACAATCCGACACCCCAGAGGTCAATGATTCATTGAACTCGACATACATCTTCTGTGCGATGCCCACCTTGACAGTCTCGGTCATTTGTATAAAGCTTATTACAGTTTAACTTTATCGATGCAACTGGAACTAAATTTGAACTTAGACATAAGAGGCACACTAAAGCGATTCATTTGATTTAATGTCAGACAGGATGTTTCGAATACTCTTACAATCACATGGGTTTTATGACTCACGGTGGCACTCATGTCCAATCGTTCTACTTTGAGCAGTGATTGATCATTTAAGGAGACAACAGAACCTTACACAGGAATATTTTCTACTTTCTTTAGCCAGCTGTAACAGTTATAACCAGTTTCTTTGAGCTGTTGACAACAGTTGACCTACAGGAGGAGGACAACAGAGGATATCCCCTTGGGCTACAGGAAATAGTGCTTCACATTTTCCACATTCTGAGAGACCAAACAGCTACTACACTACAGAGAAAATCATGGATTAAGCTGCAGTTCGACCTTTTCTATCAAAGTGGAGACCGATTACAGATTTGAATTGTTCACTTGAGTCCAAAGGGCAGGTATAAGTAACCTGAGCGGGTGTCAAACGCTGCAATGAAAGACATCCTATCATTAGGGCAGTTATTCTTCCTCAACAAAGCGCGCTGTGTGTTTAAGGTGGAGCCTGTTTGGCTGGAGGTGTGTCGTTTCCAACGCCCCTGAGGCCTTAAAGTGACATAACTGCGCTTTCTAACTGACGAGTCACACACTTAACAACCAGGAATGTTTTTACGGTGCTAATGTCGGGTATGGCTCCACACTCTGCTCTGCATTCCTGGTTAAAAAAAAAAAAAATGAGGGTGTTGCACCATCTCAGAACAAGAGCAGGTGTGAACTAGAGGCATCTCGGCGTAAAATGTTGAATTACAGCACACACGCTCAGCTCCTCTGAGTGCAGCACTGCCCTAACAACTAAGTGGCTTTTTGGACACAAATGTTATCCTGCGGCTCCTCTCCACTGTGTCACTCTCTATTCTCTCTCTCCTTATTTCCTGCTCTGTCTTCTGTCCGATCCTCTAAGCAAAGGCATGAAAAAGCCTGAAAATATGAATGTCATCATGAATTCTGTCACCCATGATATCATGATCTGACCTCTGTGACGAGTGTAACTGTTCTCATTGTGCACACTGTGCCACAGGGTAGACACTGTGAGCTTAAAATGTGAAGGTGACACTTTTTAAAGCAGCTCAGGATTGTCTCCCACATGCTCGCTCAGAGGCTGGGAATTCCCTCCACGCTGAAACCACAGAATAGCGCTATAATGGCCCATGAGTGACAGATTTATGGACGGCTCCTCGTGGTCTGGCTGACTTTAACATATATCTGCATCAAATCTGCTATAAAGATGCGCATCCAGCAGCGAAACTTTGTTCTTGTTTTCTACACTGAGCATCTGAAACGCATTATAGTAAAAGAAAAAAAAGAGACAACATGGAGTTTTTGTGAGGTCAAGTTCCCTCTATGGTTGCAAAGCCCCTCCCTTTTAAAGCCCCGCCTCACATGCTCCTCCTACCTGGCTTTGAGCTCCATGTGCTCCTCCCTGATCTTGCTCAGCTCCAGCTGCAGGCGTGCCCGCTCCTTGGCCACCTGGTCCAGGGTCTTGCGGGCGTCGGCTAGCTCCGCCTCGTAGGCCTCCTTGATGCCGGACAAATCTCGGGTAACGAGGGACTCGGACTCGGTGATGCGCAGGCGCAGCGAGGCGTTCTCGGTCTCCAGAGAGCGCACCTTGTCGATGTAGACAGCCAGCCGGTCATTGAGGTTACACAGGTCCTCCTTCTCCTGCAGTCTGGTGATGCGGGCCGGGGAGACGCCGGAGGCACCGCGGCTGGTTCGTTTCTGGCCCGGGGTTTCCATGGTAATGATGGCTCAGCAAGAAGTGTAGAGGGGGTGAGTCACTGTCTGTGGGGAAGTCGGGGAGAGAGAAATAATTAATGAAACCTATAGTATCTGAGCTTCCTTCCTTAGAAACGCAGTGCACCAAACCATGGCTGAATCACACGTTAAACTTTAATGGAGTTTACACTGAAGAAATGTTCCAGTCTTGCATAATCCTGTTTCTCGTCTGGGCAGCCCGCCTTCAGTGCTGGATCTGATCACTGAGCACAATGATACTTTATCCCAGAACCCTTTTTTTCCAAAGCACATCTATATAACTTTAGTATTTTATAACTGTCCTGCGGTGTTTGTGCTGTATGGGGTTTAAATCAAACCGCAGGAACAGTACTCGTTCACAGAAATCTGCTTGTTCCTTCAGTTTTTTTGTTTTTCAGGGCTTTGGATGAGGTGTTAGAGCTTTCCTGACCCTCTCCTGCTTTAAGATCTCCTGCAAAAGTCCCCTATTCACAGTGGCATTATCACTGTAACACACTGTCTCAACATACGCCCGACTGTTCTCTCCTCCGGCTCCATTCAATTATTGTGCAAGCAGTTTATCCACTTTATGCAGCTCACTGTTAAGCAAACACATTTCCCACAAACACAAACTCCCACCTTCTGCTCACACACACGAGGCAATTAAGCACTTTTCGCCAAGGACGACAAAATACATAACAACATTCCCCTCCCTCGCTGCTCTCCAGAGAGTTTTTGGTTAAAATGGAGGCAAACCACTTCAAAACACTTCTCCTTGATTCCCCTTCTCCTCTGCTGTCTGCAATAATCATCTTGCCCACAACTGCCTGAACCAGCGCAGATCAAACAATAATACCAAAGTGTTGACTCATAAATACGAGCTCCAGGGTGTCCTGATATGGACTTAGATCCACTTTGTTCCTGCTAGAGCTGACCTGAATAAAAGAGCGGTAAAAGCATTCGTCTCCAATGAAATGATTCTGATATTCTAATATGAAACTATCGACACATTTAAACATAAGCGGCATAAAAGAAAATTAACTCTTTGAAATCAATGCGTCCAATATGAAAAACAACCCTAACCCATAAAACCACATAAAAGACAAGAGAGTGCTGCACTCTTTCCACTTCAGACAGACATGAACTGCAGTTACACATGAAGTTATTGATAAGTTAATGACTCATCACTATAACTATAAACAGGTGTGACTTCAGAACTGCTCTATATCCAAGGAGCTGCTCCAAATCCAACCCCTCTTCCACTGAATGGCGGGAAAAGCTCCTCCAGTTAGGACCTGTGGTGGGCGGATGCACCAAACTTTGCCATCTATCCTCTCACCGCCCATTACCAAAAGTGCACGCAGGGACATGAACGCCCATGTGGGTGGGATGGCGTGTGCGCGCGCCGTGTGCACACGCCCACAGGAGCACAGCCCATACACTCACAAGTACTACTCTTAGCTAACTTTGAATAAATGAAGCATCCATTTCAGCTCCAAACTGTGTGGAACGTGAACAGGTGCTGTCTCTTTTTGGGCTCTTCAACATCGGCACAATGAGCTCCAACTTCCAAAAGTTACAAAGTTATTCCAAACCACTCCCAGACTAAATGAAACTGGAAACAACTCTGAGCTGACTGAACAGGTTAAACAAGCAGCACATTACTGTAGTGTCACTGCCTGGCAGAGGTATCAACATGAAAAGTCTCAGAGGGAGGCTGAAAAACTCTCTGAACCTTACCTTAGCTGTGTGAGAACCTCTCGACTGCAGCCTTCTGAGGGGACTAAAAATGAGTGTGCCAGACCTTTCTAGAAGTTTGTGTTGTATGAGTGTGTGTGAGCTGCTGTGAGTGTGTGTGTGCCATACCCCAGAGGAGCGTAGAGAAGAGGATCCGTTGAATAATGCAGCCTTGCTCTCTGCTAGTGGGTGTGTGCGCCTTTGGCTCGTGCCCTGAACTGCTCTCCTTGCTGTCGCTCACTGCACATGTACCTACTGCTGAAGAGGGAGAAAGGAGGCGGGAGCAGCAGAGGGGAGGGTGGGGCGGCTGGGAGGAGTCTGGATAGCCTGACTCAGTGAGTGTGTGTGTGTGAGAGTGGACTGTATGGACACACACAGAGCAGCTGCTGAGCTTTATCTCTCCCTGCACTGGCCCTATCTCTTCCTTTCTCATTTCGCTCAGACAGAGCCCGAGCAGACGGACTGACCTCAGCAGCTGGTGCAAACGCTCTGTCAATAAAACGCAGTGACACTGATGATACTGAACAGCTCCCAGGTGGGTGAAAGTGTGCGAATGTGCCGATCTCACCCTGCTGGTCCCCGCTGCTATGAAGAACACATTCTTTAGCCTTCTTTTCTGGTAAGAAACAACTGTGACAGCCAACTACAAAGCAAACACCTGGAGGCTACTTTTTTCTCTCCATTTTCTAGATCAAAAAGAAAGTTCCCCCTGACCTTGGCCTACACACCAACACACAGAAAGCCGGGGTAATAAAACAAGTCCAAAGTGCAGAGAAATCCTTTATCACCTGAGAGCATGGTTCAGGTGAAATCCACGGCAGAAAAATTACCTGTCATATCAGGTGGCTCCTCCGAATAATCCAAGAAGAAACGAGTCCACACATACTCTGCAGAATATCCAAAGTGAGTGACGGGATAATTCTCACGAGTCATCTTGAAAAACTGAAGCTCTGACAATCAACTTGATTCTGGTCTTATATTTGTCTCCTCTGGGTGGAGTTAATGGCATCACAGGTCCAATCAAGTTCTGGTGCACGAGGAAAAAAGCTGTGTTCACTGTGTGCGTGTGTGTAACTCCTCACCATGGAAATGGTGGTTCGTCTATTTGTGCATGTGTGTGTATGTCCACAAGTGTGTGTATATACGCATGTGGTTGAACAAGGGGCAAGACAGCATCTCTGTTTTTGGGCATGGGGCAGGCTCAGGGAGTATCCTGGATTCACTGTGGCCTTCCAGTGGAAAGGAGCCGTCAGCGTCTGAAGCAGCCTCTCTCTGAGTCACACATCCCCTTTACAAACAGCTCCCTGAAGCCTCCACCTCCTCTCTACCTCTCTACCTCTCTTTTTCACTTTTCCATCTCAAGTCTTTCAGCTCAAAGAATGCCTTGCTGGCAGCACAAATGTCTCTTTTTTTCTTTTTTTTTACTCTAACGATTTTCTTTCCACTACTTTTCTGTGCGCACAAACAATAATTAAAATCACATCGTGAAGCTTGCGAGTTGAAACGGGGATGTTGATGTACGATCTAAAAAAAACCCAGCAGAAAACTACATCTCTGTTCCCCGGGTTACAAAACAAACAGGCAGGAGGCTGATCAACTCTAAACTCAGGGCTTTCAAACTACTTCACAAATGCAAGAGAAAAACTAAGACATAAATAGAGATTATAGGGTTATGTGGACGCATGATAACAGTGGATAATTTACGCTGAGGCACTTTCTGTCTCCACTTAAGAACCAACTTTACAGAGGACAAAACATCAAACCAGTTAATCCTGAAGCCAAAGAGGCTGATATTGCCAAAATTAAAAGAGACGCTCCCAATTAATCCATGAGGCAGAAAAATAAAGTGCTCTAAATTGACTTTTTTTTACACACTTGCCTCTGCTTTTCTGCTCTTTGGCACTCTCTCCTTGTTGGATCAAGATCTCACAGTGAAAATGCGTGGATTCCCCAGACTGTTTATAGAATGGGCGTCATCTGCCTCCTTGCTGAGTGAAGCCTCAGTGGGAACAGCACCCTCTGGTGACTGGTTGCAGTATAGGTTATGAACTAAATGGAGCTGTGGACAAACTTTAAAAATCAATCACACGTCGTATAAATTTTTCTCCCCCCTGGTTGTGATGTTGACATGTAGTTATCATAAGACTGGTTTGTGCTCAAGTCCTCTTTTTTCTATGCAGATCTATTTTTTAACGTTATTAGGGTTCATGTTTTCAATAATTGACACCTGATACAGTCTATGGGTGTAAGAAGGTTGCATAGGACATCTACGCTGTTTAAGCAGAGCACCAAAACAGTGACTTTTCCCACGCAACCACCAGTTTCAGGAAATGGCTTCAAATTTGTCATCATGATGTCCATACTATATACAGTCTATGGGTGTAACTTGCAAACTCCATCCAACAGTGAATCTGTGTATTGCACCATCTCATAGCAGGGCCATTCTCAGTCTTCCAGTTACTCTCTCTAAAAACTGTATGCCGTCTTTGCCATCATTCCCTCCATATTCACCCCATCACCACCTTCAGGGGTCACATGTCCTATAACAAATGAAATCCCTCTTCATCGTCTCATTTCGTCTTGTGATAATTCTCAAGTGACATTGAAGCCAAAAGACACGGGGTGACTGAAGATTAATATCGGCCACTCTAAAATAAACACTGAAATCCAAGAATGTCGAGCTGACATTTGATTGGTTATGTAAGCGTTGGACTGAATTGTACAGTGGTTGATAAGTGATGCCAGCAAACTGCGGGAAGAATGTTCAGGGTAGCTTGGTCGTGTCTGCAAATAAAGCAAAAAATAAATGGGCTTTTTCGTGGCATAATTACGTGCTGCAAAAAATCTGAATGGAGAGTACACTTAGTCTGAGATGAGAGCTTGAGTCTGAGGTTTTTTTTTTTTAAATGAGTTAATTACAGACTCGACCCAGTCTGCAAAAATATGTCTATCTATCTAGCCTGTTTGTTCCCACTGCAGTTTCTCATTCATTCAACTCCACTTCAAAAATAGTGAAATAGCCCTTTAAGGTCAAACACATAATGAATTATTTGTATCTCGCTTGAAATGATGAGCCTGTCATATTAAAATAAAAGAACAAACCTTCATTTTGTAACTACCAGCAGACCACTATCAATGCGCTCCAGCTTTTAGCAGCCTGACAGACACACTGTGGGGATCTGAATCCCAGCTGCACTCATCAAGTGCTCAGACAGGAGCAGGCATGACAGACTGTGATGCAATTCACCAGACAAGACAGGTACTGA